GTGTTTCTCCAGCCACGGCATGCCAAGGATCAAGTCGTACTTGTCCATGTCTAGGACCAAGAACGGCTGCGCGCTGTCGAAGTCCTCGAACTTGACAGTGAGGTCCATGTGGACCCGAGGTACTTCTACCACCGTACCGTCGACCAGTCTTACCGAGACCAGCCCGTTGCCTTTGCTGCCTCGTAGCGCATCGGCGTACTTGTCGCGATTGCGTGCGACAGTCTGGCGGCGCGCAAAGTTCTTGGACGCCCCAGAGCCGATCAAGATTCTCAAGGGATGATCGTATCCCGGTACACTCGCGTGCACCACAAGCAGCCCACCGCTGCCCTTCTCCGCTTCGAGAGTACAGAGACTCTCAGGGGCTAAGTCCCCATGGCGTGCGCCACCCGCACGCCCCTCATGAAGACTTAGTGTTTCCCCAGTATCCCGTCCCTACTGGTGTCCGGCGTTCCCCTGGTTCCTGGGGCGCGGCTTCTGCCAGCGACCCCTAGAGCCAAAGGGCTTCGAAGAGAACTTCTTCTTCAGTCCTCCCACGGGACAAGCACGTTTCATGTGCCCAAGCTTGCCACAGCCGTAGCAACGAATGTCGCTCTGCTCGGCCATGCCCAGATCCATGGGAACCGGCCCGTTGATCGCTCAATTGCCGGAGTTACCATTCGGCGCACCGCCAGAGGCAGAGTTGCTCTGCCATACCGTGGCGGGGGTACGAGCCTGCTTGTGGCTGTACTCCTCCTGGAGGGCGATCTGAATCGCCTCCTCCATAGTGTTTGCTTGCGCACGGAACAGTTGCGTGCGGGCAGGACCGACACGCAGACCGTCCATGAACACGGTCACCTTGATGTGTCCAGGCAGGGGGTTCCCCACCAAAGAGGCAGTGAGCACTCGCATCTCCTGGATGTACTCATGCAGCTCGCACCTTCCTTGTTTGCAGGCGAGGAAGCGCGAACGCTGGCCGTACTCGTAGTTCGCCGGAAGAAACGCGGCCCGCAGCTGCTCGCACAGCTGGGACCATGATGCGAAGCATCCAGCCGTCGTCGCTTCGCGCGTATACGCCCAACTCTTAGCGCGACCACTAAGGTTGGAGAGCGCAAAGGCGACACGGAGTCGCTCGTCCGAGACGAGAGCCGCGTCCATCGAGCTCAACCTCTCGAACCCAGAAGTGAAGGTTTTCTCCTTCCTTCCCTTCGAAGGGGTGAACCTTCAGCCGCAGGGGCTTCGGTTGCACCGGCTTCGGCGCGGCCGCAGTGGCCTGCAGCCCTTGAACGTGGGCAATGAGCCCTCGCTCGTAGATGTCGAACGCGTTGATACGCTCAACCTGCTCAGCCGGCGTCGCCGCCGCTAAGCTACGCAGGGCATCTGTCCCAAAGATGCCTGCCATCTTACGAACGGACTCGTACTGCGAGTCGTTCAGATGGGGAAACTCCGTACGATCCATCTTGGCTCACTCGATGAGACCACAGATGATTCAGGTAGTCCAATCTACCCGCGTAGGCGTAGGATTGACTACAAGTGCTACCAAGTGTGACGGGGCACACAGCACTTCTTAACAGAGGAAGCACGAGTATACAAACTCCAAGTGAACAGCCGTTCACGTGTCCCTGGTCTGAAGGGGACGACTTGACTTGAAAAGCGGTAGATCTAAGACTGAATGTATTTATAGGTTGGTACAGATTTGGCCTGCATACAAATCCTAAGTTCCCTATAGTTTGTGTCATACAAAATGTATCTGTTGGCTCTGAGGCCACTTGGGTCACTATCCAGGGGAGTGACCGATGTAGCCATCCCTGAATAGTGACAGGGTCACTATTCCATGTAACCCCGTTACACAAGGCATCCGAGTGAGGGCAACCAGGACTTTGTCGAGATGCTGCCACATCGTAAGCGAAAAATCACATTGTAACCTTGAGGTAGCCATAGTGTAACTTACGTAACTTTGGCAGCATTGCATACTCAAAACATAACCTCACCATTGAATCTAAGCATTACAACTGCTGTACCTGCTTCCATGAACTTACATGTACTTCATTCTTGTACACTGGACTGTCCTTGTACCTCTCTTTTTGTTTGTATCCCTGGTGTAACCTACAATTTAACAAGGTTGTTCGAAATAATTTAATCGAATTGCCTGTAGTCGCCTGGGGCTTGTGTTGTTGCTGGGTCATGGCTGTATCGGAGATTGGGAATTGCATCTCTGCCACTCACTGGAAACCCTCACTAGGCTTACAGTATACTTGGCATTTTTCTGCTTTTAACGTATTCCAAAAATATATCATTATGAGTATTGTGGCTTTCAACTATTTTGCCGCCCGATTTGACGTGTTATCTCGGAGTCCGATTTATATAAAATGGAGCTCCTACATGATCGGTTCGTCCAATTTAGCTATATCTGACCTGAGTTAGTAGCATAAGGCTCAGAGGGGAGGCATTCCAAGTGGGTCATACCTCCTCACCTCTCATGACGCATTAGAACTGCAAGACATTGGAGAAAGTAGTACACTGTATATAGCCACTTCGTAGCACTATGACCAGCTAAATCACCTGTGTGATCATCTACGGCCGCTACAACCTCGTGCCACGCCGATCTGAGAGGGCCCCAGACATGTTTTCGCGGCGGTCCCTTTTGCCGGCGAAAAGCGGTATTTCTGGCCCCTGCTTCGCAACTCGCAGCCCCCAGACGCAAATCGGGCCAGATATAGTTTGCTTCCCTCAGCCCCTCCTACTAAATCGGAGCCCTCCAGCAAATCGGGCCCGATATATCGGATCTTGGACCACCCGATTTCCCATGAAAGCCACAATACATTTGAGAAAGCTCAAGTTTCGACTGACCTCCAAAAAAACGTCGGAATGCAATGGATAACTCGTCTTAAAGAAGTTAAAAGGGGAATTTGCAATTCAGTCAGGTTATTGGGTGGGTATTTGCTATTCGGTCAGGCGTTTGCTAATCAGTCAGGACTTGTGAAAGTCAGAATCAGGAGAGCTCTCCGAGTCGTCCCGCACCAAAGACCTGTATTGGAGGCTGCCGTGGAGGCTGTGCAACAAAATCAGCAGCAGCAGGGTGAGACACAGAGACGGATAAGCGCACGCAGAACGCGTAGCAGTGTTGTGGTGGTCAGGGGCTCTGACGTGGCCCATCGCTAGTGTGCGGTGAGCTGAGAAACGCGAAGGCTTTCAAGGATCTAATGGTACGACGACATGATCAAGCCGGACAGCCACTTCATTTCTACAACCCAAAAGGAATGGGTACCATGACGGTCCGTCCGCGTGGTCAACAGGGAAAGCTACAGGTGAAAGAGTTTGTCAATATGTACTTGTATTGTAATATAGCGTAAAGAAACAAGAGAGTGAAATATGTTACAATTCCATCCGTCGTTACTGCTTAAGTTGTTGTCTTCTTTCGCAAGCCCGAATGTTGTGACCCCTCTCCTTACAACGTGAACAGACAATCGGCGAATCTTCGGGTACAACTTCTCCACGCCTGCGTACGCGTTTTGGCTTTTTTGGGCGTCCAGCCTTGCGATATGATTGAGGGCCTTCTGTCGTATCGTCCCCCAATGCCGACTCGATATCGATTGGGTTCATCAACCTGGCAAAGACGGATTGCAGACATCCATATCGGTAATACGGCGCGACCGATGCTAGCACCGACAAATGCTGGCTTTGGAGAGCGGCACAGCTCTGGGTGGGGTATCAGTACCCGTGCGTGCATGGACCGCAGGTGCAGTGGTTAGCGTCCAGGTTTACTACCCAGTACAAGCCATTCTTTCGAGCAACGTCAAATTTTCCATCTCCCTGTAACACCACAAGCCGTTCACGACCTGCTTTCTTGTTGGCGTTCAGTTTGGTCAAAACGGAGGGTATGATGTCCATCGCATCGTGACGGATGTATTTCTGTTGAAGCTCAAAGGGGAAGCGCCCAAAACAGGTCATCCCCAGGTCAGGTCACACTAGGTCACGCGTCAACTTAGCAGATGTATTCCTACACGAGGCGGTAATGCCTCTGTTTCCAGCGAGTACTAATACTAGCAGCAGTTTTGAAACTCACGGCATATTTGAGCTTTGGAGGGAACGTAACGTACGTGAAGTAAATTTTGAAACCAACGACAAGTATTTCGTTTGGATCGAACCAGAGCCAAAATCGTAACCAACGCGCCCCTATCCGTTTGGCTTCATTAGTGATTTACCACGCCTTCAATCGCAATGCAGCGCCGGCTACGCTCAACTCGGCAAAGACAGCAGCGTCAATCGCAACAGCAGGAGAACCCCAGGCAATCATCCGCAGTGAGAACGACAGCCTCGCGCCGCAGTACGCGTATCTCCCGGCAGGCAGCCTTAGGCGAGGGTATACATGCCCTCGTATGAGACCTGGATCAAATCAAGCCTAAAATCGTAATGTTTTTCTGCCTACATCCAGAGACGCCTGCGGTGGACATACCGAACCAACAACTCCAAGATTATGGAATGGCGACCCGTGTGGAAGAAAATCAGTCTGTGGCCCCACTCAATCGGAACCATACGCTGGCGCTTTTGCTAAATCCCATTACATCCGAGAGCGAATCTATCCCGGCCTTAGGGGCAAGGTCGGACGAAGATGCTATTGAAATAGCGGAGCAACTCTTCCGTGAAGAATACGAGTTCGGCTTTGGTACGACTTGGTTGGCAACGAAGGCGCGGATGGTGGAGTCGCGAGCGAGCAAGTCAATGGGGTCACATCCCTAGGTGATGGAGATGGTATCGTTGGCAGCGGTAGGTGTGGCGGCCGTCGCACAGGCTGGACTACTCGCTGGATTGGGGGTTACAAGTACACGCGTTCCAACAAAACCTGGGTCAAAGTCACGTACCGTTGCAGCGGATAGCGCTCCACAGAGTGTCCGGGAAGATGCGAGTTTCGGCTCGGGTTAGAATGCTACACCAACTTCGTTGAGCATACCTGTGGGCGTGGTGCTATTCAAAGCGACGAATCCACGGCAGGAACTGCTACCACTACTAATGTCACCGAGGCGATGAAGCGCGAGGTTGACCATCTGGCGGTGACAACCACTGCAACTCGAAGTGAAATATGGGAAGATGTTCGCTCTAAATTCTACCGTGATCAAGACGTAAACTGTTCTTACGTGGGTTTATCGAGGGACAAGGTCCTTCGTCGTGTGAACCGAGCGCGAGCAGAGGCGTTTGGGGGATCCGTGTACGGGCAGATCGAGTCTCCACCCTGGTCTCAGGTTCTGAATGACAGTCGGTGTCCAACGGATACAAGCTTTTGGCTTTTCCACTATTCATATTTTGACCGAGCCGCGAAGCAACGTGAGAGGCTTATTGGATGGGCGCACCCAGTCCTCCTGGACATGCTTAAGCAGAACAAGACGTCCATCTTCCTCGATGGCACTTTTCGCTGCGTCCCTCCCAAGTTTAAACAGTGCGTCGTGTTCACGGCCTATGATCGAGCTACGAAGGGGTACTATCCGGCCGCATTTGTCCTGTGCACTTCAAAGTACGAGATGTATTTCCATGCTATCCGACATGTGGTGGACGCGACAGACTACTCGATGAATCCAGAGTACGTGTACTCCGATTTTGAAGCTGGGATGATCGATCTATTCGCCAGCATTTCCCTGACGCGGCCCCGATCGGTTGTTTGTTTCATTTCAAACAGGCATGTCGACGGAAAATGAAGAAGTACAGAATCCCCGACAGAGAGTGCAAGATTGCCATGAAGACTGGTGTTTTGGACATGCTGGCGGTGATTCCCCAAGCGAAAGTGAAGAAACAAGGAATTACGTGGGTCAAGGGTAAGATTTCGTCGCTATGCGCTGCTAAGAACATTGCTCTTTCCGAACCGAAGTGGGGCCAATTTTGGCGTTATTTCCATCGCACATGGATTGTACGATTCCCGCCCAATCTGTGGAATGTCCAACCCTTTTCAAAAGAGTTGGTAAGTCGAACGAATAACCCTCTTGAGCGGTTCAATCGAGAACTCAACGCCGTCTTCAGAGGTTCGCACCCCAGTCTACCGGAGTTCGTATCGGGGATCAAAAAGCTGGCGCGCAAGTACGCTAACTTCAAGAATGACGTGGAATTCGGAAGAGCATCCGCTCCCAGACGCCCCCCGATTGCGTTACCCAAGGCAGTTGTGCTTCCTGATGATGACACGAGCTCGGACGAAGAGGTGAAAGTAGAAGATACGGATGATATTAGTGAACGAGAGTCCCAGGTATACCTTCGAAACAGTGATCGACGACTTGTTGCTCGGAACACCGATATGTTAGGCCCTCGTGGACTCACCAATGTCGGAGTGGTTCAAGCCGATGAGTGAAACCATCCGCAACGGTAAGAATATTTGCATGGTAGCTTAATAAACTGCATTTGTTTTAAAACCCATAATGTTCTGATAGGTTTTACGCTGAGTTGAATCTAATTCATCTTACCAAAGAACTTCTTGTTATTGAGCAGTGGCACATCCGGGTCATCCATGTTGGGCTGCTGCGAGACCAGCTCATTCAAGGCCACCTGGTATTTGCGTTTGGCAGATCGAATCCTGGCTTGTGCGAATTCCACGCTAGGCCCGTCGTCCATTGCTTCAGGGTCCGGATCAAACCGGAGCATTCCGCCAAATGCGGCGAATAAGTCTTCCATGCGGGAGGCGACTGCAACAAACCCTTCATGTGGTGTACCGGCACGGTCCTTGAATCGAGCGAGTTGAGCTGTAGCTTCAGCACTCTTCATGAAGGCGTTTAATACGCCAGTCATGTTTCCAGAATCGTATGCGATTTGAGCGAACACGCGCTGCTCCTTGATCACAGTCTCATGGTAGCCAGACCGCGCAGTTTTGAATCGGCTTAAGAACTTGTTTGCAACTTCGAGGTTCTGGTTGATGACGAAATCAGATTCAGCTGTCGCAGTATCCTCGTCAGTGCTGGTGTCGATTGCTAGATCTTGCTGAGTGTTCGTCACGTTTCGATCTTGGTCGTTTGTTGGTGACCCATAGGACTGGCGCTCGACGACTTCTTCGTGAAGAGTGCTCACCACAGCTTGACTCTCTTGAGGGTCGATTTCTTCGTGAAAAGTGCTCACCACAGCTTGACTCTCTTGAGGATCGATCGGCATCGGAGTGCTGACGTCGATTGCTAGTTCTTGCTGAGTGTTCGTCACGTTTCGATCTTGGTCGTTTGAACAGGACCCATAGGACTGGCGCTCGACGACTTCTTCGTAAGGAGTGCTCACCACTGCTTGACTATCATGAGGGTCGATCGGCATCGGAGAGACCGCTGATGTCTTCTCTGTAGTAGCGTTGCCCTTCACAACATCCGCCTCTGAAGGTTCGTTGCACCCCTTTCTCACAGGACGCGGTCCGTTCAATGCCTTGCCCGTAGCGGCTTTTCCCTTGCTCCGTCGCGGACGAGTCGTTCGCTCATCAAGAATGCCTGATACACTTCCCTTGAATTCGAGGTCGGGTGTTGCCGCCATGAGTTGTCTTCGCGTTGCAGAACGTAGTTTGAGCCACGCCCGTCTTAGCCGCAGCCCGCCCTTGCCCAGTAGTCACTTGCTGTCCCGACGACAACGCTCGTGAGGGGGCAATGAACCTCGCTCTTTAGCGTATTTCTTGGCGCGCTTGGTCCCCGCTGAAGCTGCAAATACCCAAAGCGCTGAATGCACCTTCATCCCAACTCGCCCTTGGACGAAGTGAAAGTACCGTCAGTGATACCACCTGCACTGGAAGCGCGCGAGCTAATAAAAATACTTTTCCAAACGATATGAGCAGACGTAGTACAAACAGCTTCATGAAGCTTTGTATCTACCAATAGATAAGAACAGGCACAGCGGAAATAGGGTCATCCACATCCAAGGCATAATTAGGCCATTAAAAACAGACAGGATAATTACGACTAACCTTATCGGCACTCAGGACGTGCTGGTATAATTCATCCTGGTCGGAGCCGTGCTGGTTACTTCCTCCTAGATCATACTTTCAATCCGTGCCATGCACCCTTTCATATACATCCACTTACAAATCCACGTAAGCGTCTGTTGGATTAGATGGCACCACTGCGTGCGGTGGGCACCTTCTTGGCAGCTAAGCTCGAATGGCATCACCTCTCGGACGAGTCGCGGCGATTAAGCACGCAACCCGCATGTTCCATTCCTTCCAGGGGGACTCGCGGCGATTAAGCACGCAACCCGCATGTTCCATTCCTTCCAGGGGGACTCGCGGCGATTAAGCTCGCAAATCATCTTCTTGGCTGTGATCATGGCCGCCAGCGGCGATTAAGCTATCGCCAGCATCTCTGCTGTATCGGCGGCGATTAAGCAGACGCCGGAATCTCCCTTGATGTCGATAGCGTGACGGCGATAACGCTAACGTCGGTGGTCTTCTTGTTTACCCGGGAAATATTGTTGTGTGCAATAGATCGGATGTCAAAATATTCTAGAATATGTCTCGCCCCATCACAATTGGGACACGACACCGAAGAATGGTGAACGCGAAAAATGCTCTCAGTTCCAATCTCGACAGCACACACGAGCGCACCCGAGCTATAGAGAAGAATATGAGCCGCACCCGCTTCTTTCAAGAATGCCGCGCCCTGAAGCCGCCGAATTCCTCTATCAATGGAAAAACGAAGCTACTACTGCGAAGATATATGTATCATCGTTTCCAGGCTGCAGACTATCCTGAGCAGTTAAGACTGTTTTTTTCTCGCGTCCGCGGGGAAATCTTGCCACGACGAGTGCACGAGTACTTCAACGACGGGACGGCGGCACCAGATCCTATGGCTCGCGTTTCCGAGGCATCCGTACCCACGACCCAATTTGCTGGAGCCCCTGACGTTGCTGATCCGGTAACGGCAGCTACCGTATCTACTGTTCCTACAAACGCGGGTGGCGATCCAGCAATTCAAGTTCCTGCTGTTAATGTTCCCGTGGCTGCCCATCTCCACGTTCCGGGGGGGGGGGGGGCTTGACCGCTGTTCTCGGGATTGTCCCGCGACCAATCGTCACCAAATGCCAGCATCGGCGACCATCTACCAGCTGTCCTTCATAATGTCCCGTGGGTCCCGACTTGTCCTAAAGTGACACACCCTCTATTAATAGTTTAACTAAATGAACCCACACGGGGAGGTTCATGACATCTATCCGCATATCTGAAGTGGCGGACTCGTCGACATGCCCCACAATACGAGAGGCGGCGCGCTACTAAGCCACAGAACGCGTGCGTACGCATGCAAGCTAAGGAGAAGACGCTTGTCGCGACGAGGAAGAAGGCGGGCCAAGGGTAGCAAGTCTTTGAAGGTGAGAAGCTCACTGTTGCACAGGGCCTCCGAAAATAGCATTGTCAATAACATTATTTCAGAAAATAACAATAAATTACGCATTTCGGCGGGTTCAGCCATCTACCGTGATAATTTATTGATGTGCTTTGTGATATTACATAATTTATGACAGTTACCCTTATATAATAATGTTAGCGTTTTACCAGTCATCTTCTCGCTTCCAGTCGTTCAGAAGAACTGGAATCACTGGTTGTCTGCGTTGCTAGTTGCAGCTCATTTGGCAGCGCTCACTTTTTAATTTTCACTTCTCAAGCCTCCAAGACCTCATCCAGCATGGTTCGCGCTATCCGCCCCCCCCCTCGCCCTATCTACACGAACTCCCAAGTCTCGGGGTTTTACTTCCGCCCGTGTCGGGACGAGAACGACGAGGTGATTCTCGAGTATTTCCGTTGCCGTTGCGGCACGGTTCGGAAGCAAAATCATAGGAACGGGTACTCCAACCTGATGCAACATAGCAGGCGGGAGCACCCTGGCTACGAGACCGTCATGCTCGACGCTACGACGGCGGAGACAGGCTCCCTCGTGAACTTCGTCCGCCACTCGGCGCTCAACCTCCACGGCTGGATGGTTTGGATTGTCATGTGCAACCTGCCACTCCCTTTTTGTGAGAGCCGAGAAGCTCGGCGGTACGTGTATGCATAAGGTCATTGTGTTTACATTACTACGGAAACTAACAACTATACTTTATGGATGTTATTCAGCTACTCCAGCCTGGACCCCATCTCGGAGGAAACGCTGCGGGCTGGCATGGACGGGGTCGTCGTCGCCGTCGAGCGTTCGATTGCGTCGGAGCTCCCAGCACGCTTCGGCATCATGCTCGACGGCTGGACACACGCATCTGAGCACTACATCGCCGTGTTCGCGTGCTATGAGGTAACCGGCTGTCCCAAGACAACGCTACTCAGCATGGCCCCGCTGCTGGACGCGCTGGACGACGATCTCTCCGCGCAGGGCCATCTCGAGTTTCTAGCGACCACGCTGCCGCGCGATTACGGCGTACAGCTTGCGCAGTGTCGCTTCCTCGTGGCTGACAACTGCGCCTTAAACCGGCGGCTGGCAACTCTTATGAGTGTGCCGCTTGTTGGTTGCGCAAGCCACCGCCTGAACCTTGCTGTTCAGGCGGACATGGCGTCGCATGAGGAGGACCTGGCTGTTGTGCAGGCGCTCATGATAAATTGCGTACTCTCACCCAATCTGCCAAACTACGGTAAGCGCCAATGTGTATGTGTGGTGTGTCAATATGTCTCTAACACATTTGTGTACTTTTGTAATTTTTTACAAAATAGGTTGAAAACGCCACTTCGGCCTGTCATTCGCCAGGACACGCGCTGGGGCTCTACGTTCGAGATGGTACGGCGCTACCTCCAGCTCCTCGAGTTTCTTGACGCCGAAGACGACGACCTCATGGACCTGCTGCCGCCGCTGGCGATGAACAAGCGACTGCGGGCATTGTACCAGGAGCTGTGCGACATCGAGTCGGTCTCGAAGGCCCTTCAAGGCCACGACGTCGACCTGCTGGACGCTCGCGAGTGGTTCGACGAGCTGATCGCTGTCAAGCCACAATATGGGCGCTACATTGGTAAGTTTATAACTGTTAAATTTGTGTTTAATATTTTCACTAACAATTGTATAATGGTTTTTATTTTGCAGGGCCTCGGGCCAACATTGTGCACAGCCCAGATTTTGAGGCTGGGTGTGTACGCGTTCTCCGCGGGAAGGCGCAGCGGCTGACGCGTGCTGAAAAGGCCGCTTTGCAGCCCTACGAAGCTGCCAGACCGGACGACGCGGCCGCGAGTGAAGTGGAGGAGGATCCAGCCGCGTCGTTCGTGGAGCGTCTTCGGAAGCGCCGGCGGCTTGCACAGGACCGTGTCAAGTATGAGCAGCTGAAGAGCATCCCACCCACGTCGAACGTGGTGGAACGCTTCTTCAGCATTGCTCGGGTGACGTTTGGTCACCAACGACACGGCCTGCTGCCACGCACGCTTGAGACGATTTTGTTTCTCCGCCAGAATCGGTCGTACTGGGATGCAACGACTGTGGACAATTTGAGCTAGATGATAAGCTAACTGGTGTCTTGTTAATAGACTTCATGCTTTTCATAATGGCATTATTTATTGTGGTGCGTTGGGGGCACTGCCATAATGTACTGTTGTATTGGTAGGAGCGTCAGGGGATAATTTATTCAGCAACGCCCAACCTACTAAATAAAAATGCCATATTCGGAGGCCCTGCTGTTGCATCGCTATATTCTGCGGCATCATGACGTGTGTTACTGTACTATTATATGATGCAGGCGCATGGCCAAGATAACGATGGATAGCAAAACCTGGTTGGAAGTATCGCTACAGGGCGCCTCCAGCCTAACGACGGCGACTGTGAGTGCCGTCGCTAGCTGCGGCTAATGCTGAATCGCAAGCACTGTCCCGTGTTGTACCTCGACTCAGACGAGGACTTCAACACGTACACCAAGCAGCTCCAGACGTGCGCGCTCGGCTCCTGACGCCCTGACGTCGAGGTTTGCTCGCTGCACTTAAGGTACTGTGATATTTACTACCGTAATCTAATAGTTCTAAGCGGACTAATTGATCAGTTGTATTCATTTGTTCTGTGTTGTTGGTCATGTAGAGCCTTCCTAAGCTGACGTAAAATATGCACTGATTGATTTCCCACTCTGAGCTTTGTACTTACAGTACTTGTTGTTGCCTGATGGACCGCATCTTCGTCTCAACTCGTAGCAGCTCTTACACGCTGACTGTTTCGAGTGCTTCGCAGGGACGTAGCCCCTGTGCTGATCACTGCTGCGGGAGTCTTTTGGTGCGTTTGGCTGTGTCTGGATTGTCATCTTCTTGCGCGGAGAGGGTTCTTCGGAGTAAGTTGGGAGCAGCTGCATCGGACTGAGCTGCTGGTGACACCTTCCGCTTTTTGGACCGATTTTCAAGGCGACAGCGGAGAGCATTGATGGACAGTGCCGACCCAGGTTTGATACGCTGAAATTCCTCGAAGATCATCCTCCATTTTTCAGGTGTATTTTTTTCAAACGAATCCGCATAACTTCGCAGGTGCTCCAGCACGATACGACGGATTACACAAACTGGAACCTTGGCGCGTAATTAGCTCGTACATGAACTCCAGCTGAGGAGAGGCAGGAAATTGCTCGCGACCCAAAACAGCAGCAAGGCACATCGTCAAGAAGTCAAACTCAAAAAATTCAGGATTTCTTCCGAACTTGGCCCCTACTTTCAAATTGTGCTAGACACCACAGCATTAGATACGCATATAGTAGAATATGATCTGCATGCAATTACCTGCAAGAGGAAGATGTCGAGTCTACGAAGGCCCGTTTCGTACGATACAATACGATCTAAGAGCTTGCGGAGTTTGGAATGAACTGCTTCGAGCTGACTAGTCGAAAGTACTCGTACCCTGCCGCCATTCTCGACGTATTCAGCCTCGCCAACAAATAAATCTCCTACTCGGATCTGGTTCAGGTTGCTAGCTATGCATCCTTGCCACTCAGGCTCTTTGACATTGAGGCTTGAAGCTGGAATCTTGCCCAGAGCGGTTGAAAACAGTGTAGCCATTTCTTCGGGCTCTCGTATTTTGTGGTCGGCCGTGTAAATAGCAGAGGACAGCTCAGTCGCTAGCCATCCCCGCATGACGTGATCCTTTACATTCTCTGTGAACCTTTGGATGACGTGGAAAGGGTCTTGTTTGACTACCAATGCACTGTTGAAGACCTTGTCAATGAGGCTCCGTGTGCCGTTGGCGTGGTCGGTTATACAGAAGCGAGATTCAAGTGGTTTTGACGCTAATTGCGCGGTCACAGGTTTAAGAATTGCCGCAGTTTCAGCGTGATTTTCTGAGTACGTCAGGCCACGAGCAACAATTTGACCTATTTCATTTTGGGCAAGTAGTAGCATACGTACCTCGCTTGATTGATCTTTCTTACCTTGAGCACCAAATACTTTGAGTTTGCTGCAAAACTTTTGCGAATGATCTAGACAAATCACTCGCTTGATTTTGCACTGTGTCATGTGGGCTTCAAGCAAACGAGAGCATATTTCAGTCTGGGTCAGCCATATCTTTTGAAGAGCCTCATCATCAAGACATGCATTCGCTTCCATGTATTGCTCCAATGACACTAGCATAGGAGGCGAATAGTTTGCTTCTTTTTGCCTTCGCTTCTCCACCTCGACACCTGCAACAGATAAGAGAGCATTATAGCGTCTCTGACGACAACGGGTGACACTGCTGCTTGCCCCAGATATGCCTCTTGTCGTTAGCATGCTATCATAAACAAGGTTAAACAGCTCGCGTGATACACCCGTTTGATAGGTTAGAAGGTAAGGGAATGCTAGCAAGAGTTATGGTGATGATGCTAGATACTCATCGTCGATAGTTGAAAATGTGCGTGTTGCATGAGGCCCTGTACAGCGATACCTTGCATAATACAAAACAGTTTTGTGATCGACGTCGTGTACGTACCGCTGCAAATACTCCTTCACTTTTGGCTCACACAGACACCCCTCAACAACGCATTTTGGAACGCGGCTAGTGCGAAGGCACTCCGGGACCCAGGCGAGCGTAGGGTGGCCGTGCCATGAGGAGAAAAGTGAGTCCTTTTTCTTCTCGGGAAGCTGCAATTCAGGAGAGAACTTCCTCAGGGCGATGGCGTCCCGCACAGCAACGAGTGCTGCGGACGCCTTCTTGCCCATGTGAAAACAAATAACGACTGTTCCCAAAAAAAAAGCGGCGGCCCACCGGCCACCCTTCGGGTGGCGGCGGGCCCCGGGCCTAGCGGCCCGGGAATAGGGGTTAAGCCCACGTTCCCGCGGTTTTTGCTACACAGCTAGTCACTTTGCAGCGGTTGTTGTTGCAACGGCGCACTTTATTGCTGCTCAAGTTACTGTGGCGCGCGTTATACTAGCTTATTTTGCCGCGGATTCCTATTTTATTTTTTTTAAAGAATCATACAAATTATTCATATTCATAAAGCTGCAAATTGGTGTGAAGGCTCCGTTAGTAGCCGGGCAGCACGTTTCTCCACAACAAGATAACGGTACTTCCACGGGATCATCTACCACGACACATCAAGCCCAGCAACGCGAGGTTATTGTGATCAATGACGCGGACAGCAGTGACGAGGCCGAATGGCAGCCGACACTCATCAACGTTGCTGGTGATGACAGAGGCTCCGATATGGAGCTAGAGCTCACAAGCAGCGACGGCAGCAACGAAGATGTTTCGAGCGATAGTGATGTTCAAGTCGCTCAGTTATCAGATGGAGAGTGGCCCGTACGTATCGATCGACTGCGCTATGGAGCAAACGGGCTCCTGGTAGGTCGAGCGCGGTGGTCGCACCCGATTCTTCCTATCGCCAGGGTCCGCGCTGCCGATCGAAGGGCTGCTGAGGCAAAGCGCCGCAACAAGAGAGCATCTCGGCGCGCAGCTATTCAAGACGCGATCCTCGCCGACGAGTTAGGTAACAACGATTAACAACATCTGAAATACACACGGTTATTTCATATGGCACTTTACACGACTTTGCATGTGACCATGTGTGACCTGAGCTGGCTGTGACCTGAAAAAGAAGGTACCCTCAAAGGATTTCCGCATGTCCATTTGATTTATCCCAGCAATCACCTTCAGGTGAGACCCGCTCCTAAACTCGCCAATGCTGCTATTCACCGATTCTGCAGAATTCGAGGTCACAATGCCGTATCTTGGTACACGGAACACGACGAACGGCCGGAGTAACACCCTTATCCCAGTCGCTCATATAAAACAGCCCAAAGATATTGTTCACACAAGGCAAAGCCTCCAACACGTGCCGCAAAAGCCTACCCACGCTCAGCCGCATTCGAAATGACAACTCCGATGACTAAAATGTCGTGTGCACCGGTCATTGTGGACGCCACGTAGAGGGTTCCGTGGTCCGCACCACGCAAATGACAGGCGTCTAATGCAATAATAGGTAGACAATACTGAAGCGTGTCGTTGTAAATGCCGTAGATGAGACTCAGGCGCTCGAACGTGTTGCTGGTGGTTCATTCGAAATGCGCAACTGATCCTGGGTTACTCGTCACGAACATGTCCAAATAACTTTGTAGGAATTGGTAGCTTTGTTGGAGACTTAGAACGGAGCCCTCATGTAGCTGTTTCAGCGCGTGCCAAGCCGCGTTGTAGGAAATGGTGAGCCCGTACATTCTACGCGCCCAGTTCACAACTAGCTTCGCGCTCTTTCCATCCCGATTACACGCCATGCAATCGCGAACAACTTCCACCAAGAAATCCAGGCTTACTTGAGATGGCTGGCGCTGCCGCAAGGCGGTGTGTGCAACGTGCGTGGCGGAATGAGCTTTATCCAGAAATGTTATCCGCACAACCCCTGTCTTCGAAGACAGAGATCCTCGAAGCTGAAAGGGACACTCAATATGCGATGAACACACCACCTTCAAGAAGTCGCGTCGGTTTGAGGGCTTGTTGTGGGCAAAACCACGAGATATGCAGTACCGCGCAACACTAACCTTTAGCTCCTTGATACTGGCGAATTCCATGCCGACGGCTAGCTCCATATCTTCGTCTGCATCCCCCATGACTCGGGTTCTTGCCAACAAGTGCCAACAGGTTCTTGGTACACGACACGATAATTCGAGCTGCTGCTGGAAGGGCGTCGGTTGCAACCGCCTAGCCGTTCTAAGTGTAGAGCTCTCCTAATTCTGACTTTCACAAGTCCTGACTGATTAGCAAACGCCTGACCGAATAGAAAATACCCACCCAAAAACCTGACTGAATTGCAAATTCCCCAAGTTAAAATTGTCTATCCAGAAAATAAGATTTTCCGGATCAAAAAAATGAGATAACGTCAGTGTGGTGAGGAAGATGATGGATCTCGATTGAGTGACTGGTCGGACTGATTTTTGGCGGTCTCGTCTACGTCCTCCAGGACGAGTGGAAGATCGCCATTTTGTCACACCAGCGTGGACGAGCGCCATTGCGGCCATGCTCGTCGTTGATCACTTCGCACCTGCTGCTGCACCGCTGCGTCGCTGTGTAAGCGAAGCTCACAAAATATCATAAACACCATACGATCCCTGCCAAACACAATGGGATCCAGCTCAGCACCATGACAGAGACGGCTCATCGGCGCATCCTGTCAGTCAGTCGCAACTTGTCGTTAGGTCTAGGTTTAAGTGTCTCACCTCCCGAAAGCTCCCTCCCTTCCCCGCTCCCCATTCAAGAACTCGGCTGGGTGGACGGCCTTCAGCGAGGCGTGGAGATCGTCGTCTGTGGGCCGCTGCCTGCGGAGCCGGAGTGTCGTCGGTGGCTGCAGCGCGGGTGGGGCGCGTCGTCGGTGGACTGCTGCGCGTGGACAGCAGGGCAGAAGTATCGTCGGTGGCATGTTGCGCGCGGCTGGCGCGACCAGCGCCTGGAGTTGGACTGGAGTGCGGCGTCGGTTGCCTGCTGCTCGCAGACGACGCTGCTGCCTGCCCGGACGACTGCCTGCATCACGCGATGAGCGTCATGTTGGTTGCTGCAGGATCGAGACACCATCTCGTAAGTGCAATAAGGTAATAGCTGTTGTGGACGCTTTACTCCGGGGTGTTATCTCTTCGTCGTTAACATGATGCGTTCTGTATGTGTGGTTTAGTCTGTTACTGTGTAGATAATGGCAAGCATAATGGATATGTGAGCGCTGCAAACGTGTGTTATTATCATTGCTACCTACAGACGCCGGAGAGCGTGGCCAATACTTTGCGGGCGCCCAGCGTTTTGAACTCGCTTCCTGTTTACAAGGATTTCCTCGCCAGACTCGTCCACAACGCTGCGGGACTGCTGGGCACACAGTAAGTGACAGCAGTACCCCATTTTGAAGTGGTATTTGCAGGGACAGTATGAAGCCCGAAGATCGACCGGCCAGCCAGTGCGAGGTTGGCCCTCGACCTCCATGCGCGCGTAGTGGACGCCGAACTGGGCGGAAATCGCCATGTCCTCTCTCGCACGGTTGAGCTCCGGGACGAACGTCCTCACGGGAGGCAGTGCACGCACGTGTACCAGTTCTGGGTCGGCGTCACCAAGGAGAAAGTCGATGCTGGGTCTGGTGACTACGTTTTCGCTTAGCAGGCCACGGTGACGAAGCCCACGTGTGCGGGTCTGGAGCGTCCTTGCGCAGGCAGGCGCGAGCGCGAATCGAGGCAACGCCATGGAGCGGTGGCCGCAACATGCGAGTAGCTGTGCAAGCAGCAATCCCATTTTCAGCTCGCGGTGATGCGTGTAGTCACGCTTCAGCGCCCGGTTGAAATGCTCAACCGGGTTGTTGGTGGTGGCGTACCCAGGCGGCGTAAGAAAGCACTGCCAGTTCGCGAAGTTACTGGGACTTCATGTACGTGGCGAAGGCGGCGAGGTCTGCGTGCCCAGCCCACTCCTTAAGCATGGTCGCCTTCTGGTCCACGTACTCGCTCTTGCTCTGCGTGAAGTGCAAGTCGTAGACGCCCTTGTACACTAATGTAGAGAGCTCCGAGCTCAATCCGCGAGTCCTCTCGCGCAGCTTTGCCACTACGTGGTAGAAGCACATGAGGTACGTAAATGAGCAGTCGGCGAAGACACTGCGGAAGGCTTTGTGTTGTGCCTTGTCTGCGTCTCCAAGAACGAATTTCACCTGCCACTCGGCGCCGTTGACCCGAGCATACACGCGGCGCAACGCAACGAGCGCGGCTTCAAAGTGCTCGTACTGGAGCTGCGACGTGATGAAGAGCGCCACCAGGTGGAAGGCTCTGGTGGCGTCGGTGATGCCGCAGACAAGCACCGGGTAACCGACGCTGTTCAGTTTGAACGTAGCGTCGAGGTGCAGCACAAAGGTGCTCGCGTCCCGCGCGGCGTTGCGCAGGAGTCATGCCGACCAAGAACGGCCGAGCATCTGAGCCGTTTCCAATCTCGGGGAGACCAGAGGTATCGTACGCATTAGTGAACGTAAAGGCGTCGTGGTCGCCTTCACGTCCACTAAATGCGGAGGCCCGCACCGCCTCCACAATCGACTTGCGCTTGTCGTTGCCGCCCAGCCGCGATCGACGAAAGTGGTGCACAATGTTTTGCACTGAGCGCAGGCTAGGTAGCGCGGCAGGACGGAGACCAAACTTGCGTCCCAAAGCGTGTCGGATGCGTAGCGGCATCAGGTTTTCACGGGCCATCTCCTTGATGAAGTCGCGCTGCTGCGGCGTGATGCACGACTTGGACGGCGTTCGAGCGCGCGAATGGTGCTCGCCCAGCTCGTGCATGTCGACAACGTCGGTCTCCTGGCAGACGTGCAGCTTCAGCCGCCACGGGCAGACCAGGTAGGGAACTACGTCCGTGCAGTGCTTGCAGGCGCAGCGCAGCACCTTGTAGCGCATAGAGTGCGGAGTGCCGCTGCTGCAAGCCGCGCACGACATTAGCTGGCTCTTGACAGTCTTTCACGCTTTCATTCCTTGGAGAAGGAGAGCGGCGTCTTCGGCCGAAACACCGCTGCAGAGCAGGTTCCAGGCGTACGGGCGGGGCATTGTCGAGAAGCGAGTGGGAGGGGTCTAGGCGAGAATGCACTTGTTTGAAAGTAGAGAGAGTTTGAAGCAGCAAGGTCTCGGACGAGCGCGACCAGTCAAGTTGTACTTTAGGCCACGGAGTGCGTGATGTGGTTGGGTAAAATCTTTAAAATAGAGGTATACGATTGGATGAATACTTTCGGTTGTGTTGGTGCGCACTAGAAGGGATGATTGCTTATAAATTCTTGTGGTCCCCTGTGATTTTGTGGTGGCTGTGAATGTTCTGATGTGGTGAAAACACGTGGTACAGTCAAACCTGTTTATATGATCCTCTCTATTTGAGCCATGCCGTTTATTTGATGCAGGCTTTGTCGCTACCAAATATTTCACTTAGTTTTTGTATGATCTCTGTTTATATGCATACAAGGTATATGAGCCACATTTTTGGGGACCAAATTAGGTCTCACCTGTTTATTTGATTCACACTGCTCACGGCCACACACTCTTCAACGCACCACTGCTCAACACTCAACGCCTACTGCAAGCCTTCTTCGCTCGCCATGTCTCCTCGCACCTGTCTGACGCTAGAACAAAACCTTCAAGTGCACCTAAAGCTCAAGCAGAATCCTGGCATGAACAACCCCATGCTCGCCGAGTGGATCTACGCAACTTTCAAGGCCCGGGTCAGCCGTGCCACACTCGCCCGACTGCGCAACCTGCCTTCTTCCTACTTCAGCCACGTCGATCTGAGTGCGACCAAGCGGCGCCGAGTGAAATTCCCTCAGTTCGAGCGGGAACTGAGGGAATTTTTCTTTCAGAACGAAGCTAAAACGGCGATGGCGGACGACATGCTCCTGCTGAAGGCGCATGAGCTGGCGGAGCGCTTAGGAGGAAGAGGAGGAACAGGAACCCGCAGTTCAACCTGCCACTGCTCTGAGACACTGCATGGAGCTGGCTGCATTTCTGCTGCAATGCGGAGAGCAGACTGACAGAGAACGAAGAGCTTTACAGACCGTGACTGCTTTGGTTCGAGAGACTACGGTGAAGGCAAAGCGGCAGCGAACTATATGCACGATTTCTTTACGTGCACCACATAATTTGTTTTAACTGAGTCCATTTTATATGAGTCATTGTAGTAGATGGTCACCAACAGGGCCTCATATAAACAGGTTTGACTGTATTGTGCTTGTCAGCGTGCATGGTGTTTTTCAGGCATTTGTGGTGGTTTTGGAACCTTGTCAGCGAAGCTGGGTGCTGCGGCATGGCGTGCCGCTCAGGATGGCTGTCGCGATCCAGCAGCGCACAGACATGTTCGACGGACCTCTTGCGCTCAGTATGGCCGCGCCGATGACGTGGACGCTCGCACAGTGCGAGCGTCCCGAGTGGAGGGGAGTGAGAGTCGCACTCCACTCCACTCGGCAATGGCGACGAGGTGCTTGCCGTGGATGAACTTGAAAGTCCTGCTTGCAACTCGAGCACTTCCTTGTCTGCATTATCGTTGCTGTCTGCTGCTCGCCTGTATGCACCTCCACCCGCTTCAAAAAGATCCCTCCAGCAGTGGACCACCAGCCGCAATGACCTCCTTCCTTGACCTTGACCACCTCGCTGCAAAACAACCACCTGCCTACCTGCCATCATCATTGCAGACGGAAGAGACCTCGTCGGTTATGGGGGTCCTCCCTTGCGGGGAGGAGATTTATTTGCTATTACATGGGGGAAAGAACGCCGCGACGCCAATGCCCCGAGGCGACCTCAGCCACCTCAACTCATCAACGCTGCAGCGGATACTAACGCCGGAACAACGGCTACGCCGCCACCGGAGACCAGAGAGGGCGAACGCGCTCGCTTACGCTTACAGCACGTTCACGCAGTTCAGGTTGTGGTACGCCTCGTGCAGGCGGGCGATCATCGACTCCTCCGACTTGCGCACCCACACACGCGGGTCGTAGTACTTCTTGTTCGGGGCGTCCGGGCCCTCGGGGTTGCCGATCTGGCCCTGCAGGTAGCCCTTCTTGTCCTCGTAGAACTTGCGCAGGCCATTCCAGTACGCCCACTGCGTGTCCGTGTCGATGTTCATCTTGACCACACCGTTGCCCACGGCCGTCTGGATCTCCTGCGCCGTCGAGCCCGAGCCGCCGTGGAACACGAAGAACACCGGCTTCTCGGCAGCGAGACCCTTCTCCTTGGCCACGAACTTCTGGAAGTCGCCTAGGATCTCCGGGTGGAGCTTCACGTTGCCCGGCTTGTACACGCCGTGCACGTTGCCGAACGCAGCGGCGATCGTGAAGTACGGCGACACGGCGCCCAGCTCGTTGTACGCCAGCAGAATGTCCTCGGGCTGCGAGTACAGCGACGCGTTGTCCACCTCGCTGTTGTCCACGCCGTCCTCCTCGCCGCCGGTGATGCCCAGCTCCACCTCCAGGATCAGGTTCATCTTGGCCATGCGCTCGAAGTACTTCTTGCTGATGGCCACGTTCTCCTCCATCGGCTCCTCCGACAGGTCCAGCATGTGCGAGCTCCACAGTGGCACGCCGTGCTCCTTGAAGTACTTCTCGTCGGCCTCCAGCATGCCGTCGAACCACGGCAGCAGCTTCTTGGCGCAGTGGTCCGAGTGGAGGATCACGGGCACGCCGTAGTGCGCGGCCATGGCGCGCACGTGGTACGCGGCCGCGATGGCGCCCAGGATCGAGCCGTTCTGGTTCTTGTTGTCGATGCCCTTGCCGGCGTAGAACGCGGCGCCGCCGTTCGACGTCTGGATGATGATCGGCGACTTGATGTCGCGGGCGGCCTGCAGAGCCGCGTTGGCCGTCGACGACGACGTCACGTTCACGGCCGGGATGGCGAAGTTGTGCTCCTGCGCGTACTTGTACACCTTCACCACGTCCTCGCCGTTGAGGACGCCGGGCTGTACGATGTCGAGGAGACCCATCTTGAGTTGGTTGGGGGGGGTGGTTGGTTTGGGGGGGGGGGCTTGGGGGGTTCGAAGCGAGATTCGAAATGAGCTCCTCGACTCGACTCGGCTCGGGGGCAACGAGACCAAGAGCGAGGGTTCTTTGCGTCACGGGGCCGCGTACGTCAGCTGGGACGACGTCATGATATTTCGCATTACCTGGGAAACCTTATAGTGGAGACCATGACGTGTCGAACATGATCTGCCCCAAGCAATCAAGCCGCCGAAGCCACAGCAGGCGCGCTCTGGCAGGAAAATTGTATCTGAAGATTCAGATGACCCAGGCAAGCACGTTGGTGGAGGAATTCGCACTGCAGCAGCGTTTATCGGTGGGAAACATGCTTCGCGCATCCGTGTTAGCAAACCTTCGCTCAATTGATCACCTGCAGCAATTGATGCGATCTTAGGGCGGTATCCGCCATCCTGTCCCAAGGCCTGCTTCTGCTCATTGCCGAGCCCCCCCCTGTTAAACCCAGCCGAAAGCGCTGGTCGCGGGCGTGCCACGCACGGGAAAAGAAACACGCGCGGCTAGTGTCGCTGTTAGTCGCCAGCTTGCATGCACACATGCTCCGCGGCGCTCGCCGCCGCCGGCCCGCGCTCCATGCAAGCGGCGAGAGCCCGGGTCGCGCCCGCTACTTTTACAGAAAAACGCGCGGTTTGATTCGCGTCAATCGCGTTACACTTGGTTTCACTATGCGCGCATTTTTCTTCAACCCGAATGGGTTCGTGTGACAAAGCCTTGTCAGCTCCCTCGAACGGGTTTTGCCTCGCGACCCGCGGCCCGCTGAGGCGATGTGGTGCACCGTGCACCTCACGCCGGCTAGCCGTGGTGCCACAACTTGTGGCGGGCTGTCATCTCGACGTGATATTTACAGGACGGGGAGGAAGCATGAGCGTGGTTTGACAGCCGAGAAGCGCCGGGGCCTCCGTGGCGCTCTGCATTCGCGCTCTGCATTCGGAGGTGCATCACATGTACGAGCGCCAATTTTCGGACGCTATGGCACTTTCTGGTGGTGTCGGCGCTTGTATACGGTCACGGCAGCGGTCTGCACTCGAGAGCAAGGTTGACCCATTGGCGAGCCATCCACTGATCATGGCAAATGCCTATTTAGTTGATGGAGACCTACTCGGGGGAGAGCGTTGGGAAATTCGAGATCCGGTAGCCCACTTTCGCTGGGTCAAGCTGCTGTGCCCTGTTGACACTTTTGAAGCGATAACTCTCGGTAAAAGGACGCTAGTTTATTCCTCATTCCTTGGTGCATTGCTATCCCGACAACTGCACTGTTGCAGACGCGTGAGGAATAGTAAAAACGGTGGTAGCGATGAATATGAAGAGATACTCAGTATAGATATAATATATCGTGGGAGCCATTGGCAGCATTGCGATGGACTCGATCGTACGGCGAAATTGCAATGCAACGAATGCGTCCGATACGCATGTTTAAGTAGTGGTGAGGCGATTGATTAAGCGATATACTCTGATAAAAAAAACAATAGCCATCGAAAATCTCGTCGAATGGGCTTTCTCATCACATTGTCTAGTCTTGAACAAAACACGTTTTGAGATTTTAAGCTGCCGGTGCATTTATAGAGGCTTCGCCAGGCGGCACCCTTCGAGAACTAGCAAGATGTCGCCACTCGATTCCAGGCTCCTCAGCTTTCAGCAAGTATCACGTAAACGGCCGTTGTTGCCTGTTAACTTCTTTGGCTTGTGGCATCCTACGACATCGTCGACTATCGTCTCATTCTGCTCGTCCCGTATCTAGATGCCTATATGGCTACACCGTCTCCCCTAAAGTGTGACGGCCACGAGCTCCGAAGAGCTCTCATTAGTGTTGCGTTCCACCTCCCTCGCTGGTATCATGCGTTCTGCCAGTGTTATACACGTATCCCCACGACGAGCCTACGTCTGCTACACGTCCTCAATGCCTTACATCAATAGTAGCCCCCTTGCCACTCCATTTACGCACGCGCTCATAGTATATTTGCGCACAAACCACACAGGATATGCTTTTTTTTTCGCCGTCACGATACGGAGGTAAACTGTTTATTGTTGCTATTTTATTGGCCATAAGACATGGTACATGTAGCAGCACGAAACACCATGAATGCCATGCTTACGCCGCTCATCCGAATTACCAGGTTGCACAACAACAACGCTTCACAGAGTGTCTAACAACACTAATAAAGTGAGGTGTATGGTGTTACTGATTCCTTTACCTAGAATCGAACCCTTCAACGACTTCCGAGTAATTGCACAAAAGCCCAACTGACCTTAGAAATATGTCGAGTCCGGCATCGCCACCCTGGGTGGAACAGGAAGAGAGTACAAATGTATCTGCAGGAAAAACCATCGACATACATTGCGGACGTGGGCAAGCTAATAGGGAATTTTAGCGCCGTCTTATAGGAAACAAAAGAAATATTGCCCGAAAGTGCTTGTAGCACATTAATTACGTCCGTGAATGCTATCGGAACAAGCAACACCTTTAGAGTGGAGTGAATTGCTGCAAATTGATACAGCGCGCGAGCTCAAATGAAGTTTCGGTACCCGACAGTCCGAGCACAGTACTCGTTACCCATAAGTCAGCGAAATGTACTCGAAAGAAGGGATGATCCCAGGCCGTACGCGCCAACGCTTCGATACACCAACTCCTGTGTCTAGCAATAATACATGTAACAATAAGATGAGGTGTATTGTGTGACTTAATTCATTTTACTGTAATTGAACTCTAATATCGATTTTTGCCTGGCTTGCGCAGTTGCCTCCCAACCCTTTCTCGCTGTTCTGCTTTTCTCTCTGCTTCTAGCCGACCGACGCATCGATCAACATCTGTCCCTCCTATTGCTGTATATTCCCGGCATGAGTTCCTATCCTTTCTTTTCGCAACACCTCCCGCAGTTCGCGTAGCTCAGGGGGATACTTCTGCACGTCTCCTTCGCGTAGATCGCCAGCCAACTCCAGTGTCTGGCAAACGCTTCTTTTACGATTAGTTCCTCGCGGAGGCGCGTCGCAACAGCACGGAATGTATTGTTTTTCATTGCTCTCTACTCCTACATTGAGAGTGGCAAGCGGAAGTGCTTGTTCCAAGGCGTGAGAGCCCGTTACGACATCAGATACCAAGCTGAAGTGGTCTACCCCTGATTGGAGACCGTAGGGAGGTAGCTTCGCCCTTTTTCATGCACGTCGAGGAGTTTGCCCCACCGTTTTGATTGCACACAAAGTCATCAACGGGTGGGTCTAATCAAAACGGGTTTCGGCCTGGATCCCTATCTATGTGCGAGCCGCACCAAGCAGCCAAAGCTCGTTGCCCCCGAGCCGAGTCGAGTCGAGGAGCTCATTTCGAATCTCGCTTCGAACCCCCCAAGCCCCCCCCCCCAAACCAACCACCCCCCCCAACCAACTCAAGATGGGTCTCCTCGACATCGTACAGCCCGGCGTCCTCAACGGCGAGGACGTGGTGAAGGTGTACAAGTACGCGCAGGAGCACAACTTCGCCATCCCGGCCGTGAACGTGACGTCGTCGTCGACGGCCAACGCGGCTCTGCAGGCCGCCCGCGACATCAAGTCGCCGATCATCATCCAGACGTCGAACGGCGGCGCCGCGTTCTACGCCGGCAAGGGCATCGACAACAAGAACCAGAACGGCTCGATCCTGGGCGCCATCGCGGCCGCGTACCACGTGCGCGCCATGGCCGCGCACTACGGCGTGCCCGTGATCCTCCACTCGGACCACTGCGCCAAGAAGCTGCTGCCGTGGTTCGACGGCATGCTGGAGGCCGACGAGAAGTACTTCAAGGAGCACGGCGTGCCACTGTGGAGCTCGCACATGCTGGACCTGTCGGAGGAGCCGATGGAGGAGAACGTGGCCATCAGCAAGAAGTACTTCGAGCGCATGGCCAAGATGAACCTGATCCTGGAGGTGGAGCTGGGCATCACCGGCGGCGAGGAGGACGGCGTGGACAACAGCGAGGTGGACAACGCGTCGCTGTACTCGCAGCCCGAGGACATTCTGCTGGCGTACAACGAGCTGGGCGCCGTGTCGCCGTACTTCACGATCGCCGCTGCGTTCGGCAACGTGCACGGCGTGTACAAGCCGGGCAACGTGAAGCTCCACCCGGAGATCCTAGGCGACTTCCAGAAGTTCGTGGCCAAGGAGAAGGGTCTCGCTGCCGAGAAGCCGGTGTTCTTCGTGTTCCACGGCGGCTCGGGCTCGACGGCGCAGGAGATCCAGACGGCCGTGGGCAACGGTGTGGTCAAGATGAACATCGACACGGACACGCAGTGGGCGTACTGGAATGGCCTGCGCAAGTTCTACGAGGACAAGAAGGGCTACCTGCAGGGCCAGATCGGCAACCCCGAGGGCCCGGACGCCCCGAACAAGAAGTACTACGACCCGCGTGTGTGGGTGCGCAAGTCGGAGGAGTCGATGATCGCCCGCCTGCACGAGGCGTACCACAACCTGAACTGCGTGAACGTGCTGTAAGCGTAAGCGAGCGCGTTCGCCCTCTCTGGTCTCCGGTGGCGGCGTAGCCGTTGTTCCGGCGTTAGTATCCGCTGCAGCGTTGATGAGTTGAGGTGGCTGAGGTCGCCTCGGGGCATTGGCGTCGCGGCGTTCTTTCCCCCATGTAATAGCAAATAAATCTCCTCCCCGCAAGGGAGGACCCCCATAACCGACGAGGTCTCTTCCGTCTGCAATGATGATGGCAGGTAGGCAGGTGGTTGTTTTGCAGCGAGGTGGTCAAGGTCAAGGAAGGAGGTCATTGCGGCTGGTGGTCCACTGCTGGAGGGATCTTTTTGAAGCGGGTGGAGGTGCATACAGGCGAGCAGCAGACAGCAACGATAATGCAGACAAGGAAGTGCTCGAGTTGCAAGCAGGACTTTCAAGTTCATCCACGGCAAGCACCTCGTCGCCATTGCCGAGTGGAGTGGAGTGCGACTCTCACTCCCCTCCACTCGGGACGCTCGCACTGTGCGAGCGTCCACGTCATCGGCGCGGCCATACTGAGCGCAAAAGGTCCGTCGAACATGTCTGTGCGCTGCTGGATCGCGACAGCTGCCCATACTGAGCGGCACGCCATGCTGCAGCACACAGCTTCGCTTACACAGCGACGCAGCGGTGCAGCAGCAGGTGCGAAGTGATCAACGACGAGCATGGCCGCAATGGCATTGAGCACGCAACATCCATGTGCTGGGATACTATGTGTGGGCATTTATGGATGAGATACAGGCACAAAACGAAGGCCTATAACAACCCGGAGACCGGAGACCGCGGCGGCGGTGCAAACGGCTGTAGATTGGTGTACTATACATAAACTAGATCTTGAAGAGCCGTAACGAATCTCGTGACCCTTTGGCGAGTATGCTGGAAGCTCGCACCACTTCACAGCTCACCTCCGAGACAGTTTACCGCTTTTGGTTCCCACCGCTGCCAAGATGGAGATGGAGAAGAAGCTGCTCAAGAAACTCTGTCGGGACAACGACCTGTACGTGACGCCATCCATCAACGACAAACTCTATCTGCACTACAAGGTACAGTACCGGTCCCAATGAAAAAGGACTTATGGTATTCATTCTCTTAACTGACGTACATGTAAATGACGTGCAGGGCTTCCGCAGTATCAAGAACCTCGAGGAGTATACGGGACTGAAGGTTTTGTGGCTGGAAGGCAACGGCCTTCCCCGAATCGAGGGACTCGAGCAGCAGACGGAGCTGCGCACGCTTTATCTGCACGAAAATTTGATCCAGAAGATCGAAGGGCTCGAGTCCCAGCTACTGCTCGACACACTCAACCTCTCCCAGAACCAGATCTCCTGCATTGAAAACCTCGGACACCTCAAGCACCTGACGGTAAGCAATTGATACCTCTCTTGTTCCTGTAACATTGCTGTCTGACCGCTTCTTCTTGACGCGTTTAGAGTTTAGCGCTCAAGTCCAACTACCTGACCAGTGCAAAGGACATCGCACACATCCTGGAGTTGCCAAGTCTGTCAGTGTTAGACATTCAGAGCAATCGCATTAACGACGTCGACATCGTCGATATCCTGGCCCAGCTGCCGAACCTCAAGGTGCTATACTTGCAGGGCAACGAAGTGGTGAAGCACATCAAGCAGTACCGTAAAACGCTCGTGTACCGATGCCGCAAACTCAAGTATCTGGACGACCGGCCGGTGTTCGATGACGAACGTCGCCGTGTTGAGGCGTGGGGGAAGGCCCTGGAGGCGTCAAATGGCGACATGAAAGCTGCGCAAGTAGCAGAGCGCCAAGAAATGGACACAATTCGTCGCGAGAAGAAAGAGCGCGACGAGAAGAACTTCCTGTATTTCGAGCAGATGATGATCGAAGGGCGGCGTAAACGGCGCGAAGAAGAAGAGCGAAAGCGCAAGGAGGCACAGAGCCCGGAGAGCGACGAGCAAGCCCAAGAGGAGATCAATCCATTCTCCGGCGAGAAGATTTTACCTGTTCAAGACTGCGCCTTCCTGCGGCAAGAGCGCGAGAGGAGGTGGGAGACGGTGGTCAACGCGCCCGATGAACACGTCTTTGGCGGCAACAACGCTTCCAACGAAAGCAACCAGGAGGCTAACCATGAAGCGTCTTCGCCATCGAGGGACTCCACCCAGATCGAAGCGATCCCGGTTGATGAGCGTCGCATGGAGGTTCTGCACCAATGCGCCACCGTGGGCGCTGCTACTTCTTCCGGCAAAGACTCCTTCGTCGACAGATCTTTTCAAATCTCCCAAGCTGGCGTTGATGCTGTCCAGGTGGACCCCGTCAGCAACGACGCCAAAAATGGCAATGCACTGTCCGATCCTCAGGCCCTGGACATCGCTCAAGCCAATGAGATGTGCACCGTTGAGCCTCCCCCTACTCCGTCGACGATGTTAGTTCCACCTCCGGCCCCTATCGCAATCTCAGCAGCAGCACCTTCACTCGACACGACTGCACTAAGTGGAGGAAGTGAACTTGAACCACCTACAACGAGACTGCAGGAGGCGACACCGGCTGCTGATGCGACGAATAACTTGCTTCTCCCTCCACCCCCGCCGGCTACTGCGAGTGTTGAACAAGCGGCGCGGATTCTACCACCCCCGCCGCCTCCAAGTCACACAGACGTCAATGAACTTGATTGAAGTGCTCGGGTACTGCTGCATATGCGCCCGAAAACAAAAACATGCATCTTCTAAAAAAATGTGTAGCCCTTTTCATTTACTGCCCTTAGAGAGCTGCGGAGAAAAGTTCTGCTACACACTTTGCACGCGTGGCGGGCCGTAGGAAATGACGGTGGGGCTCAAAATCAACGAATCCTGAGAGCTCAGGTCAGGCTTGACGATCGGCGGGAAATATTCCGGCGACAACTCGTTCTCACCAGCCTCGATCCGGAACTCGACTACATTCGTTTCGTTCTTCATGTAAGCATGTCGGTACTTGCGCCACCCCCACGGCCGGCGTCGGAGAAAGCGCCGGAAAGTATCCTGCAGCCCCTTCTCGATCAGCTCATAGAACCCGAGCTCGCGTGGTGACCGTCTCAAAGTGCCAATGATGTCGTCCAGAGGGATAAAACACCAGCGAACACACTTGTAGAGTCGAATCACATCCTTCGCCCGACCGTTGAAATCATTTGGAGTTTGCTGTGAGCTTCCGAGGTAACTGAAGTTGTTGCCAAACACGAGTTTGTTGAGACACCGCAGCAGAGTCCGCTCTCCATTGGGGATTCGCAAGCGATCGCTGCGCAGCACAAGCACGAGGGTTTCTAATGGCAACCGCTGCATCTCAGAAACAACCATCATGTCGGAAAGTTCCTCACATGCACCGTGTGGGGCAGAGTAGAAGAGAGTCGTTTGCAGTAGGAAATGGTACATGCTGCACACAGGGTCTCCCCAAATGAAGAACCTACCTCGAAATTGCGCCTTCCCCATGATTTCAGATTGGATCGCTGCAGCCGTGACGGCTGGAGCCAACGTCGAAGGAGAGGAGGGCACCAGGTCAGACCACTGGCTGTACTGACTGTAGCAATGCTGGTACTCGAGCACCACCTCTTCCGTCACTTCTTCGCGATTGGGCTGGGCTCGCCAATACTTAATCTTCATCTGTGCTCGTATCCAGAACTGCGGATCACCCTCTAGAGCCTTGGGTCCGTCCACCTTGTCGGGGTCAGTGCTCAGCAACTGCGGCGACGAGGACCTAATGATTCGCCACATGATCGGCATTGCGTCCGTGATAGCGATTCGAACTTGAAGCTGAAACTTCCCGAACTCCAACAGCGTGAAGAGATCACCTTGGCCAGGCTTCGCTCGAACCTCCACACGCTGCCGTTCCTTGTACGGTTTCCACTCGGGTGCAAAATGCCGATGAATAGCGCGAAGCGAAGGGAGGTGACTCGTCTGAAGCCGGTAGCACAGCCATTTGCTGAGCCCATCCAGCAAATTCCGCCAGAACTCCAGGAGCCGAACGTTGTTTATCAGCGCAACAACAGCCCGGATTAGGATGTCTTGATGCTTCAAACGGCTGATGTACACGCTCCGCATATCCGCCAACGCCTGGTAGTACCGGTGCGGCCCCAGCGTCTTCAGGAAAGCTATTAAATCATCACAAAGCACGCCACGCATTGCTTTATCGTCGATAGAGGACGCAATCTGCAGCATTTCCATCCACGTCGCGGTTGTCACGTGCCGAATTGCTATCACCAGGCAATAGTAAACCATCGTATGCCTCATGCCGAGCCACCGTCCCAGCCTCACTGCCTGCATCGCGTCGAGCTCATCAAGCACCCGAACCTTGAACCTGTAGATGTACTCCACAACCGCCACAACTGCTCCAATCCCCGCTCCTTCGACCCTCACATGCATAACTCCGTCTTGCTGAGCCTTCTCATGCATCGAGAGAGCGACGGAATTGAGCGCGTCCTCCTGACTGAACAAGCTCCGGCGAGACTTGGGCTCGACAACAACACACTGTGTCTGCGGGGGCTGGTTCTCGTCTCCATCTCCATCAGCCACAGCCTCGAGGTCCTGTCTCAGCCTCTTCCTCCTCTGCGTGACCTCCGGACTGTCCTGTAGTGAGCAGCGTCCTCTAACGTCCGCACCGCTGCAACTTCTACTCTTTCTATGTATAACACAGCGCACGTAGTCCAGCCGAAGCGACTGCGGGTCGCGAAGAGGACAATTGCAGGCGTCCTCCTGCTTGTCCACCAGCGTCTGCAGCTCCACATGCCCCAGAAGACGCAGCGTGAAGCGTCCGTCCTTCAACGGGGTCTGCGGCGCGCGTCGGAGCTGCCGCAGCTGCTTGTAGAACCACGGGCAGCGGCCCTGGAGCACCGACAGGTGCAGGGCGACAGCGCAGCCGTCGGCATGGAGAACCACGTCCGGCACGCTGCTCTCTGTGGGAGGGATGGACAAGGAGGAGGAGGCCTTGGACGCCTTGGTCTGCGGCTTGGGGCGCGGCTTCTGGGGCGCGGTGCGTAGTGCTGGGGCGCTTGGGGGACTGAAGGAGAGATGTTGAGAGATCTCGGGGCTGTCCAGCGACTCTGGGTCCTCCAGCGGCAGCACGCGGCGTTCGTCCTCGGCAACGCGGTACATGGCGCTAATAATGAGGAATGATGAGGAATGGGATGAAGACAGTGGTAAAAGGCGGTAAAACGAAATGCTCTGTAATTGAGGTGTTGAAATATTTGGATTTTGTATAGACTAGTGCAACATTACGGTTGGACAGCAATTCGACGTGCTGCGACGTGTGAGCCCTTGGCTACATGAAGTGATTGGCTTGGGTTGAAGTGCGTCTCGACAATTGGGGGCCGGGAAACTGTGGTTTGAATAGCGCAACGAAGTAAACTTTTTCAACAGGGGCATGGGATGACGCGGAGTACAGGTAGAACTTCTTTGCAGTCTTAACGACAACAAGCTGAAGCTGGTGATTTCATTGTCTGTGATGACCTTGCCAGTGGAAGGAACCAACCCCAGAGGGGTGTTGTCGACCTTCAACAGCATCATATTGTCAGCTTCAGTTATCTAAGCTCGAACGCGCCGCGTAAGCCAGCCGAGCGGTCTGCAACAATAACAACAAAAAATAAACACGTTAACCCGTTAGTTAGTCGTCCTCTTCAACAGCAACTTCAACGTCGAAAACGTACGCGTCGATCTTCCAAAGTGCTGGGATCTTCGGAAACACGATGTGCGAATCGTAGTTGACTGTGAAGGGGTCACTGCTGACGAAACCAATGGGCTGACCTGCTGGGACCCGCTGAAAGTTTTCCTCTCCAACGCCGTCCGCCCAGCGGAAGCCACGACTCGTCAGCTTAAACACCTCAGTAATCTCGTACACGTCTCGCTCCGACGCGTCCACTTCACCCTCGACATTAACGTTCTCACTACTGCGACGGTGTCCATCCGCATTCACGAACTCGATCGCGCCCATATCCTGCTGAAGGATCTGCAAGACGCTCGTCGTGATGCTGTCGATCTTGGACTGCGACAAATCGCTCGCCAACCCGCTCTCATAGCAAACGCCCATGCCTCCGTGCACTCCGACAAACTCGTCGGTCAGTGCCACATGTCCGTCTCCGATGAGATGCTTCGGGTCCAGCAACAACATCTTCGTCGGCAGTCGTCCCGATATCTCCAGCAGCTGACTCGGCACCTTATCATGCCCCGATAGCCTTACAAAAGGCGACGACGGCTTGTTGGTCGAGTGCAAGTCCACCAACAAGTCGCTGGACGCGAACAGCGGCGCCAACTCTTTCGCTCGACGGTGTTCGTAGTCCGGCCCGAGTTGCGATTCCGACACCTCCAGTAGATCCCGTGGGAAGCAGCGGTTCAAGTCTGCATGAGGCTCACTGCCTCTCTTGCCGATGCGTTGAGCTCGGGGGTTGCCGTACACCAGCGTCACTGAGCCCTGGGTGACAAGTGGGAAGAGGTTGTTGGCGACCGACAACGGTGCAGCACGCAGCAGCGCCAGTCGAAGCGAGTCCAGCACCTCCACGCCGATGCGCTCGTTGCCGTGCACCCCGCCCACGATCGTCACATTGGGGCCACTCTTAGCGGCCCCGTTGCCAGCCCGAGAGAAGCGGTACACACCTTCGCCGAGCCGCGCGAACGAGTTGAACATTCGACTCATTTTCAGTTATCGGAGCTGCTCACAAAACAATCGGTTGTTGGGGCAGATACATAAAATGTATCGAAAAGACAGTATCAAAAGTTTTGCGATGATACAAATCGTCAATTCGAAAGGGTCAAAAAGCGAAGAAAGATGTCTCGATGCACCAAAGTCATGGCGCTTGCGCTGCTACTGGCGGCGATTTGCGCGGCCACTGGCGCTGCTGGGGGCGAACGGGAGGTTCTGCGCGCGCACATGTCCACCAAGACGCTGTACGCGCCGCCCCCGCCGGCAGAATTAGAAGCTCAAGATGCTTCGTGCACCCCCGTCCAGCTCAATTTCGCCGTGCGCCACGGAACTCGGAACCCCACGATGAAGGACATCACGAGAATCAATAATACACATTCTAGGCTACTGACAGCTCGTAATAAGGGGTCGGCGTCGTGGTTGAAGAGCTGGAAGAACCCGTACCCGGAGAAGACGGCGGCGTGGTTGGCGGATCCCGGAGTTCGCGAGCTTATCAAGATCGGGCAGCGACTGCGCGCCAGACTATCACCGGTGCCAGTGTATTACAACGCCCGCAAGTTCGTGTTCGATCACACGTGGAAGATCCGCACGAAGCAGAGTGCAGAGGCCTTCGCCTTTGGGTTCTTCGACGGACTGCAGCCGGTGTATTACCACAGCGACCCGATGGGAGAAGACGAAGTGCTCAGGTTCTATGATAATTGCCCAGTGTTCGCGGCCCAGATTGACAACAACAAGAGCGCGACAGTTGAGCACGCGCAGTACCGCGAGAGTGAGCAGATGCACAAGAACTTGGCCAAGTTTCGGAAGTTGTCGGGGTTTTCGCAAGCCACGCAGAAGGATCTGGAAGCAGCGTACGCTGGTTGTGCCTTTGATGTGGCGGTGCTGGATGTGTACGATCAGTGGTGCTCGTTATTTGATGACGAGATGCTGCTGTCCATGGACTATTTTCAAGATCTCAAGCATTTCTACAGGAAGAGCCACGGACATGCGTTGTCGTACGAGATCGCAACGCCGTTGTTGCAGGACATTTTTCGCACTATGAAGCAGCGTGTGGACGGCAAGAGCGACGTGGAAGGATACTTTCGCTTTGCACACGCGGAGACGATTTTGCCATTAGCTTCCCTGTTGAACGTCAGCTACTTTGATCGCCATGCAAGCGATCAAGAGGGGCATTTTCGCGCAGACACCCCGCTGGAGCTAGCGTTTAAGCGGAAGTTCAAGAGCTCAGAGCTGGCCCCGTTTGCTGCCAACATCGGCTTTGTTTTGTATGAGTGCTTAGCTGGCGGAGAATCAAAGCGGGTATTCAAGGTGAGGACGTTACTTAATGAACGTGAAGTGCTCTTCGACGAGTGCAAAGGTCAAGCCCTTTGCCCGTTTCCCGTGCTAGAGAATTTATTTCGCCGATGGATTTACGAGTTCGACTTCGAAGAGCACTGTACGTTGCAATAAATATAGTAAGTCTATGTACCACACGTACATGTAGTAGTATGTTTTTCGATCGCTTCTATTATATACTTACTACACGAAATACTTCGCCTTGAAGTTCGCTTTGCTTTCTGCTCATACAAAAAAGCTTACTTAAGTACAATAATGGCGCAGCTTTTAAACATTTTATTAACATTATCGTTGCGTGGCGCATCATTCATCAGAATAAAGGGTTAACTTTTGCAGTTTCGGCTGGATGGGCCCTGGCAGCCGGGCTTTCCCCCGGGGGTTACCGGTGCTACCCCCACGGTAGCCATCTTCAGCTGGTCCCTTTGTGTTATGCTTTGGGATTGTCACCTGCAGCTACTTAAGAAACAACATTCGGCATTAAACCTCAATTTGATGTGGACCACATGTAACATATGATTGGGTATAATCAACTGTTTCAGCTTACTATTGGCCAAAATAAATGGCTCTGCGCATGTCGAGATAATCGCGTAGAAAAACCTCAAAACTGTAGCCCTTCTAACTCGTCTCCAACAGGCGCTACAACATCGACAACCGAACATAAGGGTAAAGCAGTCACTCGCGATTACGGTGATATTTTATTTTCTAATATCGCTAATTTTTGACGGCACCTCGCTAAAAAACCTAATGTTGCCTAAAACGGACTTCAGATAAAAGGCTGTTTCTCTTTTCTTTCTGCTACTAGATTTTTTTATAATCATAGCGTGAAACGGAGCAAATGCGCAGCTTTCGGTTGAGGTATTGCGAGTCGCCAAACGATTTTTTTGTAAATAGTTATGTCCAGAAAACCGAAGTGTTGTTTCTTATGTGGGCCAGAGAAGTAAATTCGTACGTACGGTAAAAGTATACCCAGCGAGAGCAGCTCAATGACTGTTTGCTCGTAGAGACGACTCTAGAATGATTTTCAGCTCCCTCAACACATGATAGTAGAAGCGTTATCCATTATTCGCCAAATGCAGTATTGTAGACGATCAAAGTCCAAAGTCAAGAAGTTGTTAAATGGGCGTGAGGTGGGGTTTGACGAGTGGAAAAGTCGCAAACGCTGCTCGTTTGGCGTGCTGGAGCCTTTACTTTGGCGATGGATTTACTAGTTTGACTCTGAAGAGCACTGCATATGTATGCAGGTGTAGGCGCATTTCTACGGTTGCACACCACTATTAATAGTAATTGTTTACGAATACTTAAAAGTAAAAGCTTTTATTGTGCCTTTCACGTATTTTGGCGGGTGAGCTGTAAATTCAGGCGGAATTAGAGTCATAAAGGGCGATCAACGCTTATTTAGAGCTAATTCTGCCTAAGATTGTGAGTGCTTCCCCTAACTTCCGCGATCAGCATTTGCGAGCCAATCGACGGAGATACGAGCGGAATGGCATGGATTGGCGGGTAGGAAACCACCAATCGCTCTGTTTCCGCATAACGCAGGCTGGATTAGCTTATTCCGCCTTAACTTGGCCTCACCATCGCTGCTCCTAATTCGGCCACGGAGGACGACCCGGAATGAACATGGGAATTAGCTAACTCGGGGCATAATTAAGGTCGACAAGGGATTAGAGTTATGCCAGAATTATCACGGCAGAATAAGTGAAAGGCACAATAAGTACATAAACATATACTTCCTCTCAGGGGCCAGAATATTCTAGTATTTCGCGGTATAATATAACATATAATATTTATATTCTGCGATATTAATTGAAAACACCAATATTGATTGATATTTTCGATATAAACGAGCTTATCTGACGATATCAAATACCCTGATAATATTACTGAGATAGCTAGTGTACCGTAAGGTATGCTGCGTACTGCTACGCAGCCGGCACAGGATTAATTTGGTGTGCAGCATCAGGGTGAATTTACAGCACGAAGGTAAGAATAGTCGTCTGCTTGGGATATTAAAACAGCGCGGAGGCAAGAAAGCAAATTGATATTATCGTAAGTGTGTTATTGCCTTAAAGGTCTGATTATCTGGTAGATGTGGATGCTCATAATATAAAAGCACAGCGCGGGCGACTGGTGCGCCGCAAGTGCGGCGCGCTTAAGTCGTGTGCGCTGTGCGTTTATCTGTTTTGTTTATTTTTGCTATCTCAGCCCCCGCGAAGCCCTAGGCTTCTGGAGATAATACTCCAGAAGCCTTAGATTGGCGACGGCAATCAGAGGAAAAGTACTAAGAACACATGTATTTACCATGTGAAACGACCAATACAGTCATGAAAACTTTAACTCTATGCCTTAGAGTATTGATACCAAGAACATTTTCCTAAGTGACTTCTATTCGGATATTGGGAGATTTCCATGCTCAACACGCGGTCATGAATATACGGCCGCTGGTGTATTAGTGTCGTAACACAAGTCGCATTCACATTATATCCTGACTAACCCGATACGAGAGGTCCTCACCTGCCGTTTTCCCGCCCACCACCCGAACTGGTCATTCCGCAAGACCCCCCCCCCCTCCAGCTCAAGTGATCCAGGTGAAGCAGGTTCGTGAAAACGTGGTTCGGCGCAGACCCTTGTGAAGTACTGCCGTACTAGAGCGGGCAACAGGTGCGATGCGTCCGCTGTGAACAGGAGCTCGGGCTGCGACCCAAGACTCCGGAGCACCGCACTGCAACGAGCCGTTCGGCGTAGCCGTTGTTCTCGGCGCCCTCCAGCACCAACACACCGGACAGCAACGGGACGACGGACACTGCCTTGGCCCAGCTGCAGTAGCAGCACACTGCAGCGTTGGTGAAGCTCGGTGGCGGTGCAACGGACGCTGCCGTTGCCCAGACTGAGAGGACGACGTATTCACTGGTAAAGCTGCGATCGCGTGTGCCTGCGAGCATACATAGCTATACGTAATGAGCTAATACATTGCAATGGGTTGCGAGGGTAGGCAGACGAGCAGCGTGTGCTGCGCGCACGGAGCTGCAGCTCACAACTCAGCTTACCTTGAGCCTGCTAAAGCCCCTCAAGTCCCTGTGAGGCTGCGCCTTGCACGAGTGGTGTCCACGTAGTGTTTCTCTGCCATCGCCACCTGCACGAACACAACACAAGCTTGGTGAGCACCATGGAGACGCCGAGCTTCAGCACGCCCACCACTTCTCAACCCTCGATAAGAGATCGAAGACAAGTGCCGCAGAAGAGAGGTATTGTGCAGGGTCGGTATGCCGCTGCATCAAAGGCTGGACGGAGACCTGTGGTGGCTGCATGCGAATGACGGCGGCATGCAGGTAGCTACGGATCGCTTGGGCAGCAGCAATTAGGAGCGCTCGCGGATAGCCAGCTGGAAGACCATCAGATGCTCGTGTCAAAAGGTTCAAACGCCAGACGCCCAAGCGCACCGAGGAGTCCACGGCACGATGCTGCTCCCACTCAGAAGGCTGAGCTGCCTGCACGCCGCCGTCTCAACAGCCTCAGCTTGGTGTCATACATGAACGAATCCGGCGGAACAAGTCGCCTGTGGCTATCAGTTATCGTCATCCTCAGTGCTATCGGCAGACTCGCATTATCCTCCTTCCTGTCCTTCCCGCCCTTGCTTCATTCAAACGCGTGCATGAGGCTCGAGCAGCGAGCCTCTGCACAGCTTATAACCGAACAAAAAACGAGGCGGAGCTCTTGAGAAATTGTTTTTGGAAAACTCCATTATTTTCCGAGCGGAGGTAGTATTGTGCTTTTCAGTTGTTTTGGCAAATCGGACGTGTAAAACAGCTACCTACTAAGATGGGGCTAGGTTATCGGAGCAGATTAGCAGGTCCCTCGTAGGGAATTAGGACCACGAATTGCTAGTTCGATGGAAGCACTTGCGCAGGTCCTACAAACAGCCGAAAGCCCGAATGTCGCCCATTTTCACGGCATTCGGGGTTTGAGGTCTTACGAAGGACTCCTGCCAAGTCTTGTGGCAGGACTTTCATACGAGCTGACTCTAATACGGCGTATGCCATACGCAAAATAAACTTAGGGAAACACGATGCAGTCGATACGTTAAACACTCCAGTCTTCGCCCTTCGCCTTCGCGGGTTCCGGCATTGCTTGCTTCCCTAAACAAAGCTTGCTTGACTTGGACTCCAACCGGAGTCCATTGAACGGAGAGAGTCCGGGAGACCGCTCATCGGACTCGTCCGAGATTTGCATCTCAGATTTAGAGACCGCCAACCTCAGATTAACTGACCTACAAAGTCCTACGTAGGACTCCGCAAAATGACCGAAAGGCACAATATTATATACCGAAGAGAGTACTCCAAGTGCAACGCGCCCTCGTATCATATATTTGAGAAACCCCGTGCTTCGAAAAGCCTCTCATGACATTACTATCGCTGCTGCTCCATGGAAAGCCTACCACGTATTATGCAATATATATTGCCACCTGCCTTCCATATGTGACACTGAAGAACCGTCAGTGTGAATCTTGCTTGTTTTCACTGCAGAAAAACACCCGGGGATGCCATCGCAACGCCGAGTGGCGTTGATGATACTCTCCCTGTATTACCCTATACGCTGCTTTGGTGCAGCTTCGCTGACCGATTTTCTACGATTGCATGTATTATTCTTGGTATCTAATACAGCTACCAGCCATGCACATGCACGCCTAGCTGTGTTGTAGTACTACTACTACGCGCCGAGGCTGCTAACGTACCGTTATGCGTCCAGCCGGCCGACCACGATTGGTAATCAAAATCTATTATCATCTCTGATTGGTCGTCGTGGCTCAGAATTATGACGCAATATTGTGATAATACTAGTATGGATGTATATAGTGGTTTTACCGACAGATAGCGTTGCAGGATTTGTGCGAGATATGTGATATCCAATCAGAAGGCGCAATTCAAGTAGTTTTAGCCAATGATATCAACGTCTCGTTTTTATTGTATTCCGACTCGTTCCGACATATATTTGTCGGAAAGCCGCAAGGAATATGGATATGCTAATACAAATTTCAATAAAAATAGATATTGTGGACACATTTCAACAATTCCGCCGATTAGGCATTATCCTAGTCTAGCATGGCTTACGTTAGGACTTACATTGGTGGCTAGGACAGCTGACCATACTGACACAAAGCATTATCAAAAAGCAGAAGAGCCGCCATGAGTCTTTCGTCGTTCACCCCTGTGAACACGCAGAAAGCGCGGGCCACTGCGGTTGGCGCTTTCAAGCGGATGCTGGAAGATGAATAGGTTAGTCTCGAGTACTTACAAGCTAGCCTGGAATCCGACTCAACCGGCAAGCGCTTGATAGCAACGATGGATCGGTTTGAGTACTATCTGGCCACTAACGAAGGTAAGAAAGGTAAGCTTGCACGTAATACGGCGGTTTCCTACTTCAGAAATGCTAAGCTTTGGCTTTTCGATCTGTATCCGCACATAAGGAAGACGACGGAGCTACTGCTCCTGACGCAAAACAAAACTTTAGATAAACATTGTTTCAAAAGAGAAAAGGGCGGCTTTATTTATAAGGCGCCTCCCTGTACGAAGGAGGACTTACGTGCTCTAACTGAGTTTGTCTACAGCACCGCGTGCGTGAATTCTGACTACCAGGATGCTGCGCTGGGGTGCTTGATGTGGCACTGCTTCGGCCGATCCTCGGACCTCGGCTACATTCAGAAGCAGCACGTATCCGTGTCGGCGGTCGGCGCCTTCTACCTGCGCCTGCTTCGCGTAAAGACCGCTGAGGAGCAAGGTCTCACGCTCGTCCCCGACAAAGCCGACTTCCTTACCTGTCCCCTCCGCGCGTTGGCTGTCGCTCTGGCTACGCAAGACGCGCCGTGCGGCTCTCTCCTGAGCCAGCTCCCCGAGCTCGTGTCGCACAAGGTCCAAGAGCTGGATGCGAGGAGCGCCTCTTGTGGACCTCTCGGAAGCGGAGCCGGCATCCCTTGGTGTCGCGCTAGCGGCTGCGGCCACCGGCGGCGCCACGCCCCCACCAAGCGCTGCTGCTACCGCTGCCGCCCCAACGTCTCCCGCTGCTGCTGCTCTCCGTGAAAAGCAGCCTGGACAAGGTGAAGATGGTGTGCAGGCGTACGTCAACCGCTTTTTGAACCGCGTCGCCGACCCGTCAGGTGCTATCGGCGACTTGACGCCGCACTCATTCCGAAGGGGAGGTGCGCGGCACGCGAACGCGGACAAGAAGCTGGCGGCGCAGTGGATCTTCGACAGGGGTGCCTGGGAAATGAGCAAGGTTAACAAGGCCTTTGCGTACGTGTTCAACACGCCGCAAGAGGACCGGAAGGTAGCGCGCGTGCTGAGCGGCTGGGATGTCGACGATGATCCAAAGGTCGTCGACGTCGAAACGCTTGACCACACGACGCAGGAACACCTCGCGCGCTTCCAAGAGCTCCTGTACAGTACATGCATGGGCCACAACGATCGCCGGTTCTACATCAGTCGCAAGGTCCTTGCAGTACTCACCGCGTACTTAATCAAGTACTTCCCGCAGCTCAAGGCGCTGTCGCCGGGCGCACCGATCGTGACACGCGTAGAAGAGTGTCTGGACGTCGCTGGAATCCCGCGAGCCGACCTACTGGCTTGGTCTGCAGCCCTGAACCGCTCGCCGCCTCAACCTGACACGAAGCGCAAGCATGAAGAAGAGAAGCAGGAGCAATGTCGGGGGTGTCATCATGAAGCTATCATTAAGGAGCTTATCGCGATGAACCGCGCGTTGAACGCTCGCCTGACGGTCGTGGAGGCCGCCCTACTAAAGCCTAAACAGATTCAAGCACACACTGAAGAAACACAAGCACCCGTTGCGTTAGAAGAGCAATCCAAACCCAAGCGCAGGAAAAAGTCTGCTACGAACCTTTCGACGACGTGGTACGAGTGGTACACGCGGATGTCACGCGTCTGGGACTCCACGACCACCAGAAGAAGTCCGAGTCGCGTCACGTCGTCGCCTTCATGAAGATCTTCCTGGATGGCGGCTTTATCCTCGACGTCTCCTCGGACGACTACAAGGCTCAGGCGCTGGACGTTGGCACGCGCGCGGAGGCAGCTCTGCTGCGGTTCTTGGCGTCCCGCGGCATCAAGGCGAAAGGCTCTGGAAGCGTGCTCCGCGCGCTGCGCCCGCTGCGCCCGCTGCACAAGACCGGTGTCTTAAACGAGCGTATTGCGGCATACAACCGTCTCGTCGCGATCGGTAGCATCAAAGACCCTGCTCCTGTAGACACGCATATCATCCTTGCCGCTGTTGGTCACGTCTAGGCTGTTAAATGTCTCCCTTGCAAGTACAAAGCAGATAAAGCATTACACAAGACTATTAGCCCATGGCAATTACTCTGCGAATGCACCAGCAGTAGCATCTCGGTAGCAGCAGCCCACACACGCGTAGGGTACACGCGCACAAGCAGAGACACACGCAGCGCAGCGCCACACCAGCCGTGATGATTAGCGCCGACCCGAATTGAACGGGCGTCTCCAGAGCCAAAGCTCGGCGCTCTTCCTTTGAGCTACGGTGCTGTAGAAGGGGGGGGCACGGTTGGTCTTGCTGCGTTGCGCTGTGTGCTTGACGGCGGGACTTGATCGGGAGATTTGACCACTAGCGCTTTGAAAAAGAAGACTGAGGGCCTTAGGCTTCTGTCGGCTTCGGTTGGCGACGGCTCAGCTGGATCACGACAGTTGGCATATGCTGATTGGCTAATAGGTCAACCAACCAGAAGTACATAAGTCTGCTATTGGTAGATTACTAGACCAATAGGATGTCACAGCAATGCACTGCTGACAGAGTTTGCTCTAAATAGATTGTGCCCCCCCCATGGGATTCCCGGCCTCATTAATGAATTTGCTCAGTGGGGTGTACATCGCTCCGGGGTCATAAAACGCATGCATATCAAAAAAGCCGATATTCTCGGCCCACCAGCCTCTAGAGGCGATTTCCTAGCGGCTATGGGCACCGTATGAAAGCTGACTGGATCCACCCAAACAAATCCCTAGACCTATTCTACCGTATGTATTGTTTTAATTCCGATTTTGATCTGTTTCCGATTGTGCACTGGCTATGATAACTATCCTAGCTGTCGGAATATGTACGGAAGTCGGTACCGTCGCGATATGGCAGCATCCCGGTAAACGGGTTGCTTTGGGGCAACACGAACCCCATTTAGTGAAATGGGATACGGACGCCCCCCACCCCACCCGCCGAAGTGGACTGAATACTCCACTGCGTCTATATAAATGCCATTTGTCGCTAACGTAGTATATAGTGTTGTTGTATCCCCCCCTCTTACTGCTGCTCTTTGGTACGTCGATTGTCACGACAGACATCTTGTTCGTGTTTTTTTGCTGGAACACCCCGCAGCTAAACAACCTCGGCCCCTTGGTACTCCTGCTGTAAAATGTAGCATTGAGTGAGCCTCGCGCTCGCATTCGCTCGCCCTTACCCGTGCTCAGCATTTTGGTCTCCCTAAAGCGAGTGGGTTGCATTCCGCAGCCACACCGCGCTTGCAGCCCATGGTGGTGGTGCCAAGCGCTCACCAAATGTTTGGGCGTTCCGGCCCGTGACGCTTTGTATGACTATGGCATCGACTATTGTAGTTCCCTAGACAGCTTGCTCAACACGCACGCTACGCCTTGTATTGGCACCTCATTGTTCCTCAAATGCTTTAACGTTATAAGCTGCTTTGCATTAAGGGTATCTCGCCACGGCAAACGCTAGTCGAGTACGCAATCCACATAGAGGTACTGCTTCTTTGGCTGTGGCAGCCCACACCTGTGACGCTCTTGCTCATTCCCCGTAAACCAGGCTTTGCTGCTCATTAAAACAGTGTATCGTCGTGATAAAAGACCAGTGAAATGTCAATTTATCCTATAATTCGAAAGCCTGCAACCTAATTCGTCGCTCAGCTTTGCAAACGCCTGTTCACTGTGAGGATAAAAGTTGCCCTCGAGATAGTAACATTAACATCGTTAGTAGAAGGTGGCACTGGATAATCTCTACACTAAGTTTAGCATACAATCACACTGTTGGTGCTTAAAACCAGGTAAAATGCGTGTTTTTTGGCCCTGGAAAACGGTATGATAGATGTAAGCCCTAACGTCTTCTAAATCTCTGATTTGCTTCCTGTAAAGAGGGTTCAAGAGGACATAAAACACATGAATATAGGGGGGGCTTCGCCCCCCCCAAAAAATATCATTCTCAAGAAATTGTAGGACATGACACTCTGTATTCCTAGAAATGCAGGACTTCGTGTCCGAAATTTTCCAATTGCAAAGGCAAATAATCAACTCAAAACAGGGATTTAGTATAGTGTCAGTACGTGCCAGTTTTACCACTTTTGCAGGACATTTTTCCTGCCCGCGTCAGTATTCAAAAATCCATATAACCCCCCCCCTCAATCAAAAACATGGCAAGTGTCGACTGGGACCAGCTAGCGAAAAAAGTTAGCGAAATCAAGAGCAATACCGGTCGCGAGCAGTGTACCAGAACTCCTACGGCCGCTTCATTGTCTGAGCCATCGCCAACAAGGCCCATCTCGGGACCCCCGAGTTCGCAGCGAGGCTAGGGAGCGTTGCTGGATCAACACCTGTGAACCACCGCAAAGCCCCGGGACTTACGCCCCTATTTATTAACCTCCGTACAACAAGGAGCAACTCGTTCTCGTCCTGCTACTCGCCCTCGCCGTTCTGCGGCTTGTTCTCAACCACCAGCTTGTTCTCGTCCGACATCTCATCCTCGTCCGGCAGCTCGTTCTTGTCCGACAGCTCGTTCTCGTCCGACAGCTTGACATCGTCCGCCAGCACCTCGCCGTCCTGCTGCAGCTCGTCGTCGTCGTGCTGCAGTTTGTCATCGTCCGGCATATCGTCCTCATGCGTGAACTCGTTCTCGCCCGACAGCTCGTCCCCGCCCGGCAGCTCGTTCGTCTGACGACTCGTCATCGACCAACAGCAACTCGTCGTCGTTCACCAGGGCGTCAACGACCGCCAGTTCGGCTTCGTCGGACAGCACGTCGCGCGCTGCTGCAATGGCTGCTGGCGCCCCCACTTGCTCTCGTCTGGGTAAATATCCGCTAGAGCTAGCCCGAAGATCCTTTGTGTGCGGTTATCCGCATCGTTACCACTTGGGGTTGTCGTTGCCGCTTGGGATTTACAATGTGAAAAGGCTCGGTGGATTTCGCCACTGAACCCATGTCCAGCTCGCCCGTATCAATCAAGGATGCTGGCCCATATCAATCAAGCACACTTCAAGCGCATCATGGCCGCGATGGATCTGGACCACCGACTGTCGGACACGAGCCGTGCGACGAAGGAAGCTGAGCCCGAGGTCCGGGCGGAGCTCAGACCATGGGCTTGAGCGAAGTTCGTCTGGGACCCGAGATGTCTGGCGTTGGGTATCCCAAGTCTGAGCTGAGTCCGGAAGCTGAGAGAAGCTACGCGGAGTCTGCGCTGAGCCTCGAGTGTGATGATCGGAGTTCCCGCTCAAGCCGAGAAGCTGAGCGGAGCCAGGTGGAGTCTGAGCTCAACCTCCCTAGTAGTTATGGAGCCGTCGCCCAAGATGCCGAGCTGAGTCGAGGAGCAAGCGCCCGAGCGGGGTCGTGCCGAGCCCGAGTCTAGCGTCTACTGTGGTCATGGGGTTTTCACTCAAGTCGACAAGTTGGGCGATGATCGAAGGTCTGAGCGGAGTGATGTGAAGGCCAAGCCCAGCCTCGAATGAGATGTTTGAGGTCTTTGCCCAAGTCGAGAAGCCGAGCGGAGTGTTGCAGACCTGACCTGAGTGGCATGGACCTGAGCGGAGTTGTCGGAGTCCAGCTGAAGTGCCGGGTGAAGAGTCGCTGGACCTAAGTCCAGACAGTGGTACTGACGACGAAGTGGGTGGTACCGGCGAGTACACTCATGCGGTGTATCAGCCAGGAATCAGCCTACATTGGGTGCGACTGCTCAAGATCGCGGACACTTCAAGCGGATCCCAACGGCCTCCAGCGGCTCCAAGACGACACGTGCCGACGTGGAGCCGCAACATTGGCCAAGACCAAAGGTTTCGGGCGGATCGTCAAGGGCGCCCGGTAAGCATACAGCCGACGCTCTTCGCGCAGCCAGTCAGTGTGTACCCAGGGGGATATTGCGCGAGTCCTAGTTTGTGCATGTGTAAACATTTAAACAGAGTTCGTTTTGCCCCGAAGGACGCGAGTGGTGGAGGTCTTTGGCCAGAAGGTGTCTTGGCGATCATCCACACAAATTCAAGCTAACATATCAATGTTGTCAGAGCGCTTCGGTGCGACGGCAGTGCGGTTACTTCATATTACGGTTACATCTTAGGGTGTATTTCATATTTTCGGGCGGAAGGTGATTGGTTCTATGTGCTAGGGGACATTGGCGTTCCCCAGTGCATTATGTGATTATTAGTATCGGTTCATTGTGGACCTGGTGCGCGGGTAGTCCCAGCGTGTGTGTGAGTACCTTGGATTCGGACTAGGCTCAAATCGAGTCACTAACTCCAGACCGGGTGGTTGCTTGACTCGAAGAGAAGAAAGGAGAAGCTGGTACGAGCGTCGCCCAGGCTCAGAGAAATAAAGGCGAACTCGGCCCAGACCCAGGCCGACCGGGAAAGAAGGGGTGTTGTGGTCCTGAGCCGGAACCAAAGAGAGGAAGTGGGGACTATATTGTGTGGGGTGTTGTGTTCATTAAGGAAGACCCGGGGCATTTCGGGCTGTGGACACGTGCGGACTGAGACTTGCCAAGTCGGGAGCAAGTTTCGTCTGGGAACACCTCCGGAGACCTTCAACATCGACAGCAGCTGTTGTGGCCGACGCGAGTCTGGGCCCACAGCGTAGCCGTGATCAAAAGAACGGCCAAGGGGATCGCAGCGTGAGGAACACACACCTCGCCCGACCCGAGTCGGAGCTGAGCCAAGCGTTCAAGAGGCTAAGTCCAGCGAAGTGGAGTGGGAGTGTTCGCTTAGTGGGAGGAGCTGAGTGGAACTCTTGCAGCACTAAGCAGGGCTGAGCCAAGTGGTGCAAGGGCTGAGCGAAGGCCAAGGTCGAGCGGTCTAGCAACCTGAGGGGCAAAGAGCACGGGCGCTTCGTCACACGTGGTGCGCGTGCCCGGATCAGGGATACGACTTTGGACGAGTCATGGCGACTGCTGCTGATTCGAAGGAAACGAAGACTGGAGGTGAGAAGAGCGAGGCTTCGCTTCGGCGAAGTTTGAGAGTGGCTGGATTGCCAGCCGAGGTGGTGCCGACGGAGTCTGGGACGCCCAAGCCGAGATGATCGACTGCGGGAGCCCGGACACACAGTGCTGAAGGGGAACCTGCGCCGTCAGGTGAGGCTGCGTCAAGTGCTGAGCCGGAAGTACCACCAACGACGGAAACGGCCGTGCCGCCGCCGATTTCGCCTGCGAGGAAGAAGTCTGAGGAGGAACAAGGTGGTGGAGCGAGTGCTCAGTCAAGCGCTCGTGTTGGTGAGAGTCCAAGCCTGAGAGAGCCTGCTGTGAGTCGAGAGTTGACGCCGCGCAGGACTTCTGAGGCCACGACTACAACTTCTCAGCCGCAAGGTGCTAACCCAGAGCCAACTGCTGCGAATCTCCGCAGTGGCCAAGCCGAGGGTGGCGCACTCAGCGTGCTGGGAAGTCGAGAGATGCAGCTGCGAGCTCAAGGTGCTGCTGGGACTGGGACGGGCCCGGTCCAGTTCAGCTTTACTCCGGGAGCTGGATACTTCGGAGCGTCGAGTGGAGGCGGAGCCTGGTCATGTTCACTCTGGCCCCCTACCAAAGGCTGAGAGGAGTCCCCGAAGGAGTGGAAGCTGACAGCCGCGCCCTGGCCCAGCTGGCTGAGCTGTCGGAGGTCGAGATGCTCGCGTACGGCCGGACCCAGTTCGAGATGTGGATGTCTGTGCCCGCTGGAGTCGCGCACCCAGTGGATGTGGCCTATTCGCCACGTCATGGAGGCTACGATCTCTGGGGTTTCATCCGAGCGGCGGGAGCTACGGCCAGACATCTGATGTCTGTGACTCGGTCGCCTGCTGCGAGATGGCTGAACGTGTTCCATGCTGAGCGTCGACGGATCCCTGTTGTCTCTGACCTGAAAGCAGTGCGTGTGGCGCTGAGACAGATGCCGCCCATTGCATGCGTCGCTCTGTTGCAGACGATGCTGCATAATGCTGACTATGAGTTCCTGAACCAAGTCCCAGTATGGTACACGCTGTCTGAAGTTGTTGGAGTCCCGGACTCGCAGATCCGTTTTGAGATCGAGCGCATCGCCCGATTCATCGGAGCTGAGCTCAGTGTGACGAGGTCGGTGAAACCTTTTACGCCCGGGTGTATAGCGGTAGCCCAGAAAGGAGTTACGGTACGAGCAAGCCTTTTTGGGAAGGTAAACCCTGAACGCAGGCTCTGGGGAAAATGCGGCCAGGGTGGCGTGGCACCTTGTGAATCCCTATCGGTGTCGTTTATCTTCGGGGAGCCTGGATCGATCCCCAGGTGAGTTGTCTGTGGGGCTGAAAGCCTTGAGTACGTTGAGCGTAACATTCACTTGTCTGAACGCACTTCTCCGAAATGGCTGAAACACGTAAAAAGTGAAGGATCAGGGTTACTATCACAAGTTAGAACCCCAGAAATGCACACCACTTTCAGATTACCAATACAAATGCTGAGTTATACACAAAGACACAGCCGCCACTTATTCTTAGACCCTTGGGCGGTGGGTCGTACACCAGTCAACTAATCTGCGTTCAAGGTACTGGTCAACCTTGAACGCACTTTCACACGCGCACAACCCTCAGATGAGGGAAATATACAGACCAAATATTCCGATCGCAGTCAATTAAACTATTCTCGGGGGTGACTGCTACCAAACCACCCGAGATATCAATCGTTAACATGAAATGGGACACCACCCTTACCTCAACGCAATGGGCCCAACTGGGAAATGGAATACGTGGATCACTTCAGCCGGAGCTGACTGATCCCCACGTAAATGGACTTGAATGTGTGTGGGGAGCTCCGCACTGCCCTTGTCCTTAAAGACAGCGGACCCGATTCCTCGACGACTTGCGCAGTAGGGGGTAAAACGAAGGGAAAATATTATAAACACAATAAAATCACTGCATACCACAACAAAACACTGACCACCACAAGAGTATATGCCAGGCGCATCGTCGTCTGTTCGCGGCGTGGTGATGCAGAGGTGGATACAGTATTTTACATTCGAGTAACATCGACCTGTGTAGTTCACACACAAAGCTTTACGTCGCGTCCCCCCGATGCCATCGCGCAGTGCTCGCTCTCAGACGCCCGCGTGCAGGATGCGCGTGTCCAGCCCGAAGGATATGCCGGCCAAGGAAGCGCCCATCCACGTAGGTAAGAGCAAACGCCCCAGACCCCACCACGCAACCTTTATCCTCTCAGAAGATATTATACTCACGTTTGGCTCGGTATTTGTATACATATTCAGGTATGAAGCGCACATTGGCTCTAATCAAGGCGGCCAAGAACACCACCGCCTAGGAAATGACCCCGCTGGTGCTCCACGCAGCCAGCAAGCTGCGCGCGTTGCTGTCGTGACCGTTGAGAAGGTGCTGCTCTCACAGAGCACGTCCCAGCCTACGCTGCTGGCCAAGACCAACGCTTACGCACAGGCGGGTACTGCTGTCGACCATGCGGCTGTCAAGACGGACGAAGGCTACAGAACTGGTCCCCGGGGAGGGGAGATACCGCTGAAGACACTGATGCAGGCCCCACCGCCCGACCGTGCATGCAGAGGTGTTAGCGCATGCTGGACGAAGCTAGCGCCGACCCTTTGGAGTCTTTGGTGCGGCCACGTCGTGCTCTGGGACCCGCGCATGGCGGAGTTTGTGGGCGTCGAGGACGGCGCGTTAGTGGCCGACTGCTGGCCGACTTTGTGCCGGGCTTGCAGCACAAGCGGCAGGTCGATAAGTCGCTTGAGAACAGACAGCCCAAGCTGCCAGATGTGGAGGTGGGCATCCCGCCGCGGAATACCCAGGGCAGCAATGTGCAGACGGTGGCCAACATGAAGTCGCCGCTTGCCAAAGACGACACATGCTCGGGTCAGGTGGTCCATCAAGCAGAACGGTACGCCACTGTAATGAAGCCAAAGCACCCACGGCAAGGAGGCAATTGTTTAGATGCAGCACTCAATATGTAGTTGCAAGCATGTCAAATGTGATAAGGTAATCTAAGGCTGATGAACGCTGATAATCATGTTTGATGCAGCATTAACTTGTGTTTTGCTGCGATTCAATATAGTTTCAGCTACAGGATGCAGAGATCAATCTATCTGCAGTGCGTGACCAGCATTTCTCCGCCTACCGACAGCCGGTTCGTCGACGCCGTCTGAACCTCGTCTCCGCTTTCGGCCCCGGTTCGCTAGAAGGCGCTTGCCGTCGGCGTCAAAACTGCTGCTGAGCTGCTGCGCATACAAGAGGTGTGTGCAAGTCTTGAACTTGCCATGGTAGCGGCACGGACAAAACCCAGCGTCGACGTCGACCGGCCAACCTGTGCTCGGCTGGCTCTCCGTCTCCATTCTGGCATAGTTTATGCCAAACTGAGCAGCAACCTCGACCGCTTCTTCGCTCCGGTTTCTAGCTGGAATGTAGAATCGCTGCGGAAGCACCAACACGAGGCGAACTATACTTGCTGGGGTGTCGTCGAGGAGATAGCTGATGCTGCCGCGCTCGTACACATGCTCGCGCAAGTGTCCACGCTTGCGCAACGCCGTCACTCTGGCAAATAGACGACGACTGTTGGCTGGCTTGCTGTTGAAGTTCAGCTTGGCCATGGAGCGGTGGCTGCAGCAGTCACGTAGGTGCTGAAGCAGTACGGCCATCTTCAACTTGCGCCGCTGAGTGTAGTCGCGTTTCAACGCGCGCTTAAAAGTCTCACAGGGGTTATTTGTTGTGGCGAACCCTGCCGGCGTCACGTAGCATTGCCAGTTGCTGTAGTTCCCGTTCAACCACTGCCGAATCATATAGGCGCGGAAGGCGTCGAGACCAGCGTGGGCGCTCCATGTGAACAGCATCTATTCCTTCCTCAAGTTGTATTCTTCTCCAGATGCAGAAAAGTGCAAGTCATAAATTCCACTGTAGACTTCAGCTATCAGCTCACTCGACAACCCACTCGTGCGCTCCTTCAAGCCTTTTGTATTGCTGGCGTGAATTCAACATCATAGTTTCACAATAATTCATCGTATTGTCGTACGAATCGTGTTGGTGCCTAATCAAACTTGCCCGCTTTGGTTGATTGCAGGTGACGCCGCTCTGCACGAACCAGCGCCTGCGAGGTCCACAACAGAGCCGCAGTGATTCCGTACGTAGCTACGCACACCAGGCAAAAATCGCGCAACACGAATGCCAAAATGTAGGCCAAGTACACCATCACCACCTGCAACAGTAGCAGCAGCAATCTCTGTCAACCCCATTTCAGTAGTTTGCTATCTTCTGTCTGCATAGGCTCACGCACCGCGCCACAACTCGACACCGCCAAGTAAAATTGTGCATGGTACGGCACCTTCCGCAGTACCGGGTAGAGCACAAACAGCGAGTACGCCAACACCCCCAAATGCGCATTGGACACGTCCAACACCGAGTGCTTCTCTACAAGCCCCAAATGCGACAGCAAACTACTGTACTCGCTCGTCAGCACCTACATCGACATCACTCTCAACAATAAGTACAGTACCCCCCAACTAACTGCATTGCGATCGTCCGGCAAAACTTCAACTGTGCTGCATCGACCTCCGAGCACGAGAACGCCTCCGAGTCGCACAACGGCGCGTACTCGTCCCTCAGCGCCATCTTCTGCGTCTTCACATGGACCCCGTACGCCGACACGGCGACTCCCAGCGCGCCCAGCACGCTCAATCGCACCCCGTCTCGGTTTGTACCCATCTTCCTCAAGATCGATGAGATCCAAAACAAAAATAGTCCCATCACAAAAAAAACTCAAATAAGTACTAGTACTACCCAAATTCTGCAAAATGGTCTTTCGTCCGACCCAATAATCCACCAAGCGCCGCGAGCCAATGGCCAATTAATTGGTCATTTCCGCATTCTCATGGCGCTGCGCCAGCTGCTGCTGGCTGCCGAGCGCGACCGCCAGCCGCTGGACGGCGCGTTCCTAGCGTTCGCGCGCGCGCTGCGCCTGGCGCCTCCAGCTGCAGTCGAAGACGATGAAGAAGCCCCAGTCCAGCCCTCGCAGGAAGACGCGGCCGCGCTGCGCGCGCAGTTCCTGGCCGTGCACGCGCAGGGCGAGCTGCTGCTGCGCGTGTGGCCCGAGCAGCACGGCCTGGGCAGCCGCTGGGAGAAGCGCGAGAGCTTCGCCGTGTTCCTGCACGTGGCCGTGCACCTGCTGCAGCACCAGACGCAGCTGGACGCCGCCCAGGCCGAGGCCTTCGCGCTGCGCGTGGTGCGCGAGAAGGCCGCGCAGCTCGAGAAGCTGCTGAGCTGGAGCGACAAGCCGCTCATCGAGTTCTGCGCGCTGCAGCTGCTGGGCTGCGTGGCGCGCGTGAGCGGCGCGGCCGCGCGCGAGCTCGTGCGGCTCTTCAACTTCCAGAGCGCGGCGTTCGTCAAGCTGGCCACACGCCGCTGGAAGAAGCCCGAGGTGGCGCAGGACGAGGAGGGAGAGGAGACGCTCAAGCACGCACCCTTCCAGCTGCGCGCGGCGTACGTGGACCTGGTGCTGGCGCTCACGGCGTGCCCGGACAAGAGCGTGCACCGCTTCGCCACCAAGGAGGGCGGCGTCACGGCGTCGCTGTTCAAGAGCATGGACGGCGACTCGGCCGAGATGCTGACGATGATCTTCGAGAGACTGGGCGAGCTCGTGCTGCACAACAAGGAGGTGGAGCACAAGAGCAAGCTCGTGGTGTTCAATGCCACGTGCGTGCACCAACTGCTCGCGCTGCTGCAGGTGGAGGACGACGAAGGGGTGCGCGATACGGCGCTCGGAGTGCTCAAAGCGCTGTTCTTCGACGACAGCGCGCTGTACATCGTGCCGCAGAAGCAGGCGCTGAGGCTGTTCCTGTCCAAGTCCACAGCGTCGAGCTCGGCGCTCCCGGAGGAAGAGGTGACCACGTCCGAGCAGGCGTACGCACTCAAGGTGATCCGAAATGCCGTCGGAACGATCGGCGTGAATGAGCTGCTCCGCAGTACTCAGGCGCAGACGCTCGTCATGCAGTTTCTGGAAAAGTACCCCGGGTTTCTGTCCGAGTACCTGGCGGCATTGTCGTTTCAGCTGGAGCCCATGCCCGTGTATCGTTGGTTCTGCGTGGCCTCGCTAGTGCAGAAGTTGCTGTCGTGCTCACTGGATGCTGTCGCGAATGGAATGCCTGCAGCTAAGAACCCAGACGCGCTGTCGTCGTGGTGCTCTGCGCAGTCTCTCGCCTCGCGGCTCATTGCTCCGGGTAACTTCCGCAAGGAGCTATCTCGCTGTATCCAACACACCAACAACCTGGTTATCTATTCGTCGTTGGGCGTGATTGAGGCGACGCTGAAGCGCTACGTGCGCCTAGCCTCATCCATGGAATCGCTGGGTCTTGCGTCGGAAGTGCAATCTGAGCTGCGCTTCCTACTTCCGAGCCCGGAGGCGCTTGTCTCGTTGCTTCTCAAACTGTGTGCGTCTCAGGAGCGAAGCATCGCGCTTATTTACGTGCGTGCTCTCACAGTGTTCCGCCTGTACCTTGAGTGCCTACCGCAGGCGATGCGGGAAGTGAAGGTTGATTTTACGAAGACTCTTGCTTGGCGTTACTTGGATGGCCACACTGACGAAAACGCGGAGACCTTGCCGGCACCCATGCAGAGCTTGATCGTCGGTGAAATGCTGCGGTTCCTGCTTGCAGTGGATACCCCTCGTCTTCGCTTTCTGTTTACTAGCGGCAATTCCGGCAATCGCTCGAAACTGCAGCAAATGTTGCTGTTGTACGTTTCCACTCCAAGTGAAGCGGTTCAGAAGCTTGCAGGACAGGTTCTTCAGCGAACCTTGCTGGCTTCAGACATTTTTGGCCAGGAAACACAGCACCGGCAAGGAGGGACCGGAGGACGCGCTAACGAAGAGATTGGGTTTTGGCTCGAGAGTTTGCGGCACGGCGGAGGCAAAACTTGCGCTGAATTTACGGAACAGCTCGCGCGTGCGGTGATGTCGGACCCGCTGATGTATGTTGCTATTGGAAGACGTGTAGTCACAGATGCATCTTCGCCATCGTCGTCGTTGAGCCCAATCACTGTGGCCCTGGTGGGATTCTTGAGTTCACGCGGTGGAGCTGCTGGAAAGCCAGACCTGTCAGCATACCGTGCTGACCTGCGAGTTGTGGCATTTGCGGTGCGCATTTTGCTTGCGCTGGTGCCAACAAGCAAGCATCCGCACCAACTTGTCGCCCTGATTGCAAGCAACGATGCGTTTGCTGATACGCAGCAAGAGGAAAACGATGAGACATCCAGTGATGACTCAAACGGCAAGAAGCGGAAGCGACCTTCTGGTGCTGATGACATCGAGCGCGAGGATGATGCGTACGTGTGGCTTAAGGCTCACTGTGAGGCTCTGGTTTCCGGAAAGCCTGTTTCTGGCAATGTATCCACTCCGAAGAAGAAAGCGCGTGCAGCTAACAGCAAGTGGTACCGCTTTGGTGACCCTGATGCCCTCACGGGGGCATTAGTGGTGATGTCGCCAGCGGATTTCACTTCGAAGTGGGAGCATATTGTAAGCAACTGTGCAGACATCGAAGAATCATTCAGCCCGGTCCTCCACTATTTGTCAGCACGAGGAGATGTGGATATTCTATCGCTCCTGACTTCAAAGGCTCAAAAGAAGCAAGCGTCTTCATCAGCCGCAACAGAGACATTCAAGAAGGTTGTACCCGCGCATATTGTACTCCAGCACATTATGTTCAGTATTGCGAGCAATGATACCAAGAAGCAAGATTTGGCGATCGCAGCGGTGTCCGACTTGGTGAGACGTCGGCTTCGTGATGATCAGTTGGCTGCGACGGACGCAGCGCGTATGTGCGAGCAACTGCTGTTCTTCCTTTCATCAAGCCACCCTGGAGTTTCCGACGGAGGCTACTCGCACCTTTGTGAGCTACTCCTGCTTCTACATTTCAACATTATTGCCTCCAATGAGTGTACTGTTGCTGATGTCGTGGAGCGCATTTTCTTCAAATTGCGAGCAGTGGTTGCCAGTACTTCGAACAAGTTGTTATGGCGACAGCTTTCTGCGGTGGAGATCGTTACACTGCGAGTTTACTCTAGCAACGCGCCAGAAGCGGACCTGTCGTTGCTGTGTGATTTTGGTGGTCTGTTTCAACGCGCTGGTGTCCCGCTAGTGGCTATGTTGTCTTCGCGTATTCCTCCCAGTGCCCGACTTCCAGTGCTCGATGGTTTGCTGACCCGGTTCAACGTGGCAACCTGTAATGCTCCTCATGTGGTGCTTGTCGAACGTACCCTGAAGTCTCTAGGAAATGAGGGTGAGAGTGGAGACTCTAGCAAGCAATACTTTTCCTTCTCCGACTACAAGCGAGCAAAGTTGCTTACGCGAAAGCTCTGGCAGCTTCTTACCAGCAGAAACAGCGAGCGACAGATGCCGTTCTATACGACCGGATTTTCAGTACTGGGTCACCTTGGAGGTATCGATGCCTCCACAGCCGTTGACGCTATTCAGAGCTCACTGGTATCGCTTGTTGTTCAAAGCGCACGTACACCCGTGCAGTGCTCGTCTAAGGTGCTTCGAGCCATTGTTGCGGCAATTCAGAGTGGCAACGACGCTGCAGCGTTCCCGACGATGTTTGAGCAAGAACTAATGAAGCGCCTTCGACAGGAAAAGGATGAGCGAGTGCGGTGTGCTTTGGTGAACGCGGTTTACAATGTGTTCACGCGGATCACGAGCCCAGGATTACGTCAGTTCGCCGTAAATTTGGCCCCTGTTTGCTACGAGCGTGTGCTCTTGGGCTCCCAGAAGACTCACACGGCAGAGCTTGCACTTTTGAAGCATGTTTCTGCCGATGCGTCGATAAACGTGGATACCAATGCATTTGCTGGCGAGCTTGTGAAGAAGCTAGCAAGATTGGAGAACGATGGTGCATTGCCGCCGGCCCACCTGCTGGGACTGCTGCTTTTATTGCGAGGCGATGACACCAACAAAACTGTGGACGTAAGTTTGCTGCTGGTCCTAGTTCGGAGCTGTCTGTTTGCCCTGAAGACTGTGCAAGTTGAGGAGGACGGGTCGTCGATCAACCGCGATAGCTGGCGCAGCCAGTTTGACGTGACTGTGCTCATGATGGAAACCGTGGTCGGATCTATTACGTGCCAAGTTCAAGAGAAGCAGTTGTCTGCCTTGAAAATTGTGCTCCCTCTACTGACCGAGGCGCGTGAAGCTATCAAAACAAGTGGCTCTCAGTCTGCTTTCGAGGCTTTTGTGAGCTTGACTGCAGCTCTGCTTCGTCTGGTTGGAAATGACGCGAATGGATTGGATTACGATTTCGTTGCCCATTTTGATGCCCTCGTGCTACACAAGTGCTTCACTCCAACCCTGCAGAACACTGACAACAGTGCTGTGCGACTTCTGATTGTTCGCGTTGTCTCGCGACTCACTCGTATCACCGGCAACTACACGAGGTCGTTGTTGCAGACGTTGCTGAACGCGTACTCAATGTCGCTTTCACCTTTCGACCGCAGCTTGCGGGTACTCTTTGAAGATTTTGAAGCCCAGGGCTCTGGACTTACCCTTGTGAGCATGGGCTTCCGCTTTGGTGCATTCTCGACAGTTTCGCCGTCAGCAGAAGCTTCCTTGTCGTCTAAGCGCTCTCACAACGACCTGGTTGATGATTCGGCCTGGCTCCTTGGTGGAGGTATTGAGCAAAACCGTGTTCGTGCTACGATTGAGTACTTTCCGCTGGATCGTGAGGTTTCGACCGAGGGCGATGCATTCCTCTTGAACCTTGATGACGAACTTCCTGTTGAAAACGGTAACGACAACGTCGAACTGACCCTAGCGGACAACGGCGAGAAGGAGGCCGAAGCTTACGATCCTGCGTTCCTTCTGCCGATGCTGTCGCACTTCGTCTCCTCGTCGGATTTGCCGGATGGTGGCATTGTGCAGCAAGGCTTGCTTGGCATTACCATCCGCGCCATATCTTCGGACGTCGAGAAAATCCGTGAATACGCGTACGGCATCCTAGCGCATCTGCACGAGGCTCTGCAGGCTACTACGGAAACCTCAAGCGATTTTAAGGCGGGACGCCAAGTCCATCTGTTACTGGATGTTTTCCGCCGTGGCGTCGAGGAGCAGCTTGAGCAGGTTCCATCAGTGGTTACCGTGTTCCTTAATGACGCGCTCGCTGTGCTGACTCGGCCAACCCACGTGCTGTACCCTCAAGTGAACCATTTCCTGCTGGCTCGTCCTGCGATGGACCTGGCTGATGTCCCGATGTTTTACTCGTTGTTCAACAGCCGGGCTCCGCTGACCTTCCGCCAAGAGCGCTCATGGCTGCTGCACGCGCTTCGCCGTGGAGTACGCAACGACGACGACGTGGCATTGCTTGTGCGCCGTCACGTGCTTCCGATGCTTTTGAGTTTCTACTCCTCCGAGCTGGCTGATACCCACACGCAACCTTTGATCACGAGCATTTTGCTGGCTGCACTTCGTACCCCGTCGGGTGGTGCATACTTGATCACCAAGGCAGCGTTGGTGGAGTGGCTAGCCGCGCAATTCTTGAGGCATGGAGCTGCCTCCTCGTCCACGAAATCGCGCAATGATAAATCGTCGAGATCGATGAAGGCGGCTTCGTCGGCGCTGCTGCTTCCTCTTATGACACTGTTGGAGCAAGTCCTGCAGGATGCAGTTTGGGATGAGCTTGACCCAATCCAGCAGCATGCGACTGCTTTGCAGGCAGCAAATGCTTTCGCATCGTTGCAGGTAGCTCTCGCGGGACGCCGTGCTGGTTCTAAGAATGACCGCGCATTAGTGACGAAGGCTGCGCTCGTGACTGAGCTGGTTGTTCGCCGTGCTGGCTCGGTTTGCTCCGTGCAGTTGCTGCACCAGGCTATTGACGTGGCACGACTGCCTTCTTCGTTTGAAAGCTCAAGTACACGTGCCTATGGCTGCGCTCAGATGGTGGCCAACAACCTCTCCCAATGGCTCCTGCAGCAGCGCCACCACGAAGCGCAGAAACTCCGCTTCCCCGACTGGGCGAAATTGCTACGTCAGGTGGCCTCGACACTTGTCGCCAGCTGCACCACAGCTACGTTGGCCGAGCAACAGCAAGCGAGGGTAGCCCTCGAACAACTCAAGACGGTTCTGGACCAGGTTCCGAGCCTCAAGCAGCTTGTGCTATCTCCGTCAACTCTAAACAAGGAGAACGCATCTACCACCACGTCGGACTACGCCCCAGCACTGCTTTAAAATCAGCAACGATAGATTCATTACTTGTTTATCTCAATAGACGACGCAATGTTTTTCATGTGCAGACCAGCCTGGCGAAGTGTTCGTGTTCTTACAGATCTGGAGGAGACTGGTTGTCTACTAACCTTTGATGCCTCGGGTCTTAGTCAACGTCGTGATAATCGCGAGCGTGGGCCTGCGCAAAGCTCGGGAAGGTACGACGGCGCATCTTGTCGAGCTCGAGGCGCAGGTACTCGATCTCGTCGGTTTGAGCTTTCGCCAGATCGACGAGCTTGCGTCTCACTGCTATGGCCTTGAGTCTCGCAGCGTCACCCCGAGCACCTCCTCCACCTGCAGCTTGTTGGCGCATGGCTGCGCTCGTGCGGCTCGCCAAGATGTCCTCGCGGATCTGCACCTGGGTCTCAAGCTGCGCGACTTGCTGCAGGAAGTTCCGGTTTTCGCGCTCGCGTTCGTGAAGCTGGCGTTCGAGCTGGGATCCTGTGCGTTCAAGCTTCATCAAGGTGGTCTGGTGGTGACGACCCAGGTGAGCCAGCTTGGCCTCAAGCATGGCTGCTTCTCGCTTCTGCTTGTGGGACGTGTCGCCTGTGTGGAAGAGCTCCTGGAGGTCTTTGGTCACGCGCAGCAACTGGATGTCGGTGTATCGCTCGTCCATATCTCGTGCTTGTAGCTCCAGCAGCGCGTGCTCCCATTCCATCACATTGATGTTCTTGCGGAAATCCTTGATGCGACCGAGGATGCCCACCTGGTCTTTGCCGTGCAGCTGGATCACGTCGTTCAAGGCTTCGACACTCGTTCGCGCTACCAGCAGCGCGTCGTCACCCCCACCGCCGACTGGAGTTTCGTCTTGGCCCTGCTTGATCCGAACCAACAAAGGCGCGCTCTCCACCAGAGCCGTTCGACGCTGTGCCAAGGACTCTCGCTCTCGCTGCTGCTTCCGGCGTCGACGATGCAAATCTGACAAGTTCGCGCGGAGTTCGTCGCTCACGGTTTTGGCAAGCGCAAGGAGCTCCGCCTTCTCGCGCACCGCGTGCTCTGCGAGGATTTTCTTGGCTCGAAGCGCGTTCAGGGCGCGCCAGATTCGGTCCTCGACAAGAACGCCTTCAGGACGGTCAGCGATGTAGTCCAGCGGAGTTACCGCGAACTTTTGACTCCCGTTTCCAGTGCCAGTCATGACCCCGCGCTTCGAATGGTCTTGGTGGAGGTTGTCGAGGTGCTGGAACGGGTCGAGGTTGACTTCAGGCTCCACCACGTTGTTCTTGCCTGATGCCTGTCTCGTCAGTAAAGAGCGTGTTGATCCTTCCGCCGAGCTCTCAGCTAGTAGGCGTTGTTTGGCGTTCACCTTAGCTCGAGCAGCAGCCACACCATTGGAACCTGACCGCTTCATGGATTCACTCCCGGATGATCCATCACGAGAAAGCACCAGATCGTCAGGTTTGCGCTTGCGGTACAACTCCACGAGCTGTTTGATGAACTCCGGGGACTCCAGTTGGCTTGTGCTCGCCGTTGGAGTGCCTCCCAGTCCACCACCAGCGCTGCCACTGCTTTGAACCATCTCTTCAAGCTCCCGAACGAAGCTCTTTTCGAGCACCTTGTCCTCTTCCGTGGCGCGGTGCCAGTCTTCACGACAGGCCTCAAGTTGGGCTGCAAACCGGTCGCTCTCAGCTTGAGCGCGTGCCACGGATTCCTGCATGGTGAGTGCCTCCGCTTCGAGTCGCTCCGTTTCCAGCCCCAATTGTTCACGCGCCATGAGCTCTTCACCCAACCGAAGCTCGTAGAGCTCCTGAGCGAGTACAGCCCGCCGTGTCGCCATGTACCGATCACGAAGCGCGCGAAGCTTCTCATCGAACGCGCGACAGAGGTCCGTCACCTCTCCGCGAGTCTTGCGCAGCTCCAAGTCCAGACTCTTCCGATACTTCTCGCGTTCCTCTTCGAACTTGGCTTGAGCAGCTTCAAACTGTACCACGAGCTTCTTCTGCTCGGCCGTCATCTCCTCCGGTGGAATCGTCAGCATCCAAGCCTCCTTCACCAGCTCCTGTGCTGCCAACGGGTCTTTCTTGACCTCCAGCGTGCCGTCCATCATGTCCATGAGCGCTCGACCGCCTACGTCGTCCTTCTTACGAGCTTTCTCCCGCTCCGCTGCCTCAAATGCTTCACGCTCACGCTGCTTTCGACGCTCGGCAGTCTCGTACGGCTTCTGGGTCATCTCTTCGGGAGAAACTTTCAGAAGTGAGTCGGCTTTCTCCTCGGGGGCCAACTGCGGTCGAAACAAGTCGGCAGTGCTTCCTCCAGCGTTGAGTTCTGCCGTGATCTCCAAGATCCGAGCGTTCTTGGCTTCGATTTGCTCAATCGTGTTCTCCTTGTGACGCAACAGCTCCTGGAACTCGGCGTTGAAGGCGCTTTGTAGCGCTCGAGCATACGAACTAAGCAGATGCATCTGGACGCGAGCTTGCTTGCCTGTACGCACGACTGCGGGATGGTACACGAAGTGGAAGCTCGGGATTTTGGCGTAGTCGGAGATATCTGGAGACGAACCAGAGTCGGTAGCTGGAGGGTTTCCCTGCTGGAACTTGGGATGTAGTGATCCTGCGTTCAAAATCCACTGCAGATCAGTGGGAACGGTGTCTTGAAACCTCGCGCGCGAATCGGAACTGTGTCCCTCGCGGTCTTCTTGCTGGTGGTGTGCGAATTCAACTAGGCGAAGCATCGCGATCTGCTTGGCGAGCTTCTGCTCCCGTGGGGTCTGGCGTCGCATTGGGAAGTTGTTGACAAACAGTGGCGTCGACTGTCCCGAGGTTGAGGTCGTCGATGCGGACTGTTGCAGTTGAGGCGGCGGCTGTCCTGCCGGTGGACCAGGCGCCACTGCGGTCGACGTAGAAGTTGGTGGTGACAGTGCTGTAAGACGGACTCCCGGTACCTCAAAAACGTCCCAGAACTCCCGCTTCATCCGCTCACGCACAATTGCCATGCGCGCAAGGTCACGAGCGATTCCTTCACGTACGCGTTGGGCTCTGGCGGCGTGCTGATTCAACAGATTATCACGCCATGCCACATTGAGTACAAACTCTTCGCGCGCGAGTTGCTCGTTTTCAGGCAGTCGTTCATTCTCAGCCAGCATGATCTTCAGTCGCCCCTCAAGGTCGCGCAACTTGACGCGCGTGGCATCTTTGCCACGATCGAATCGATCACGAGCTGCCATCGCTTCAGCGCGAGTTCGAGCCTCCAGGAACGGCGTGCGCTCTTGTTCACGCTCGGGCTGGAAGACGTCGTCATACTTGGCGCATGAAACGATGTTCATGTACAGCGGATTCATGGTTGGATCGGAAGTCTGCGCACCACTGAGTCCAATCGACTCGCCCAGTAGCTCGGGCGACAGACGAACGTCCATGAGGAACACACAGCCATCGACACCCGTTGAAATGAGCTGGATGTTTGCTGGTCCTCCAGACTCGGAGCTTGCCATTGCTTTCGCACAGACAAAGCGCAGAGTTGTTACCGGGCCAGCGTGCGTTTCGAGTGTTCGCTTCTTGGTCGCCTGCATTTCGTCCAGCTCGCCTGCACTTCCGGAAGCTGTCGCCGTCGCGGCTTCCTTTGACTCGTTTTCACCTTCCGCTGGTGTCTTGGTTTGACGACGGGCGTTTACTGCTGAAGCTGCAGCGAGCGTCCAAAGCGTGACTGTGCCATCCATCCCGCCGGTTACGAAAAGCTCCACACCTCCGTCCAGCACGCGCGGAAACACCGCGACTGCCGACACACCGCGCGCATGGGCTCGCTTCGTCAGCATTTTCGACAGGATGCTGATCTCTTCCATCGACTCGCGCAGTACGTCGCGGAACTTGAGCAGTGTCAGCTCCGGTCGACCGGGGGAAGTAGCGATCATCATGTTACTTGAAGGACCAGTGAGGAACCGCAATCGCGCGCACATCGGTAGAACGGACTCTCCAAAGGCGATGACTTTGGGGACGATCTGCAACGCCCCTCTTGGCGAGACATCCCGGCGGCCTGAGGCAGCACTGCCCACGGAAACATCCTCCTGTGGTGGGGCTTGATATCGTGCACTGTAGAACAGACCACGCGAAGAGAAACACGTGAGCGTGAGGGAGCTACTGACGCTAGCCCCCGTTGCATTCCACTGGATGTCCACAACGCGTTCGTTCGGTTCTCTCAACGTGAAATACGCTTGAACAGGAAATCGCTTCTCGTGGTCCATGGACAAGAGGAACACCACGTTGCTGTGCGTTGACGACACCATCATCACCGTCTGGGTAGGGTGGATGGACAAAATGTCGACTGGGGTATCCTCCGGCAGCAATTGTACCGAGTGCTGCGGTAGAATCTCCACCTTGCCCCCTCCACCCACAACTTTCGAGACACACAGCGAGCGCAGTCTTCCTTGGTGGTCTCCGATCATCACTATCGGGTCGCCCAGTTTTGCTGCTAGTGCTGTGATCACCACAGGAGGCGCGGCAGTTGCTGGGTTGGTATTCAGTTCCTGCACTGGTGTGCCAGCGGTACCAGGTCTCGAGTTCGAACCAGCGGGAGCCGCAATAATTGTTGGGTCTTGTGTAAATAACACTCCCAGGTTGACTTCATCGACTGGTCGGCAGTCACGGAGGTTCCAGATCGCAAGCTGCCCATGTAAACCTCCAGTAGCGATCAACGCGTCGGTAGAATACGCCCCACCGAACGGAGTAAACACCGCGCTATCAAGCATCGGCCCCGTCGGGAAACTAGCACACGGTACTACAAGCGCGGATTCATCTCCACGACTGGAACTCCTGCTAGCTGCTTGGCGACGTGAGCTACCGTCGTCGTCGTCGTTGTCTCCGTCTTCATCGTCGTCTTGCAGAACATTCGTCCGCACCTCGAAGATCTTCCCGTTGCGTGTCCCCACGAAAGCCTTGGAGTACGTCGGCGTCGGTGCCATGACTGTCACACTCGACCCCGCGAGACCTCCAGGTAGAACGCTCGTGTTCTGGAGCTCCCATGTATCAAGCTGAAGCCACGCGAGCGCACCATCCGAGTAGGAGACGACGACGGTCTCTGCTGTCACGACAATACCAGCAATGGGACAGCGATCCGGCCGAGCTGCCGCTCGTATCAGCAGCGATACTTTCGCCTCCGCTGCGTCAACGAGGAACAGGTCGCCTGACAGGTTCGCAGCCAGGAATCGACTGCGAGGCAGCCACGCGTGGCAGAAAAACTGCTTGCGCTTCTCCTCCCATTCCACAAGATCTGCCGCGTCGGTGGGCTGTCCGACATTATCATCAGTAGCTGATGAAGGAGCCGGCAGCGTCACGGTCTCCGCTCGCAGCAAACTCGACGCTGCATTCTTACCCGTGTACACTTTCCAGATCTGCAGTCCATTGTCCCCACCCACCACGAGCATATCGATGTTGGCAGGGTCAAAGGACGCAAAGCGAGCTGGACCACGGACACTGGAATTCTGACACCCCGGAACGGGCGCTAGCGACTCGATATCCCACACGCAGAGCAGCGGATCCCTCGCTTCAATGGTTTTGCTGTCTTGAGCTCTCGATACATCGACCTCAGGTGGAGCTGGACGGATACTCAGCAGTCGACGACCACAACGCGAGAACTTGATCAGTGAGTACTCGAAGATGTCGCTTTGAGATTCATTGGGGAGTTCCAGCTTGGATTTGGACTTCTTGTCCGGGTACGAGTACAACGAGATGGCAGCTTCTGGCTCTCGAGCCGCGATGGCGAACGTGGACGTCTTCCAGTTGAAGTCGAAGCACACAATCTTTCGCGGCTGAGGGCGCATGAAGAAGTGCTGGCTGCGCGTGGTGGTGGACGTGAAGTGCAGCGTGTGGCCACTGACGTACACGATCGTGCTCTGGTCTGCCAGTTGTAGAGGTGGCGCGTCCGCCGCTCCCCCGTCATACCCGAAGACATGGTGGACGGTAGCGTCGACCGACATGGAGACGGCTACGGATTGATTCTACCGAAAAATGAAATCTCGGTGAACGCCCCCACGAAAAGATGAAGAGTGAACGGTCACCGTCTCCTCGGATTCCTGACTAAAAAATGTGTATTAGTGTTTTATTTATCACACTCGCTGGTGTTGCTGTCTACTTTGTCTTCCGTTGAATCCGAGTTGCCGTGCGCATCGAGTTTGTCCAAGTCTGCCAGAAGCGCCATACTGTCCAAGCGTTCGGTTTTGCGGTGGCGCTTAGTTCGACCTTCTACGGGGATCTGATCCTCTGCAGTGTTTGTTTGCTGCATGATTGCCATAGCGTCGGCCTCCAGCATCAAGTCGGTGGAGTCGATGCTGCTTTCGCCTGCACTTTCGTGGTCACTTTCACCGTTTTGAAGCCCCGGGTCGTCGGAATCACTCCCATTTGGCATGGCGAAATCCCCCACTGCTACCGAGTCCGCGCCAAAGGCAGCGTCCAGCTTGTGCACCTCAGCATTTTGCTTGACTATCGCATCCGTTTGAGCTTCGTTACTCGCTCCAGCGTCGTTTACGTCTTGGTTATCACCACCTCCACTCTTGTTGGCCAGTATTTTGTCCCCGCTTGACTCGATGGTGTTACCCTTTTCATTGACTTCTTGGGAGACGCTGCCTGGTTCTTCGCTGTGACTTGAGGCGTCAGCGGGTACCTGTCCCACTATGTCCTGCGCGATGCCTCCTTCCACTACACTAGTGTCTTCGTGCTCGCTACTGGGGTTGAAAGCTTCAGTGGAGGTGACCTCATCTGGACCAGCATCCACTATTGCTTGAGGAGCTTCATCGTCATGTGCGCATTCAGGTTCATTTTCAGGCACTGAGCTTGGAACTGTTGGCTCCATAACGTCCACAGCTTGTAAATTACCGGTACTTTTGCTTCCTTGTCCCGTGTCTGGTTCGTGGGCTGGTTGGTTTGTCTTGATATCATAGGTCTCGTCACGAGAAGAGCCTTGATCCTCTTCATAGGGCTTAGATGCGATTTGGTCTGCCTGGCTTTCCTTGTCATGAGCCGGCTGGGATGCCACCAGGCCTATGATGGCTTCCAGCACATTTTCAACGATGGCAAAATCGGCATTATTTGAGCCATGGGGATCTTCGTCTGTTGCTTCTGCGATCAATAAGCTAGCCACAGCACTTTCCGTGTCCGTAGATGCACAGGCATCGGCTTCTTCAATAGCCAAGTTCGTGTTAAATCCTGGGGTGTCTTCGGTATCATGAACACTCGGTGGATCACTGGGGGCCATCTTCGTGTCGGTTGAATTCATATCAACTGGAGCCAAATCATTGCTTAACAGCGGCAAGGCAGTGGCTTCAGGGCCAGCCTCACTAGTGCTGGCCGCGGCTTCAACTAGATCCATCAAGAGAGCTGAGATTTGGCTTTCTTCGCTGTTCTCGCCGTTGTCTTCGTTGGTCGATAGAATAGGATTTAGCTGGGGTACAACCGATCGATCTTCTGAGCTGTCGATTACCACTTGGAGATCTCCATCGTCTGCAGTAATCTCCGAATTAATGTAATTTTCATCACCTGCGCTGGTATCCGCAAGAGTGGGTTTGTTGCTGTCACATGGGACTGCATCAGCCTCGATGATAGCCACGATATCGTACAGTAAAGCTTCAACCACGCTGTCATCCTCAAACTGTGGGCTGGGGTCTTGCGACCGATAGCTGATCCAACGCTGACGTTGTCCTCTCCACGCAGCCTGGATACAGATCGCCGCCTCTAGTTGCGAAAGGTACGTCTCCTGCCGCTGCCACTCGCGCTCAAACCACTTCCGCGCACTTCTCCTCTTCCAGGCCGACTGAATGCACAGCACCGCTTCAAGCAACTCCATATACGTCGACCGTTCCTTACTTGAGCGTCTCGACCAGCGTTGAATTCGTCGGGTACTCTCCTTTATCCTGGAGTATTTCCACCGTGCAAACCATCCAAGGACGTACGTTTTAACTACGAATGTTGCGTCTCGAATTCTAGTCACCAGTTGAATTGCTTGACGTCGACGAATCCAGCACTGAAGCTTCACAGTCGATACCTTTTGGCGTTGCCAAGCTCTGGACGCTATCATCCTCCGTGTGTTCTTCTGAAGAATCGTCGCTGAGAGGTTCCTGGCTTCGATTAGCAAGGCCCGTTCTTTCCGATGTAAGTGGAAGCGAATAAATCTCTGCATCGTGGAGGCGGCTCGAATGCGTTGTTTCTTCACACGATCCGCTTCTTGTAGAGCTTGAAATATTCCTTTCGCTTTTACGGTTCGAGCCATGCATTGGATCACGATTGCAGCACTGGCACGCTGCAGCTTCAACCCCTGGTAGCGCTTCTGCTCCAGTCGAGACCGAACTGTCGACTGAAGCACAATAGACGCTTGGGTGCGATTCTTCCGGACGGTCTCGCGTTCTTCGAGCTGCTGTTGCTGGCGCTCAATAGTCTGCTTCATCCACTTTGACTTGGTCTGCTCCTGGATGAGTTCGTTTTGGTGCTTGAGGTGCAACAGCTGGTACGACCTCATCAAAGCCTGACGGTCTGCTGCAAGCTCGGCGTACCGACGTCGTTCTATAGCGAGGATAGCTTCCAGAGACGTGATCTGCTCCTGCAGTCGATTTTGTTCCTGGTTGGAATACTGAAGCTTCAAGAGTTTCTGATCTGATGAGGACACTTTAGTCGTCCGCTTTGGAGTTGCACGACTCTGTTTTACCGAGCCATTTTTCGGGTCTGCCGCTCTCATTTCCTCTGGCGATGGCTCCGTTTGGTTTGACGGGGCAGTCGGTCGCCCCTCAATGGTGGGGGGTATTGCACGCGAGTCTTCTCGATGCTTCCTTCTTAACTCCCGCTTTTGCTGGCTCTGAATTTCAGTCGGTTCGTGGGCTGGGTTCTCCTCACTTTCTTTGGTTGAGTTGAAGAGCTGATGTTGCTTTCGCTGGAGAAATCGAAGATACTCACCCCACTCGATCTCCTACGAATCACAACAACAAACCGTGAGAACGAGAGTAAATATGCAGTCTTAATAGACAGCAATTGGGCATACGTTGTCGCGGTTTGTATCCATAACGGAAAATAGCGCAGCTATCTGTTCTTGGGTGGGAATGCTTGCGTTTGCGTGGTTGGGGCTGTCTTGGTTGTCATCACTACCAAACAACAGCTGCAACAGCTTCTGGCCATCGGACGTCTTTGTCATATCTGCAAAGCACTAAGTTAGTCCGCCACAGCAAAAAATAATATACTATTGTTTCGAGAAGATCGTACTGTACCTTCCACATGAGTCAAAAACACATTCGTGAACTCGTTGCGGTCAATGTATCCATTGCTGTTCTGATCCAGCAAGTAAAACAGCTTCTTCCAGATAGTAAACGTTTCCGCAGAAGCCACACGGTTCTCAAGTGTCTTCGCTGCATCGCCTTCTTGATCATGAACGACATTGCGCGTGGGGTCAAATGTAACTCGAAGTTTTGCGACTCCAGATATCTTGGTTCGATCAGCTTTATCATAAAAGTTACCCCAAATAAAGCGGTCTTGGTCGTTATCGGACGAACTTACTGCTGAAGTCAAAGAACAGAGCTCGGCAATGGACAGCAGATCGATGGAGAATACACCGAGACAGACCTCCCCAAGCGTCTTCGTCATCCCCATCCATTGAATAACAAACTCTGGTACATCGGGAGTTGTGTCCATGCTGATATCGTACGGCAATCGCAACCGCTTGTAGCCAAGAGTATTATTTCCCTGATCGTCGACCGAGATATAGTTTGCGGTTTGAAGAACGCACTTGTAAAAAGTCGTATTAACATGAAGCCTACGTTCGGATTCCGAAAATGTGACGTTTTCACCAAAGTCGAAGTTAATTGTACCAACAACCGTAGGTATATAAATCACTACGATATGAAGATGTGCATCAACAGTAGCGCGATCACTGCAGAGTTGATCACCAAGTGGAATCCACAAATCAACTCGTCGGAATTTCGCGTCTTTGATCGTGGAACTTAAGTCGATACTGCCTTGCAGCACAGGTCGGTTTGGTTGAACCCCTATTTGCAAAAATACTTGCAGATCTTGCTTTGCATTTTGCCCGCCGTCTTCGGTAAACGGAAACCACTCGTTTTCCCAGCGCCAGTGCTGGCTACTGTCTAGACTCGTAGACTGTCTTGTACGGTAGCGTACTTTGCTGTCGGGGCTAACCGTCGGGATATGCGTCAGCTGTACATTTGCACCGCCATATTTACCCAGCTTCAGTGCGTTCGAGCTCTGAAATGGTGTTGAAAGGATGGCTTCACATACGCTCACGTGAAATTTCCCCGATGTCTTTGCTTGAGAAGCAGGGGTATTAAGATTTTGTTCGCGAAGTTGGAGGCTCATTAGCAGTGCGTCTTGTGTAGTCGTAACCCCAGTACTTCCTTCAATACAAATAGGATACCAGACTTGCTTCCTCCGATCAACCAATCTTTGTCTCCAGTCTTTTCTGAGCGGGAGATGCACTTGTCCGTAGTAGTTCCCAGCCAAGTCACGGATTCTCCCGACAAACACATTGTTCGGTCCATTCAGCAGTGTTGCTGCGACGATTGGGTTGCTGAGATCGACTACTTCCCCAACTGCAGTCATTCCTGACGCAGATATTGATATAACGCCGGTAGCTCCCACCGCGATCTCCTCAGCTCTGCCACCTCGATCCGACATGAGACTAATATCAACGAAGACATGCTGTACGACCCCAGGTGGGCGTTGGGAGGGACTCGAGTCCTGTAGATTCCCCCGCACTCGGTGAATCACCAGTTCAAAACTTTCTGTCGTAGTAGAAGCCTTCACCTTGGGTTGCTCGCTCGACAGAAATTGCATCTCCAGTGTTAACATCCCTCTTTTGTAGTAATGCGGATCATTACTGGTCTTAGCCGAATCAACATCTCCAGAGCCAAACGGCATTCCAAACGGAACCTCGAGTTGTAGTAAATGATCCTCCTCAAGAACTGACGGGAACATTGGCAGCGTCAAATACCCAACAATTTGGTTACCTTCGATTGGCGGTGCGGGATTAGAGTCTCCACCATTGCGATCAACTAAGCGATGATAAAGCGTAAGGTGGACAGTCGGTGGGCCATTGGAGCCGATTCGGAGCACCACGTGCTGATTCCAAGTTACTGAGCCGTCATCGGCTGAACAAAATCTACACAAACAAGCGACGGTATACTTCAGACTGACAATCACAACAGTTAAATATAAATACGTAATGAATGTCACGTACCCGCTCGCTACTTCCTCCGACCCGCAAGACACCAACACGTAGTAACTTGAGAGTGGATTGACCTTCCTTAGAAAGCTCCCAGTGGCTTGTAGAAGGTGAATGCACAAGTCACCTTTGATAACTTGTACCTGACGAACATTGGTCTCTGGAAGCGTCGGCGCGCTCGCACCCTCCTCTCGATATGAGGAAGCTCTGATTGTTGAGAGTATAGATACCGGTCCTTCACAGTTAACAGTCTCCATATCTGCTTTCTCCACTGTTAAGCTCAGGTCAACACGCGCGGAGGTGTTCGGTTGTGAGAAAAATGAACACAAATTGAGGCTGCCGGCTGCTACCAATACGGGAGAGGCAGCTTCATCCGCACGTTGTGTAGCCTTTGCACCACGGCGATCTCCTCTCCGTTTTAGGTGTGAAGTGGTTGCTAGAGACGCTTTGGAAGCGATACTTTTCAGATTTGGAGTCCGTTGGGATTCTGTGTACACCAAAACTTCCAGCACAGGAAATGATCTGTCCTTTGCAGACCAGCAAATCTTGGCGTATGCTTTACCGACAATAGAAGCCATCAGCTTGTTGCCACCAGCCGAAAGCACCACCTTTGTTGGGCCCAATTTAATTTTCCAATTGCTTTGAGCAATGCGAAGTTGAATAGAAATGCTATCACCCTCTGAAACAGTTGCTGGTAGTTCGTGCACCTCCAAGATATCGATATCAAATCCACATTTCATCTCCCCATTTTGGACAGGATACGCAACGCTGCCAAGCTCCGTCGCAGCCAGTGATAAACTTCTCTCGGATTCAGTCTCGTCAGGTACACTTGCAGTTTGGAGACCAAGTACCACCGACCCGCACTCAGTTTCCTTCCCTTTAGAGTCGCAGAACAAGCGCACGGACTGCTCAAACGACTGGTTAAGCTGGTGAGAGCAAATACTGAAGATGCCCAGTCCGATCAGTTCATTCCTCTCGTGGTTGCTGAATCGGTAGATACCCACAAACAATATGTCCGTGGTTGCATCGCTCACGTTCAATGATACAGCATTAACTCCACCAACTTCACCACTCCCCCATGTCAGGGGTGATATCGTTTGGGCTTGTGCTTTGTCCGTGGTACTTGACCAGATATTCGCTAAACAACGAATGCCATTGTTGTCTTCATTTGAGGTACGTAAGCTCGCCACCTTGACAGTAAGGATGCAGGCCTGGGGTTTATGAACAACTGGTGTGTACGGTATATGTTGCTGGTCGCCCTGCAATTCAGTACGGAGGCAGGTACTTAAGCGGCCGAGCACACCCCCTTTCTGGCCGATCAGAGGGAGATCGCACTGATATTCCAGATGCGCCGAAAGTTTCTTCAACAGGTATGTCAACGCTATAGAGAGTGAAAGGGGTCTCTGTTGCGATCGTTTTGGTCGGAAATCGAGAGAAAGCTGAGGAAGGGAATTTGTCACGACGTCAGGGCTTAACTCAAATCGGAGTACAACCGGGTCGCCATTTTCACTCTGCAGTCGTGCGCAGGTTTGTTTCTTGCAGTGTGTAGTCTCGAGGCTAGCTGAAGCAGTGGTAGTAGCCCGTTGGGAAACCCCATCTAGAAGGTTTACTCGACCGCGGATACTCAATTGTTGGCCTTCACCAATGTATTCACTCAGATACTCCGACTCGGGGGTGCTGCTTGCGCAGATGAACTCAAGCTGGACCTCTAGCAAGCTTCCGAGGGGAATAGAGAAGGGCTTGTCCGAAGAATAAACGTCGGAAGTTATCGTTGGTGAATTCAATGTTTCGCAGTCAGCAACCGGTACTTCAACGACATCCACTTGCGAATCGTCGACTATCAAGCAGCAAGCAACACGCACGCGAATTTTCCCTTGTTGCTCCGGCGCTGAGAACGTAAGCCATCCACAAAAGGCCGAGCCGTCTGGCTCTAATGCACCACAGTTAATAGTAGCGGATCCTAACACTTTCTCCGGACTGTCATTCACTTCTTCGTCATGAATCATTGCGAAGGAAATGGTATGGTTAAATAAATTCGCTGGTGGCAGCTCGAAACATAGCCGGTAGTTCCACACGAAAACGCCACGTTTGTCGTCGTAGGTTGCCGAGTCAGTACGCAAGGGAAGCTTCGCTTCACCGGTACTGGCAACAATGACGGGGTTGAAGAGCTGGTCCAGACCCTGACTTTCTAAAATCATCACGAACAGCACAGCGTTCTTCGGTCCGTCGTCAACTTTATCCATAGATTCTTGGATCTCCCTGGAAAATACTGCGGCCAGGGCCCTCGAATCCGAATTCATCGTCACAGAAAATCCCAACTTGCCACAACTTGCCTTTCTTCTCCGTCGAGTTAATTGAATTTCTTGCGACATTGAATCCCTCAACAACTCGTGAACAGGTTCTCGACCTTTCCCCACAAGTTCCTGTTGAACGCCACCAAGCCGGACTTCCCAAACTTCCATCTCCATCAAAGCTCCAGCCGATTCAGTAGTTAGTGACATAGGTAAAACCATTTCAACCGGCTTCGAACACCTCTCCGAGTAAATAAATGGATCCGTGGACGCTTGCACATTTCCCGGGTCAATTGAGAATCTCACGTAAACTTTTCGATCGCTTGATGCTCGATCAGTTGGCCACGCGAGATCCGCAACATACTCGACATCGATGGACACTACGACAAACTTGTCGTCCACGAGCTCGAATAAATCCTCTCCACCTTTCTTAGCACCGACAACGTGCACTTCTTCTCCATAAGGTGTGCCAACAGCGCCAGACAAACTATCAGGTGCTGCATGGGAGGTCATTCACGCACCCGTTGCCTCTTCACTCGAAAGGGCGACGTCGGATCCTGTCACAAAGTTCTAAATGCAGAACCTTCAGATTATCAACGAAACATTACAAGTATCTTACATACAGTCCTTGTGGAAATCATACACCTTCAGGTAGTAGAGCCACTGTTGCTCTAGCTCCGAAAGCTTACAGTACACACGACCACATCCTGGGATCGCCGCCTCCTTCTCGTTGATGAGAATTTGCACATAAAACTCCTTTTCCTCGCTCGATTTTCGCTTGAACAGCCGAAATTCGACGTTTGCAGCGAATGGAGAGAGGATTGAAGTCCGGAATCCCCGAGATGCGATGTCGTCCTCTGTAGCGTTTGCCACGAGAGGCGAGCGATCACCGTACCCCATCAGAGTCATCAATGGGAGAGTCGTCTCTGCATGGGCAAAAAAGAAGCTCCCCAAGAGCGCGCTGTCACCGGTAGCTCTTGCTCCCATCGTAGTGAACACCTCGCGCAGGAGAACGGCTGCCATCTCGTAGTTGATCTTGTACCCCGCCCCAATCCAGTAGAACTCCTCGAGATCGTCCAGGTAGTCCAGCGCGTGGATGAAAGTCATCGACATGAGCGAGCACCAGTGGTGCTTGTGATGATAAATAGCAATGTCGAACCTGATGCACAGCGCTCAGTTAGTCCTCGGTTCAATAGTCATCATTTCGTTTTAATTTGCAATATAAGTAGAACTTACGCGCATGCAGATTGCACTGCCATCAGATCCTTGGCTGAGAATTTAATGTCCTCGTCCTTCAAGCCAAGCGACTGCTTCAGCCATTGCGCAGTTTTGACCAGGGTGGTTGATCTCTGGAACTCATGTTGTTGTGTCTGAGCAGTTGGGTTCTTCTTCACCTCTCGCTGGTATCGGGGACACACGTCAAAGAAGCGCAGAAGAGTATCCTACGCAGTATTGTGCTTGGTAAGGAAATACAAAAGCGTTCGTATCATACCAATTACAAAGAACATTACCTTATTTTTCGGGTGCTCGACGTATTCCACGTCCTGAGCATTTGCAAAGAATGCATTTGCAAACCTATTGAAGCAAAAGCAGGGATCAGCCAATAAACTTCAACAACCATATCAACGGCAAGCAACTCACGCGATAGCTGAGTCTCGAGCCCTCACCACGGCTGTGTGTGTCACGCGGTACTTCTTCTTCGAGTAGACTGCGCCTTCATCAGCAAATCCACTTCTGGCGAGGCTACGAGCCCCCAGCTTACGCAGTTCACGCTTCCCAACATGCGTAAGCTGCCCTTGCACGCTCAGATTGTACGGCAGCGAGTAGTTCCTCATCCACGCCGGCAACGAACTCTCGAAGGGCTTCAACTTGTCCAAAAACGCAGTAGTTTCTTTGATATTACCTCCCGTTGGGTATCTATAACACAAACGCACAATATAATAATATACCTAAATAGTTTCACGACCCAATAGTTTGCAATCAGTTATGGCTACCTACTAGCGTACCTTACGCCATGACGAGCTACGATTTGAGTCTGAATGAGCTCCAAATCCTGCCGTAGTGGCGTCTGGTCCGACAACTCAAGTGCACGAAGTGGCAGCATAGACCGCGTAAAGTTGGCTTCACTGTTTATGGCTACAGCACTGCGCTGGTCCCAGTATTTCGTTTTGGTGGCGAACATGTGCTCGAATGTGTCCGAACTGGACACTTGCGTAGGTCGGAAGGCGCTCGACGGGTCCATCGAGAACAACGTCGGGATCTGCATGAAGACCAGCACGAGCACCAGCGCACATAACCCCATGGCTTTCAGTGCTCGGTTCGACACATGGCGGTCGAGAGGAGGCGCCAACGCGGGGCCATCCGTAGAGCTCCTCATGATCGCGACGTTATCAGAAGATTGCAACAAATGAAATGGACCAATCAGACGCAAGTATCTGGATATGAGATGGCTACATGATAGCTGTAGCCATTTTTCAGAGGTGGACATCTGCTGGCATGCTGGACATCTGCGGACACATCACAGCTATTTGGACACGCAACAAAAGCAACTTGTGTATTGATTGATAACTACTGCTGACTCAAAAGTGCATCAACATGTGACCGGTCCAATCCTCGTGGTACATGATAAGATTCCTCCTCCGTGCCTCTTGTCTTGTGTGCTGCGGCGAGAACGAGAACACCGACGGCTCAACAGCTACAGTGGGTTTGTTTGACAAACGCCGGCGCTCAATTTTCTCCATTTAGTCTTCGTCGTCGTACTCCAGAGTAAACTCGGGTTCAGCTGCATCTCCATCGTCGTCGTCCGCCAAGACCTTGGCGCTGGGGGCCGGCACAACCGCACGGTCTCCTCCATACGATTGACTACCAGAAGTACCAGGGGATGGTAAAACGGGGGCGCCGCCTGGGATGTGGCTCCAACCTTGATCAGCTCCGCTCGGGAACGAGGGGCCTTGGTTCGTGTACGAGGAGCCACCAGCTGCACCGTAGGGGGAAGAAGCCGTGGCGTACGTCCCAGGGTAGCCTTGTGTGGGCGCCGTTGAAGTGGGCTGGTGGTCGGACGGCAGCCGGCGCCCACCGGGCGAGGGCGCAGCGGCGTTAGCATAAGACACAGAAGAATCACCTCCTCTACTGCCGCGATCACCGTGTGGTTCATTATATACTTGCGGGGCTCCGTAAGATCTAGCTTGAGAGGGCGGAGCAGAAGGCGAAATGCGCGACTGCTCCATTCCCGGTCGTGAGCTTGGCGACGGCTGCCAGCGTCCTCCTGGTTGGTCGCCGTGAACTGGGGGTCTTGGGGGATATCTCGCATTCTTGTCCAGTTCCTCTTCTCCGTGCGCAAAGCTGGAATAGTAAACGACATAAGGCAGGGCCCACGAAGGGAGTCCATGATCAGAGAACGGTTCATTAACGAAAAGAAACCAGGTAGCTTAAGCGCCACCTCCCAAGCCAGACAAGTGACACAGCTACTGATCAAATAGTACCTGCACTTATCTCCGAACCGGCACTTTCCAAGGGGGTAGTTGTTACACAGCACCGTTTTGCGCTTCGAGTCACCCATTTCCGGGCGACCCCCGCCGGCTGCAGCAGCTTGCGGGTCGTGGATGTGCCTAGAGTAAATAAACACACAAAAAATGTAAGGTTAGCACTCATCTGCAACATGCCAACACGTATTCCAACCAACACGAGGTTGTCGTACCAGCAACGGTCTCCAAAGGTGCATCTGCCAGCCAAAAAGTTGCGGCAGAGTTCTCCAGAGGTGCCTGGTATGCGACTACCAGGGCTTCGTCGGTCGTCCGATCCTGAAAATGGAGATTGCTGCATGCCGCCTTGTTCGTAGGGGCTAGCACTTTGTCTACCTAGACCTCCGGACTGCGGAGACCGCACACCTTCACGAGGCCATCCAGCACCTGAACCGCGAGAGGAAGGTGCATTTCTGTTCCACTCTTTGTGTCTTGGTGGGCCCCCACGCGGGGATTGCAAGAATGGGGCCTGGCGTGATGACCCAGGAGGCGAACGGTAACCAGATCTGCCACTATCGGGACGGTAATCTCCCTCCCTGTCCAGTGACGTAATTATTGGAGCAGGTCTATCATTGTCCAACTTAGGTGGCCCCCACCGGGACCCGCGAGCCTTCTTCGGGTCACGCTCATCAAATTCGTTGCCGCGGTCTTCTGGGGCTCTACGAACGCGACCAGCTCCGTTCGGCATGCCTGGAGCATCGCCCATGATGCCTCCCGCATCTCTGCGGTCGTAACGCGGGCCATCCACTCGTCGGTCGTCATAGCTGCGGTGGTTATAAGCTGCAGCGTCGTCTCTCTGTCGTCCATCTCCGCCGTAGGAGCCTTCGTGGGGTGGTCGTGACTGAGGATCGCCCGAGTGCACCTGCTCCTCCTTTTTCTGCTTGATAATTGACAGCAGCGAGGCCAACTTTCCTGGCGATGTACGAGGCGTAACGTTTCCAGAGCGCTCCTCCTAAGAAAATAAAAAAAATAAAAGGTAAGAAACTATAAAACGTCACCAACGCACACCACACTGACTCTAAAAGGAGAATCATACCTGTCCCGTGTACAGATATTCCCGTCCGCCGACGTCCTCAATCTGCTTCGGCGTGTAAATGCCGCGCTTCTGCCACTCTTCAATCACGTGACGCACCTTCGGCTGCTCCATCAACAAACACACAAACCGAAACATCAGCGACCAGCTCCTCTTCTTCGCCTTCTCCTCCTTCTTGCACCTGTGACTGCTCCGGCACTTTCTTCACCGCTGCGATGGTGTCCGACAGCCGAATCAGGAACCGCTTCACGTACGCGTCCTTCGGGTCGTTCTTGGCATGAGCCTGCAGCAGCAGCGACAGACAAAGCTCCGTCAGCCACTAACTCACACAACGCAATTACTATCTAAGGAAATTACCTGTCGGATGATGGCATCAATAGCGTAGAGACCTAAGCAAAAAACACAATAAATAAATAAAGAAACACAAGCAAGGGATCAGGATGGACCTCATCAATGAGTCAATTGCCACTGCCTGCCTCATATCATAAACTTCCAGCGCGTACCAGCCAATCGGTGCTCGACCTCCGCCTTCCACAGGAACACCTCGATGTCGTGCACCACGTGCTTGTAGAACTGCAGCCGCATACAAAGTCCAAGTCAGCGACTCATCGAACTGTCCGTCGTATCACTTGCCCTGCTCTTCTCACCTTGGAGTAATGCGCCGCCAGCTTGGCGACGGCGCCGATGCGGCTCTGCGACACGCCCTTGGCGGTGGCGAGGCCCTCCAGCGCCTGCTTGAGCTTCTCGTAGCCCTCCCACGCGCCCGAGCGCGAGCTCTTGTGGTGCTCGCCCCCCATGCTGCCGATCGCCCGCAGGAGCTCTTTCTGACTGGCCAGGCGGATTCAAGAATGGTGTGCGCGACACCAATGAAGCCACACTCAAATTGGGTATGTGCTCAAGCATAAATTGGGTAGCTCAAGTATAGAAGCTATAAAAATGTGTCATTGGTACCTACACTCCACACACCACTGGTGAGTGTAGATTCAGCTGGTGAGTCACCAGATGACCGACCGTGTGGATTCTACTACGTGTACCAGCTGATCTTCGAGCGTTTGGCATGAATCTGGTCAAGATTCTACGTAGTATTTACCATGGTAGATGGTGTGTTTGCGCTACCGCGTCATGGACGTGACTAAGGTTTCATGCAGAGGACGAACTCCATCGTGTCATTTCAAGATTTTCTTCGTTGTGACCAAGCGCACACTCATCGTTTGCAATGCTGGACAAGTTCGTGGCTGTTCTCACGCTCGTCGCTGCGTCGACAAACACTGTCGCTGCTGGCAGCAGCTTCAGCCTCCAGTCGTTCGGGACCAAGACCAAGTACTGGGACCAGCGCGACTCGGCCGTCGCGCTGGCGCTGCAAGCGGGTGCTGCGAATGCATCCACGGTTCAGGCCTCGGACCTGGAGCTGGTGCAGCTGCAACAAGTGAGTCGACACGGAAAGAGGTACCCCACCAAGGGCAACATGGGCGAGATCTCCGATCTGCTGGACAAGCTCCAAACAAACTATTCGGACGTCACCCCGCACTGGCTCAAGATCTACTCGCTGCCGTACAACTCGACGGACGCAGGTGAGCTGGCACCCGCGGGCTTTCAAGAGCTCAAGGGCTACGGGACGCGCGCTCGCGCCTCGGTGGGCTCGGCCATCCCAACAGCCTACAACGCCAGCCTGTTCAAGCTGGCACACACAAGCGTAACGCGCACCGCCGAAAGCGCCCAATCGTACGTGGCCTCTGCGCGGGATGCCTTGCTGTCTTACGTACTAACCCGCTGCGTGTTGTCTTGGCAGATTTGCGAGCAAATTCTTCAGCAACCCGGAAGACGTGGAATTCATTGAATACGCCGATGGCAGCGTAAGTCGCAGCCATATTCGTCTAGCCACGAACGGAAGCTGATGTCCCTCACCTCCCCCTTTTACTGTAAGCTTAGGACCCACTGCTCCGCTTCTTCGATGAGTGCGACCGCTACAACGCTGAAGCTGGATAACACGAGTGCTCTCCTGGAATTTGACGAGTTCCAAACTTCACCCAAGATGAACGAGAGCATTCAGTTCCTGAAATCCCAGCTGAACTTGCCTAGTGACGCTGACTTGAGTGCCACCGACGCAGGGTCCGCTTTCTCAGCTTGCGCGTACGTACAGTAGTTGATTGGAGATGCATGCAACGCCTACCTTGACTGATTGCATCGTGTTGTGGCACAGGTTCGACATCATGCTCTACAATGTCACCGACGAGTGGTGCTCCCTCGTCGACCAAGCATTCTTGAACCGCTTGGAGTACTCCGACGAGTTGGAATCGTTTTACGAACAAGGACCGGGATACAAGATCAACTACGAAATGGCAGCCGTCCTGCTCCAGGACATCTACGCCTACATGAAGAATTTCACCACTGGAGACACAACCATTGTGGGTAACCTGCGCTTCGCTCACGCAGAGACGACCTTGCCACTCATGACGCTTCTCGGCTATGGCGATCGCACCAAGCTTCTGGCGTCGTGGACGGATGAACAAATCGACACGCGTGGCTTTCGCTCTTCGCACTTGGCCCCGACCGCCTCGAACATCGACTTTCGTCTGTACCGCAGCAAGACCGACCAACAGTACTACGTGTCGGTGTGGATCCAAGAGGTTGAGGCTCCGTTACCCGGATGCGACGATGCACTGTATTGCGAGCTGTCCAAGGTGGAGCAGATTTGGAGCTACTACCTCAACAAGTACAACTTCCAAGCCGAGTGTGCCGTATAGATAGCGTAGGTTGGTGGGCGTTGCTTTCGCTATAAATGTCTGCAACGAAAACCACTGATAAGAACGCTGGGGACTACCTCCTAGACTTGCAAACCACTTTGCTTTTGAATAGGAAAAGGACAGAGTGCACTGATGGCGAGGAAGTTCGAGTCGTTCGACATTGAAAGCCAACCGCGCACGGAGCCTCCCGGCTTGCCTGTCAAGAACATCGGCCGGTTCTTGGTTGCCACGTCTGTTCTCTCGATAATCTTGTTGCTGGCGACGAGCGGCATCAAAGACGAGCGTGGGGTCGCAGTTAACTCTGATCTCCTGAATGCTGCCGACGTCGCTATGTTGAACCCACTTTCGTTTGGGACAATGACAACATACTGGGACCAGCGTGGCACAACAGATTCCGAGCTTCTGCTGTCAAACGCGCGAGTGATGGAGGTTCAGGCTTCGGATTTGGAGCTGCTGCAGATTCAGCAAGTGAGCCGTCACGGAAGGAGGTACGAGTAAATGACGAAGCCTGTGCTCTGTATTGTGCTCCATTTTACTGATTCATCCATCCGCACCCGTAGATTCCCCACCGACAACACGATGCGTGAGATTGCGGATCTGCTTTATAGGCTGCAAGCAAACTACTCCGCTGTTCTCCCGCAGTGGCTCCAGGAGTACTCGCTTCCGTATAACCTGACAGTCGCAGGGGTCTTGTCATCGACTGGGTTTGATGAACTTGCCGCGTACGGAAAACGTACGCGACGTTCAGTGGGTTCCGCCATTCCTACGACATTCAACGAGAAGCAGTTTATTCTCGCGCACACGTTCAAAGCGCGCACGGGTGACAGTGCAAGAGCGTAAGATGGCGACTATTCGGATATCGATCTTGCCTTGTTAAAATTCACGCTTCTGATGTTCTTTCTTGCCGTTCGCAGGTTTGCCAGCACATTTTTCGACAATCCCAACGATGTTCAATACGTCGAATACCCCAAGGGCAAGGTACGAACTCCCTCCTTAATATCACAAGCTCAACTCACACTAACGATATATTTCTCACGCTATCAGGATCCGTTCATTCGCTTCTATGATATTTGCGACCGCTACTTGGTTGAAGTCAAGCACAATCCAAACGCTTCTGAGGAACTCAAAGCCTACGGAAGCTCAAGCCAAATGAACGCCAGTATCGCGCAGCTCAAGGCGCAACTCAACCTCCCTGATAGCGTCGATCTCAGCGTCGTCGATGTCCGAGCGGCCTTCGCAGCTTGCGCGTAAGTTGATCAAGCGAGGTTTCTTTTAGTTTCGCTATCCCGCCACTAACTGTTGTCGTGCTTATCCGTAGCTTTGGCATTATGGTGTACGGGATCACGAACCAGTGGTGCTCTCTAATGGATCAGACCTTCTTGAATCACCTCGACTATGCGGAGGACCTCGAGGCATTTTACGAGCAAGGCGCCGGGTACAAGATCAACTACGAAATGGCCGCCGTTCTACTGCAGGACATATACTCCTTCATGAAGAAATTCACAACGGGTGAGACCAGCGTCGTGGCTAATCTACGCTTCGGCCATGCCGAGACGACTCTACCTCTTATGACACTGCTGGGCTATGGTGATCGCACCAAGCTCTTGGCGTCGTGGAATGACGACCAAATCAACTCGCGGGGGTTCCGCACTTCGATTCTCTCCCCCACCGCTTCAAACATCGACTTCCGACTGTACCGGGGCAAAACGGACCAAAAGTTCTACGTGTCGGTGTGGATCCAAGAAGTCGAGGCTCCACTACCTGGCTGCGACGACGAAGTTTACTGCGAGCTGTCCAAAGTGGAGAAACTCTGGAGCTACTACCTCAACAACTACAGCTTCAAAGCCGAGTGCGCGCTCCCAAAGCGTAAGAAGCAGCAGCACCCCTAAAAAGGAGCCCAAATTGGGTACTCACTACACATGTATGCCACATAAATTTACTCAGAAGATAAAAAAATTAAGGCACATTTACTCAAATTGCAGTTTGTGTGGCTAGAATTCAAAGCCAAAGCCAACTCAACCCACGATGGCCCGCAGACTCACCATTGAGGGCACCCCCAAGCAAGCCCCGTACAAGCACGTATCGACCCATGCGTCGTTGGAGGAAGTGCAGCTCGCTGTGCATTCCTATGACGCGTTTCAGTACGTGGTCGCCTATAATTACGGCAACCACGGTCACGGGAAGGTCTACCGGTGTTCTGCGCACCAACACTGCCCCAAGCGCCTGCGCGTGCTCGAAGTTCGCGACGAGGAGGAGGAAATCCCAGTCACGTACCGCCTCGCAGCCTCCGGTACTCATGGAACTGTAGCCACCAACAGCAATCGACGGGTGGGCATTGACTTGTCGCTGAGGGCGGAGGTCGACGCCTTGCTCAAGGCTGGAAACCACGCCACCCAGTGCCAGGAGATTCTCAGGAAGAAGTACCGGAACGAACCGGAGATCCTGGCGAAGATCCCCCAGGAGAAGCAGCTCCATAACCGACGCCTGGTTCTGGTGAAGAAGGGGGAGATAGCCAAGTCGACGAACCGTGCCGGGAACCGAGGGAAGCGAGCGCGGACTCGGAGTGAAGAGTCCGAGACGGAAGAAGAAGGGGACGAAGACATGGCTCGAGAAGACAACCCGCAGTCGTTTGCGACGATGCTTGTCGATGATGACAATGAACACGAGGTAGAGGAGGAGGAGCAGCAGCAGCAGCACGACGAAGTTGAAGGTGACGCGGAGAGTGAGGACGATTTTGACAAGGTCAAATTGATGCAGGAGTTTGCGGCATTTCCAGCGCGCCCGGTGTTCTGGAGCGTGCTCAAGAAATTCCGGTACGTCGACGACAAGAGCGGATCGATGGTGACGCAGTGGCTGACTGGCCAGGTGATCGGCTGGGAAACGAGCGAGCACAAGCCTGTCAAGTGGGTGGTGCGCTTCACCGACGGCGAGAAGCGCCGACTGGGGCTGGAAGAGCTCGTGGATATGATCCGAGCGTCGGTGGAGCTGGGACTCAACGTCACAAGCCGCCCTCTCGAGATTCAGATGACCTAGATCTGCTGACTTCAAGTTGCGTGTGCCACGTGCGTTCAAGAAAGCCAAGGCGCCAAGTTCCATCCAAGTTGGCGTACCAGTATTTTGCAAATTGGATACGAATTTGGGCATCTGAAGCGAGAGTCGCGCCTTAATCTAACCTGCTCGCCTGGTGCGCTTCCGCTGATACGGATACGTAGAAACCGTGGCAACATTGTTTATCGAGTTCGCTTCGTGTGTGTGAGCGCGTGGATCGGACCAATACATGCGATGTTGACGCCCAAGCTTGATTGTGAACGTTGGTGGGACGGACACACCTCGCAAGTTCTCGCCAGCGTTTTCTTCACTCTTCAATACTCCTCGTTACTGCAAACCATGAAGTCGTCGCAGGTTCTTCCCGTTCAAAGCCCCAGTCCAACCTTGAAACGCAAGACGGAGGCCATCTTCCAGAGCTTCAAGACGCTTCGAACTCGAGATGGCCTTCACCGCAGCGAATCCAAGGCAACTACAATACGTATATCGAGATTGTCTCGGCGTTCTGGTGCAGTGCATTGAGTGAATTGCCACTGCCTCCGGCTCCAGTCCATCGCTAACACAGCACTGAAGTTGCTCTGCATTGATCAAGGCAAGCTCCGCCCAAGGAATTGTGTACAACCTCATTCGTGTTAAATAATACAAAACCGTGCCTAGATTGCATTGCATAACTTCCTGCCCGGATCGGTGCACTGAGTGCAACCGCGATGGTCACCAGTAGAAAAGGTACCACCTGAGACCCTGAAGATGCTCCTCCTCCTCCTGGCCGACCATTCCTACTTTTACCAGATCCCTAGCAAGCAGCAGAGCGCCACAAGCGATGGACAAGTCTCCGCACCAAGACTTCCCGTGCATCTGTGGTCTATCGTTCCCCATGCAGAGCCTGCTGCAGGACCACCAGAGTTCGTGCGACCACGTCCAAGTGGAGGAATGGGAGGAGACGCTCAAGTCCATGACGTCGCCCGGCGCCGAGTGTTTCCCGTGCTGCCGCCTCCTCTCCCTCGACGACGTGCTCTTCAACGGCCAGATGCTCATCTACCGCACGTACGAGGAGAGCGCGTGCTGCTCCAGCTGCCGGGACGCCTGGTACCCGTACGAAGGGAGGGCCATGCTGCAGCGCCAAGACGTGCGGAGATATCTCCACCTCCGACGCACCACCGTGCCGTTCCCGTGGCTCAAGGAGTACCGAGCGCAGCTCTTCAGGGAACTGCAGGAGTATCTCCACCACCCACTGCGCGTGCAGAAGTGGCTCGACAGCGGACGCGAGCTCGAGGCGTACCTGGAATAAGGGTCACTACATAGGTAGTGTTGGTTGTATGCAGTAGTAGTGCTAACATGTACGACCCCATTGCGATGCGATCGTGAAGGTGTCCGTCCATGTTGAACTGGTTCTGCGTCGTAGGCGTTGATTGGCTTGAGGCGTGCCGCGGCGTCGTTCTCTGCACGGCCAAGTCAATCACTTCCGGAGCTCGTGCCTCGGACGATTCCTGGCCGACCTCGGCGCCCGACGCATCATGTCATCCGCCGTTGGCCCTGCAGTACTTCGTCGATAAAACGTAGGATCTCCGCTCGATTGGGTGGCGATGGACCAGGAAGAACACGCAAGTCGACCGCTGTACCCCCATGGATTAACCACTTTGACTTTCAGCGGTGACCTCACAATACTCGGACGATGCCACCGACGGAGCAACGTTCGCCACCTTTGGTGGCCAGGGAGTTGACGGTGAAGCGGCAGTTCTTCGACCGCTGCTGAGCGTGAACGGAGTGGAGAGCAAGACCAAGAGCTCGCTTAGGATGAATACCAAGTCAAACTCCACCAGTGCTCGAGTATCGTTCCTGAACAGCTTGGCCCATGTGCTGCTCGTGGTTTCAATCGGCATCTACGTCTGGGGCCAAGTCATGTACCTGTCGCCGTCTATCCAGCTGAGCTTCATGACCGCCATCAGTCCATTCTGGAGCGTGCCGCTGACCCCGCCACCTCCCGGTTCGTCACTCAAGGCCTACGGTCGCTACGAGATGCTCGCCCCTACCTTCTTCGTGCTGTTCACCGTGCTACCGCTGCTGGCCAGTTTGTTGTTCTTCGAGTTCGTGCGCGACTACAATGTTCACCGACACACTGCGCGTCGAGTGCTTGCAGTTTCAGCCTTGCTACGTCGGAAGCCGCCGCGGATCTCTGGACTCCAGAGGGTGAGGGACTTTTGCTACGGCGAGCTGCTCTTCATCGCGTTCTTGGTAGTCGGCAACGTGGTCCTGTTCGTGTACGGCTGGATCAACCAGCGTCGAGTTCTCCCTCGCCCTGGTGATCCGTACGACTTCAACACGGTTCTGGAGCTCAGCGGGGTTGTCTTCGGCTACAGCTCCGTCTTCAACATGGCGTTCCTCTTCCTACCGTGCACGCGCCACTGCGCGTGGATGGAGTTTTTCAACATTTCGTACGCGAATGGCGTCAAGTACCATCGCTGGTTGGGAATGCTGGCCATCTACGGAGCGATCCTCCACGCGATTCCGTTCTATTGGCTTTGGTATCGTCAAGGCGTGCAGGCGAAGCAGGCGTTACCCTGCTTCGACTGTCAGCTGGACTACTGGCACATTGGCTATCCCAAGTGGTTCAACGTGTTTGGCGAGATCTCGTTGATCTTCATGCTCGCCATCCTCTTCACCTCGCATCCGTGGGTCCGTCGCCACTTTTTACTACGTGCACCACATGTACATCCCCGCCGTGATCTTCGCAGTGCTGCACTTCAACGTGATCGTGTGGTGGATGCTGCCGACTCTCGTACTCTACCTGTCAAGTCGAGCCATTTCACGCTGAAACTCGCTCTTTCCAGTCCAAGTGCTGGAGTTCACTCGACTGCCGGAAGGTCTTGTCAAAGTTGTGCTGGCTCGGTCAGCTAACCAGCTCGAAGGCGGCTTCGATATCGGACAATTCGTGTATCTGAACGTGCCCGCCATCTCCAAACTGCAGTGGCACGCGTTCACTATCAGCTCTTCTCCCCGAACAAGCCCGACGTCGTTGACGATTCTTGCGAAATCACTAGGAGACTGGACGGAAAACTTGGTCGAGCATGCACAGGAGTGTCGAGACAAGAGCAAACTTCCTGTCATGTACATGGATGGATACTATGGTGCTTCGCTCGCTGGATACGATGAATACTCCACGGTTTGTTTAGTTGGAGGTGGCATTGGCTCAACGCCGTTGTTCGCCATCTTGGAAGACATGGTGGCTCGCTTGGAGAAATGCAATCCGTCACTCCCAATGCAGCATGTATTCCTCGTCCTTGCAATTCGGGAGCTCGCGCTACTTGAAGAGATTTCTCCGGTACTTACGAAGATCAGACATCTTGATCCACAAGGTGCCCGCTTCACGCTCCGATTCAACTTGACGCGGATGCCAAGTAAGTTCACGCTGGACACCCCGATCGATTACGAGAGATTACACGGCAATTTAAGCATCGTCCACAATGCTGCCGATGCGCCAACGGGACTGTTCGCTGGGCTGCGAAGTGCTCCAGCACCATTCATTGAACCTCTCCGCTCCCGAGGAACGAAGATCGTATTATACACGGGTATGCTTCTTCCGGTCACTGTGTTGATTCTCTGGCTAGAATTTGATAAGGAAGGCTGATGGACCACGGCAACAAGACGCAGTACTGGCCTCTGCAGAACTTTGTCGAGATCTCAGTAGTCTTCCTGATCCCAGTCGTCGCGTACACTCTGTTGTTGTTGAATCGGTGGCGACGATCTCCTCAAAACTGCAGCATCAAGGATCCATCGCAGGGACATGACAGTGCGCGCTGCAACCTCCAGCATTCGACCAACGTCGCCTACAGCGGGTTCTCGGGATTTCGTCGAGAGCAACACAGGTCTAGGGACGCTGCGCGATTTAGTGGAGGAGTATGACGTCGCCTGCGGGTCGCGTCCAAACATGAAGCAGATTCTAGAAGAAGTGCACGCAAGGCATCGTGCAACTCCAGTGACAACATTTATTGGGGTGTTTATCTCTGGCCCTGAAGCACTCAAGGCTGCAACCGACAATGCAATCGCTGATCTAGGGCCCCACGATTTCGATGTTCACGAAGAAGAGTTCGAGTTGTAGTCAATAAACTCAACACCAGCAACCAGAGAGTATTTTTGCGTTACAGAGAGTGTGTGCTTGATCCTGCCGTTAGTTGCCGCAGTCACGGAAAGGGAGCGTGCTCGAACGCCTTACACCAGAAGACCGCGACACTCTGAAGAAACTCGACTGAAGCTTTCCATCGAGGCTTCAGCGAGCAGTGCTTCTTGGTCCTTGGGCGTTCTTGCGACTTGATTTTCTCCTCGAACCGCTTGCTTGAGCTGCCTTTGGCGCACACCTTCATGGCAGACAGCGCAAGTTAAGAAGTGAGCCAACCGTGTTGGAAAATTCCATGTCGATATCGTAAAAATAAGCCAGGCTGACATTGTTACCCAGGTGCTGTCGCGATACGCATCCTTTCAACACGCATTGAATCCATACTATTGGCATCTCTTCCCTGGTTTCTGATTCAGATACAAACGCACTTCGGAGCTTACTGGTCACGCACGCCTCAATAGCTCAAATACGACTCGACGTCGTGTCCGCTCTCAATCCACTTCTGCACTCGCTCGGGCTTGTGCAGCTCCTCCGTCAGCTCCTTGAGCAGCTTTTCACGGCGCGCCTTGAGCCACGGGAAGGGGGCCACTGAGCGTCGCACCTGCAGATACTCCTCGATCTCCTCCGCGTATATCTCCGGCTCCTCCTTGTGCGGGTAGCCGCGCAGTCCGAGCAGATGACGGTGCCCTCGTAGAGGCGAATGATCATGGTCTTCTCTCGGTACAAGATGTCGTCCATCGAGTAGAGTCTGCCGCACGAGTCGCACTCGCTCCCGGGCCTCGTCATGTCCTTCAACCTCTCTTCCATGACCTGGGCCTTGGCGACTTTACAGTCGCGTCGGTGGCTGTTTCTCTGCCCTTTAGTCGGGAAGTTGGCGCTGCACGCGCACGTGAACATGCGCAACTTCTTCTCCCGCTTGGGCCTCTTGGCCTGGACGTTCGGGGCCGAGTCTTCTCGCTGAGACTTCTAAGATCGTTGAATGACCAATAGTTGAAGTGAAGTGGCCAATCACAAGCCGCCGCGGATAAAGTTCACTTACCGCTTCCGCTCTATTTGGTGAACTGTATGGGAGATACCGGCGTGGATCTGCTGTTCCGTGCTCGGCGTATTGCCGGCAGTAGCACGGCGTAACTCGCTAGTAAAGCTAAGATGACAGTAGCTGCGTAGCCAGCGATATCCTGCGCGGGGAAGTATCCGGGAGGGTATCGCTCGCGATTGCTGGACCAGTCGTGTGTCGACACGATCCACGTTTCGTCCTTGACTCGGCGCTCGGCATTCGACACGAACTCGAAGTGCAGGTGCGTCGAGTTGTAGATGTGCACACGGCCGTAGCCGTGCTCCAGGAAGCCCTGTTCGCGCCAACGAGAGAGGTAGAACCCGGCGTCGTCCACCTTGTAACCACCTGACCCGACCATGAGGTGAACCGGTGCCATCGCCTTGCCGCTGGGTGACTCGATGCAGCGGTCGCCGAACACGGGACAAGTGCGTTCGTACGAGTGATAATGACCCGCGAACACGATGTCCACGTGGTGGTCGGCCAGCTCCTGTTCAAGTTCATCGCGGAATAACAGTGATCTGTAGTAGTCGCCCGAGTAGGCGACGGAGCAGTACAGTGGCCGATGGATGTACACGAACACCCAGGGCGTCTTCGAGCGGTCCACGGACTTGAGATCGTTCACCAACCACTTGTGCAGCGGTGAGCCTCGCACGAACTCGTGCTCACTGCTCACTACTGCGTGATGCGCAAGCCCCGTGTCGAAGCTGTACCAGTACACGCCGTTGCCATTATCAGGCATGTGGAACCTCTTCTCCGAGGGTATCCCACACTCGCCGTAGGATTGGTAGCCGTGAACGCCGTGCTTCTCGAAGGTCGGGTGAGCAGGCCACTTGACAGGGTCTTTCTTCACCCCTTCCTGGAAGCCGTAGTCTGTATATCCATTAAAACCCGCAAGGTATTCGCGTTAGTAGACAAACGTTTAGCCCCTACGGGGTAAAAATGTTATAGCAACGTACCGTGGTTGCCCATGCTGATCATATAGGGAAGACGTGCGGCAGCGTACTCGATGAGGTGGCCGAATTGGTCCCAGATATAAGTCGACCCCATGGCGTAAGCCAAATCCCCGACATGCATAACAGCGACGTATCTGTGCTTACTTGGGTCTGCTGCAGCCTTCTCCATGTCTTCGCGAATGAGCTGCATGGTGGTGCCGCACTTCCCATTATCCTCTGCAAAATTGTCCGTCGCTCCAACCGGCGAATTCAGATCTCCATAGACAAAGAAACTCATACTCGATCCTTCCGCATCGTCCGCAAGGCGATTATTCCCAACAGCAGGCGGCATCCTGAACTCCAGCACATCACTCTTCTCGCCCTTCTCGTCGCCCACTTGGTAGTAGTACCGCTTACCCGCCTCCAGCTTGGTCATCACGGCGTCAAAGATCTGTCCCGGGTCTCGGTAGTTCCTGGGGAATACCGTGGTCGCCGGTCCGAGGCACATATCGTCCGCCGCATAGCTGCTCTGGGTGGCGCGCTCCACCCTCTCCAGCTTGTCCTTCTCCTCCCCGAACATCACCACGGGGTTCGACACATTGTCGCTCACCCACTTGACGCGCATCTCGTCCGCCTTCTCCGTCAGCGCCAGGTGCACCTGCAATGGCTGCGTGGGGCCGCGTCTGAACCTCAATAGCTTCGTCTCGCCCAGCACTTGATCATCCCTCGTAACAAACCGCAGCAGCCACGAGCAGCGCATGTTGACCAGCGGCCCGACCTGCACGACCCCCGAGCCTTTGTCGTTTGTCAGCACCGAGTCCATAAACTGCGGCACGATCGGCGTGCGATTGGCACGCTCATCGGCGGCGCTCACGCAGTAGGCGTGCACCCTGTCCTGGCCGTAGAACTTGGGCTGCGGCGCCTTGTACTCGAAGGCCACCTCCACGGTGTCCAGGTTGTCCAGCACGCTCTGGTTCACCTCGAAGCGCGCCAGTCGCCGCGGGATGTTGAAGGCGTCCTGGACCTCCAGCGCGTTCTGGTCGTCCCGGAGGGACTGGGTCGACCTCTCCGTCGCGTGGAGCAGCGAGACGACGACGACGAGTCCCACGACGGCGATGAGCCAATGCAGGGGCCGGCTCCTGGACGACGCGGAGGCCTTGCGGGGGCGCGTCTGCACGTCGGAGGAAGGACGAGGGTCGTAGGACTGCGGGGACGACGGAGAGAGGAACGCGCGCCGATCCAGGGACGCGTCCGAGCCGCGCGACGTCATGATTCGCGTGCTTCTGGGCCAGATCGGAAGTGAAGAGATGGGTACAGCGCATACAGTTGGGGAGCAGGTTTTAGGGGGAAATGGCGCTGTGGGCGAAATGCTGGTAAAGTGTAGGGAGGAAAGTTGAAGTGGAGGAGAACGCTTGAGGACGCTATGGAGCTGTAGGGAAGCAAAATCTATTCAGACTAAGCGATTATATATACGGGTTCGCTCGATCAACTACTGTAGCTATGCTCGACCATGCACGGCCGATTGGTGCTTGGATACCCTTCCGCACCTTCGTATCAGCTCAACGTCGATCAACTTGACTGACTGCGCCAATAGGAAGCGTAACCTTCCGCTGCTGTTGTTTAGACGAGTCCGAGGTAGCTGAATAGCATGAGCGCTATCCAGAGGTAGCTGAAGGGCACGCCCATGATCCACAGCAGGAAGAAGATCAGCAGCAAGTTGCCGCCGCCAATCCGGTACTGCGAGAGGCGGCCATTGGCCTGCGGTCGGTTGTCGCCAGCAACGTTCGGTCCACCCGGCGCACTGCAGCCACAGCAACAACAACAGCAACACATCAGTATAATCGCTTCAACCTACACCTTCGACACCAGTCCATCAAGCTCAGTAACTCACCGCTGCCTCTGGTTCACGCGGTGCATGCGCATGCCCGGCATGCCCATACCGGGAGCGCCACCGAAGGACGTGAAGGTGAACCCCGGTCCGAACTGCGAGACGTGCACGCGCGATCCCCCAAAGTTGTGCATGCCTCCGCCTCCGCGCATTCCTTCCTGGAAGAACATGGAGAACGGGTCCTGGCCGCCGAAGAACGTGCGGAAGATCTCCTCCGCATCCTGTCCCTGGAACGGGTGCATACCGGGGCCGGCGCCGCCGCCTCCAGCCGCTCCACCCACCCCCGCCTTGCCAAAGCGGTCGTACTGACGCCTCTTGTCTGCATCGGACAGCACCGAGTACGCCTGCAGCAGCAAACGAATCCAATACTGTCAGCACAGCTGCACGACTACAAGGCTCTACCAGCTGTGCATGTACATGCACGGTAGTTACCTCTCCGATCTCCTTGAACTTGACTTCAGCCTCCTCTTTGCTGTCCAGGTTCTTGTCTACAACAGCGCGTACAATGGGGAGAGGTCAGCCGCCGTCGCTTCACGGCAGCAAGGCAGGCAGGCAGGCGGGCGGGCACGGGACCTGGGTGGTAGCGGATGGCCAGCTTGCGGTAGGCGCGCTTGATCTCGTCCTCCGTGGCCGTCTTCTGGATGCCCAGCGTCTCGTAGTAGTCCACGTCGGCCATGCTCGCGCTCGTCGCTAACTGGTCGTGGGTACTAACTAACTGACGCCTACTAACACTACGGCCAGGTCCACTCCGTTCTCTGCTGACTCGTGCGACCTCGTTAAGCGAATACTTCGTGTGCGCCACACCAATGATAGCAGCGTGTGCATAAACGCGATCACGTGCGTAACGGATACCTTTACCTCTAAAGATGGCTACACTTGACTACATGTACGTGGGAATAGTTTTTGTCTCGCGTTAGCTAGGAAGCTTGCTTTGCAGGGGTTTCCTGGCTGTATTAATAGGAGCTCTCTTTCGTGCGAAGATGGAGCTTTCATCCTGGCTGCCGCTTCTCAATCTGCTCTTGCCAAGTGTACAATAGCCGTTTTTGGCCTCACGCTCTGCAGGTGACTGGAGCTCGAACGTTCTTCTTGCCAGCACTAGCACGACGCAGACATGACCGTCGTGATGCCTTTGAGGCCGGTCCAACCGGGGCCGCCGGTTCAAGCGAACGTCTCCAAACGACACATTCAGGCAGCGCCACGACGATCGGTACCGCGCGCCGTCGTGCTGGTACAGCAGCCGACTCACCCGGTGTTGTGCTTCTTCGAGGACCGCGACGTCGAGCAGAAATTCCAGACATACTTTCGGCGTGAGTGGCAGACCGGCATCGTGGGTTATATGGTCGTAGTGTTACTGGCCTTTGCAGCATCGTGCTATGTGTCTTCGAACGCGGCAACCCTTGCTATCACCGAAGCGTACGCCGAATCCATCTTCTCCGAATTAGCGAAAGATTCCGAGCTATCAGCAGCAAGCGACGACAAAGTTTTGTTATCGGCGGCAAGCTTTTCGCACGCGCTTTGGCTAACAAACGGGGAGTTTGCGTGTTTCGCGACTATCCTTTACGTGTTGGCAGCAGTCTGCATATTTCATATTTGGCGACGAACAGGCGAGTATCGCTTTGCCAAGGTGCGGCTGGACCCGGTGCAACTTGTGCTATTGTTTTTTTACCACTGCACTATTATCCCGCTCTTTTTGGTCGTCTTTGCGGGTATCGAGAAGCAGACTCGACTTGCGAGACAGCTTTCTGAGATCCATGTCGAAGACGTAAGACTCACTTCTATTTTGCTTGGTGAGGGTTTTTTGGATAGCTTGCTTTTCATGGAGTTGCTTGGAGCTTGCGTCTGTACGGGCTTACTGCGCCTACAGTTCACCTACGCGATCGTAGTGGTCGCTGATCTTTCTCTAATAGCGATTGTGGCCACGGGTGTGCACGCCACCACTCAGGTCGTGCTCAGCCGACGATTATCAGTGTTAGCTGGATTTCTCATTCTACTGTTCTTCTTTCTTCGTATCGTACGGGAACAAGAGCGCAGCACCCGCCGCGAGTTCCTTACATCTTTCCACCTGGTCACGGAGGCGCGTCGTTTGAGTAGCGCCAACCTCGAGATGAAGGAGGAACTATCAGGCAAGCTCAACTACCAACTTCACTACGAAATGGGCGACATCCTACGAATTCTCTGCCAGATCAAGGTCAAAATGAGCGCCACGGAGAAGCGCGACATCGACAAGATCATCACGGCGCTCGTGCGCAACCACGACCTGTTCGAGGTCACACTCAGCTCGAAAATGCCGGAATTTGAAGAGGAGGTTCAAGGCTGGCTGCACATGATGGACTTCAGAGACCATCCAGCTGAAGAATCGGCTCAACCGAGACCAGGCAGCGATGGTCGTCGCTCTCGCCATTATTCCCTGTCCAATGACATTCTTCGCGTGGCAATATCGCGTCGATTAAGCACCAAAAAGGTTTCTTTGGAGGGCTCGCACGCCAGCGACGACGGCCGAGGCCGGTTGTTGCGCACCAATAGCAACTTGGACGAAGCGTTTGATGCAGTGATCAGACCGCGGGAGCACGAAGACCTCTCGGTATGGCTCATGGATCGTATTCAAAACCACTTCTTCGTCGATATGTTCTACCTGGAACAGCACTGTCTTGCTCCCCTTCAGGCGGTGTTTTTGGCGTGTGTAAAAATTAATGGTCTGGTCGAACGCCTTGAACTGGACGAAATGAAGCTCGCAAGCTTTGCAGCTGCAGTAGAAGAGCGCTACCACAATCGGAATCCGTACCACAATCATGTGTAAGTTCGAGTTCGCTAGTCTCTAAATTGTGAGAGTCACCTAACGATATTTTCTCTTGACATTCTACAGACATGCAGCAGCAGTGATTGCCGATATCAACTTCTACCTCCGTCGGGTGCACCTGAATGTTGACGACAGCACGCTACTCGTTGGACTGGTAGCCGCAGCGGCGCATGACATTTCTCATCCGGGAGTCTCGAACGGATTCCTCATCGCCACCAGATCCAGCTTGGCCATCACCTACAGTGACGACTCCGTGCTGGAACGCATGCATGTTGCCGAGCTGTACCGAATTTTATCTCACGATGCGTTTGACATTTTCGCTCATATGCCCGCCCCTGAACGTGCTGAGGCTCGTAAGATCATCATTGGGATGATCCTCGCTACGGATTTGGCACGGCACTTTCAGCGCATTTCGGTGCTCAAAACGAAAAAGTTTGCGATGTCAGAAGAGGCACAAGGACTGGAGCTCTCGCTGCTCATGGAGACGATGCTCATGCTGGCAGATATTGGGCACACGGCCAAGCCGTTCTCGTATCATCAAACGTGGGCGGAGCGGATATCGGAGGAGTTCTTTCGACAAGGTGAAACGGAGGAGCACAACCACATGCCGATATCTCCACTATGCGATCGGAAGCAGGCCAACCTACCTCGAAGTCAGGTCACATTCCTCACCTTGGTGGCGACGCCCCTATTCGAGACGGCTGGCCAAGTGTTCTCTATCGATGAATACGACACCGTGATCTCGGAGCTGCGCAACAACATCACTATGTGGAAAGAGCGCATTGAGCACAACGATGGGAATGTCCTGGAGACGCTGTCGGCGGATTCGCACAAGAACAAAGCACCAAAAGACAACGCCTGATAACCCAAATGTGCCATGGGAGTAGTGTAAAGCTAGAATATATGTAGCATTACAGACCTGGCTTCTTTCACACAAGGTCAATGAAGTACCGAATAAAAAAAGTAAGAGCCGAGAGCGGAGGAGTTACGAGAACTCGACCTTCTCGCCGTACTCGGTGTAGTAGTTGGCCACCGACACCGACGACTTGTCCGCGTCTTCCGTGTCGAACCAGACGCGGCACTTCTCGTACGGGGGCGAGTACAGATGCATGGAGATGGCGTCGCACTCCTGGCTGGGGTTGCCCACCTTGTGCAGTCCGAACGAGTCGTCCATGTACGTGACCCCCGAGGTGAGGACGATGTTGGACGTCTCCACGAGCTTGTCGTCCTGCTTCTGGTACCGGACTTCGTTCACGTGTCCCTGGATGACTTTGACCCAGCACCCGTCCGTCGGGTGGTCGTGGATCGGGCTGTACTTGCCTCGGTTCCAGCACAGCAGCATGAGCGCGTACGTCTCGTTGTCCGTGGAGATGAGGTTGCGCGTGTAGTTACGCGACGGGTCGAAGTGCGCAAAGCGCTGCAGCTCCTCCATGTTCACGGGGAAGTCTCTGTCAATTCACCGCCGATGCATCAGTACACAGTCCGTCACGACAGCTAGAGAAAATGAATGCATATAGATAGATCGTTCTTCCTACTCGAGCAGTTGCTGGAGCTTGGGCTTGTGCTTAATGGCGAGCTCGGGGTCTCGTCCAAGCTCGCGCTCCAGCGTCTCCACCAGTTGCGCGAGGTCCATCGGAGTCGCGGCGTTGGGCACGTTGGCCTTCACAGGGCTGGGATACGACGTCTGCGGCGTGGCGAAGGTCGATATGTCCATGATACTCTCCATTCTTCTTCGTGTTCTCTGGGATCGGGTTGTTCGCTCTAAGCAGCGAACGAACGGTCGCCATCTCCTTCGTGGTATAAGGCATTCCGGTGCTTCAGTTCCCCGGCTAAGTGCGAGTGAAGCCATATCAAACGCTCGCTCAACTTCAAGAACCAGGCTAAGAAATGTTGCACTGTCGTTACGTGGTGTACTACTCGTACAGCTTATGCTGTGTGTGGTGTCTTGTTCCGGTTTGCTTGAAGCTCCTTGGAGTCTGGGTGCAGCCAGTTGCTGTAGGGCACAACAAACGGCCCCCGCAAGCGGCTGAGCTGGCGGTCCAGGCATTTCTCGATGCTGCACAGGTGGCGGATGTAGGCCAGCTTCGGCCACGCAGTGCGCTGCCCGCCCTCAATGTAGTCGTGCATTTCCTGCTTGGTCGGGTTCTGGATGGCCTTGATGCCGACGGCCTCCTGGAACGAAAACTCGGGCACGAGGGTCACGTTACCCGAGAAATTCTGCCGGAAGTACGCGCTGAACTGGTGGCCGTAGATCTTGGGGAACAGCCCGAGGAACGCCAGCATCTTGAGGCGGTGACGCACGTCGGCTGCGATCACGCTCTCGAGCGTGTGGAAAATGCTCTTGCGAAAGCCAGGCTGGTTGATCTCGTCGCCCACGAACGGCACGACGTGTGGGTTCACCTGGGATACGATGAAGTTGGTCACGTTGAAGCAGCTAGCCATCGTCTCCATAGGCAAATCGGCCTGGATGCTGCCGTCGCACCACTCCTTGCCCAGCGAGTTGTACGGCACGACATTGCCGTCAAAGTCGCGCGCCATGAGCTGTTTGCTCTTCATAATGCCAGGCAGCGAGCAGGAGCACGCCACGGCACTCCAAAGCAAAACGTGCGGCGAGTTGACGTGGTCCAGCAACAGTTTCTTGGGGCCTTTGTGCGCACTGTTGACGTCCGAGGCCGAGACAGTAATGCACACGTGACGACCAGTCTTGAGGTAGGCATCCTGGAACGTGTAGTACATCGTCTTCTGCACCTCGTTCAATGGCTCGCCGTAGTAATGCTGGGTAGTACGCTCGAACGTCGAGCACTCAACCAGGAAGCCCGTCTTGATGCAATGTGTTATCTGCTCCAGAAGCGGTGGGAACCAGCGAATGCCCAACGGAATGAATCTCGTCGACACGTCGTCCTGGATGATATCGTCCAGCAATTCCTGATTGGTCTTGCAAGCGATCATGGCTGCTGTGATAGCACCTCCAGACGACCCAGATACGATGTTGGGCATTAGATCTGCTTCGAGCAGCGCCTTGATAATGCCTTTGTGATACATGGCGATGGAGCCGCCTCCACTCAGACACAACGCCGTCGACCCGAACGACTGCTTGATGTGCTTGAAAAATTGGACCTTTTCCGCAAGCGGGAACTCGTCCTCGCTCGCGTTGCCAAGCATCTCCAGCGCACGCACGACAGCGTCATTGTACTCGTTGATCACGGCTTTAGTGCCAGACTTGCACTCGAGGTGCAGGCTGGGCGAGTCCACGCCCAGTTCGTTGCGCATCACGCAGGCCGAAATCATGTACCGCAGCTCTCGAATATTCGGCTTCTTTTCATTCATGGCGCGCGTCAAGGCAGTGAAGTTCTTTTTCAACTGCACAAAGTCACAATACTCCAGGTCCTCGTCCGAGATGGTGGTTTTCCAGTGGTCTTTCCCCTCCAGCGTGTCCAGGTACTCGGCCATCTCCGCCCACACCGCGTGTGTCGGAGCTGTTTTCATTAGCTGCCGCAATGCTACAGCCTGTCGGTTGCGAACGCCGAAGATACTGGAATACCCGCGTCGGAGCAGCGCGATCACGACCTTAACGAACTTTACTGTGAAGTAGCACGACATGGAGAAGAGAATGCGCGCCAATTGGTACAGTGCAATCCCCCACTGCAGCGTCACGCCTGCCTGCAGATACAGGAACCAGCCGATGACCTTGTACTTGCGGAGGAGAATCAAGCACGTGATCGTCAGCGTGAGCGCCGCAGTGACCTGCGGACTGTTGAGCATTCGCTGCAGGACAGACACGAACGAGCTGGACGGCTTGATCTCGAGCTTCTGCATGGCCGTCCACCCGTCCGTGAAGACGACGGAGGCGTTTCCTGCCGTCCACACCGCGCGATCGTGCACTTGCGCGGCGAGACGCGGGGTCTCGACCATCGCCAGTGCAGCCGTCGGTACCAGGTAGTAGCTGGCAATGGCTACCACCAAGACAGCGCTGGTCACGTTGGCGATGAACTGCGCGATGCGCTCCGAGTCCTTCCACGCGGCCTTGGGCTGCAGCACCAGCGGCATCGTGTGCTCGCTGGCTGTGTGCGGCAGCTCCAGCTTCACTTGCGGGGGTGACGGTGGCCTCGGCACTGCTGTCCTCGGCATGTTTGTCTGAGACGAGCTCGTCGCAAAGAGTTGAACCGGCGTGGACACTCCTGGACCCCACGCTTCAGCTCCGACCGGTAGTGGTCCGTATTACCGACTTGATATTATCGGGCGGTGAGGAAACCTAACGGAATATGGCCCGCCGCTTGTTGCTTGGTGTCGACCTGCGGCTGTTGCGGTCTATTTGGGCAATGGCGAGCGGCGTGCAGTCAGAAAGGGATCCGCTGCTCAAGCATATGTACACGTTTGCAGGACGGTCGCGGTACCTACTTTTCTCAGATTTCTTCAGATTACGCTGGCGATCAGTGGCAGCAGCGGGGTCGTACACAAATGGGTGCAACCGGTGGGCAGTGCTCCGGCCAATCGCTGGGTTTCTGCCGCGTTTTGTCCACTCAGAGACGACGAGCGCGCCGACTGGACAAAACTCGGATTCGAAAAATGATGCCGTGCTGTCACGCGGATTGCGCTCTTGAAGCAAGATCTCTTTGGAGGACGTTGGAGGGCATTGGACCAACTTGCCGTGCTTTCGCATGATAGTTCGGCCTGATGTACTGTCGGTCGCTAGGCGCATTGGAAGCTCATTCTGAAGTTAAGACGTCGCGTCTTAACGCGATGGGGATGAGCAACAAGTTGAAGTTGTCGACGATCCACTCGCTGCATTCCGGTGGAGCAGGGAGCATCGCTGTTCACGCAGCCAGCCATCGGCCATGGCGTGCACGGCAGTATTGCATCCGCACACTTCATCTCTCGTGTCATGACAGCTCAGGTCGCTTGCTATGAATTCGTTCTTCTCCTTTCTTAAACGAAAATTATGAGTGAACTTCGCTCTACGAGGGTACCTTCTCGATGCATGGCCCCATGACTCGTGGTCCGTGGCACGGACGCATTGGCAGCCGAGTGGCTCACTCGGTGAGGGCCAAGCCAACTTAAACGCTGATGTGTTGCAAGCCCGGAAACCCATGTACCGTGTCGGGAACGGTGACTTTAAAAAAGCATTCTAAAGCCAACACCGTGCGCGCACTCTGGCGCATGACTCTCTTCAGCGTCAGCCTTGTTCATTTCAATCTTGGTTCACTTCAACGCACAGTCAAGGTGATTTCTGAGGACGCGCTGCCAATCAGTGATTGGCCAGCGCGTCCTCATGTCCGGAGGGTAGCGTGGACAGAAAAATACTGAAATACCCCTTTTAAAGTTTCCAAGAGTGCCCCCTCGTATTACTAACTTAAGGAAATCCTGATGATGAAGGGAATAGATTGTACGCTATTTCGACCTGTAGTGTGTTAGGACTACAGAACATGCATATAGTTAGTCCTTGAAATGGGCATGATCGACCAGCCACACAAACCTTCCTACTAAGTACTGTATGGAAAATATACTTTTTTTCCTTCTAAGCTGCTTAACAACGTCCACGGTGCGAAGCAGGGTTCGCAACTACAATACTCGCTCTGGATGGGTTTGTGCGAGCGATGCAGTCTAAACACGAAAGGAGCACGGAAGGCGGCTATGAATGTGGGCAAGATCAAAGCGGCCAACCACCTTAAGTGGTGCTCATCCAATTCATTATCGCTGTTTAACAGCAAGGCCGACGGAGAGCAGAGAAATAAGACCGCCACACACGAAGATATGTTTAAGAAGTTCTTACCGCTTACCTTCCAGTCCACTACCATTTGACGGTGAATAACATACATCCTTCCCTTTATCAGTGACGTGAGGATGATAGCCCCGCTGCCTCGTGGCGACTGTCAGTATCGGTAGACGCAGATTACTGAAGTCACAGCATTGGCTGTACGGAAACCTGGAGCAGGTCAAAAGGGATTATGGAGGTTGTGTATGCATTCCGCGTACGACGGGCTGAATCCTTCTGGATACCGCCGCCAGCGCCATTCTCGAGGAAGTGGATGCCGAGCGGCTGCGAGTAGTCGTGCTTCTCGCCGCGTGTGGCCGTCGAGCCACACGGGCACGCCCGAGCCGCGCAGCTGGCCAAACCACGTCTCCAGGTTGTGCCTGGCGTAGTGGTGGTACGTGGTGTAGTGCGAGTTGATGATCTTCCACGTGGCCGTGGACTGCTTGACCTGCTGCGCGATCATGTTGTGCGCGTCAGCGCCCCACGCGTTGAACTTGCTCACACGCTGGTCGAGCATGACGTTGTCGCCGCAGCAGCAGTACTGGTGGCTGCGGCGGACGTTGCAGCAGGTGGCGCTGTCGCCGTTCGAGTAGCCCCAGCACTGGCAGCAGATCTGCATGGTGCCGTGGATGCCGCCGTCGTTCGTATCCACGTTGAAGATATCGATCAGGGTGGAGAGTGACCTCAGCACGCTGAAGCGTACGACGAGCCGAGACTCAGCAACTACGCGATGGAAGGTGAGGTGTAATGTTCGGTGCCCTCCAAGCCGAGCACTCTAGCGTAGACCACCACCTATACATTCTTATACATGCTCGTAGTGCCCCTTTCTAGTTTTCAATACACAGACATACAATTATGATCTGGCTACCCCTTTGAAAGCCCCAGGAGTACCCGATATACAAAAGGGGCATGATTTGCAAAATGCCCCTTGCGCCGCAAGGCTTGCGGACGTGATTGGCATCTGCCGATGCCGCGTCTATTGCAGTGACGTGACAAGCATTCTGAAGTGGGTGGCAGAGGGTGGGGCATTCCCTGGAAGCGTCTTCACGCGCAGTCTCAGAGGTGGAATGCTTCTGCGCGGCGCGGCGCCTCCGTCATTGAGCCCCCTCTAAGCGATCTGCCATCATTCAAGCGATCATGTCCTTGGCCTGTGCATCATCTGCGCCTATGGAGTCGCCCGTGGCTGTCAAAGTCAAGAAGATCAAGACCACGAAGCCCCGGGAGGTGATGCTGGGCATCTGCGGCGGTGTCGGCCCTGCCGCTGGGCTGCTGCTGCACCAGCTCATACTGCAGAACACTGACAGCGCCGGAGAGGACCAGGGTCACCTCAACGTCTGCCACTTCTCGCGCTCCGAGGACATGACGGACCGCACCGAGTATCTGGTCTACGCCGCGAGCTCCAGCGCCGACGCTACAGACTCCGACTCCGAGTGCGGCTCGTGCTGCAGTGAAGTGTCCTGCGACTCGGTCAAGGAGGTGGAGAACCCGGCGTGCGGAATGGCCCGGACGTTTGCGATGATGCACGCTGCTGCCACTGCAGGACGCGCGCGGCTTGTGGTGGGCGTGCCGTGCAACACGTTCCACGCACAACCGATTTGGGACGAGTTCATTCGACGTACAGGCCATGCAAGCGATGTAGATCATGTGCATATGCTGGCAGAGACGGTGGCCTACGTCGAAAAAAAGCTGCCTTCGTGCAAGCGAGTTGGATTGATGTCTACGACTGGGACGCGCAACTCGCGCGTGTATCACGATCTACTGGAGCCTCGCGGGTACACAGTTGTTGAGGTGAATACAGGAGCTACGCAACAGGAGCTGCACGAATCGATTTATAACCGCGAATGGGGAGTGAAGAGCACAGCTCCGTCGGTATCAGCAAGGTGTGAAGCGAACTTCCACCGCTATGCTAAGCAGCTGCAAGAACAGGGAGCTGAAGTCATCATTCTCGGCTGCACCGAGATCCCGTTTGTATTTGCTGGCAAGACGCACTTTGTTGGTATTCTCCTCATTGACCCGATGGTGGCGCTTGCACGCGCTATGATTCGCGAAGCAGACCCCTCACGACTGAAGCCCGTTGATTCAACCAAGAAGGTGCCAAACATGTATTCTGTCGTGCCACTGAGTGTATCAAAGGCCTCATCAGCCCCGCTAGTGCCATTGAAGTACGTTGGTGCCACGACAGCAACGACACCATCGTCGAAGATTCCCCGTGCCAATTGTTCGTGAATACCTCGAAGTATCTGTAGACTAATAGACCTAGAACCAGGCAGCTTGTCCAGCCTTTGCAACGAGATAATGAGAGCGTCGATAGTTTTTATTTGCAACTAAGGCCTTACATCAACGACGACAACTGGTTCAGGAAGTCCGTCGCTTTTTCAGACGCAGCCGAGTCGCGCGATGTATTCAATTGGGCCGGCTCCTCGTTCTTCGTCGTCGCACTCTCTCGCTGCTTGCGCAGACGTTCTAAGCGTAGCTGCTTCCTTGTTTTTCTGTTCACCGCACCCGACGACGAAGAGTGCGTCAGCGCCTGCGCAAGCGTCGCTCGCTCATGCACTTCCTGCAAGTGTTTCTTCTCGGTGGCTTTCAGTCGCTTCTCCCACTGCGAGACCACGAAGCTGCCGTCACCAGCCTTGCCTTCTGCACCATCGTCCTCTTCTGGACAATTACGACGGTGCTTCTCCACCTCATTGCGACGCAGGTCACTCTCATATTGCTGCTGTTTGCCCAAGAACGCAGCGTATTCCTCACTGTCCGTCGCAACGCTTCTCGTCCGCCCGAACTCGTCCGTGATCTCCACCAACGTCTTCTCCTTGGCACTCACCGCCTCGGCCATATACTTCTTGGCTTCAAAGTCCACCAGACACTCTCCCTTCAGATTGTCGCTGCCTCCTCCATTGGCCATCTCCTCGTACAGCTTCGCCTTCTTCTGTAGCATCTCCGCTGACTTCTTCCTCCACGCTTCGTCGTCGTCTTCGTCCGGCGCTTCTCGCTGCTTGGCCTCCTCATCGCGTCGACTGCGGGCCTCCACTCCGCTGTTGCGACTCCTCTTGCCCACGCGGTCCTCGTCCGACCGCTTGCGCCGCTTGCTGCCGCCTCGCAGGTGCGCGTACTTGCCCAAACGAAGAGCCCCGTGACCACTGGAGCGCTCTTCGTCGTTCTCGGCCGCTAGAGCCTCCTGCAGACGGCGCTTCCGCTCCTGGTCCTTCTGGTAGACAACCGCCTTGAGGTCCACGAGAGACTTGCCGTCCACCTTGATCTCCTTGGCCTTGGACGGCACCAGCGCCGACTCCGTCAGGAACCCGAGCGACATCGCGTCCTTGATGTCGCGAATTTTGTGAATTGTAGCGTATTTGTGAATATTTTGTGACCTTTTTTGTCGTTACGGACGTTGTCTTGTGCGAGCGTCCAGCAGAGCTAAATGTGTACATGTTCGCTGCATCTTGCCAACCTGTGCGATCGCCTTTATCTGACCTAGTTCTGCACGGGCACTATGTTCCGGCGCAAGCCGGTCAAGGCCCTGGTTGTGGCGGGGGATGCTGAAGATGATACCGAAGCCACGATCCTCGAAGCCGGTGGCGAGGAGACTGAAGCACCAACCCCGACTCAAGTCGCGCAGCAGGAGCCCACTGCAGTTCCAACAACCGTCCCGGTGACTAAAAAGCTGCTCGGCAGGTTGAACAAACGCGACAGCAAGGTGCAGGCTACGCCGGACGCTGCAAACACCCCACGACGGAGCAACACGTGGTCTCGCTCCACAGGGAGTCTGCTGAGGCTGGCGTCGGACAACGCGACCATCAACGTACTGCGGATGTCGCTGTTCGAGATGCAGGACCGAGTGAGCTACCGCTGGGTGCTGCATCCGCAATCGCCTCTCAAAACGTCGTGGGACCTTATGAGTGCATTCATCGTTGTTTACTACTCGTGGATTATCCCGTTCATGCTGTGTTTCGACTGGTACGTGCCGTCCCATACTACGAATGTGTTTATGAAGGTGCTGGATGTGTGGGGCTTCCTGGACATTGCACTGCGACTCCGAACGGGTATTATCGAGTACGGCGCCGTGATAATGAACCCACGCAAAATTCGCAAAGCATACATCCGCTCGATTTGGTTCCCCATCGACATCGCCTCCTCGTTCCCTTTCGAGTATTTTATCAATGACACCTCGACCAGCGTATCAACAAGGAAGACCATCAAGATGATCAAGTACATTAAACTGCCGCGCTTACTGCGTCTCGGTCGCTTTGTCAAGTATCTGAAGCGGTACAAACGCTACTCGAGCGTCACTATTTCGCTCAATACGGTGGTCTTCTCAGCTCATGTGGCTGGATGTTTGTGGGTTGCGATTCTAAAACCGTGCGCAGACGCTATTGAGGCCACTCGACCGCACTGCCAAGACGGCGGCGAAATGGATGTCTACTGGGTCGCTTTTCACCACGGCATGGTGTCGCTATTGGGCGTATCGGCCACACACGTTGAAGCCAGCGACCGATTTCTCAGCGGCGGGTACAACCATTCCTCCAGCGACGACATAAACAGCTCCGTCTACCTCTGGTCCGTCGCATTGTCAGTTTATGGTGCTGTCTTGACAGCTATCCTCTTTGGCACTATCGTCGGTCTCGTACAGAGGTACATACCAAGTCTGGTACAGTTTCCAGGGCTGATTACTAGCAACGTTGACATGATTTTTTTGTTCTGCAATGAAGCTGGAACCGGGCTGAAAACGCGTTTAGGAAGAAGATGGATCATGTCACTCACGAGATGGACGCACTGAGCTTACCAAAGCCACTGCGGGTGTGTTGCTTATTTTGTTTTCGCTGTAACTGAGTGGGCGTGCTGATATCGTTGTGCTTGCTAGGCACGAGTGACGGCGTACTACGACTACCTCTGGCTGAACGTACGTGGTCTACATGTCTTTTTTTTCATTGACTTCCTCAGGCTAACTCGTTGGAGTGCCACTACAGAATCGAGCTTTGTCCGAACAGCTCAATTTGCTGCACGATCCGGGTATGTCATTGACTTTGAGGAGACAAATTGCGATCTACCTGTTCAAGGACAACCTGCAAAAGATCCCGTTTTTCCAGCTAGCCACAGACGCCGTGCTGGGAATGATCTGTATGCAGTTGCACCAAGTTATCTACATGCCGGACGACTTCATCATCCAAGAGGGAGAAATCGGCAAGGAACTGTTCATGATCGTGAAAGGCATCGTCCGTGTGCTGCCACCCAAAAAGTGCAAGAAGCCGCAGGACGAAACGATCATCCTCCTATCACAGGGAGACTTCTTTGGCGAGATCGGAGTGGTGATGGAGGTCGAACGCACGCGCAGCGTCAAGGCTGAGTGTATGGCGGAGCTCTGCGTTCTAGCTCGAGAGGGTTTCGACAAAATTTTGGTAGAATTTCCGGAATTCGCTACTGCTATGAAGAAGCTGATCGTGAAGCGCGTGGGCGAGATGTGGAAAGATGAAGGCCCTGAGCGCATGGAGAAGATGACTGCACTAGCCGACGCCAAGATGAAAAAGACTATCCAGGCCTACAAGAACATGGAGAAGCTGCGCAACAAAACTCGGGCTCTGGCCAACTTTCGTCCACGGTTGTCGAACTTGCTCAGTACGTCTGATGCTCTGACACCGCACAATTTGCGGGGTGATCAAGGAAGCGGACGTGCTTCGGACGAAATTGTTGCTGCTGCTGCCGCCGCCGCCGCTGCCGTTGCTGTTACTTCCGAGAACGCTTCTGCGGCGTCAGCCACGATTCCGAACAAAACCCCTCTTGGCCCGATAACCGAAGACTCCCTCGTCGACGAAGGCAAAACACCACCTGAAACCAGCAGGTACAATTCCATATCGGATCTGGCTCATGCCGTAGGTGAGCAGTTCAACAACCCGGCCAGCGACGCCACTGCCGTTTTGGGGGTACATGTAGCAGATCGAAGACCGGAGCGCGGAGCAGTGCACCCCGTTGCACGAAGCACCGCAGCGACACAGCAATTGCAGCAGTTGGAGGCTCAACTGCGACTGGTTGAGCAGAAGATGGAGACGAAGATGGCCGACCTCGACAACAAACTCGAGCAGATCCTGCGTCACCTCGCGCCTGCCAAGCCGAATGCGCTGCCTCCGATCGCTTCGCCTCCCATCTCGTTTCGACGAGATCCGTCGTTCCAACAGTGACAAAGCTGGAGGAGCGCAGCAAGACACGAACTGCAGAGAGCAAGGAAGCACCGGAATTTCGGGCGAATGAACGAATCTGATAAAGTTGGTTGAAGTACTTTGAGGTCGAGGCGGAGATCGCTCGAACGACATAATGAAGACGTCCCCACCGTCTCAAATCCCAAGCACAGCACGTCCCGATCTTTGGGACAGTCGTTGACGCACTTGCCTGCGGCACCGCCTCCTAAGGAGGCTCCTTGGTGTGGACGGTGTCATGCGTGCAAAGTGCTGTGCATCGGTCGCGTTCCCACCGGATAAGACGCTCGGCCGGGTTCATCGGCACGCGTGCACCGGTGCAAGCAGGAGTCGGCATGGTGCAATTGGACGGTCTCGTTGCCGTCGGCGGTATCCGTACCCCAGGACCCCGAGCATCAAAGGCCGTACATACGGAGGAGGACACTGTGTCAAGTGCTCGCAGCGAGGACAAAACACCATCGCAACGTGCGTGTGACTTGGCGAGCGCTGGCGGTGCCCGAACAAAGTGACCTCGGGGCGCGACATGGCGAGCTTCTGGCGCTGTGGTCCACGGTGTGGAGTCCACCGCGGACGGCGAGCGGCAGGATCCGGAGACATGAGCGCCTTCTGCCCGGGTAGAAATGCCACAGGCATTACCCTTCATAGGCACAACGGCGTTGGTCTCATCAGGATGCTCGATCGACAGTCGATTTCATGTCGACCTGATCCCGGGACACCTGTTCACAGATAGCCCTGGACGTCCATCTGAAGCGCCCCCTCCCCAGTTGCCGGGGCTGCGGCTGCAATGCGGCTGCAGATGCAAAGTGGCGCTCGATGACGACCTCCACATGTGGTTCGAGGCACGAACAAGCGCCGATTAACTCTCGCCGCTGGTCTGGCGTGGTGGTGCGGTCGACGTATCGCGTTCGTTGGCTTTTCCCGTTACCCGGTGCCAGTGAAAGTCCGATCGGCCGGTCGCTCTCGGATTTTGGCGCGCAACCACGCCACCCGCTGGCTATCTTCGGCTCTGTCTGCGGCTGAGCGCGTCCAAGTCAAGGCATGCGAGGCGAGATGAAGACAAACAAGCAAGCGCCATGCTGGCCGGCCGTCGCTGCTTGGGCGGCCATGCCGTTATAACGTACCCGTCGTTTCGCAACATAGTGCACAGAGAATCAACCGGTAGATTGGTACAGTGTACCGTAACCTGCAGACGAGGGAGTGGGGTTCGGGGTCCGTTACACGGGTTCCATACTGGGAGGCCCTATAAACGCACCGGAAAGACTGCGACGGCTAAAAATGGACGGGTTATGGCACATGCGTTTCCGCGCTCTCCCAAAATTCGGAGCTCATTCCACGAGCAGAGCGCCCAGTCGCACTCCCCTCTCGTCGAGGACGCTTCGCCCCCGAGGAACACTGCCAGCAAGGAGTAGAACAGCTCGATAGACCCCCCCTCCCCCCTCGCTGCCGTCTAGCTTCTCTCTCTCCCCCCCCCTCTCTTCGCCTCATGCAGCGCCAGCGGATCACGCTCTTCTCCGCCGAAGACGCCGACGCCATGGCACTCCGAGAACGCTCCAGCATGATGCTCGGCTCGAGCCGCGGCGGCAGCCGCTTCGAGAAGCGCGCGCAGTCGTACAGCATGCGCCCCAGCATGACCGTGTACGGCCACGAGGGCGAGGACTACTTCGACGGCTCGGCCAGCTACTCGTCGGTCACGGAGCGCAGCGCCACGGGCAGCTTCGCGCCCAACCGCACGCGGCTCAGCGTGTCGCCTGACCTCAGCAGCGCCTTCGAGGACATCTTCGAGACGGACTGGGAAGGATACATCTGGAAGCAGGGACACGTCGTGCGCTCCTGGCGCTACCGCTACGCCGTGCTCTCGGGCACGACCTTCTCGTACTACGTGAGCAAGGACGTGGCCAAGATGGACACGGAGAAGTTCCGCGGCCGCGTCACGGTCACGGGCGCCTCGCGCGACCCCAACCGCTCCAACGGCGTGCTCATCACCACGACCATCAACAAGATCTTCGCCATGTACACGCGCTCCAGCATCGAGTGCGAGATCTGGGTCAAGATGCTGCAGCAGGCCGTGCAGAACGCCAACAGCCAGAAGCCCGGCCAGAGCTTCAGCGGCGCCTCCAACGGACGCGACTCCGACCTGCAGAGTGTCCAGAGCGCGCGGGCGAGTCAGTGGAACTCGGCGGCCGGCGCGCCCATGCCCTTCTCGACGGGCGGGCTGCTGGCTCAGACTGTACGTTCGTCAGGCGACTGGAAGGCCAGGAACCTGGCCACGATCAAGCAGTTCTACTCCATGTGGACGACTCAGTTCCTCGAACAGACGGGAGCGGACGACTCGGCGGCCAACCTCATCTCGCTCTTCCCGATTTGTTCGCCCGAGATGGTCGTGTCGGTGACCTACCCGTGCGAGTTCCTCCCCTCGACCAAGTTTTACGGACGGGAAGGCCTCGTGGACGTTGTGCTAGGATTCTCACGCTTCGTGTTGTTTAAGAGATTCGCGGTGTCGCGCTACATGACGACGAAGCAGCCGAACGTGCTGCAGGTGCTGGCTGCCGGTACGATCTGGAACAAGTCGCTCAAGCGCGAGTTCACGTTCACCACGCGTGATGAGATCCAGCTCAGCCCCGGCGGTCGCGTGCTGAACCTCCAGATGCAGATCGAGGTCGACATTGCCGCGTTCCAGATGTCTGACGCTGAGCGGAAGGCGGCCAAGGCGGAGCGTGCGTTCCAGGCCTCGACGTCGAAGCGTGTGCTGTCGCTGTCGATCCAGCACTTTCACGTGAACCGTGTGCTGGGTAAGGGTACCTTCGGCACAGTGGTGCTGGCCGAGCGCAAAAACACGGGTGAAATCTTCGCTGTGAAGATTCTGGAGAAGAGCTCGATGTCCAACTACGACAAGCTCCGCACCAAGACTGAAATGCGAATCCTTCGCGACGTGCACCACCCGTTCATCGCCCCGCTGCGCTTCTCCTTCCAGAGTCAGTCGCGCGTCTTCCTCGGCATGGAGTACTACTCGGGCGGCAGTTTGTACACGCACATGAACCGCTTCTCGAACAACAAGGAGCACCGCGTGAAGATCCCACTTGAGCTGGACCGCGTGAAGTTTTACGCTGCTCAGATCGTGCTCGCACTGTCGCACCTGCATGCCTGCGACATCGTGTACCGTGACCTGAAGCCTGACAACATCATGATTGACGTGGAGGGTAACATCGCTCTCGTTGATTTCGGTCTCTCGAAGACGAACGTGAACCAGATGTCGGGGGCGCGTACCATGGCTGGATCCCCCGCGTACACAGCTCCGGAGCTCTTGAAGCCGAAGCGCTCGCGTGATTACGGTAAGGCCGTGGACTGGTGGTGCCTGGGTATCTTGCTGTACGAAATGCTGCTTGCCAAGCGACCGTTCCATCACCTGAACGTGTCAGTGCTGTACAAGCTCATCGAGAAGGAGCCCGTCAAGTTCCCGTCCAAGTGTGGCATCCACCCGGACGCTCGCAGCCTGATCCTGGGCTTGCTTGAGAAGGATCCAAACAAGCGTCTCGGTGCACGCCAGACGAGCGACATCCTCACGCACCCGTTCTTCAAGGACGTGAGATGGAACTTCGTCCTCCGCAAGAAGATCACCCCGCCGTGGGTGCCTGCCCCCATGTCCATGGAGGAGGAGCGCATGAAGAGCCCAGACATCAACTTCGACAAGTACCTGGCCTCGAAGACGGCTTCGACGGGCAACATCTTCAGCGTCATCTTCCCCTGGAAGACCCCTCGCTCTCGCCACCGCCGTGCAAGATCGGAGATGGACTACGACTCGTTCGGCAAGTTTAGCTACGTGAGCGACACAACGAACTCGTTCCTCGTGGACGAAGATGAGATGCTGGACGCCGCCTTCACGGGGCGTCGCAGCATTCAGCTGCATACTCTGGCAGGAGAAGCCTGAACTCACTGAACAAAAGACGGCGCCGTAGTTGTACCAGCAGATGCACGTAGAACACTACTAAGGTAAATTATTTTTTGACTGCGCGTTTTAAACTTTCGCTGGATCGATGTGCTCGGTGCTTCTGGTCTTTCAAGCATACCATGGCTGCGTTGCGACCACAGGCTCCCATGACACCGCCACCAGGATGCGTGCCAGCCGAGCAGAGGTACAGGTCTTCGATCGGCGACCGGTAGTTTGAATATCCGGCCATTGGGCGCATCCAGAAGAGCTGCCATGAAGGGTACAATAATGTTAGTGAAACGTGCCTTTCTTAGAGGTCCAAGTCAAATTCAAAGGCCAAACCTGATCAAATCCCATTGCGCCGTGGAAAATGTTCCCACGTGGAAGCGAAAATATTTTCTCAAGGTCTGGAGGCTACCGAGAAGACCAGTAAAGTAACATGAGCCGAGTGAGTTGTGGATATCCCGATGGAGGATCTGGGCACATACCGTAAGCATGTCGTAGTCGATGATAGATTTCGTGAAACCCGGAGCATACTCGTCGATGACCGAGAAAACTTGGTTCGCAAATCGCTCCTTCTTTCCTGGCTGACTCCAGCTTCCATCCTACAACCAACGCACACCGCTGTCAAAATAAGCATCACCAACGGGGTTGGCATTCTTACTTACCTTCGGTTCGTACGGCGTGTATTGCACGAAAAGCAAAGCGATATGTTTCCCTGTGCGTAACACGCATGGCCGTCAGTTTAAGGAAACCCTTTAGAACACGCCAAAGAACATACCCTACAATCGTACCTGGCGGGGCAATCGTCGGATCCAGTGACGTCGGGATGTTCATTTCAATTATCGGTCTTTTCGAACAAACTCCACCTTGGACATCCAGAAACGCATCCTCGATCTATTCCATGTACAAGCGAAACAAAAGTGATCAAACGCCAACCAAAAGCGTGCAAAACGTTTTAGGAGTACCTGCTGCAACGAGTCCTCAAAGTGAATCGTGCCGTAGTGGTTCGGCATTGGTGTGTTGCCATCGCCGCCATTTGGAAAGCAACAGAAGTTGGGCAATTGATCAAGAGCCACATTGATCTAACATACACAAAGTCAGTAAGCCGTAAACCAGCTATTTGCCAACAGTGCAACGCTGATACCTTCGTTGAGGCCGATTCGCTGTTCCAGTTTCGCTTGAAATGGGTCACTACGTCCTCCGGTAGGTCCCTTTTGTCAACCAGATCGAGCAATGTTGTGACTGGACTCGCGTTTGACAGGACGCAGTCGGATTCAATGATCTCCCCGCTTTCCAGACGAACGCCGCGAGCTTTACCACCGTCGACATTAATCGATCGGACTGGAGTGCTAACATGTATTTCAGCACCAGCTTCAACCGCAGCTTTCGCAATGGCCTGAGAAACCCCACCCATTCCACCTTTAACGTGTCCCCATGCTCCCTTGATCCCATTCACTTCTCCCATAACGTGATGAAAAAGAATGTAGGCAGATCCAGGAGTAGAGGGGGAAACCTGCGAGCACGACGTGTTAGTTTCATGAAGGAAAGTTGCTGTGTTCGGGATGGATTACCTTTGCGCCGATGATTGCATCCGTTGCTAGCGTGGCTTTCAGCACGTCCGATTCGAACCACTTGTCAAGGACTTTGGTAGCGGGTGCCGCCATGAACTCCACAAAGGTGGTCAAGTCACTCCCGAGTTTGCCACAGCGGTAGCCTAAACGTGCCATAGCCTTTACTGCGTCCGCGCGCCGACTATTGAGCGAAAGAAAGAGGGTAATCGGATTAATCCAACGTAAGTTCATAGTCCGCATTCTACTACTCACCTTATCGGGGCCTTCGAATCGAAAGCGGTGTAGAGATCTGGAGGTGGCTACCCCACGTAACAATGGGTTAGAGCAAACAATTCTATCAAGGTACAAACTAAGTAAAACCAGTACCTCGTCTAGCATCGGCAAAAAGAAATCCACCATTTCCTGTAGCAAAATTGAGAGTAAGTGCATAGAATAATAAGGCATGAAGACAATCCTACCTCCAGACAATCCTACCTCCAGCATCTTGTTGTACGCAGGGTACGCCTCTGCATCTGCAGTCGAGAATTGGGCTGGATGAATTAACCAGTGCACACATTCATCAGCGTTGCTAACCACAAGCATTCCAAAACTCGACATCCTTACCGATGCTAGCTTGCGACTTTTTCGTATCACTCCCCAGAATGAGACTGCGACCGTCACGTGTCGGAGTAAATGACGACGGATCCCGAACGAAAACTGCATCGCACCAGGTTATCATTACAAGCCACACTAGCAAGAAAAAACGGTAACGTTGCACTCACCTTCCAGTCCATGTCTGTGCAGATCCAAGTCCTTGATAATCTGCGGCCGGAAGAGCGAGAACACGTACGACGCTCTGGAGAACTTGAACCCAGGGAAGATCTCCTCCGTCACAGCTGCCCCTCCGACAACGTGCCGCTTCTCCAACACGCAGACACTCTTCCCCGCCTGTACATTCAAGATCGTTTACTGCCACGTTGATATTGCCTTATAGATCAGAAGCTATCCACAGCAGACGCTTACCTTCGCCAGGTACGCAGCAGCGACGAGCCCGTTGTGTCCTCCGCCAACGACGATGGCGTTCCTGATCACACAAATCGTTAGCCATTTCTGCCCAGCATTTTAGACGCCGTCTAAGGCATTACCACTTCTTCCGCAGCAGCGCTGCAGCGGCCTTCATCCTCCTCAAGCCGCAGGCTTCTTCGTGCTGTGTGGGGGAAGGTTGTCAAAGCTGTGTACTTCAACCAAGAGTGATGGTCAAACGGGCCCAGCCCGTATCCAACTCGGCCCGGCCCGTTTGAATGTTGAAGTTGCATTGCTGCAATATCGCCATGTTCGAGGTGCGGATCGTGCGGCAACGGAGTGCACGTGGGACGTGTGGCCGCCTCCAGGCCCTGCGCCGTCGCTTCTCGATGGCTGTGAGCGACCGACACTTAAAGGTCTTTGTCGGGCCACCTCCGCTAAGCTCCGCCTCGGCTGAGAGGCATCCGGCTGCCCTAAGCATCGCGCAGAACCGCATCAAGAGTGTGTGGGTTCGAGGGAGACTGCTGCGGATTGTCGTGGACGACGGCAACGCTCTCACGTAATTAATACCGACTTGTGTGCTGGACGATGGCATACTAGAAAATTGGCATTTCACTGTGGGGCTGTTGATGTAGCTTGCGGTTGCAAGGCCAAGATGAAGTGCTGCGCGCTGCGGAGTCAATGATGGAGATGTGGGGTACATGGTCTTTTGTTTGCTGTGCGCGGTAACTTTTTTCTCATCACTTACGCTACTGGCTACCTACCTTGCGCTAGATATCGATCCTCTTGTTGAAGACTCAGGGACACCCCCTGCTGAAGAAGTCGAGTGTGGAGTGGAGGAGCTTGCAAGACACTACATGGGCAACCCGAGCTTCCGCCAGATAGTGCACGAAATGCACGACCACTTCGACAAAGCGCTCGTGGGTGAAAATCCTTCCTACGAAGCACGCGTTTACAAAAAGTTCGAACACACTCCTACAGTTTAAGCGTGTTGGGGAATATCGTGAACATGCAGATGGTACATGGACTCCCTCGACTCTAGGAATCATTCTCTTGGGCGCAGTGCTCCATTAGACGAGCCTTGACAGTGTTCAGAATGGAGAGCATTGCGCTTGACTCTTCGAAAACCTGTCGAACGACAGCGACTTGCAGCATGACTGGCAGGTGCATGATGGCATCTTCCTCCTCCGCTGCAGCTGTGTCCCCGTAGTTCATTTTGTGGTAATTGAGAGCAGCATCACGGTATTTTTCGTATAGCTCGATACTCTCCGGGTCTTCAAACCCATAGGACGCGACAGTCCGCTGCTGCTCTCCACTCCCTCCACCAACGCCAGCATTCACAGCAGCGTTCTCTAAACACATCCGCTCATGAGCTTCTCGAATCTCTTCCTCTTGAACCCCGTAGGCTAGTGCAAGGATCAGAAAGACAGAGTACTTCCTTTTCAGATGATCTGCGAAGAAGTTGAGCACCTCTGCCGACATTGGGGTTTCCCTTCGGTCGAGTAGTTCAATCTCCCGCCTGCAGTTGGCGGAGAATAGCTCGTGCACGCGGCTCACCTTCTCATACACCAGTAGCGCCATTTGCGGGTGGGTAACTTGAGCCACGAGCTTCTCCATTGCCACTATTCGTCGCATCTCCGACTCTGCTTTTTCCTTTTCACCTGAAAGAACGCGGTGGCACCAGAGTTCACTTTGAAGAAGAGTCACCTTGGAATCTTGCCCTGGGGACACCCAGCTTTTAGTCGATGTTGCTGTAGATGTCGATTCGCCACCCGACTGCTTTTCCGCTTCGTTTTCCTTGGGTTGATTGCTGCGAGAACCGCTAGCATGCTCTTCGCGCTTGATTGTAAGAATGTGGCGAATCGCTTTTGTCCACAACTCGAACGTATTCTGGCTGTAGGAACCGAACTCTAAGATGCTGTGCGTGCTCGCATTCGGGTTGTTCGCAGCGAGCGTATCGATTGTGCTACCCGACGAGACCACCAAGCTTTGACGCAGTTCTTCGTTCAGCCACTACACAACACAATAACCGGTAGATTCAAAAACAGGCAACCTATGAGTTGATCGGCATCTTGCTTGCATCCCGGTCATCTTGGCCGTACTGTACCTCATCGAGCTCGTCTGTTTCCAACAGTTTGCGTCGAAATAATCGCAAGCTGCCGCTTTCGTCGTGGAGCGATGAGTATTTGTCGACTACGTCAACCTTCATGTCACCGAGCAGCATCATGTGGTGCAGCTCAATAATCTACATTGATACATCGCAGAGCAAAGATGCAGAGAGAGTTAGAACTCAATATGGAGCACGGGCTCCCAACAATTTGCACTCTACCTTGTCGGGTTTCAGCCCTTGCTCCCACCTCTCGCGACTAGTGAACATGAGGATGCTGTCTTCCTGCAGGGAAACGAAGTACGGCACCCATCCGCTGATGAAAAACATATTGCGCTCCAGCACCAACAGCGTGTCATTCAGCGTTTGCTACCATGCCAAAACAGAGCAACAAGATCAGCTAAACCTGTTATTGCAACCATGGTAAAGCTCCAATACGACGCTCACTTTGTAGATGATGGCAGTCTTGGCTCGCCCCAAGCTCTTGGGCGTCCACGGCGTTTCGCGCGACGTCTTGTCATCTAAAATGATGGAGGCGTTGTTCCCGTCGTGCGTCAGCGCGTCCTTGGCGCTCTGTCCTTTGGCCAGCAGCGTCTTCAACAGCGAGGGCGGCGCTTTACGCGCAGCTCGCTCTTCCGGCTCGCTCATACTTGAGCAGTCAGTCGGCCTGTCCTATCCGCAGTCGCTGCAACGAGCAGCTCAGCTCAATTGAAGTGACCTCTCACCTCTTCCACGGGTCGGGTCGATGAAACGAAGTGTAGGGTTTGTGTTCCAGGTAGGGTTTACCCGACCCGGGTCTATCTATTAGGGTTGAAGAAAGCCTGGAGAAATGCAACGTGCAAATGCATATTCGAATCATTTAGCTGGTTGGCCCGAGGCGACCACCTAGCGCATCGGCTGGTCTCCAGCTGCAGCGTCCATCGCCACCAAATGCGCCGCAGCATGAGCGAGCGACACGGCAGTGCCAGAAACCCTCGTACGGGCACATTAATGCACTCGCTGCCGCGACGACGCTCCAAGGACGACGAGCTCATGCGCACGCCGTCCTCCGCCTACGACCAGTTGCGCGTGAGCGGCTTCCCGCCTGTGCGCTTGGGCAGTTGGCACCGCTACCGGTCGCTGTCGCAGGAGTTCAACGACGTGTTCAAGCCCGAGGCGTCGTCTATTGCTCGAGAACCTGCGGTACGTCCAAGGGATCCGTTAACGGAGCTGCTCGTGGATTGGCTGATGAGAGGGATTTTAATCGTTGGCGGTGCCTTGGTGACTGCAGAACTTTCACGTGGGCATTGAACTCAAGCAGATTTTGACCGCAACGACTGCTCGCGCGCGCAAGACGAAGATCATCTGCGCCATTGGCCCGGCGTCCTGGTCTGTTGAGATGCTTGGTGAGGGATTCTTGCATGAGTCGTTGTAATTGCAACTGGGTTAAGCTGACGTTAGATGTGCATCTCTTTAGGACAACTTCTGGATGCTGGGATGAATGTTGCAAGGTTGAATTTCTCTCATGGTGACCATGAACTGCACATGAGAAGTCTGTCGAATTTGAGGGAGGCGATGGCGGCACGACCAGGTTGCCATTGTGCTGTGTTGCTGGATACAAAGGGGCCAGAGATCAGGAGCGGATTCCTAAAAGGACACAAACCTGTTCAGCTGAAGGTGTGCAGTTGTGGTAGGTAGGCTCATGTGATGAATGGGGCACTATGCTTACTGGCATTGGTGATGTCGATGTGGATCTGGTAGGCTGGGCAGACTCTGGAGATCACTACGGACTATGGCGTCGAAGGAGACAGTTCTCGCATTGCGTGTACGTATGAACAGTTACCGACGTCGGTGTCAGTTGGGTCCAAGATTTTGTGCGACGATGGAAGCCTCGTGATGACGGTGATAGAGTGCCGACCAGAATCGATCGTTGTGCGGGTGCACAACGACCATCTTCTCGAGGAGAAGAAGAACATGAACCTTCCAGGTTGGTTGGTTTCCGCTTCACCGTTGCTTGGTGGGTATGATCTCGAACTGAGTTGAAGCTTTTCATATCTATGTGCAGGGGCGGCCATTCAGATACCCGGGATTACTGAGAAGGACGAGGATGATCTGCTGAACTTTGCGATCCCGAACGGTGTAGACATCGTCTCGGGGTCCTTTGTGCGATCGGCTGCAAATGTGCGCGCGATTCGCGATTGCTTAGGCGAGGCCGGTCGACATATCCGCGTTCACGCGAAAATTGAAAGCCAGGAGGCCCTTCAAAACATTGACGAGATTATCGCAGAGGCTGACGGCATTCATGTCAGTCGTGGTGATCTCGGCATGGAACTATCGCCCGAGCGCGTGTTCTTAGCTCAAAAGATGATCATTGGGAAAGCGAACCGTGCCGGAAAGCCTGTCGTTACCTCCACTCAAATGCTGCAATCCATGACGAAGAAAATTACCCCTTCCAATGCGGAATGTACGGACGTTGCAAATGCAGTACTGGACGGGACGGATGCAATGATGTTATCAGCGGAGACGGCAAAGGGCATGTACCCGAAGGAGGCCGTAGCTACGATGGCCAAAATCTGTATCGAAGCTGAACAAGCGCTTGACTACGCGGAGGTCTACCGCTTGCATCGAGCAGCAAACAGCAAACATGTCAGTATGTGCGAGTCTGTCGCCAGCTCGGCTGTGGAAATCTCGCTCGACATGGACGTGAAGCTCATCATTTCACTCACAGACTCTGGCGACAGTACCAAACTACTTGCGAAGTATCGTCCAAAGGCCAACATCTTGGCTGTCACTTCTTCTACTCTGACGGCACGGCAGCTATCAGGGGTTTCACGGTAAGGAAAGGCTTATGAGCGGGGTTCTTGGTGCTCACAGAGTCTCACACGGTTTGGTTTCCTTGTATTTTGCAGAGGAGTGACGGCGCTGCTTGTGGAATCTATGACCGACGTGGACGACCTTACTCTAAAAGCTATCGCGTTTGCAAAGGAGAAGGGTTTGATCAAAAGCCATGACGTTGTCATCTTAGTTCACGGACTGGATGATGCCGTATCAAAGTCTACCAACGTGGTGAAGGTGATCGAGATAGACAAACAAAGCTACTCGAGTCCGAAGCACAGCTTTTTCAGTGGGATTCACATACCGTTCACCTAATGCAACAGCAAACGTTTTGGTGCTGTCAAAAAATGTCTATGGGTGATCTATCTGGTACTCTATTCGTGGGGTGCGCGGGGGATCGGGATGCGCAGGAAATCTGACGCTGGTACAATTGCTCGTCGCCCAAACGCTTCCTGTGCCTCCAGCGCAAGATGAAGCGTAGTGCGAGCTTTGAAGTCGGCAGACCAGTGGCGGAAGCGATGACTAAAGTGCGTCAAAGCGAGTAACGTCGCATTCATCTTCTTGGCTGCGTGCCCTGCCATGAGAGCTGTGGAGTGTCCGCGATGAACCGCCTAGAGGGGAAACCGTAGACGTGACTCAGCATTATGTAGGGTTGTACCTGAAATCACGCTGCGCCATTCGTACCTGTTTCACCATCTCATGGCCCAGTGTTGCTTCATGAACCAAAACCTGTCAAATGAAAGGCATCACCGAGGGTGGTGAGAAAGCTTTGTTGCCGAGTGAATACAGCAATAGTGACTTACATCGCAGTTTTGCGCGATGTCAAACATTCGCGATGAGTCGGCTGAATCGCCGAGGATGGCAACTTTGCGTCCACGAGCCTTGGGACCAGTTACCTGCAATGCATTTTGCAAAGTGTAAGCAACTTCACACCGTGGCAAAAGAAAATACTGCGCCGACAACGAACCTCGGACGCGTGAAGGATTTCGCCATTCGGAAGTTCAACGCTTCCTCCAAGCTTGAGCGTACGATACTTCGGGCCAGGCGGTAGACCGCGTTCTCGTAGCTTATCCATATTCAGCTTGCCAGGAACTGGATACTCTTCAATAACATACCCGAAGCAAGTGACTGTGTGTTTTACCGTGGCAGCTTTCACAATAACCCTGCCATCGTCCAGCACGTTCCACACGTCGCCATTTCCATCTGACTCCGCGTGGACCCACTTCCGCGTCAGACTCTAAATTGCAACGAACAATAAAAAAATTAGTCCCAGCTTCACGCAAACTCCAGTAATCTCCAAACTTACAGGATGCTTGGGTGCATTTCTCATGAACTTCTCATGTGCCGACGTCTTGCTCAGCATCTCGGGGCACACCAGCTCATGCACCGTGATCTTCAAGTTGGTCAGCCTCGTGCTGCTTGTAGAGAAGGCCGTGTTCAAGTAGGAAAAGAGTCCCAACGGCCCATACACGTCAATAGGTCGCGGCGCTCTCTCCTTCGTCTGCGGGTCCTTGTACTCGGCGTTGTGGTTGTCCAGCGTGCACAGAATCCCAGGCAGGCCGTAGAGGTGGTCCCCGTGCAGGTGCGTGATGAAGAGCTTGGTGGTGAGCGGCACCCGCACGACGCTCTTGATCAGCTGGCGCAGACTTCCCTCGGCGCAGTCGAACATCCAATTGGAGCGAGCCAGACGCAAGCAGACGCCCGTCGGGCTGCGTCGCACGGACGGAGACCCGGCGCCAGTGCCCAGGAACAGCAGCTCGAAGCCCGTGAACGGCAGCTGCGGCGGCGGCACGAACAGCGTGTTGCAGCTGCGCATCGGCACCGTCTTGAGCAGCGCCTGGCGCTCGCTGATGCGCGCGAGTCGCGTCGAGCGCCGCGCGGCTCGAGCCACGAGCTTCGAGGTGGACGACGCCATTGAAATGATGGCCGTAAAGTTAATGAGCAATTACGCGATAGTTGGTGTGGCGCACATCACATGCACTTTTCGCGGGAAAAGGGCACACTGCCAAGACTAACTAACAACTGAAGCCGGCGATGGCCATGGCGGACGTGACCGTCTCGAGCTCCGAGGGCTCGGACGAGTACGTGGACGGGTCGATCTTCCGCGTCAAGCTGCACAACTTCCTGACCTACTCGGACGCCGAGTTCTTCCCGGGGCCGCGGCTGAATCTCATCCTGGGCCCCAACGGCACGGGCAAGAGCTCCATCGTCTGCGCGCTCTGCGTCGGCCTGGCCGGCAGCACGCGGGTACATTTACTTATTATATTTGTTAACAATTGTTATGGTGGATATACTAATTTTTCTTTTTTCATGCTTTTTGGTGCTGTGCAGCTGCTCGGTCGAGCGGACAAGGTGGGGCAGTTCGTGCGCCACGAGAAGGAGAGCGGCTACACGGAGATCGAGCTGTTCTTCGAGCGCGGCAACAAGGTCATCCGCCGCAACATCTTCCGGGACAACAAGAGCACGTGGCAGGTGAACGGCAAGGACTCGACGCTCAAGAACGTGGCGGGCATCATGGAGGCGGCCAAGATCCAGATCGACAACCTGTGCCAGTTCCTGCCGCAGGACAAGGTCGGAGAGTTCTCGAGGATGAACGCGGTGCAGCTGCTCAAGGCCACGGAGAACGCCATCACGGACAGCGACTTGGCTGTGAAGCACGACGAGATCATTGAGCTGCAGAACAGCATGTCGGACAAAGGACGAGTGAGTTGACGTGGGGGTGCAGCTACGAGCTGGATGATGGAAGTTGCAGGTATCTGACAAAGTCATTGTTGTTGATGTATCGTCAGGAATTGGAGCATGCGCGCGCAGCTCTGGATCTGAAGAAGAGTGAGAACGCTCAACGGCAGAAAGAAGTGGAGCGGATTGAAGACTACGAAGCGCGTATCAAAGAGGTGCGTGATGTCGTGTGGCCGCTACGATATTTATATGAGATTTAATTGAAATCATGCTTGCTGTGTTCGGTGAATAACTGCAGACGGAAGAGATGGAGAAGAAATGCTTGTGGCTTGAATTTGAGGACGCGAAGCGTGAGGTCGAGGAGCTTAAGCAGGAGAAAAAGCGCTGTAAAGAGGCGATGGACGTGCGTCTTATGCTTTTTGATTCACTGTGTAGTGCCGGTCGTGCTAATCATTCTTTGATGTTTTGTAGAATGAACGCAGAGACAAAATTGCGCCTCTTGAAGCCCTTCTTAAACATGAGTTGAGCAAGCTGGATGAAGTCAAAAACGAGTAAGAAACGGGCACTGTGGAAAATTACATGTCATCGCGCTAACCCCTGCATGCAAAACAATTAGGAAAACTGAAGTTGACACCGAGAAGCGTCAGCTGATTGAGCGGATCAGGCAGGAAAAGAACCACGTATGTGGTATTTAGAGTTTTGTGGTTGCGTGTTGTCACCCGAGTTTCTAACCCAATTTTATTTTTTGCAGATTGAGACGATGGAAAGCGCTCAGAGTCAAACCTTATCGGATGTCAAGGAGCTGCGTAATCAGCATAATTCCACTCGCCGAAAGCTTGAGCGCTTGGAACGTGAAGTGGCAGAGGTACATTATTTTTTCACTCTCGCGTGTATCGAATTTCCAGATCGACTCTAATCTGAAACTTCCGCTTGGTGGGTTCCATGATGTTGTTAAACGACGCAGTGGCAGAGAGAACGAGAGGGAATGGCTGACAATGCTGACCTCAGAGAGCAAAAGGAGCAACTGGAAAGGCAGCAGCGCACCAAAGATATGGAGGTATGCTCAGCTCGGGCTTCAACTTTTATTTGCAAGGTTATTGACTATAATTTAACGTTGTTTTCAATAACGTCTAGGAAACTGAAATTCGCAGTCGGAAAGAAGCTCTTGCTCGCGAGCTATCCTATTTGGATAACGAACAGCGGAAGGTCTCTAGCAAGCTCGAAAAATTGGACAACGAGGATGTACAGCGCCGGTTGGCTCTTCAGCGATCTGACCCTGACTGTATCCGCGCTGCGGATTGGGTCAAGAACAACCAACATCGTCTTAAGCGAAAAGTATGGGGTCCCATCGCACTTGAGGTAACTTACATATCTGAGTCATTTGTCTATCTACCTTTCTAAATTGCTCAGCTAATACTGTGTGCCTGTGGCCACTCTACCTCCTAACAGATGAAGCTCAACGAAACAATCCATGCGAAGTATGTTGAAGACACCCTTCCAAAATGGCTTTTGACGGCACTGGTGACAGAGTGCTACGAGGACTACAACACGATCCTTCGCGAGCTGAATAACGGTAATTCAGATCGCCGCATCAAAGCCTCGATTTTGAACGTGGAAGATGGCAGGTGCCATGCTGTCAATAGGCCATACTCGGCGGAGCAAATGAACGAGTACTGCGATAGATACGGGATGCGTGGCTACTTAGATGAGGTACAGTGATTTGATCTGCTGTAGTTGAGCTATGATCGTGAGATTGACTTACACGTATCATCGCTCTTTTTTTGTAGCTGGTCACTGCACCTGACATTGTGCATGAAGCTCTCCGAGCCCATGGAGGTCTTCACACTGTGATGGTGGGCTCTCAGCAGACGGAAGACATCATCAACAGAGGCGGACAGATCTTTTCGGAAATTGCTTCAGCAGAACGAAAGGCTGCCTTTGTGACCCCGTACAAAAAATACGTCACCTCAGGTTAGTATTGCACTTTCGTGGTGGCGACGTGAAGTAGGTTTTGTTTGACAGTGCGGCTAACGATCTGTGCCACTATAACGCAGTTTCCAAGTACGGCAACCGCAATGTGACAACGCGCACAAACGATCTCTTAAATCCTCGTTTACTGGCCGCGTCCACTTCAAATGAAGACGAGAAAACTGAAATGAAAAAGATTCTGGCTGATCTTACATCAAAGGAGAAACGCATTCAAGGAGAGGTAAGGTGTTGCAGATATTGGGCCTACTCAAAACAGGTTTGAAACATGCCATATTTAACTTTAAAATTATGCTCCCTAGATTTCTGATCTCAAGGAACAAGAAAGACAATATGCGGGGGAGAAAAGGAATGTCCAGCATCGCATCACAGAGATCCGTTCGCAGATGAAGGAAGCCATTCACCTGGGTGAAAAGATTTCAGAAGGGGAAAACAAAATTTATTCCCTGAAAAGTGAGCTAGCTCAGGTAAGTCGCTTCAGCTCACATTTGTTTCCAGGTAATGGTGAATACGACTTACGCCGTTCATTTTCTAGGACGTGTCTGCGAAGGAGGAGGCCCTCACACGAAAGTTGAAAAATCAAGCATCTAAGTAAGTTGGCGAACGTGTCTATTTTATGATGGGGACAAAAACTAACTGGTTTCCATGTACCAGGCAAGCACAACAGATAAAGCGTTGCTTACAACTCTCAAGAGACCTGTATAAGGCCAGCGTACGCGAGGCGTGCCTATCGCTGCAGCTCGGAACTCAACAAGTTCGAGTCGATTTCACCGATAAACATCTCAAGCAGACGGAAGCCACCCTCCGGTAAACACAATCGGCGTTTTTGGGATATGTTGTTTGTTCTGACGTTTTGTGTCCTGTAGGAATCTTCGGGAAGCCTTAAAACGAGCAAAAGAAAACTTGCTAAATACTGCGAAGAAGGCCATGAAACTGAAGCGGAAAGCAGAGGAAGAGGCCCCGTGGGAGGAATACGAGGAGCGCTTCAACGAACTTCCAGATGATTTGGATGAACTCCGTGGCAAGATTGAAAACAACAAAGCAGCTTTGGAATGCTTCCGCGGCGACAGGAGCATTCGCGAGCTCTACGAGCGTGTCTGCGCCGAAATCCAGGACGATGAAGCGCATTTGGCTGATCTGGAAAGTTTTGTTACCCATGGAGAGGACAAAATCAACGGAATTAAGGTGCGACTCATGGAATGGGGTAGAGGCGACATTGCACTGATATTAATTATCTGTTGGTTCGTGTCGAACTGTATCAGGGGGAATGGCATGCCAAGCTGAAGGAAGTGGTGTATCACATCGATTCCTCGTTCAAGGAGTTTTTCATGGACATTGGATGTGTCGGTGAAATCGTGCTGGATGACGAGGATCCGGTAAGCTCACTGCTTGCTGAAGTTGTTGAAATATGCAATCCTGATCGTGTACACTTGATCGTGATTCAGGACGTCGCGAAATGGGGTATTCAACGTCGCGCACAGTTCCGCAAAAATACGAAACTGTCTACGATGACCGCAGAGGAGCAGTCTGGAGGAGTACGTATTTCAACACTTCTCAGGCTTGCATGGATTTTTTTCTTAATTGGCTGACAATGCTGTATGTAGGAAAAATCGGTTGGAACAATTATGTATTTGATGGCTCTCCAGAGCCTGACAAAGTGTCCATTCCGGGTGGTGGACGAAATTAATCAGGGCATGGACGTGTACAATGAGCGTAAGGTGTTCCAGCGGATCACGAAGTCGTCGTGCGGTAGCAAGCTGCCACAGTACTTCCTCATCACTCCGAAGCTAATCACTGGACTCCAGTATCATCGGGACACGAAGGTTATGGTCATTCTCAATGGCCCGTATAACATGGTTCGGCAAGAACTGTGGGACCCCGCTCGCTTCATTGCTTGCGGGAAGCAGTCGAAACGCAAAGCAGGCAGTGCTGTCAATGGCTCCTCCAAGAAGCGTACTCGAGCGTGAGCAAATCGGTATGTGTCCGCATCACACGACAGGGCCTCTTGGAGAGCATTATAATACATAAGCAAGTGGTTTGTTTTCATGCTTTAGTTTTCATTTCATCGTTCGAATGTGACTACTTCCTGTTCTACCCACTTTGGACACTTCGTGCAGAAAGCAGATCATTCACGCACGATACTCTACATGAAGTTGAATGCCGATTGCCCGCCACTGAGGCGCGTGCCATCGCCCCCAGGAGGCGGAGCTGTTCCTGCTGCAGCAGCTGCGCTGCGTGGCGAGTTGGCGATCGCGAAGAGGTCTTTTCCAAAATGGCTCAGAGCCTTGTTGCGCTCATCCTGCTCAGGCTGCTGATAAAACTGTTGTTGCGGTGGAGCAACTTGCTGCTGGGGCGCGTACGACAGGTTAGACGAGGTAGAGCTTCCTAGATTATCGAAGCCATCCAGAAGCTAAAAAGTTTAGACGAAATAGCAAAACGTTAGATACAAACTCGCGTATTTCATGTGTATAACAAACGTACCGAAATCTCTTGCGGCGGTGCCGGGGCTGGTGGGGGCTGCGAACGGACGGGGGAGCCAAGAAGATCTGCAGTAACCTGGACAGGTGGTTGTGCTGGTCCAGCAGACGACTCCAGGCTAAGAGAGCCGAACCCCAGAAGATCAACTTCTTGTTGAGGCTGCTGACCTCGGTTCTTACTAGGGCTACCACGTTGCGCCCGTGCAGAGCGCTTACTGCTCGTTTGGGAAGGGGCCTGGTCCGCTTCATCGGCGTAACCAAGCGCACGCAAAACCTGAAGTGCCTTTGATACTACGCTAGGCTTGGCATCTTTTCGGAGCTGGAGGAAAGTGTTAGTATCAAACACTTTGTCAGTAAAAACATTGACGCAGTAGCCATGATGTAGGCAATGTATGTGTACGGCAACACCTACCTCCTCGACGACCTCCACATTTTCTTCGAAAAATTCCTGGTACGGAACTGCACCTGGCGAATCCAACAGTGCTAGCACCACGTGCAAACCCTTCAGGCGGACTTGCCAGGTGTCGTCTTCAAGCTTGTCTAGCAGGATGTCACCAATAGTCTGTGCATCCAACGTCTGCGCAAGGTCCACAAAGCGCTTCAATCCGTCTGCAGGTGGTGCGCGGGAGAGCCCCGCAGGTGCGCATAAGTTGTCAATCATCGTGCGCTCATAATCCCTGTAAATAGTTCACGTTAGTACGAGAACATTGCAGCTAGCACTTGGCTGCATGGATCGTACCTGCTAGTATCGCCTCCTCCGGCCCCCTGGGCATTCGGCTGGTAGTGGCCATGGTCAATTACTTGAGGGCCAGCACGCAGTTCGTCGTGGTCAGCTAAAGACGAAGCCATTGACTTGTCCATATTGCGGCGATCCCATTTTTCAAGCGCGGCCGAGCCAATTTTCATCAGTACTTCCGCCTTCTTGCCAAGTGCAGTCGTCGGTACATCGCTGAGCGGCTGTCCGTTCACAGGAAGACCCATGCTACCAATTCGGTGGGTACTTCCACTCAGCATACGATTCGTGTTATCGATGTAGGACGGCGTACTGCTCGAGCTGCCACCGAAACCACCTCGCGCACTGCCTCCCATTGGATTTGGATTGTACGCACTCCCGGAGCTTGCATTAGGGTTGTACGCGTTTCCAGAGCTCGCGTTGGGGTTGTAAGCGTTCCCAGCACTAGCGCCGCGAACAGCGTTCGGGTTGTACGTGCCGCTGTTAAACCCACCCAATCCTGACGTTGCACCGGTGTTACTGGAGCCAAATCCGCCGGCGGGCTTGGGGAAGTTCAACGAGTGGCCCACAAGAACAGTGGGGCGATTGTCCCGCCTTGTGGCTGGGTTGTAGCGCGGCTCATTGTCCATTGCAGGGTCCTTCTTTTGGTATCCTGTGCTACTCCAGACGCCCGCGCCCGCACTCTTCGAGGCCAGACCAGACGATGACGAGGATGACCACGAGCTGAAGCCGCTAGCTTGCTGCTGTTGCTGCGGTGCCGAACTCTGACCGTACCCTCCCTGCGAGCCGCTTTGGTTGTACCCATATCCCCCCGAGTTCCCACTGTTCTGTCCATAGCTATTGCCTCCACCGTAGCCACTGCTGCCTCCTCCGTAGCTGCTGTTACCACCTCCGTAGCCGCTGTTACCTCCACCGTAACCACTGTTACCGCCACCATAACCGCTGTTACCCGAGGGGCCATTGTATCCTCCGCCGGAAGGTCCATTGTAGCCCCCAGAAGGATTTTCCTGATACGGAGCGGGTCGCGAAGAGTTCGCCTGCGGCTGCCCCCACGATCCTCCGACGTTCGAGTGCTGTCGCTCCGACTGGCCACCCTGATTGTAAGATCCATTGCTATTGTTGTATGACGGCGCGTTGTCTCCTTGCGGGGCCTGCCAGCTATTGCCTCCACCCTGAGGAGGCTGCTGCTGCTGTTGCTGTTGCTGTTGAGGCGGCTCCTCATTGCGACGCGACAAGAAACCGTCATTCAAGCACACCAGAGCTTCCTACAATCAATCAACCACAGCGAATAACAACCCCATGACACATTAGGCCTCTGCACCATCACATGGTATCTTCCCTTCCTTCGTCCCTCACCTGGGACGCCACGCGGATACGACGATACTTCTCGTCACCATACACCGGATCCGGAGGCCCTGAAAACTCTGCAATTGAATGCATCACACCAATCCAGCAGAAACGTCAGTCCGGCAGCACTAAAAAGCACGTAAATGCCCCTACTGTAGCTCTTCACGCACGCAGATAGGCCGAGATCTCCTGCTCCTCGTCCCTGATGGCCTCCCTGAACGCGGGCGCGCCCTCCCTGATGCAGAACTGCCAGTAGCAACAGCACAAACAACAGCACAACGTCAACAACGCTGAAGGCGCTTCCCGGCAGCTGTTGCGCTCATCACCGAGATGATCTGCAGCGCCTTGAGCTTCACGGTTAAGTTGCTCTTGTTGAGGCGCCCCAGCATGTAGTCGGCGATCTTCTCCGCGTCGCGGTTGTTACCCTTGGTCGAGTCTGTTACAGCCGAGAGACAAGGAAGATCAGCACGCTGACGTGACGTCGATTAAGTTGCAGCAGCAGCAGCAGCAGCTTCCACGCACTGGCGATCTCCTCCATGAGGTAGACGGGCACGGGCCCGTCGTGCAGACTCGTGGCCTCGGCCAGCGCCTGCCGGTTCATCGTCCCCTTGGAGCTGCGGCGGTCGGTCTCCTGTTGCGAGCGTAAAGCGATTTGGCTGACTTCTACCGCAAACCCGAGGGGGGCGCGAACAGTGGTACACTGTACCACCGAAACCTCTGCAATATCATGCATATGCCTTACTGAAGGTGTTGTGTTGTACACATAAAAAAATGAGCAGCATCGCACGACTAGCGCAACACTTTGATAACCATGGGAGGGCAAGGGCGAGGCCGGCGCCTGACGGACCGCGAGCGGCTAGAGATCGCCGAGTTCGCGCGGCTGCATCCGCAGGTGAAGCACGTGGAGCTGGCGGCCGCGTACCGCGTGAACGAGTCGACGATCCGCAAGTGGCGGCGGAAGAGCAACGTCACCAAAGTCCGCGCTCGCTGCGTCTCAAGCGGCAGCGGTGAGCGCCGCTGAGGCCAGACGGAGCGCGCGCGGCAGTTCGACGTGCAGTTGTACGAATGGATCTGCGCCGCCCGCAGCAGAGGGGTGAAGCTGAGGCCGATTCAAGTGCGGGACAAGGCGAGGGCGCTGGCGGCGAACTTTGAGCACATGGAGAACTTCAAGGCCTCGTCCGGATGGTACTATCGCTACTGCGGGAGGTTCAACTTGACGCTGAATGCATCAGTCGCAACGGTTCAAGATGGAGATAGAGCTAATAGTACCAGCAGGAATGGTGCTGGTTCGGGTGGAGGTAATGCAGTGTGAAGGTCTGGGAGCTGCAGATATTCTTCCGCTTGAGTTACTAACCCCGGCGGGGGTTGGTGACTGCGTTGAGAGCGACTGGAGAAGTCGTGCCAGGCTGCCATTGCTCAATTTTTGCATCACCACGCCGCGCTACTGACTCGAGCAAGTCGCATGCGATTCATTAAGCATTTGGCTGACGGGCCTGAAGAGCTGAAGGCATTTACGCGCATGACGACTGATGCCCGCGTGCAATACGCAAAGTCCTTCGCTGGGGTAGGCAGTCACGAAAGCGTCGAGCAGTCGAGCTACGTGTACAGACCGGCACTTGTGCTGTAGGACTCGAAGACGCTGGCAGATATTGGCGCTAGGCAGTTGTGCTCGCAGACTCTGGGGTAAGTAGCTCCAGAGTACTGCACCACAGCAGCATGCACTCAGAAATTTTACCTTTGAGCACTTCTGGTATTTGTTTATGGATGTATGTCGTGATTAGACCCATATTTAAGCATACGATTCCTGCATATGGAATTTTGATTTGGAACTATGGACGACGACGACGTCGAAGACCTGCGCGTCGAGGCGGTGGTGGTGGACTACTACATGAACAGTCCACTACCTGCCGGGGCCATCGAGAAGCTTCCTGCATCTCCTTGTTATCTCCGCGCTCGCGAGGTTCCAGTCGTGCGTATCTTCGGCGCTACACCCGCCGGACAAAAGGCTCTCGTGCACGTCCATGGAGTAGGTTTTCATCCATTTGCACGAATCCTGCTGTGAATTACGAGCTAAACTTTGGTGCAACTATTCATATTATGCTAGATCTTCCCTTACTTCTACTTCCGAGCTGAAGACGACCCGGATTTCGAGGATCCGGAGCGTTTGCGGGCGTTACTGCCTCGATTGGCAAAGGACATTGAGGCTGCCAACGCCTCAAAACAGCAGCAAAACCGGCAAAACAATGGGAACTCAACCGCAAGATATAACCCCAGTAGGATCATCGCCAAGGTGAGAACGGGTAGTGGTACTAGAGCTATGGTAGCATGAAATTTACCATTTATCGGTGTGGTGATGGCGTTGGCAGATGCTGATTGTACAAGGAACGCCGTTCTACGGCTACCATCCAAAGCCGAAACTGTTCGTGCAAATTTTCTTGTACAATCCGCGAGTGGTGACGTCGGTTGTACACGTGCTGGAGAGTGGAAGTGTGGGTGAACAAAGATTCCAGCCGTACGAAGCCCACGTTCCATTCCTACTTCAGGTAGGTATTGCTGCTCAGTGCAAAAATCAATTTGGGTGAGATGAATTCTGAATGATAGAGGGTGTTGCAGGTCTTTGCGGATTACAACATTGAAGGGATGAACAGCGTAGCTTTCAGCAACGTGAAGGTACGCTTGGAGGTTTCGATGTTTTGTAATGTTCGGAGTAGCAAGGTTGACCATGTACGCGCGAGCTTAGTTTCGCTTTCCCCTTCCAGTGACGCAGAAGCATCTGGCCCACGTTTCAGACGAGTGTCGCTCCATCCTACTTTCGACCGTCCCGGCGGACAAGATCAGCGGCTTGGACACAACCAATTCGTTACCGACTGGACGATCTGCTCCAGTTCCTCCAGCTCCAAAGCAGTGGTTTGATCGACAATCCAGTTGCGCGCTGGAAGCAGACGCTGCAGCTGCAAGTATTTTAAATCCGAAGCGTTTTGAGACCCAACAGAGAGCGGCAGAAGGCACAGGAGAGCTCCGGAATGTGCCGTCGCTGGCGGCTATTTGGGAGGTAAGGTATTGTGTTGGTTAAGCTATAAATGATAGTGTCTGACAGCCTTTGTTTTGTCGGACAACAGGAAGAAAGATTACGGCGCATCCAAAATGGGGAAAGAGGGACCTGGATGGTTTCATTGAGTCTCGAGCGGAACGAGGATGGACCTAGAAGTTTTCAAGAGAGTGCGACGCCAGCCCAATCGGCATCATCGCTTTTATCCCAGTCTTTTTTCAAGAAAAAGATGCAGGACTCCGTCGATGCCGTAATGAAGGAGATGGAGAAGCAAGCGGAAGGAAAGGTGGTTGAAAGACGTTCTTCCGGCCTTTATGAACCTTTGTCTGCAGGTGACGTAATGTCGTGTGGTAACTCATTCGCCGCTGAGAGTGATTTTTCCTATAGCCAAGCGGAGCATGATGGTAAACGCGATTCTGACCAGGTCATTCAGTTAATTAGCTGCGTCGCGATTGGTTCTGAATGGTCTGAATGATCTAATCACATTTTCGCGAACAGGAATCAGCCGAGGAGGATGAAGCGATTGTAAATATTTTGCTGGAAATGCAGCAAGAAAGTGAACCCGTTCATAGTGAGTGGGATGGTAAAGAAGAGCATGACGGGTACCACACGCCAGACGACGATTATGATGACGAAGACAATGCCAGCAAATGGGAGAATCGAAATGATGAAATAGGCGACATTTTGGCGTCCCAGCATCTCGTTGAAGAGCACGTTGAAAACGAAGCTCCTGGATCGCCACAAGGTAACGGGTGGTGGGATATCGCTGAATCTCGACCAATTGCAAGTCCACTTAGTGAACTCGGCAGTCCTCGGGTTGTCCTTCACACACCGCAAGAGAGGCTACATAAGGTTTGTATCGTCTTTCTTAGCTACTAGAAGTATTGAGTTGTCAAAATTCTAACACAACTTCTGAAGCCGCCCACGAATGCAGCACGCTCTATCCGCTTTGGATGCAGCCCTGAAGATTTACCCTTGGTAGGTGATATCGAAGACCTACTTCCACCGCGTCCTCAAGAGTCGGTACCGCTAACTCCTCAAGAAGAATCAGACCCCGTGGATCGCCTCCAACTTTCTCTTACACCGCACCCACAGCCGCTTCGAGCAAAACCGAGGGTTCAAGCACCCGCCGTGGGCAATAATCGACTGTGGTTATTTAGCCCCGAGCCCCCCACGTTGGCTCAGGTTCTAGCGTCGTCACAAAACCTCGGAGTGGACCCGATACAGGTTGGAATAAGCAATACCCGGACGTACTACAAATTGGCACTGACACATTTGGATTGGAAAATGTGCTGCAGTATAAACCCGCCTTTTTCAGCAACTCTGCCGATATCCCGGAGAAAGCGATGGTGTTCGGCGGCAAAAAATTCGATTTTACACCGCAGCACCCGAGTAATATGCTGGTATTTGATACCACTGCTGCACGACAGCTTTTGAACCCTCTCAGCAGCAATGATAGTAAGGGCGGCGTCAGCGGTGAATCGTGGTTTAAGCTTTCCCAGCTAAAGGCCCCAAATTCCGCTCGATGTAGAGGAGAGAAGGTAAGGCAATGACCGTACTTGGCGTTGTATCTACCAAGCGACATCACCATTTTCATTGCTATCGGACAGGTTCGTCGATTACGGATGCCAGCCAGGCTGCCCCCTGATGCTGCAGCAGTTGAAGCTTGGATGTCGAGTGAAAATAAGAGCAGGAACACCATACCCAAGGTACGGCTTAATGTTTTGCCTAAATTATTTTGTTTCGGGTGCCGTGCTAATTGAATGGGTATTGTTCAGGTGCGGCGCAAACGTGGTCGGCCATCACTTACGTCAACGGCATCACAGTCGATCAAGGCGACTTCCTCCACGGTTCTCTCAAACGTGACGATCTTGTCGATCGAGATATTCGCTGCATCACGAGGCAGTATGCTCCCAAATCCACTCCACGATCCTGTGAATGTGATATGCTACGCTGTGGAGGCACAAGAGGGGCCCACGAACTCAAAGACACAAGAAAGGGGCTTCCTCTTCTGGAAACCAGAGGATATGGAGCAAACGGCTCTCAGCAGCGCGGGTTTATGCGTGGACAGCAGTGAAATATCGGTGTCAATTGCTTCGGATGAACGTGACCTCTTCCGCTCACTGGAGGCGTTGGTAAGGCGCTGGGATCCTGACTTTTTGGCAGGATTTGAAGTACAGAAGGCATCTATTGGATACCTAGTCGATCGAGCGTCGCAAATGGATGTGCGTATTCATTTTGTCCACATATTTCAAAGAAATTGATCTGCTCACCTAGGTGTGCTGTGCTGAGCAGGTAAACCTCATACAAACGCTGTCTCGGCTTCCGTTAGCACCGATAGATCCTCGAAATGTGACTACGGTGCCCGATCAAGAAGGAGACAGCCAGAAGGAAGCATCTATCGGTACAACTTGGGGCGTGAATAAGGCTGCTGGGTTATGGCTTCACGGAAGATACATTCTGAACTTGTGGCGTATGACGCGTTCAGAGGTATGGCGAGCTCTGGTTTAACTGTTGAGGTGATAGGCGCTAACGTGTTTGTTTGTTTGTTATAAGCTTAAATTATCGCGCTACGCTCTTGAAGACGTTGTGTGGGCCGTTCTAAAGCGAACATATCCAGTGTACTCAGCTGATCAATTAACTACGTGGTTTCGCGAAGGTGGTCAAATGAGGTGGAAGGTCATTCGGTACTTCCTGGAGCGAGCAACTCTTAACCTCCAAATCCTTTCCAAAATGCAGTTGATCACAAGAACCAGGTACGTGCAGTTCGTTGTGTAATGGTGTGGATGTCAGTCATCTCATGAATGCTCTGTGTACTTATACTGTACATTAATTTGATGCAGCGAGATGGCGCGGTTGTTTGGGATAGACTTCTATTCGGTGCTTTCTCGCGGATCCCAATACCGAGTTGAAGCGGTCATGCTACGCGTGACCAAACGGAAGAATTTTCTGTTGGTATCACCAAGCAGAAACCAGGTGGCTGGACAGGCCCCGATGGAATGTATTCCGCTGGTGATGGAACCCCACTCGAGCTTTTACCCTGATCCCGTCGTGGTTCTAGACTTTCAGGTACGAGAGGCCATTGCTCATGCTCAAAGTGCATTATCAATGATGTTGCTGACTTTGTTGTTAGTCTCTGTATCCATCGCTTGTAATCGGCTACAATTTGTGTTATTCAAGCTTGCTTGGTCGGCTAAAGGATGGCTTGAATCCAGAGTTGGAGGCTTCACTTGGTGTTATCGACTACTCTCCAAGCGCCTCAGGTCTTCTGCAGTGTAAAGATGATATTATCATCGCCCCGAACGGTGCACTATTTTGCCCGAAAAGCCATCGCCATGGCGTTCTACCGCTTATACTGGACGAGATTTTATCGACTCGAATTATGGTGAAAAAGTCGATGAAGACGGCGAAGGAATGCAACCAGGAGCGGCTGGAGAAGGTTTTGAATGCTCGGCAGCTGGCGCTGAAAATGATCTCAAACGTGACGTACGGATACACCGCTGCAGGGTTCTCAGGTCGAATGCCTTGCGCTCAACTGGCCGATGCAATTGTTCAGGTAGGTTTATCCGCTCATTCGACGTACTTGAGCACTCTTCTGTACTTACTTGGCTATATCGTTTTGCTTTAGACTGGACGATGCACACTTGAAGCTGCTGTTCGGTTGATCGAAGGGCGGTCGGACTGGAATGCCAGAGTGGTGTACGGCGATACAGATAGCGTTTTCGTGCTGCTCAAAGGAAGGTCGAAGGCAGAGGCCTTTCGAATTGGGCAGGAAATCGCTGACGCGGTCACCGCATCGAACCCGAGGTACGAAATTGCTCTTCTCGACCTTGCCGAAGTTCGTACTCACTTGTTTCGATCATGAATTCTTGACCTCAGACCAGTGACATTAAAGCTGGAAAAGGTTTACATGGGCTGCGTCCTCGTATCGAAGAAGCGGTATGTGGGCAACAAGTTTGAATCTCCGACTCAAGAAGTGGGCATCATCGAATCGAAAGGGCTCGAGACAGTTCGACGAGACTCTTGCGGAGTTGTTCAGCACGCTATGCAAACGTCTCTCGAGATACTTTTTGCGTCTTCCGACTTGTCCAAGGTGAAGCAGGGAATGGAGAAATACTGGCTTCAGATTCTAGAGAACCGAGTACCGCTGAAAGACTTCATCTTCGCCAAAGAAGTGCGTTTGGGGACGTACAGCAACGGAAGGTAAGGGCTCAGTCTTGCACGGGGTTGTGATCGATATTCTAGTCGACTGATGTGTATTATGATCCATCTCTTTTGTAGTGCCCCTCCTGCAGCCCTCGTCAGCACCAAAGCCATGGGCAGAGACCCTCGCGCAGAACCTCGATATGCGGAACGTGTACCCTACGTGGTGGTCAATGGGCCACCAGGCGCAAGGCTTATGGACTTGGTTGTGTCACCCGACGAGTACTTTGACAAGCGGAAGCGATACAGCGTCAACCACCACTACTACATCAACAAACAGGTTCGAACATTTCTGCTCGGGCATCAATGTGGAAAGCCATCAAAACTAACTATTGTTTGCTGTAGATCATCCCGAGTCTCGAGCGGTTGTTCCTGCTGACAGGGGCGAACATTCGATCGTGGTACGCGACCTTGCCTCGATCGTCCGTGAAAGCTCGTCAGCATGTGTACGAGAACGCGACACCCACGCGCCCGTTTGGGCGCGGCTTCCGATCGATCGACGCGTTCTACCTGAGCAAGCACTGTCGACTGTGTGGAGCAATCGGCAATGACACGCTGTGCCAGGAGTGCACCGCCAACCCGCAGCGAAGTCTTCTAGCGATCCATACTGCGTCTACACGTCATGAGAAGGCTGCCATGGCTTTAAGACTCGCGTGTACGGCGTGTGCAGATCGAGATGCGTTTACAACCTGCAACAACGTTTTCTGCCGCGTATGGAACCATACCAAGCTGTTCGAGGCAGATAAAGCCACACTCATGTTTCAAGAACGGCAAAGCAACCCACAATGAACAAAACAAAAAAGTTATCTATTACCCCTTGAAGGACAATTGGAAAGGAACTCCAAGCGCTGCCTTCCTAGCACCATCTACAGTAGTGCTGTCTAATTTTTGCGAGGGCGGCTGGGCTTCTTGCCCTTGCCGCCGTGCTTCTTGCCCCCCTTCTTGGACTTGGGCTCCTGCTTCTGCTTCTTCGCCGGCCGCTTGGCCTCCTCGTCATCCTCCTCGGCATCGCTCTGGTCCTCCTGGACGACCTCAGCCTCAACGTCTTCGGCCGCCTGCTTACGCTCCTTCTTGGCCTTCACGCGCTGCTTCTTGGTCATGTTGGCCTCCTCGGCCTCCTCCTCGAGCTCGTCAACAGTCTTCTTCGCATCCTTCTCCTCCGAAGGCATCGTGTTCGCGTACTTCTTGAACTTGGCCACGTAGAAGCCGTCCATGTTGTGCACGTGAGGGTAGAATCGGCGGGTGAGCTGCACCGACGGGTGGAAGCGCTGCTGCTGGTAACGAGTGAAGCCCGGCTTGCCGTGGTCGAGGCCAGTGTCAACAAGCTTCACGCAGCGCTTGCGCAGAGCGTAGTCAACGACCGACTCGTTCTCGTCCACCATGACGGAACACGTCGAGTAAAGAATGTATCCGCCAGTCTTGGACTTGGCGTCCACAGCGTCGATAGCGGCCAGCAGCAGCTCCTTCTGCAGGTGAGCCAGACGCTGCACGTCCTTCTCGCCCTTCTGCGTCTTAATGGACGGGTCACGGGCAATCACACCCATACCAGTACACGGGGCATCCAGCAGCACACGGTCGAAACCCTTGAAAAGCGACGGCACCTTACGGCCATCGTAGCACGACACAGACGTGTTCTTCACGCCGAGACGGTGAAGGTTGGCAACCGTAGCCTTCAGGCGCTGCTTCTTCAGGTCGTTCGCAATAATCGTGCCCGTGTTCTTCATGAGCTGGGCAATGTACGTCGTCTTGCCACCAGGAGCGCAAGCCATGTCCAGCACGCGCTCGTTCATCTGCGGGGCGAGCGCCATAACGGCACAGATCGACGAAGCCGATTGCAGCATGTAGTGGCCGGCCAGGTACTCGGGCGTGGCACCAATGGGCACGGGCGAGTCGTAAATCTTAAGACCCACCTTGGACCACTTGGCCAGAGGGTCGAGGTTCACACCGCGCTGGATCAGAGCCTGCGCCAGATCACGACGACGCGCCTTCAGCGTGTTGGTACGGATGACCAGCGGACGAGGCTGTTCGTTAGCCTCCACGAACTCCACGCACTCGGCGGGCGAGAACATCTTTAGGAACATGTCGATGAGCTCGCGGTTGTAGCCGAAGTATCCGGCCAGATCCTTGGCCAGCGACTCCACGTAGTCCACGCGGGAGCGGCCAGGCTCGCGGCGCGCGCTGAAGTGCGACAGCACCTCCACCACGTCCTTGATGCGCTGGTAGACCTCGGCGGGGTCCGTCATGTCGTCGTCGCCCTCGCCCTCCTCGGCCAGCTCCTCCTCCGTGGGCAGGTGGTACGGCTCGTTGTTGGCGATGTTGAGGCGCATTTCCTCCTCGGCCTCCTGGGCCTGCAGCGCCTCCTCCTCGTCCAACAGACGGGCCTTGCGCTCAATGTCCAGCTCCTCCTCCTCTTCGTCGTCGTCTTCTTCCTCGTCATCGTCGTCATCGTCGCTGCCCTTGCTCTTCTTGAGCTTCAGCCAGCTCTTGTTGGCGTCCGAGAAGCCATCGTCGGCCTCCGGTCCCTCCTCGCCGCTGTCCTCGTCCTCGTCCTCGTTGTTGTCGTCTTCCTCCTCCTCCTCGTCCGAGTCGAAGAGCTGCGCCTTGTTGCTGCTGCTCTTGGCGCTGCGCTGCTCCTGCTTGGCAGCCTCCTTCGCGTACTTGGACGACTTGGCGGCGGCCGGGGCGGCCTTGGCAGCGGGCTTGGCCGCGCTCAGTTTGCGCTTGTTCGGTCTCGCCATGGCTACGTCGGTGACTGCGTCGACTGCTTTGTGTCGCTTCGGAGGGCGTGACCACCACACTATTGACTGGTGCGCAAAGGTTACCCTCCAAGTTGGTGTGCGCCACACCACAAACGTATGAAACATAAGTGGCACACGCGAAAGGGCGTGTTGAACTGATCATCACTCTTGCATCAACATGGAGGCCCCAACAGCTCCGCCCGGGGCTCCTGCGTCGGCTGGAGGCTTCTCCGAGGCGGGCAGCGCCGGGTCCAGGTACGACGCGCTGCTGCGGCAGATCGTGCAGCTCAACACGGACCTGCAGAAGACGGTGGCGCTCAGTCAGACGCTGCAGCGCGAGCGTGACGACGCCCAGCAGCTCAACGCCAAGGTGTGAAGAGGCTTTACAGTGTTCCGTCGGCAAGTAGGGTGATACTAAATGGGATAATTGCAGCTCAAGAGCGATGTCAAGCGGCTTCAGGAGCGCTGCGACAAGATGCAGCGCGTGCTGATGCAGGAGACGGAGCAAAAGGTGCAGGAGCTGGAGCTGCAATACAGGATTTAGTTGTTGCATCCACTTAAATTACTGTTGTGTGTGGAGAAGATTGAGTCGGACAAGAAGCATGAGGAGCTGATTGCCAAGTGGAAGAAGCAGCTGGAGGTCAAGGCACGTGCGTTTGAGTCATTGCAGAAGAAGTTTGCGCCGCCGAGGGACCTCGAGCAGCTACGTATCAAGATCCAGGAGGAGCTGGAAGGGCCGTACCAACAACGCATTGACAACCTGCAGGATGAGGTGGAGAGGCATCGCCAGATGAGCTTTGACATGCGGCGTGAGTTTGAAGCTCTGAAGACCGAGTACGAGCAGTTCTCGATCGATCAGGTACAGTAGGTGGGGAGGTTATCAGAAGGGGAGTCGGATGGAGGATGCTGATCTCGTGTTGCAACAGGGAAACGAAATGGAGTGTATTCATGAAACTTATGAAGTGACGCTGAATGATTTGAGACGGAAGTTAAGGCTAGCCGAAGAATCAGCAGCCAACTCGAACCAGACCGAGGAAATTCGGCGTCTGGAGCAGCAGAGGGAAGCTGCACAAATTGAACTGAAGGCGCTTCGCGAAGAAGTCCGCGTGAGTGGTGCAGGTTAGTTGTCGACTATCACGCTGGCATCGTCTTACCTCGTTTGTGCTTTTTGGGTGCAGGATGTGCGGGAAGAGTTGCAACGTGTATCGGAACAGAGTGAAGATGACAAAAGTGCCCATGAACTGCGCTTGGCAGATGATGCGACGCGAAATGCGACGCTGGAGTTAGATTTAAAAGCTTGCAATCGGCAGCTAACCAGAGCAAAGGATGAGTGTGAAAGCATCCGATCTAAGTGGGATCACGCCCAGAATAAGCTCCTAGAACTTGCCTCAGAGAGCGAAGGTATACGCGAACAACTGAAGCAAAAGGAGGCGCTCATCTTCAGTAGTCACAACTCGCTCTCCATGAAGTACGTACTTGGTTATATTTGTATTCATGGTGAAAATCATTATCTAATTTTCGTTACTGTGCAGACTTCGAGATGAACGGGCTACATGGGAACGGGAGCAGTCGAACCTGAAGGTTTGTTTTGTATGAATCCTGATGTAATAGCAAATTTTAGCGTTAACACTCTTTTACATGAACAGGAGCGCGTCAGTGAACTAGTGCTGAAGCTTCAAGCAGCTGAGGCTGCTGCACAAAAGAATTCCACTGCAGCTGCCCAACTAAGAGAAAATGACAGTAGTAGCACGGATCATTCACTACTTCTGAAAGCGCACGAGGATGACTTGGATAAGTACCGTGCACTTGTTGCAGAAGCAGAGAAAAAGGTATTGAGTAGGGTCATGTTGCACCTAAAGCGTGTTTCTTACACTCACTGGCTAATATTTCTCTGTGGGGCTACGGTAGGTAGCTGCAAAAGAGGAATCTCTTCGCCAGTGCCAGCATGAAGCTGAAGAGACCACTCACAAGCTTCAAATGGAAAAAGAAAGTATTAACAAAATGCTGCAAGCACTGGAGGCTGAAAAGGAGGTTATGGTTGCTAAGCAGGCGTCTTCGCATGAACTGGTACGACGCGATGCTTCCTTCTAGCAGTACTATTTTTTGTATTCTCACCCTTTAATCGCACCACCTAGGTTTCTCGGATGAAGTCAGAATGTGTAACACTGCGTACAAAGCTGAAGGACATCGAGAATGACTACCGTACTCTTCAAGCAAAACACCGGTAACTACATTTGCTTTCGTGAAATGCTGTCGTTGAAGCTGACCATTTTACTGCGCGGTTTGCGTGAATTTCAGAGAGGTTATTCAGTACCAAGAAGACGTACAGCTTGAAAGGGAAGAGGCCCAAGGAAAGGTACTTGAGCCATTATTTCCTCGAGCTGATTCGATGAAGTTCCATTCTCTTACCATAATCGCTGCATCAGCTCAAGTATATGGAACAGGATTATGCGATTTTGTTGGAGAAACTTGACAAAGAGAAGGAGAGCCACGCAACCACAGCCCGAGACTTACATGTACGTTACACTGAAGTCTGGCATATTTCTTGGCTAACAATGCTACCAAGCATCACGACAGAGAAAATACTCAAAGCTAGAAAGCGATTTTCAAGCCCAACTTGCAGCACTTCAACGAGAGACTCGCGCTGCGTTATCCAAAGCGCTACGGGAGCTAAGCAAGACGCAGAAAGTGAGTTATGTGGAAAAATGTGATAGCCTTAGTGCAGTCACCTCTCACATCCCATCAAAACCGTATTTTTCGCCTGCAGAAGCGCGATGCTTACAAGCGCAAGTGCTTAGAGATTCATGAGAGCTACAAACAGCTTGTGGAGGAAATGAATCGCCGGGAGACCAAGTTGCAACTGAGCAGACAGCAACACACAGCCGAGCTCCAGCAGCTGCTAGCACAGCTTTCCGAGGCCGAGAGTGACAAGACAGCTTTGATGCAGCGCCAGATAGAGCTGGGATTCCCTCCAAGTGTTTCAACGAAGAAGGTAAGTCAACATGCGTAATCGTCATCTGCCTCATTTCGACTGCAAAAACTCTGTCGATCACTAACTTGGCAGCAATGTTGCATGCAGCCCTCTGGGACCCGATCAGCCGAACCTGCTGAAAATTGACAATATAATGGTGGACACAGGCAGTAGGCCAAACTTGCATAATGGTTTAAATATTTTACACACGCATCGAATGCAGAAGAAATAAAGCGCGTGCAAGGTCGGCGGTGCAAGCACAAAGGGCAACCCGCGGAGCAAGCGTGCTACGACACCAATCTTCAGTTCGCCATGATACACCAGGTGGTCGGTCGTACGCAAGCATGAACGCTTGGATGGCCTAAATCTTGCTGGCGACCGGCGCCTGCCATGGCTTCTGGGCCCGGCGCTGGTTCCAGTTCAGGTTGGTGATCATGGACTCGAACCAGTCCTGGTTCTCGTTTACCCGACAGATCGAGGGCAGTGGGTAGGACGACACGCGGACGACAATGCTGTCGCCACGCTCCATGCGCACACGGTTCTTGCCATCGAATGACACATAGCACGCCGACGCACGGCTGGTGGTGGGGAACTCTATCTTCAGTGTAGCGCTGTCGTGGAAGATCAGCGGTCGGAAGCTCAGCGTGTGTGGGCAGATCGGCGTGAACAGCATGGATGGCACGGAAGGGTGCGCCATCGAGCCACCAGCTGACAGCGAGTAGGCCGTGGAGCCCGTCGGCGTAGCGATGATGATACCGTCCGCTGCAATCTTGGTGATCTCGAGACCGTCGCAGTAGCAGTTGAGTTCAACGAGAGCGCCCGACGGACCGCGGTCGATCACGATCTCGTTCAGTGCGTGCAGGTTTCCAGAAATCTCGCGTTCCTTGCAGCCACGGTAGATGGAGCACACCAGTCGTGAGCGCAGCGACATGTAGAAGCCGCCGTTGATGACACTGGTGAGGTGCTCCACTGCGTTCTCAGCGTCGAACGGTGTAAGGAATCCCAGCGAGCCCATCGCAAGCGAGAAGATTGGTGGCACACTCTTGCTGAACAGTGAAGAGACCCACAACACGGTGCCGTCACCGCCCAGCGACACCACAAAGTCGATCTTGCTCTGGCACTCGATCCAGTCCTCCGGTTTGGTGCCCCACGTCTTGGTGTGCGACAGCGACAGCTCGTTGTGCACAGTCGGCTCCAGGAACACGTTGATCTTCTTCTCCTTGTGCAGCCACGACGTCAAGCGCACGAGCATGTCCGTCGTGTCCGGCTCGTTTGGCTTCTTCACGATCAGCACGGTCTTGGGCGGCTCGTCCCACATGAGCTGCACGTTGTTGCGCGAGCGGTGCTGCGTGCGGATGCTGCGGTTCATGGGGGTGAACACCTCGCACTGCTCGTCCGAGCACTGCAGCAGCCGGAAGATCGAGCGCGGGGCTGCGGCGCCGCCGTCCACCAGCTCCGCCTCGCTGTACGTGGACGACGAGTCGCTCTCCGCGAGGCTGGACGTGTCCTCGCTGTAGATGCCGTCGCGGCCGGGCTGCGCCCACGTGTCGGCGATCAGGATGAGCTCCGAGTTGGTGCGCTTGCGCGGGCGGCTCTTGACGCACTGCAGGTCGACCTTGGCGACCTCGGCGGTAGGCGGGTGGTGGCCCGTGAGGTCCTTGCAGCGCTTCATCCAGTAGTTCTTCTCAGCGATGGCCTGGCGCAGCTGCTCCTCCAGGTCGTTGATCTTGGCCTGCAGGCGCAGCGGGTTCTCGCGCTGGGTCTCACAGAAGGCCAGCACGCGCTTCATCTGGTCGTTCATGGCGCGCAGGTCCTCCTCCAGCGTGTAGCCGTCGCCCGCGGACGACGCGTAGGACGGCAGCCTTGCGCGCGCCGCGAGCTGCTGCTCCTGCTCGTCGCAGGCGGCGTCCACGAGCGCGACGGAGCCGGAGGCCACGGCGGCGTCGTAGCGGCTGTCGGTGAAGCCCATCCTGGCCAGGTCGGCGTGGCTCGTGTCGCGTAGGTCCAAGATCTGCTTGAGCTTGGGCGGCGCCAGCTCCTCGGCGGCTTCGGGCACGGGCGGCAGACTCGGGAATGGCCGCTCGTCCGAGGGCTGGGGGCTCGGCGATCGCGGGGAATCGTTCATGCGGCTGATGGGGCGAGGCAGGCGTGACGTCGGGCGACAGAGACGGGGGCCGCGCAGAAGGGAGGCACGGGCGCTGAGCGGCGAAGAGAGCGAGCGGCAAAGGCGGGCGGCTGGCAAGTGTGTGAGCGCACTGCAACAGCACTGGACGGAGCTCAGCGAAAGCGGCTGGCTCGCGCTTGCTTTACCCGGATTCGAAGTGAGGGGTGTCGCCGCGCGTGACTTGGCCCCAGTATGGGCCGCGAACTTGGGGGGCACGTAATCCGAATCTCCCTCGTAATCGGATTGCCACAAAGTGGGCTGACTGCGTCAACAATTTCGACAAAATAGGGTATCGTTTTCGTTAGTATCTGACATTTGTATGTGGCGGTAAACGTAACATTTCGTGGTTGGGACTGGTCAGCACCAACATTTGTCATTTTCGAATCCCTCCGAGAAAGAAAAACTGAGGTTTGTCTGCTTCGAGATCGCCTCGGTGGCGAGCAAGCAGTTCCAGTTCCGGCATGCTTGCCACAGTATCTTGCCATTTGCGGCTTGAACATTGCCAGCAAGACGCCTCACTTGCGGCGGGCACGCGCTGGATTCAACGTCTGCCTGTGACGCGGCGCCACGAGCCTGTCTCTCAAGGTTCAAGTCTTGCTACGCATCGTGATGCAATGCAAGGTCTCCCTTGACGAGAGGTGCTTGAAGTTCCTTGTCGCACTCGAGCCAGTGCCTACGATCGCTCGAGCGAGCTGCTCTTCAAGCTGCAGCTTGCTGCGCGCCGATAAGAACGCGCAGCGAAAATCGGCGAGCTGGAGCCAGCTTGCTTGTCGCCGTGCCGCCAGTACAGTAGCGGCTACGAAGTTGAAGCGAGTGCCGCCGCCGCCAGCACGGATCGAGGAAGGTCACGTCGCGACGACGCCGACATCTTGCCACCCGTGACCAACGTAGCGGTCACTACATTCTTGACCGGTCGTGAGCTATTATAAGACCGCAGCGCTGAACTGCATCCTCGCGGGGAAGTCGAAACCTAAGCAATATCTTCGTCGACACAAAGCGAGGCGGGGGGTCAGCCGATGCTAGTGGTGAGCTCGACTGCGCATTTAACAGTGCATATTTTTGCTGAAATGCAACTTTTTTCCGAGGGTCAATTTCGGCAAAACCTTTTCACCATTTCAACATTAGATTCGACACGAGCGCTGGTTGACTGTGAAGCAGCTCTTCTTGGGGCAGTAGCGCTACCGCTAGGGCATCTGGGCATGTGATCAAGCAGCGCTTTGCCCGGCGCCATATTCAACTTCGCTTTTTCCAATCGCGAGCTGACGATATTTTACGCCATCTCATTGGTCGTCTTAACAGCGAATGAGACGACAGCACCGCGTATCTGATACTGACCCGCGTTGACACGCATGCGCTTCGACGTGGGGAGGAGGGATCCCCCACTAATAACCGGCAGACCAGCAGCGCAGCAGTCAGCACCAGCCATGGGCGAATCCACCGACGCCAGCGAGAGCCGGACGACCGGCAAGCTCAAGTACGAGGTAGTCGAAGGCCGCACCACCGCTACTCACGTCTACGCGACGTATCCGCTCAAGTTCCTGCACCCGCAGAGGACGATCCACCAGGGCTTCGACACGTCCATCACTGTGAGTCAATGTCGTCTCGGTCTATATGATGCTCTCTCACTCTTTGACGACGCTCTGAACGGGTACCTGGGCGTGTAGTACATTTTGGGCTACGGGGGAGGGCTGGTGGGCGGCGACTCCGTCGTCGTGGGATGCGAGCTGGGCCCCAACACTTCAGGTGAGGCAGGGGGAAATGTATCGTAACATAGTGATCCTCTTTTGGTTTGCTGACTAATGTGAGGGGTTATATCTGTGTAGTGGTGCTGGCGACGCAAGCGACCACGAAGGTATTCAAGGCGGAGGACGAAGGGGAAATTGTGTCGCAGTCCTTTTCGCTCAAGGTAGCGAGCAACGCTACATTGGCGTTCCTCCCCGACCCAGTGACCTGCTTCGAGAGAGCCAAGTACCGCCAGACGCAGGTTTTTCACCTTGAAGAAGACGCGAGCTTGGTGTTCGTAGACTGGTTGACCAGCGGCAGGAAGCGAAACTACTTGGCGACGGGGTCTATCCGCGACAATCGCACTGAAACGCTTGAGCACTGGGATTTCAGCGAGTACGACACGACGTCTGAGGTGTTTGTTGCGGGTGAAAGGCTCGTGACGGACCGCGTTCGTCTTGCAGGTGCGTTTTACAATCAGCTTTGTTGCATTGAGGGCGACATCTAACCGATTTTATATTGTGCCGGTACCCAGACGAAGAAGACGTCAGACTTCGTCAGCGAATGCATGGTATGCACGTGCTGGGTTTGATGGTCATTGTCGGCTCCAAACTGCAGCCTATCATGGACCAACTGCTGGAGCTGAGCACGCGCAAGAAACTGCACAACGCAAGGGACATCACCCCTCAAGGACGCCTCGCGGCGGCCAATACCTTTCCTGGAGTTATTGCGTCAGCAAGCTCGTTGGGACCAAACGCCGTCATTGTGCGGTTCTGTGGTCAAGACACTGAGTCGGTAATGACCTACGTCAAGGCCATGTTGGCACCGCTACGCGAGATTATTGGGTTTACTCCCTATCAGGAAAACCGGTGAAAATGCTGTGGCATCGGGAACGAATGGACATAAGAGAGTTGTTCGCGTGGTAGTACTTCGATGTATCCATTCGATAGCAATGAAGTTGAAGTTGTGCTGAGTGATTGTCGTGGTAGTGTGAGTGACGGTTCCAGATATCACCGATGTCAACCCAACTTGGAACTTCTTCTGGTCGACACTTCCGAGTCCCAAGCTCCAGCACAAGGCTCACTTTTCATTTTCCCTCTCAGGTCGCTCATCTCCGGACCAATTCCGTCGCAAATGGCGAACACGGCGTGCCAAATCTGCCTGGACACCATCGAAAGTGGAAACGAGCTCGTCACAAACGTCTGCGGGAAGAGCTGCAGCGCCCAGGTCTGCACGCAATGCATGGGCCGTCACGTTGACGTGACGCTGCAGCAGTTCTACCCTGGAGTGCTGCCTCGTGTGCGCTGCCCGATCTGCCTGGTCGAAATCCACGATAGCCGATGGAAGACCCGCGTCCCCAGTGACCTCAAGACCCCGTTGACGACCAAGTACAGCGAGTTGTGCCGCCAGGCCTGCGTCGTCACGCCTCCGTGTTGCCACAAAACGGACTACACACACCTTCCACTTTATAACCCGGAGCGGAGGATTGAAGGTTCGCTCACGCTGCTGCCGTCGCAGCTCGCACACTTCCAGAGTCTGTGCAAGCAGTTCTGTCGGCACAAAGGAGAACCTCGTGCAGTTCTGAACTACGCTATGGACACATTCGGGGAGGAGAAGACCCTGGTCCTCGTGAACGCGTTGACATTGCCGCGGATCGAGGACCCCGAGCGGCGCGCCACGTTGCTGCTGTCGCTGATGTACCTGCGGCCGAACACCAAGACGAACTGCTGCGGAGCCGACTTCTGCTTCAACTGCAAGCGCCGAGGCCACCACGAAACTTGCGTGGAGGAGTTCGACGAGGACAACGACCTGGTGCGCTGTCGTACGTGCCGCGCTCTGCTCCTGAAGGTCGACGGCTGCGACTCAGTGAATTGTGTGTGCGGATTTTTCATGAACTGGGCACAGGAGCGCAGCCTTCGGCAGCAGCACAAGAAAAGGTTGCTGCCGGTGGATATCTTCGACATCCCGCTGACAGACGAGTGGCTATACTTCCGTGAACGTCTGGCGGAAGTTATGAAGAAGCTGTGGTTGCAGAAACATATCGTACTTGCACTGCGACCTCTGCTGCACTCGAGGTTTTCCTGCTACGTTTGGCGATTCCGGTTTCGCAAGAGTCTTGCAATCAAGTTGAAAGATGCTTGTGAAGTGAGGCGTCTCAAGATCCTCAACCAAGATATTGCGGCAGTTAAGGGTGTTCTACGGGCGGCTGTAGCTGCGCACGTTTGGCGTCGCCGATTCAGTAAGATCTTGCGCGTCGCGCAGCCCGAGATGTACTGGAAGGCCTACCACCGCTGGCACGCAGAAGAACTCGAGGACGAAGCCGAGGAGGTGAACAGCTTTTTCAGAATTGGCGCATTCGACGACGAATAGGTGGTAACTTTTCACTGGAAAGATACAACACCGACATAATGCACCTTATATTTACTGGCAAAATGCTCTTCGGTCACGGGAACACGGATAATACGTTTTCACGTTTCGATATCTTTGTCCTGGGCTACATCTATTAGGTGAAACGCGCAGACGGTAGCTGCAGTTGAGCGATGTCGAGCACATCGAATATCTTGACATGAACCAAACTCTATACCAAACGTTCTTGGTGCCACCTATTTGGTCGATAGCACCGCGCTGACCGATACGCATTTGCATGTCGTCCTCGTGCATTGGTATTACCACAATTTCAGGTTTTACGACGTACGGTGGTACATCTCCATGGTTTCTTTAGTTTTCACTAGTCGCACAACCAGATACAACCCCAACCAGAAGAAGGAGCTCGGATCGTTTGTCTTGCTACCGAAGTATGAAGCAAGTGACCAGTCTTTCTTTCGAATGGCAGGGACAGCTCCCCAATACGCGGCGGCAATCTACGCCTGCCCATAGCACCATCGCCTTCGACAACTCGAGCCATGTTGAAGCTTTTTTGTTTTCAAATCTGTCTTCAAAGTTGCGTCTTGAGTCAAGATGCAACTTTGGGCGCAGATTAAAGTGCAGACAACCGCACCGCAACCCGGACGCGTTTCAGCTCCGCAAGAAATTCCTCGAAGGAAGTATGCAAGCGCAAGTTCAGCAATCGTACTTATCCGGGCTTTTAAGCGCGCTATCTTTTCGTAGGCGCAATCACTTTAGAGAGGGAGCCCCCCATCGGGCCGAGCAAAAAACGAGGAGAAGCACCTCGGTGGACCGCAGCGAAGCGCAGAGCCCGAGCCCGCAGAGCGAGCGACCCACGGGAGGAGAGCAGCAAGAGCAAGAGCATGTCGGACTACGAGGAGGAGGACGAGAAGTGGGTGCAGTGGTTCTGTAGCCTGTCGGGCAACGAAGCCTTCTGCGAGGTGGCGCAGAGTTACATCGAAGACTCGTTCAACCTCTACGGCCTGCGCGCCATGGTGCCCAACTACCAGGACGCGCTCAACATCATCCTGGACATGACCGGTGGGTGCCCTCGTTCTACCTCGGTACAATATTGAGTACGTACTAATTTGACGGACGAATGAATGGATGGATGGATGGCTACAGACATTCCATATGACGACGACGTGCCGGCGTACGCGGCCGAGCTCTACGGACTCATCCACGCCAGATATATCATCACGGCTCATGGGCTGGATGCCATGGTAGGGCGAGGAGTAGAACGGGGGTAGAGTGTGAGGTATGGCAGTGCTGATACCTGAGTCTCTGTTGTGCTTTCGTAGATGAAGAAGTACCGTGAAGGAGACTTCGGCGTCTGCCCCAGGGCGCTGTGCGACGGCCAACCGGTTGTTCCGGTGAGTTCACTAGTTGGTACTTATTTGTGTGGCCATGAGTGGGTTTGACAAGCTAACGGGGGTGCTTTCGAATTGGCAGGCGGGACTTCATGACGAGTGGAAAAAGTCGGAGATGAAGGTGTACTGCCCCAAGTGCCGAGACCTGTACACCCCTGCCAGCGAGTACCAGACCCCCGCAAGTACGTACTGCAGTGGTGTGCTTAGTTCGTGCACCTTGGCGTGGCAATATGTAGCTGCTAGCGGTGAGTTTCCATGGTGCTAACTTCATATTTTCCCTTGCTTTTGGCTGCAGTTGACGGCGCGTACTTTGGTACGACGTTCCCGCACCTGTTTTTCCTGACCTACAGAGAGCTGGAGCCGGCTCCGTCGACGCTGCTGTACGTGCCCCGGGTGTTCGGCTACAAGATCCACAATAAATCTGAGAACCGTCGACGCCTAGCAATCCTCGCAAAAGAGGACGAGGATGAAGAGAAGACCCAACAGCAGGTGAGCAAGCACTGAGAATGAAAACTACGGTTTTTGCGCCCATGCATATGCGTGAGTAAGGAGGAGTGTGTGTGTCAAAACAACCGCGACTGTCCCGCCGGCACTGACGACCGACCAGCCTATTGGCTCGGTGGTTAGTGCCGAAACCGGCCCCTCGTGCCCTCTCGACTCTAGCTGCGCAGTGCTCCAAGCGAGGTGAAGGGCGCGGGAGTGCCGGGAGGTGCGGAGAGGGTGACTGTGTGTCGTGTTTTCATTGCGTGTTTTTTTTTTTTTCTTAGGGCGTGCCGTTTAGTGAGGTGGTCGACTTATGTGTCTATCTATCTCTGTTCTGTTTTTAACAGAAGCTGTAATTATGTGTGTTGCCTTCGGTAGCGACGGACTCTGACAGGAGCCAGACGGAAGGGCGAGGCCGACTCGACTGCTGATGTGACGTCGTCGCGCGTGAAGAAGCGGACAAAGCAAGAGGTTTGAAGCGTTCCAAGCTTCTCGCGGGGTGTCGATGTCCGGCAGCGTGACTTGAGGCGTACCAAGCACTGGCGAATGGAGGATCGATCGGCGTGGGGGGGGGGGACGGAAGCAGCCAGCTGCATGGGGCAGGCAAGAGAGAACCGAGGGTGACAAACAAGAAGGTGGTGGAGGTGGAAGAGGCGAGAAAAGAGAGGGGCGCACCCAAGAAAGACAAGAGAGTGCAAGTTAGCCAGCCAACCAGGCGGAGCGAGGACGAAGACGCGCTCGACGCTCGACACGAGGAGAGTCCGGTCTGATGACGCGGGTGTATTTCGGCGTGCGGCAAAAGGCAGTTGAAGGCCGAACGTCCGTCGGGACCGGCTGGTGAAGCTTTCGTAGCTGTGCTTTCGGGTTGCTTGAGGGCACTTATTAGCGTATAGTATAGTAATAAAGTGGGCATTCTCTTCATCAAAGTGTATCCGTCCACATGCCGTCCTCGACAGCAAAGTGTCCACGTAGAATTTGTCCTCCATTGTCCATCCTCACTATTCTAGGATAATGTCTACCCTATAATAGGACGGACCTATTCTCATGTACACTTGGTGTAGCATCGCGTCACACAAGCCCACCTCACAACCAAAAGCCCCGCTAGAGCGCGCGGGGGGATCGGACGACTGGCGAACGCTCCCGCTGCATCTCCCAGGAGACCACAGGCAGCCAGCATGAGGTAGGCTGGCTACTGCCACAAATGCACAGCTCCTTGACTATTTTGCACGCGCAATTCCGCCCCCATAACGCCTTAATCTAAGGAGATCTAACAAGTTGTCTGCTGTCGCCCTTTGTGTGCTGCTTCAACGGCTGCAGTGACGGGGGAGAGCTCCCCACGCAGCTGCAGACGAAGCTCAAGCTGCAGCGCTCTCCGTTCGACGCGGAGTGGCGCGATGTGACGCAGGTGAGCGGTTTTAATGCGTCAAATGCGCCTCTGGAAGGAGATATCGCTAATTCTGAGCTTTTTGTGTCGCTAAATTGCAGCTGATGAGCGCCGCAGCGAAGGAGCTGAAGGTGGGGCAGATGATCCACGAAGACGACTTCAAGCTCTTCGACTCCATGTCGGCGCTGGAGCTGATGGACCCCAAGATGGACTCCGGGATGCTGGTCAATGGTGCCCCGCCGCTGTCAATTTCCGCTCGACTGGAAGGCGGCGACGTGCCGCTAGAGTTTTCGTCGGCGCGTGACGTGCTGGCGACGATTGACGAACTGTTTTGCTGCGAGGCGGGGTGGCTGAACGGCCTGCCGCTGGCGCAGTCGCTGCTCACGAGCGTGTACATGCACCGTGACCCGCTGAATGCCCTCGTCGCGCAGCTGGTGACCCCGCTCGAGAACTTGGTCGATGCTGGAGCGGATGTGCGAGCTGTATTAAAGGAGAGTCTGGGCACTTCGGCCAAGAGCTCGCTGCTGCTTGTCATGAGTGCGGTGTTCTTGGCTACGTTGAAGACGGCGGACCTTGTGCGCGATGCAGCGCTTCGTGCCGATATCTACGAGGAGGAAGACTTTTCGCCTGGAAACGGATTTGATGTCGGTGTTCTAGCTCCGATTTCTGTTGAAGCGCTGGATACGGTGCTGCAGGTGACACAAGAACGGCTGGAGGTGCTCCTCGAGCAACATAAGGCTTCGTCGTCAAAGAAATCGTCCAAGAAGAAGCACGGCAAAAAGGCAAGCGCCCCTGCTACAAGTAATTCTGAAGCTTCTGGCGCGACTGGCTATGAACTGCTGTACCCGAACGCTCGGGTTGGTGCCTTGCTGTGCGAGGCGTTTATTCGCCGTGTTCAACTGCGAAGAACACTACTCTTGACGTATGCTGGCCTTGGCTTGGCAGAGGGAGCATTGGATTTGAAGCAGGCAAGGGAGGGATTCCACCGTGCTTACGATCTTGTCGAAGGGATGTCTACTGAACGACTGGAGCTGGATCCGGAGTGCTTCAGTGGGAAGTCTTTTGGGTTTGACCCAAGCATCAGCCGTCTGCTTCTCTCTGGGTCACCGCCGCGTGATGTTAAGATCTCGGCTATTGATGAGGCTTTTGGACAGATGAAGAAGGTGCTGGAGGAAATGGTGATCGGTTGCTCCCCGCCTGAATGGACGTGCATGGAAGACCTGCGTATCTTCTTGGTCGAGTTTTCTAGACAACAACCCACAATTGTTGCACGCTCTTACGTACTGGTGAGTACTCGTGAGTGGCTGGTCGTGTAGCTATTTGCTGATATTCTGACGCTCTGTGGTTGTTGATTTGCTGGGACAGCTTTTCTTGTACGCCGACAGTAAAATCTACGCCAAGTACAATTTCATGGATTGGCTGTCAGCATCTATGGTGATGAACGGTGTGCCCTCTGTGCTGCTTTCTACACAAGAGGGCGTGCTGTACTCCTCTCGGTGCATCGAAACCGTCTACGAATCGCTCAAGGTGTATTTGCACAATCGATCGCGACAGCGCGCAAGAATCGAATATTTATTGGATGAGTGGAGCATACTTCAAGCGGAGGCTACTGCAGTAGACGAAAGGTTCACGACGGAGATGAACATCCCGGTACGTCCATATTCATTAACTGGATTAGAAACTTGCTCTTTGAACTTACAAGCGTCTGTGTCAACACACAGAAAGCGGCATACCCACGATACTTTACAGCGTGGTCCCTTGAGGAATCGGTGCAGTTGATGCTTCATTACGTGGTGCTGGGATTGGAGCTAGAGCTTTACTCGCCGTCTGAGTTTTCAACAATCTACTGGTACGTGCGGGTTTATCGTTTGAACATTTCTGTTGTATCTAATGGTTTCAATTCTGCTGGGGTAGGTATTTGGATTACTTGGAAGGCTCGCGCCTGCAAAACCTGAATGTAACTTGGACATTTGTAGAGAAGCTGAAAGCGATTATGCCGCCCGCTCATCGCCACGGGCCGCCGGCAACAGAGCAGCCAAAAGACGAGTCTGCTACACCTTCCGAAACATCTTCCACGTCTTCGTCTTCTTCGGCAAGGTCGTCAAAGAAAGGAAAGGCAAAGCACAAGAAGCACCACAATGACGCTGCTGCATCGGCCAGCCCTCAAGCTCCGGAGCCTGTGCGCGAACCTGTTGACCCCACCAAGGCACGGTTCCTGCGGGAAATCAAGTACACGGAGTTGCTGCGCAGTCTCATGCGCGCCTACTTCCAGCTCTTCAATGCGCTAGAGCGCGAGGGCCTCGTGCAGGTGAAGCCGCCCATGTACAGCGCGCCCACGATCCGCTTCCAGCATCGCTTTGCGGCCTTCCAGAAGCTCCACTACCCTGCCGCTCTCACGTACGAGGACTTCACCCAGAACAGCGACTTCTCTCCGTACGAGCTGGAGCTCATCTACAAGTCGGCCGAGGAGTGCTTCAAGGTGGCGCGTGCGCACGCCGAGGCGTTGCTGAACGACGAGGAAGGCATCAACACCATCGTCACCGACGCCGGCGTGGGGCTTGTCCGCGGCTTCGAGCTCCAGTCGCTGCTCAAGGTGTCCATCTCGAACTGCGTCCGTCTCGCACAGCGCAGCCAAACCGCCGCAAAGCCCAAGAAGACGTCGACGCCGCCCGCCAAGACCCGGATGGAGTTCGACTTTTCCATCCACCCGCACTTCCCAGTGGCAGTGTTCCCAACCCCGTAAGAGGTCCATAGAAGAGAGGTCATGTTGAAGAGAGAGAGACCTACCTATAGAGATGGAGAAGATCAGTGGGTGAGTGGGTGCGTGGGTGGGTCATTCCACCCGTAGGCTTTAGAGTTTAGGTAGCGCAACGGTAACTGTGCGTCGTTCTATTGCTCCTTCTTCTTCTTGTCTTTCTTCTCCTGCTGTTGTCGCCGTTTGAGCTTCTCTTCGGCCGCGATCTCGTCCAGCAGCACCTTGGTGGCGAAGAGCGCCATGGCCCCCAGCACCAGGAACACGCCGAGCGCCAGCATGCCGTAGAAGGCGGGGTCCTTGAGCACCGCCACCATCACCACGTCCACCCAGTCCTTGGGCGGCTGCGCCATGCGCGCGCGCAGCTTCGCCAGCGCATCGTCCGACATCGTCGTCGTCGTCGTCGCTTGTCAACGCAAATAAAAAATTAATTGTTTCCCGACGGCTAAACAAAAAAATCAAATCCAATAATTGATTACGTGTACCCAGCATCACCTCACATTTCAATTTTGTGATCCCAAAGGTATCATGCTCGCCGCTCGCCGCCTCTTGTCCGTCGCCGCTCGCTCCTCGCGCTTCACGCCGGCGGGGGCGCGTGCGCTCCACGTGGATGCGTCCAAGACTTCGATCACGGTGCGTCCTCTTCCTACAACCTCTGTATTTAATAAAAGAAAATTAATTGACGAGATGACATGCACCTTTCAGGACGCCATCGCCCAGGAGAAGGTGCTCGTGTTCTCCAAGACCCACTGCCCGTACTGCGCGCGCGTCAAGGGCACGCTGGACGTGCTGGAGGCCAAGTACGAGGTCGTGGAGCTGGACACGAGGGACGACGGGGCCGCCATCCAGTCGCTGCTGCTGGACATCACGGGCCAGCGCACGGTGCCCAACGTCTTCATCAACGGCAAGCACATCGGCGGCTGCGACGCCGTCATGGCCCTGCATGCCAAGAGCGAGCTCGTGCCGATGCTCGAGAACTGAGCTGCTACTACTGCGACTCTGTATGGTAGATGCCTTCTGTTCCAGACGAGATGAAGGGGTCGTGTCGATATAACGGAACATTGCATTTGCCACAGCTTTTTCTTTACGTGATGAATGAACTCTTTCTTATCATGTCTTGTGTGCTCTCGTTCGCCTAGCAGAACTACAGTGTTAGTGACCTACATAGCCCTACTTAGACCGAAGTCGTGCCGGGGCAGTCGTCGAAGTCGCCGATAATCATTTCGTCGAGCGAACGGCCTGCGCCGACCATGGGGTAGCAGTGCTCGTTCTTCTCGACCATAAACTCACCTAAGATGGGACCCTCGGCGGCGAGGAACCGGGCCATGTCCTCCTCCAGCCTGTCCTCCTTTTCGCAGCGGAAGGCCTCGCAGTGCATGGCCTCGGCGAACTTGACGAAGTCCGGGTTATTCATCACGGTGCCCGAGTATCGCTCCTCGTAGAACAGGTCCTGCCACTGCTTGACCATGCCCTGGAAGTTGTTGTTGAGCAGGAGCACCTTGACACCGATGTTGAACTCGGCGGCGGTGGCCATCTCGCACAGCGTCATGGAGAAACTGGCGTCGCCGTCAATGTCGACGACGATCGAGTCGGGCTTGGCCATCTTGGCACCGATGGCCGAGGGCAGACCGAAGCCCATCGTGCCCAGACCGCCGGAAGTGATGAACGTGTGCGGGCGAGACCACCGGTAGAACTGAGCAGCCCACATCTGGTGCTGGCCCACGCCAGTCGTGACGAGCACGTCGTCGCGGCCCTTCGTCTGCCTGTAGAGCTCCTCGATAACGCGCTGTGCCTTCATGGGCGCGCCGGGGGCGGCCGGGCGGTAGCGGAAGGGATACCTTTCCTTCCAGCCCTGAAGCTTCTTGTGCCATTCGGTGCGCGGCTTGGTCTCCACCTTGGGGAGGATCTGCTGCAGGTTGTACTTGGTGTCGCCAAGCACGGCAATGTCGGCGGGCACGATCTTGCCCACCTGCTTGCCCGTGATCTCGAAGTGGATGATGCCACCACGTCCCTCAGCGGAGGCACGGCGGGCCTCACGCGCGAAGTCGGGCACACGGCCCGTCACACGGTCGTCGAAGCGAGCGCCGAGCGTGATGATGCAGTCGGCGTCCTGCACGGCCTTGTTGGCGTACACGGAGCCGTGCATGCCCAGCATGTGTAGACTGAGCGGGTCGCGCTCGTCGAAGGCGCCCATGCCCTGCAGCGTCGTGGTCACAGGGATGTTGGCCTGGCGCGCAAGGGCGCGGAGCTCCTCGCTGGCGTGCAGGGCACCGGCGCCGGCGAAGATCAACGGCTTCTTGGCCTTGTTGATCATCTTGACGGCTGCGGCCAGGTTGGCGTCCTGGTTGACGCGGTTGCCCTCGATCTTCTTCTCGCCGTAGTAGCCCAGCAGCTGCGGCTCCGTGACGACGGGGCTCCTGCACAGGCCGGCCGTGATGTCCTTGGGGAGATCCACGAGCACGGGGCCGGGGCGGCCGGTCGTGGCGATGTGGAAGGCCTCGCGGATGTTGCGCGCGAGGTCGCGCACGTCGCGCACCTGCACGTTCCACTTGGTGCACGGGCGGGTGATGCCCAGGATGTCGGCCTCCTGGAAGGCGTCCGTGCCCAGCACCTGCGTGGCCACCTGGCCACTGAAGACCACGATGGGGGTGCCGTCCATGAGCGCGTCCTGCAGGGGCGTGACGGTGTTGGTGGCGCCTGGGCCGGAGGTCACCAGCACCACGCCGGGCTTGCCCGTGGCGCGGGCGTAGCCCTGCGCCATGTGGCCGGCGCCCTGCTCGTGGCGCGTGAGGACGAAGTCGAAGTGCTCGCTCTCGTGGATGGCGTCGAACACGGGGAGGATGGCGCCGCCCGGGTAGCCGAAGACGCAGTCCACGCCCATCTCCGCCAGCGTCTCGTGGAAGATCTCGGCGCCCGTCTTGCCGATGAACTTGTCGGTGGTCTTGGGCGGCGCGCGCTTGTGCTCCTCCTGCACCTGGGCGGTGGACAGCTCGCGGGCGTTGTCCAGCGCCGCGGCCGCGGGCGCCTGCAGTCCGCGCGCGGCGGACGAGAAGACGCGGCGGGCCTGCTGCTGCTGCTTCGAGGCGGCGCGCAGCGCGCGCGTAAGCTGGCGGGCTCTCATCATGGCGGTCGTCTGCAGAGCGCTCTGCTAATCCGGATCTGACCGGCGATGCAGAGCTGCTCGCTGGCCGGCACACCAGAACACACGTTGATGTGGGCGATTGCTCAAACAGACTTGGCCGACTTGGCTTTTGTATTGAAGATCGTTTGCGCATTGGTTTAATTGGTGGAAAAAGCAGGGACATCGGCCTCATTGGTGGAAAAGCAGGGACGCCACAGCCACAAGAAAAAAGCTATGGCCGATCTTGCACGGTCGCCAATCGCACATTGACGTGCATCACGCTGGCCGCGGCGCGCGGATACCCAGCGCGGTGACTTGCAGCTGCAGGCTGCTGGACTCCGCCGAGCACGTGAAGGCTCGGCCGTTGAGCACGGCGTTGCTGCTGCAGTGCGAGTGGGCCAGAGGCAGGGGCACCGCTGCCTCAGCATCGCCGTCGTCGCTGCTGCCGAACTTCTGTCGGCGCCATATCATGCGGCTCACGTCCAGCTTGTAGAGCACAGTGGACGCGTCCGTGCAGGCGGTGAACGATTCGGTCTCGCCGTTGGATGCGTATGTGTGGCCGCCGAAGAGCGCGAGCGTCTGGTGCGCGTAGAAGCACTCGAACAGCAGGCGCTCGCTCGGGACGTACGGCTGCGCGCACACGAGCGTCGAGAGTTTGGGCGTCGACCACACCAGCGTCGTCAGGTCCAGAATATGCACGTCCAGCGAGCGGCTCTTCCTGATCTTGTCGATCTTGCTCTTAGGGATGCGCCAGCCGCCGATCACCGCGAGCTGCTCGTTGTCCAGAGCAACCACTTGCATGCCGAAGCGAGCTGACGGAGGCTTCCCCACTGTGTGCGGGACAAACCAATTGGGAAGTCTCAGCAGCTCACGGTCCTTCATCAGTAGTCGCGCAGCATCACTCATTCGTCGCTCTTCCTGGCGCTGGACTGTAGTCTCCGCGTAGTCGTCCCTGGCGTACTTGCGTTCGTGCTCTTCCTCGTCAGCCAGCATGCGCTGCAAGCGGGTAGTCTGTAGCTGGTGCAAGTCGCTGTAGACGAGTGTGTCCGACTTTCCCCCGAAGAGGAAGATGCTCGGCTCTTGCTGCCAAGGCTGCTCCGTGTCGAAAGCGATGCACCACCCGTGCCAATACCGCTCGTACGGTGTGGTCGAGGTGTCGAGCTGGGTCCAGTGCCACCACTGCAGCGAGAGAGCGAAGAAGTCTCGGAATACTTGCCCATTCCGCCCTCGCCCACCGAAGACCAAAAGATGTCGAGGAGCCATGAACAACGCAGTGTGATCGCTGCGCTCTCGAGGTTCTCGTCCGGTGCACTCGCGACGAGTCCACGTGCTTGACGGAATGTCAAAGCTGTAGACACTGTTTGAATACGTGTACCGCGCTCGCTCGTACTGCATTGGGTTCTCTCGAACAGCTCGGGGGAGCAAGATAGAGGTGTCGCGAAGCACGCGACCGCCAAACACGACGAGCTGGTCGCCAATTCCCGGCGATGAGCACAGCGTGAGCGAATTGCCTTCACGAATGCACGGTATCGAGATAGCTTCGAGGGGGTCTGACCCTCGCGCAGGGAGTGCGCCACGGCAGGTCACCGACACGTTGAACCCTCTGAGTACGTCTCCGACGAGAATATCAAGCGGATCGTTGCTGGTTACGACCGTGCTGTCAGCGAAGTCTTCTCGCTCACTGCTGCCATGTTCGTCTGCAGCAGTCAATGCCCAATCGTCAGGTTTGTTTGAACCACTGGCTTGCGCATCTTTATGACTTTCATCATGTTGATCCTGCTGGTGTTGAAGTGCCTCGAGACGCCTGCGCTGCTTATCTTGCACCCATTTGATTTTTCGGTACGAGTCGCTCACGAAGCTTGGGTCTTGCTCTCGGTGGAAATTCAGCTTCTCCACGTACATGCACAGACCCACGCGCTCTCGTAGCCAGTCCGACACAGCACCTTCAGCACGCCCCTTCTCGCTAGTAGCAGGAGCCGGGGCCGACATGAAGGGCGCCTCAGGCCTTCTCATCCCAGGGCGCCTCAATGCAACTATAACTGCGGGCCACAATTCGGCGCGTCGCTTCGCTGGAGCGACAGACTTTGGTCGCAGCAATGTGATTGCAAGTACAAGCCCCAACTGCAGCAAGCGCAATGGGCTGGAGATGGCACCGTTAGCTTCTTGTGCTAGACGCGACTTTTCTTGTTTTGCCTCTCGCCGCCTCGCACATGTGAGAAAGGCATCAAACGGTTGGAGTTTTCTTACAGCCGACCTCGAGCTCGAGCGCCGCCCAGAAGGAGCAGGAGGACGACGGCGTCGGCGGCGATGATGACCTGCTCGCTCGTCTTGGGATCTTAATATTACAGAGGGTCAAATGATACTAAGTATTAGTATTACAAATTCCGCCCCACTTCTGATATCCAAAACTATATCGTCTTGTTAAGGGTATTAAATTAAAAAGGTAAGCAGCTGCTTGCACGTCTTTTGCCGTACTCACCGTCACCCTTCCCCATTAAGAAGTTTGCCGCACATGACGGCTCTGTGATAACTTTCTTGAATTACCACTCCGCTCAGTTGGTGGAGTCATACCTGGTTTTGCCGGTTGTGCTTTACAATCGTCTGCCTTGCTTCACTTCCGTGCAGGCCGAGGATCACGCGGTGTTTGAGGTACATCAAGGGCATACGGGGGTATACACGACCAGCAACTTGGTTCATGCTGAATTTAAGCAATAAGCCTGCGCCTCCACCGGCACCCTCAAACGCCACCCAAACTCCTCGGAGTCACCAGTGCTACTAGAACATCGTGCTCTTACCTCATCGGTGCTTAAGCACAGCGGAGGTCGTGCCAGCCTTCCTAGCAACCCTCCTATCTAGAAGCAACTCACCCCGCGTTCGCAGACCCATTTATTTTGGCCAATAGTAAGATGAAACAGTTGATTATACCCAATCATTTGTGACATGTGGTTCACATCAAATTGAGGTTTAATGCCGAATGCTGTTTCTTAAGTGGGCCAGAGAAGTAGTCCACATTACTGACCCATTTTCCAATCGCGCATCTCGATCCGACGAAGGATGTCTGCGGCGACGTCGCTGTCACTGTCGCTGTGGGCGCTGCCAGCGTCGGACACGGCGCTGGCGCTGGGCAGCTGGCTGGTGATCTTCGTGTTCGCGCGCTTCTTCTTCTCGTGGTGGCTCTTCCGGGACTACGCCGTGCGCAGCGCCGCCACGCCGCTGCTGTTCGCGGCGTCGCTGACCTTCTCGCTATCGATCTTCCAGATGGTCCTGTTCGAGGTCACGGACGTGATGCGCGTGGGCAGCCGCCAGTGGGTCTGGCGCATGGACCTCATCGCCATGACGTACCTGGTGGTGCTGGTGCTGCCGCTGTCGCTGTTCTACGCCATGGCCAGGGAGTACGGCGTGGCCCGACGACAAGCGGCCATCTCGGCGAGTGCAATGCTGTTGGTGTACCTCTACGGCTTCTGGAGACTCGGAGGAGTGTTGGAACAGGACCTGCCGAAACAATCCGTGGAAGGTGAGAGAAATGCTGCGATTTTCAGAGAAAAAGGAGCTCTGGAAGACGAGATATGAGGATTGTTGTCATTTAGGTGCTGATACTGCGGTGTACTTGTCGTTGCTAGCGTTGTTCTCTATCAGGAACTTTGTGAGTCGAGTGAGCTTGCTGGGGGTCGTGTTCATGGCGTTGCTGTCGGGCTTTGGTGCTGTGAACTGTCCGTACGAGTACATGACGTTCTTCTGGCGGCGTGTGGCGGAAGAGGACATTGAGTTTCTTGAGAAGAGGCTGCGGCATAATCTGGAGATGCTTTTTGCCAAGAAGAAGAGGCTCACATTGGAGTTACGGGCGTCAGCTCGACGCCAGGACGAGGCCATTGCAGGCGGAGGCAAGAAGGGGTCGATCTTCTCCAGGGCGTTCGGCTTCTTCTCGTCTGCGAAGGACGACACGACGTACATCAAGGGACTCGAGGCGGAGATCTTGACGCTGGAGAGTCTCGGTCGGGAGTTGTTCCTGGAGGTGAATGACTTACGAGATGTGCAGGAACGATCGCTTCGGGCGCGTACGTTGCGCGGGCGTGTCTTCAACTTCTTCGGCTATGTCATGTCGGCGTTCTGCATGTACAAGATGGTCATGAGCACGGTGAACGTTGTATTTCGACGGAATCGGGACAAGGACCCCATCACGGATGCTGTGGAGAAGCTGCTGTACATTTGGCCATCGCTGGCGGAGCAACTCAACATCCGCTTCGTGTCGGAGGTCGCCTCGCTTGGCTTCGTGGGCATTCTCGTGTTCACCCAGACCCGAGGCTTCTTGGTGACACTGTTGAAGTTCTTCCGTGCCTATTCCAGCACAGTGTCCTCGAACAGCGTCGTGCTCTGGTTGGCGCACCTCATGGGCATGTACTTTGTTTCGTCCTTCGTGCTGATGCGCATGAATCTCAGCCCGCTGCATCGGTAAGTCGAGTTCGTGCGATGGAGATGACATACTTATCTGACTTCTGTGTGTGCATGCGCTATGATGCATGTAGCCAACGAATCGACGAGGTGCTGGGCGAGATTGAGTTCAACGTGTTCCACCGTTATTTCGACATGATGTTTGTGGTAAGCGCCTCTTGCAGCCTCGGTGTTTTGGCACTGACCAAGTTTTCGAAGGCGTCGCGCACAGCCAACAACGACTACGGCGTTCATGATAAATTCCCATGATGAAGGAGAGGAGGTAGACGTGTAGGTGCAGTCGAGTTGAGTTTAAATTATGAATTTGGTGAGAGCAAGTGAGTTGCGTCTAGTCTAGTCTTGAACGAACGGGAAGCTCAGAAAATCGTTGTAAAGTAGCTTTCCGTTGGCGTCGTAGTGAGCAGCGCGGTAGCAGCGGTTGCAGAAGAACATGGGGTCCATCATTGACAGACGATCGCCATAGCACACGTACTTCGCAGTGTAGTGCTGGCAGATCAAGCAGTTGCGTAGCGGACGATTGAGCGGATTCGGCAGTCGCAGCGGAAAAATGTTGTCACTCTTCGGCGCGTCGAGCTCATGCGGCAAGCGCGCATCTCGAAGTCTGAGCAAGTGCTCGCACTCTCCCTGATGGATGTAGACGCCGGGCACATCTACGTGCAGCTCCAAATCCGCAAACGTGCACGAGTGCAGGCTCCGAGCTACGCGATCGCCTTCAGCAAATGCCCCAAACTTGGACTCACGCTCTGGTTTTGCTCGAATCCAGCGCACGATCTGCTCCGAGTAGTCCACACTACCAGGAGCGCGTCGATCCACGAAAAATGTATGGCCGAAGTACACCAGCTTCGATGTTTTTGCATGCTCGTGCAGCCGATCATCATTAGCGCACGCAACCAGATCCACCAGCTCGGAAATCCGCTGCGACCGTCGCACTAGGAACGACTGCGTGCGCGCCGGGTCCTTGGTCGGATGCAGCACGTCGAACCACAGAATCGGGTCGTTGTCCTTCGGAACGTTTCCAACCTCCTTCTTCTGCTTAACAGTCTCTTCGTCCGCGTGCACATCGGGCACTGGCCGTGCAAAATCAAAACTCATGGCTGTGATGGTATCAGCCACTGACCTCTTCATCACCAGCCGCCGCTTCTTGATCTTAAACGTGTCCACGAACTTCCGCACGCGCTCGCTCGGCGCCCTCTCGGCTTTGAGCTCGTCGATATCATCCAGCTCTTGGAACACGGCCTCGAACCGCACTCTCTCCTGCTCGTGCTCCTTCTGCTGCTTCCTGCGCTCCTTGGCCTGGCGCCGCAGAGCTGCTGCCGCCGCCCTCTCCTTGGCCACCACAGTAGCTCTGTCTGCAGCTTCGGGCTGCTCCTCTTCCGACTGGGTGGCTGCTGCTTCGACGTCGTCCTCCTCTTCGTCTTGAAAGTCACGCGCAGGGTCGAACTCTCCGCCTGGCTGCAACGCGACAGCAGCGATGCGCTGGTATTTCTTGACGCGCTCAGAGTACGGCAGCGCCTTCTCCGTCAGAGCCGAGTCGCTTTCGTTCCAGCGATGCAGCGCGCGGTAAATGCCTGCGTCCACGGCCTTTTCCAACGGAGGCAAAGAGATGTCGTCGACGCTGATGTCGACAGACCTGATCTCTTGCTCGGCAGCACCGTCTTGAGGCAGGAGCGGCGGGAAGAGCGCCTCGAAGTCCATTGCGGCTTTCAAACCACGAACACGCTGCTACATAAACTGCACAGTAGGCAAATACTACTTTCTGTGCTATTTGGTGCAGATATATTGAATATCCCCAAAACTGCACCGAGAGTAAACAAATCAGCGGCTGCCTGCGTAAGATAAACTTACCTTCGGACTGGCTGGTAAGATAAATTCGTTTTTTAAAAAAAATAATCAGTGGCCTCCTGTCGCCAGTCCAAAATCATCTCTCCTCCCCCGCTAGCCGCAAGCGATCAGGTCCTGACCCCGTGGCATGGTGCGTACGTGTGAGTTAGTTCATGTATTCCCTGCTTAAGGCTAACCTGTACGTATCCTGCCGGTGGAGCTAGCGGTGTGCATCCAGAAGCTCCTCTCGAGATGATCACTGTGAATGCAACACCCAGCCAAGCAAGCTCAGCCCAAGCTCCTCCCACAACCGATCCGCCCCCACTCACGTCACCAGAAGAAACAGGAGTAGAGCGGATATGCCTTCGGGGAAGAAGCGACAGCAGCAAGAAAACGCAGTGCCGAAGTTTAGACGCTCCCCCCCACTGCCAAACTGACGAGGATCGGCCCCGAAACGCTGAAGCGGACCCGGCAGACAGTCAATCTGTAACGGGGTTACACGCACAAGTGGCTACAGTCACTTGTTACTCTAACAGATGCGATGTCTGTTAGAGGTTTGAACACTTCCTCGACGTTGGTGTAAGGTACACCAATGGCTACATACATTTACGACCACCACGACGGGTGGTCCATACACATTTAGGATTCCTTTTGGCTGAAAGCAGCATCTTTTAGCCAATGAGTGACTTGCATGTTAGCAGAATCCTGCCAACCAGCCGTGGCAGATTCCTAGTTTAGAATATTACATTTAGAGGAAGTCAGAAACATAAAACAAAAATAGCAGTTCTCATCTTTTACCAAAACCCGCTACTTGGAGTCTTTATCTTGGTTAAAGTATACTCGTGGATCTCGAGTATACTTAACTCAAGTAAAAGAAACGTACGCTTCCTCATACACGTGCGCATACGTGTAAGCCGTAGTAGTGAGCCAAGGTAGGCCCATTACACAATCCCGTGGCGACCAAGATGAGCGTTGGGAGTCCCGCCTGGCCCGTCATCTGGCAGCTGACAACGAGGACGAAACTGAAGATGAAGCAGCGCTAGCGGAAGTATTGGCGCAGCTTGAGGAAGAGGATCAAGATGAGTCTCCGGACAACAGTGACGATTCGGACTACAACGCCGATCGACGAACACCTGAGGGCGATGACGATGGAGACTCCTGTGACGGTATTGGACGCGCTAGTGACATCGATTCCGGTGCGAATAGTGTGCCGACACCGAAGAAGTACCAAAACCCAAAGAGGCATCAAACACTGAAGGCGCACCAAACACCGAAGATGCACCAAAACCCGAAGGCGAACCAAAAGTCTGTCCAGTGCAAGGACGAAGAATCGGAAAGTCAAGGTGGTGTGGAAGATGTACCAGTCGTCGGTGGCTACTTGGAAGGATTTCCTACGTACTGGTCGTCGTGGAAAAGTTTCTACGAAGCGTTCGACGAGTTCCAAGAGGCTACGTACTAGCGCTTCCCGTCCCGCACAAGTATCTCAATTAAGTCCAGGAACAAGCAAATTGCTGCCGCGCAGAAAGAGGTCAAAAAGAAACAAAGTAAGCCGAAGACGAGAAAGGTTCGCGCCCACCGACAGAGCACAGGTAGCACACTATTGCCAGAGTCATGGGAGAAATGCAGCAGGACGTTCGTGTGCACTCATGGTATTTCGTACGAGAGTCGCGGAGAAGGCTTGCGGCAGCATGGCGCCGTCCGTTTTGTGGCGTGTACTGCTCGTGTCAACGCACGGGTTTGTAGTCGACCGAGTGGTGTTGGATTTCATATCATTGTGAATGCAACGGGAACGCGCAGCCATTCTCTCACCGAGCATCAGTGGTATAACTACGCTGAGAACAGACGCGTCTTGGATTCGGAGCTACGCCGTGATGTGGCAGTCATGAGCAAGGAGGGGGCAAGCCACGAGGGATATTAGCGTATCTTCAAGCCAAAACAGGTTGGTGTTTTTGGTGTGTATTCTGTATATTGCACGAAACACTAATACAATTTGGTATGGTGTTCTATAAAGGCAAGCGAACGAGTCTACGAGACATGCACAACATGATCCAGGACGCTAATAGTGCTTTAATGGAGGTCAATCGGATGCGAAGCGCGCTGTCTCCGTGCTGGACGAATTCTGCGAGATGAACACTGGAAATGTGGCGGAGTTCGTCATTGACAACGAGACCAACGTGGTGCAAGTGATAACGTTCCAGTCAGCGCGGCAGAAGCGTCTCTTTGCAGCCTTCCCCGAGGTTATTCTGGTTGACTCGACTCATAACAGCAACGCGAACCGTTACAAGCTGTTTAGCTTCGCAGTCCACGACGGGTGGGTAAATGCCTACAGGCTCTAACCAAAAATGTACTGAACATTTGTATAATTTTCTGTGTGGTTTATTTTCTTAGGGTCAATTCGTGCAACACGCATTGGCGTGGACGGAAGAGAAACCGAACTTGGCTCTTGCTGTCGCAGCATTCAAAAAGCACAACCCTGAGTGGTCCTAGATCCGTGATGTGATGTCGGATAAGGCACTGCATGAGAAGGAGGTGCTGTTGGAAGGATGGCCGAATGCGCGCCAGCTACTATGTCGTTGGCACGTCGAAACGTGGTTGAAGAAACAGTGCTCCAGACTGGGAAACGTCGGACCTACAGAAACGAAGGAACTCAAGTCTATTATGAAAGGATTGGTGAATGCGGCATCTCAGAAGCACTATGACGACCTGAAGAAGGCTCTGCTCAAGACAGCCGGGAATAACGAAGAAAACCTGCTCTACAAAAGTTTTACGAAGCACTGGGATACGACTACTGACGAGTGGGTGATGTTCAAGCGTGGTGACGTCCCACACCTGATGAACAACACGAACAACCGTCTGGAATCGAAATGGGGCTGCCTCAAAGAGGTTATTGACGGTAGTTTCACTGTTGATGAGCTCCTCTCCATGCTGATAACAATGAAAGACTACGCTGAAGAACTCTACCTGGCTGACTTCCATCGTGTCAGCAGTCGCCCTCCGATTGCTGAAGATCCTGAGTTGACTGCAGTGGCCATGCAGCTCAGCAACTACGCCTTCGAGACGGTGGCCCATCAGTACCCATTGGCTGTCGGACCTCAGGCCTGTTACGACATGGAGACGATACCAGATGGCAAACAAACCCAGCGACAGGCAATTCGCACGTTGTAGATGCTCGGGTGAGATTTTGGTTCAATTTTGGTGGTTTGGTAAATTTTCGGTGCTGTGACTAACACTGGGTTTTGTTCTACCAACAGCTTGCTGCATGCGACTGTATATTCAGGCAGACCTGTTTGCTCCCGTGCCGCCATGTTACGTGCCAAGTCTAAGTACGAGACGGTAGTTCCGCCAATTGTTCGTTTCGCTACTCGTTGGATCGTCCAAAGTCCAGCTAACAACATCGATGTACTGACGGGGGGATTAAACCGCAACAACTGCCCTCCCCTCCGTGCCCAACGAGCACTATCCAGCGACGCGAAGTACACCCAAGGCAAACAGATTTGTTGCTGCGGCGCGCTGCGCGCGCGTAAGCTGGCGGGCTCTCATCATGGCGGTCGTCTGCAGAGCGCTCTGCTAATCCGGATCTGACCGGCGATGCAGAGCTGCTCGCTGGCCGGCACACCAGAACACACGTTGATGTGGGCGATTGCTCAAACAGACTTGGCCGACTTGGCTTTTGTATTGAAGATCGTTTGCGCATTGGTTTAATTGGTGGAAAAAGCAGGGACATCGGCCTCATTGGTGGAAAAGCAGGGACGCCACAGCCACAAGAAAAAAGCTATGGCCGATCTTGCACGGTCGCCAATCGCACATTGACGTGCATCACGCTGGCCGCGGCGCGCGGATACCCAGCGCGGTGACTTGCAGCTGCAGGCTGCTGGACTCCGCCGAGCACGTGAAGGCTCGGCCGTTGAGCACGGCGTTGCTGCTGCAGTGCGAGTGGGCCAGAGGCAGGGGCACCGCTGCCTCAGCATCGCCGTCGTCGCTGCTGCCGAACTTCTGTCGGCGCCATATCATGCGGCTCACGTCCAGCTTGTAGAGCACAGTGGACGCGTCCGTGCAGGCGGTGAACGATTCGGTCTCGCCGTTGGATGCGTATGTGTGGCCGCCGAAGAGCGCGAGCGTCTGGTGCGCGTAGAAGCACTCGAACAGCAGGCGCTCGCTCGGGACGTACGGCTGCGCGCACACGAGCGTCGAGAGTTTGGGCGTCGACCACACCAGCGTCGTCAGGTCCAGAATATGCACGTCCAGCGAGCGGCTCTTCCTGATCTTGTCGATCTTGCTCTTAGGGATGCGCCAGCCGCCGATCACCGCGAGCTGCTCGTTGTCCAGAGCAACCACTTGCATGCCGAAGCGAGCTGACGGAGGCTTCCCCACTGTGTGCGGGACAAACCAATTGGGAAGTCTCAGCAGCTCACGGTCCTTCATCAGTAGTCGCGCAGCATCACTCATTCGTCGCTCTTCCTGGCGCTGGACTGTAGTCTCCGCGTAGTCGTCCCTGGCGTACTTGCGTTCGTGCTCTTCCTCGTCAGCCAGCATGCGCTGCAAGCGGGTAGTCTGTAGCTGGTGCAAGTCGCTGTAGACGAGTGTGTCCGACTTTCCCCCGAAGAGGAAGATGCTCGGCTCTTGCTGCCAAGGCTGCTCCGTGTCGAAAGCGATGCACCACCCGTGCCAATACCGCTCGTACGGTGTGGTCGAGGTGTCGAGCTGGGTCCAGTGCCACCACTGCAGCGAGAGAGCGAAGAAGTCTCGGAATACTTGCCCATTGCGCCCTCGCCCACCGAAGACCAAAAGATGTCGAGGAGCCATGAACAACGCAGTGTGATCGCTGCGCTCTCGAGGTTCTCGTCCGGTGCACTCGCGACGAGTCCACGTGCTTGACGGAATGTCAAAGCTGTAGACACTGTTTGAATACGTGTACCGCGCTCGCTCGTACTGCATTGGGTTCTCTCGAACAGCTCGGGGGAGCAAGATAGAGGTGTCGCGAAGCACGCGACCGCCAAACACGACGAGCTGGTCGCCAATCCCCGGCGATGAGCACAGCGTGAGCGAATTGCCTTCACGAATGCACGGTATCGAGATAGCTTCGAGGGGGTCTGACCCTCGCGCAGGGAGTGCGCCACGGCAGGTCACCGACACGTTGAACCCTCTGAGTACGTCTCCGACGAGAATATCAAGCGGATCGTTGCTGGTTTCGACCGTGCTGTCAGCGAAGTCTTCTCGCTCACTGCTGCCATGTTCGTCTGCAGCAGTCAATGCCGAATCGTCAGGTGTGTTTGAACCACTGGCTTGCGCATCTTTATGACTTTCATCATGTTGATCCTGCTGGTGTTGAAGTGCCTCGAGACGCCTGCGCTGCTTATCTTGCACCCATTTGATTTTTCGGTACGAGTCGCTCACGAAGCTTGGGTCTTGCTCTCGGTGGAAATTCAGCTTCTCCACGTACATGCACAGACCCACGCGCTCTCGTAGCCAGTCCGACACAGCACCTTCAGCACGCCCCTTCTCGCTAGTAGCAGGAGCCGGGGCCGACATGAAGGGCGCCTCAGGCCTTCTCATCCCAGGGCGCCTCAATGCAACTATAACTGCGGGCCACAATTCGGCGCGTCGCTTCGCTGGAGCGACAGACTTTGGTCGCAGCAATGTGATTGCAAGTACAAGCCCCAACTGCAGCAAGCGCAATGGGCTGGAGATGGCACCGTTAGCTTCTTGTGCTAGACGCGACTTTTCTTGTTTTGCCTCTCGCCGCCTCGCACATGTGAGAAAGGCATCAAACGGTTGGAGTTTTCTTACAGCCAAGCTCTCAGTCTTGAATCGGAGTCGAAGGCAGCGCGAAGATGGCGGACACCGGAGAAAACACAGCATCAGCAGCAGAGAGCGGCGCGGCCATCGTGTCGGAGCAGCTCACTGCGTTGCTGCTGAAGGATATGGACGCGGATACTGCGGACACCAGTGCTGCCAACGAGCACCAAGACATCAGCAAGCCGGCTCTCACTTCAACCACAACATTTGACGTTGGCGGACGTGGCAATGAGGAAAATACGCCACCGCCAAACCGCCGCCCGCTGTTCGGTTCGATGCGCGAGGCGTTGGAGAGCTCCGGCCAAGTGAAGGAAGAGCCCGGCGGATACGTGATCAAGCGCCACAGCGGACGTCCGCAGCAGTTCCGCTCCAGCGAAGTTGTGCCGAGATCCAAGTACCGACACGCCAAGCAGCGCTCCGGCAAGGACACGCTCGCTGCTGCTGCAGCTGCTCCAAGCCCCGAGGACGAGGCGGACGCCGCCGGCTACACGGTCATTCGTCGGCGCTCGTCATGCGACGAGAGCTCCAGCTCCCGCGCTTCAGCTTCAGCGTCAGCGGCGTCGTCCCACTCTTCCGGCGCCGGACGTCGTAATCCGCGGGCTTCAACGCCTGCGCGCGCTGGCGGCAAGAAGAAGCAGCAGCAGCAGCAACAGCGACCGCGTCGAGGCAGCATGTCGGCGCTGCCCAGCAGCAGCCTGCGCGCCTCCGTGGCTGTGCCGCAGCCGTCGTCGAGTGTGCCGCCTGGGTTCCAGCCCCTGCGCCCGCCGCCGGGCTTAACGCAGGCGGCGTCCGGCTGGGTGGTCAAGGCCGCGGCACCGGCGGAACGCGCCACAAAGATCGAGGAGCCGCCGGTCGAGGCGTTGTGGCCCGAGATGAAATCGACCGGCAAGACGCCGAGCGGCTGGGCCGCCTCCACGACGAGCGAGAGCGGCGGCTTGCAGGCGCAGGCGTGGCCGGGGCCGACGTCGAGCTCGAGCGCCGCCCAGAAGGAGCAGGAGGACGACGGCGTCGATGACGATGATGACCTGCTCGCTCGTCTCGGGGTCACACTTTGATTTAGCTGCTCGATTTAACGCCCGGATGACGAGGTGTTTGTATGGATCTAGCTTTTACGCCCTGATTTATTAAGTTCTGTTGCGGCGCGACGATGGTCAGGTGGCCAGAGCCGGGCGCTGTTCGGATACATATTTTTTCACCAATAAGGAGGCGTTCTGGCAGCCGATATACGGCCAATCGCCGTGAGTAACGCCTCAGAACGCGTTGTGATTGGCTAGCTCGAACTTGCCCATCTCCTTTCAGGGGCGTCATCTCCGAGACAAGCTTGTTCGCCAAGCGACACAAGCAGGCGCTCCTGGCCTGGATTCCCTGCGCCTGCGCTGCACGCGCCGTCATCTCCTATTTTGCTGCGCCGGGCCTGCTGCAGCTGGAAGCGTTTGACATCTCGCTGGTTGACCGCAGCGTTAATAAGTACAGTAATGGGGTGGTACGACGGCGGCGACGAGCTGCTGGAGGAGGAGCGCTCCGTGCGCCTCGGCGAGAACGCGCTGGTCGCGGGCATCGCGTTCGCGCTCTTCTGGGCCAACTTCGGGCTGTCGTGGCACCTGTCCAGCCGCCGCGTGCCCGAGTTCTCGAGCTTCACTGCGGCGCAGAAGGCCGACTGGTGCTCCAGGTGCGTTCACAAGCAGGTGGTGAACAGCGTGGCAGGGGTTCAGGGTCTCTTACGAGAGGGGAATGATTTTTATCCATGCGCTCAGAGTGAACTCGACCATCCACGCAGTGCTGGTCGTGATCGGCGTGGCCTACGCGCTGGCGGATATCAGTTGGGCCGATGGGTTCATGCCCATGTCGTCGCTGCGCGCCGCGAGCTTCATCTTCTCCATTGGTACGGTGGCTTCGGGTGGTTTATTTGGTGGGGGCTTGAGCTAATGCATTCGTTGGCGGTGTTTTGCAGCAATCGGCTACTTCTTGTGTGACCTGATCATCATCATCATCTGGCCGGTGCCGATGCAATGGGTCTTCATTATTCACCACATCGTCGCTGTGTACGTGCCGACTCGCGTCGTGTGATAAACCCACGTAGTCTCCCCCAACTGACGTTCAGCCCCTTGTCTACTACTTTGCCCCCACAGAGTCCCGTACTTCATCAACAACTTCATTTCGTGCTGCGCGGCGTGCCAGTTCGGTCTGCTGCTGTTCCTGCTAGTCGAGCTCGCGACGCTGCCGCTCAACGCGCGCGGGTTCATGGACGCCAGGGACCGGCAGGACTCGAAGAACTACATGCGCTCCATCTACACCACGTACATCATCTGGGGCATCTCGCGCACGGCGCTGCCGATCTTCGTCATGTACGACTTCTGGGCCTACGCGTACCCGTCGGACCGCAACCACGACACGTGCTTCTTCCCCAACCTCGTGAGCGCCCACATCATCGCGCTCTTCTGCGTCGGCGTCTTCTTTTTCGTGCACACCCCGGAGATGATCCGGATTAGGCGCGAGCACCGACGCGCGCACGGAGCCGCGGACCCGTCGTCCGACGTGACCGTCAACACGGACGACGCCGATCTGGTCGACGGCGAAGCGAACGACGTCCCCAGCGCCAAAGCCAACAAGCCCAGCAGTCTGCGCAGCCTTACTCTGTCCCTCTCTAGACCAAAGGAGCCTATCACAGACGACTCCTACGACGATATCGAGCTCGGGGTCATGCCTCGAAGTGCCCGAAGTGCCCGGGTCTCATGATGAAGAGCTCCACTCTGCGAAGTTTTAGCAGTGTAAAACTACGTTTTAGAGCGTATAAACTTAAAGTGAATATCACATTGGAAATATTCGGCCAACTCAAAATTTGACCAATCGCAGCGCCCGGAGTGCCACAGACACACCAGCCAAAGACAGGAGATCCCGGCGTCGCGATGCGGCTGACGGCGGATGTGATTCTGCGCGCGCAGGTGTCCATCAACCCGCTGCGCGAGCGCGAGCTGAGCCTCCGAGGTACTTCCCCGCCGCTTGCATCACCTCTTTCCACCGGTTACTGACGCGCTCGCAGGTTGCAAGGCCCCCGCCGTCGAGAACTTGGGCGTCACTCAGGTACCGTAGCTGCTCGCGCTGCGTATTACCCCGCTAAAAGCTAGCGGTTTTACAGGATGCAGCTATGATAATGAGGAGATTTATTAATGCTGGTTGCTGTGGTTATTGCAGGATGGTTTTGACTGTATCGACCTCTCGGACAACGAGATCAAGAAGCTCGAGAACTTCCCGCGGCTGCGTCGCCTGCGCATGCTGCTGCTGCACAACAACCACGTGTCTAAGATCCAGGAGAACCTGGCGGACGCCATCGCCAACCTGGAGTTCCTCATGCTCACGGGCAACCGCATCGCGCACTTGTCGGAGGTGGACCACCTCGCCTGCTTCGCCAAGCTGGACACGCTCTCGCTCAGCGGGAACCCCGTGACCAAGCGCAAGTACTACCGCGAGTACGTTATCTACAAGCTGCCGCAGCTGCACGTCCTCGACTTCCAGCGTATCCGCCCTCGTGTACGTTGTCCTGAGTATCAGTTGCTGCGGTTAGATTGAGATGGACGTTCTTGCTCATGTTTGTGTCTTCAATGGAGCAGGACCGCGAAGCTGCTAACGCGTTTTTCAACTCGGTGGTGGGCCAGAGAGCGCTGAAGGAGGCTCATGGAGAAAGTGTGGGTGACTCAACACAGGCGATGAAGAAGGTTTCGATCACACAGCAACAGGCGACACCTGCAGTGAACGCGGTGCCTCCGTCTCCCCCTCCGCGTGCCCCTGTGTCGCCTAAGAAGGAGACGCCTGTCAAAGCTGAGTCGCCAAAGAAGCTTGCGCAGGACGAACCGATGGAGGAAGCTCCAGAACCGAAGAAGGAGTCGGCTGCAGATGTGGAGATGGAGGAGGCGAGCGAAGAGCAGGCAACCGTATCATACACGCCGCCGAAGCCGATTGATAAGATGACTGTGACTGTCCTGCGAGAGGAACTGAAGAAGCTTGGTCTGTCCATCAAGGGCTTGAAGGCCGAGTTGGTGGAGCGTTTGAAGGAGGCCGCTGGAGAAGCATGAAGGCCTCAATTCCCAAACACGCAGCTAAACTCCACCATCACCAGCAGATAGGAGATAGAAAAACAGAGTCGACGATGCCGAAGCACGAAGATGCGCGCACCAATGCAAATAAGCAACCCGACCTTGATCTTTCGTGGCGCCGGTGGTTTAATTTGAACACCCCCTCTCCTATTGTGTGAAGAACAACGTCACAGCAGTTCGATCCGATGCATTCTATCCCCCCATCAAGCCGTCACTATCATGCCAGTCAAAATTGATGCTTGCACTAGTACGGTGCAATGCTTCGACTTAAACTCTCGGCGCGGTCGCGGCGCGTCTGTGCGAGCTTGGTGAATTTGCCCTTCTCGTATTTGTACATGAGTGGAACGCCTGGGCCAAGACAGAGTGAGTTGAGGTGCCTCAGCGTTTCACATATGAGAGGAAGTATTCTATAACATACCTGTCGGAGCGAGCAGCAGACATTTGTCGGGGGCTGACTTCTCCAGCTTCATCTGCTCGTTGAACTCGTGTGCATCCATGCCATCCAGGTACTTTATGAGCGTCCGGATGACGAAACCGTGCGAGGAGACCAACACGTTGCGCCCCGCAGCAAGATGCGGAAGAATAAACGAGTTGAAGAAGGGAATGGTCCGGTTGTGAATATCCTCGCAACTCTCGCCATTCTCTCCTGGGAACCGGGTGTAGTAGTCGTTCCGTATTTTTTTGACGTGTTCCCTGTTGAACAGCACAGTGTGCTTCGTACTCGGAACACCCTTTACCATCCGTCACCGCAGCCACAAATTAGCTCCAAGACATCGCTCTTCAATAGTAAAGCTCAGCCCCGCACAAACCTGCAAGTCACCAAAGTTCCGCTCGTTTAGCGTCGGCGACACATACACCGGAATGATCTGTATCCTCGCAATACCAACAGATCAGTGACTTCAACATCAGACGGCCAACCAAGGAAAAAAAATACGTACAAAGTCGTAGGGGTTCTTGTCATTCACACCGTCAAAGCAAGGTTTGTCCAGCGGAGAGCGGTGCTCCACCACGGGGGTCTTCTTGCTGGAGTGTACGCTCAATGCCAACGACATGGTCGTGCGCGCCCGATCCATCTGCGAGCAGAAGACCACGTCGATCGGCACGTACTCCAGCCTCTTCCCCGCCTCGTACGCTTCCTGCATACCCACGGCACTGCTCACAACCAACTCACTTCAATAACCCACACTCCACTCTCTAGCCCAGTCTCTCTAGTACCTCACCTCAAGGGGATGTCGATGGATCCCGCATAACGCCAGAGGTCCGTGGGGCGGTCGGGTTTGCGGTTCCACACGCTCTGGCCGTGGCGCAACAGGATGAGCGTGCCGAAGCTGGTGCGAGGCTTGTCACCCGCTGTATCTGCGGCCCCCCCCGGGGCCATCTTGGCCCAGCTGGGGTCGCACTCGCCGTTGCGGGTGTCCCAATGTTCCACATGAGCGCGGGGCAGCTGGTAACGCCGTTCCGAGGGCCGCACCGAGTTGCAGCACTCGCCGTCGCCGCAGCCGCACGTCTTGAGGTCGAGCTGGCGCTTGCGCTCCACGAGAGCCCCAGCGACTGCGGCGGCAGCGGCCAGCGCGAGAGAGGCGAGCCCCACCACCACCTTCATCCTAACACAGGCACCGTAGCTCTTCACTTCAGTTTTGGAATCAGATGCTAACGTTTTTGAATATTTCTGAAATTTAGAGAAAAGAGTTGAAGTGAACTCCAACAAGGCACAGTCGATACCATGAGGGGGCATTTTCATTTTAGCAACGCAAAAACGATCGACAGTGTATATGACGTTAGGAACGTGTGAAGACTTGCCTCGAGTTCGAACGAAGAGAGAGACACCAGTTCTTACTCCGAGTAAGGGGGCAGCGTGTCCGCCACCGGGCCGAAGTCGCAGCTGCCGGGCTTGTAGCTCTTGATGTGGGTCGCCATTTGAGCGAGGACGCAGCAAGAGCAGCACAGTGAAGCGAAGAAGTCCTCGCGGGAGTTGCCGGGGATCTGGAAGCGCTGGCGGGCCGCCTTGCGCAGGTGCATCACGAAGAGAGCGAACACCACGCGTACGAGCACCATGATGCCCCGATAGATGAGCACAGCGCCGCTCCCGTCGTTGGTCGAGTAGGTGACCGCAGTCCCGGTGTTGGTGTAGTTGGTCTCGACCATTGCGCTGCTGGAGGCTGCAGTGGAGGCGAGACCAGCTACCACGAACTCGACCAGCACTACTGCCAAGCAGATGAGGAGGGCCTTCGAGTAGGTAGCGACGCCGAGGCGGTCGGCGATCTGCGCCATCGAGATGCACGAGCAGCACGTGACCATGAAGCAGTTGGGCATCAGGTCCGTAAAGCACTCCCAGAAGCCGACTTGCCATTGACCCCTCGTCAGCCCGTCCTCGCTCTCGAGGTCCTTTGCTGGCTGGGACGCTGCAGCATCGTTCTGGTTCCAGTACGGGACTTCCGCGGGCTTGGACGGTGTCTGGGTGCTGATTGCCTGGTTCATCTTGTTTTTGGAGTTGTCGATGCGGTTGGTTGGTGGCTTGGACGAGGCGATGCGCGCTTCGTAGGAAATCGAGAAGTGAGCGATAACTCCGGTTGGGTTGAATCGGGATAGTACTCGGTCGAGTCGGTTATTGCGCTCTTAGTGCAACGAGAGGGTCCTCTTACCGCACCCAACTGGCTGTTGCTAGCTTGTACCGCGTTGCATGGAACACTTACTCGGGATAAGGTCCTTGAGCACAGCAGTCAGCAACATTACATGCCGTAGGTAAATTTGATTGCAAACGAACGGCATAGGAGTAAGCTGGGATAGCACTGCAAGCTAAAACTCTGACTAAGGTAAGGTAGGAGTGACAACGCAGATGTTTGTTCAGCTCTGATAAATTCTTGAGCATCTTACGCAGCTCTTATCAAGTAGCACTTCAAGTAAAGGTCAGATGAACGGGTGTTGACAACCTAGCTCAACGACGACAATACTTGCGTACACATCTGATACTATGCGCAAGCTTACTTCTCCTGCAGGAAGGGGTAGTCGAGGTATCCCTTCTCCAGCGGGTCGTTGGGCTGCGGGTAGAACGTCTTCTGGTTGAACTCGTTCAGGGGCCTGTCCGCTTTCAGGCGCTCCACAATGTCGGGCGTGCCGATGAAGTCGCGACCAAACGCGATGATGTCGTCGTAGCCCTCCTCAACGTTCTTGATGGCCTTGGTGCGGTCAAAGCCACCGGCAGCGACGATCACACCGTTGTACATCGGGCGAAGGACCGGCGAGATGCCGCCTTCCGGGACAAGAGGGCCGGTGAAGTGCCAGCCGTAGGGCTCGACCAGGTGCACGTAGGCCAGGTCGTAGTCGTTCAGCTTGCGGATAACGTAGCCGTACGTCGCCAACGGATCCGAGTCCGTGCAGGCGAAGGTGATGCCATAGGGCGACAGACGAATGGCAACCTTGCTCAAGTCTGCAACCGAGAGGATTCCCTCCAGAGCCTCCAACAGGAAGCGGGCGCGGTTCTCAATGGAGCCGCCGTACTTGTCCGTGCGCTTGTTGGTCGAGTCGCACAGGAACTGCTCCAGCAGGTATCCGTTGGCAGAGTGGAGCTCCACACCGTCGAAGCCCGCGGTGAGGGCGTTCTTCGTCGCAGTCTTGTAGTCCTCTACGATGCCGGGGATCTCGTCCGCCTCCAATGCACGGGGCGTGACGTGGTCCTTGCGGCCTTCGGAAGTGATGGCGTGGCTCGTCACGGCCTCCATGCTGATGGCACTAGCCGACACGGGCAGTCCTCCGTTGGGCTGGTTCAGCGGGTGGCTCACGCGACCCGTGTGTCAGAGCTGCACGAACACCTTGCCGCCCTTGTCGTGGATGGCCTTGACGACAGGCTTCCACGCCTCGACTTGCTCCTGCGTGTACAGGCCGGGCGCTCCGTAGTAGCCGTTGCCTTGCTTGCTGATGTCGGTGGCCTCCGTGATGATAAGTCGGCCGTCCGTGGCGCGTTGCGAGTAGTACTCGACACCCATGGGCTTTTGGACACCCTCGGCACCAGTACGGAGACGCGTAAGCGCTGCCATTGCCACACGGTGCTTGAGCTGGATGGGGTTCTTGCCGCCGAGAGTCACAGGCGTGAAGAGCTTGGGGGTGGACGGAGCCATGCTTGATAGGAAAGTCGCTTGAGCTTGAAATTGCAAGTTGAAAAGTGAGGATATGCTTCAGCTTCAGCTTCAGCTTTGCCAGTCGTGGTGCAATGGATGTGCGCACATATCGTTCCAATCCTTCGACGTCATCACTAGACCGACGTCAACACAATCGGTTGACTGAATCACACGTTGAAGAGGTTGGCCCACTGGGTCCTATCCTAGGTGGACGACATCGATATCAAGACCAGAGTGAGACAAGGACCAGTACTGAAAAGTCTAGCAGATATGACGTTCACACGGCGCATGGAAATGGCTATTGGTTCGATGTTAATCTAACACGTCGGCCATCGACACTAATGAAAGCGACGAGTGGCTGGCCACTTCGATGGGCTGTGGGGGCTTACGAGCAGCGAGGCACGGTGCAAAACGCAAGGTTGGTCCGGGGCTAGAGCTCTCCAAGCAGGGCTGTGACGTCTTCCACCGTAAGATCGCGGTCGTCCTTCTTCAGGATGGCCCGCACCGCATCGGAAGCGGGTGTGTGCGGCACTGACTGCGTCTTGTCGATGTAGTTAGGCAGCCGATCCTGGTTGGCGTCCACCCACCGCAAGTATGTGAGTGACTGCTGCGGAGTCAGGATCGAGTGCAACATCTCCGTCTGTCGTTGGACCGCTTCCGAGCGCAGCTCAAGGCTTTTCTTTAGCTTGCTTAAATATGTCTGTGAACACACGGAAGCCAGTAAGCACTTGACCAGGAGTAGCACGCAGACACACAACACGTACCACAGCCATCGCCACCCGTCGACGCTCTGATTTGTTGGTCTTCGTGTCGCCCGATCTGCAACAGCAAAATAACACGACGGATATGCATCAGTTTACCGATCCACACCTGCAATTCATTTGGTCGCACAAGCGAGTCCTTACTTGTACAGCGACTTGAGCTTTTCATCCTGCTCGTATGTCAGCGCCAGGTCGCTAGTCAGCGTTGACCAGAGCGTGTCCTTCTTCACCATCATGGGCGTCTTCTTCTTCTCCATACCCTCAGCTCCGTTCTTCGACATCCCGTTTGCTTCCTCAAAGAACGATTCGTACTGGATGCTGAGCCACAGGAGGAATCGGCAGTATGGAGGCAACAGCAGGTTGTCCAGTTGGCGGAAGTTGTAGTCCTTCACAGCAACCCGTTCCTATAACACGTGAGGAGGCAGGGGGTCAGAGAGGTGGCGACGTCCTTAGCAGATCGTTTATCGCACGTACGACACTGTTTGGCCCGAACCGCTCCAGAATCAGCATGATTCCCTGTCGAATCTTCTCGTGAACGGTCTGCGTATTGCATTGCATCACTAGTTCAGTCCACGCCCCCAACAACACCTCAATGCAAGACCTCAACAACCACGTGCGCACCTCCTCCGAGCCGCCATTCTTCATGTCATCCGCGAGGCTCTTCAAAATGTCCGAGCGCACCTGGTTCAGTGCCTCATCCGCGTGCTCCAAGTGGCTTGCACGCGTCGTATCGATGCTCTCCGTCAGTTGCGACACCTGCACACCAATAAATCCCGCGTCAGACTCCTCCACCCTGTACACTCTGCCACTACCACGACTCTACAGACAACGCACCTTCTCCTCCAGCAACTCCAGGTACTGCTTCTTGCGGCGGCGGCTCTGCCGCGCCGACTCGCGGTTCCTGGCCAGTCGTCGCTGCCGCTTCTCGTCCGAGTCCAGGCCGCCCGTGTTGGACGCCGTGTCGTCGTCGTTGGCGGACGGCCGCATCATGGAGCTCTCCGAGGCGAAGCTGCTCTGCGCCTGCTGGAAGGCGGAAGCGGCCTGGTTGCTGCCACCACCGCCGCCGCTGCTGCTGGCGGGCGTCGAGGACGGCATCAGCTCGCTGCCGAACGTCCGCTCGGACGCCAGCGGCACCGTCTGGCCCAGCGTGAACTGCTCGGCGGCGGCGGACACCGCGGCGCCCGCGTCCGCCACGCCGCGCGCCTGCGGCATGTGCTCGGCCGCCACATCGGCCGCCAGGAAGTAGCTCAGCAGGTCGTCGTCCTCCGCCGTGAGGTCCATCGCCATGGCTGAAGCTGCTGCGGGGGTCTAGCAGATGAATTGCCCAATGACCGCGCCGGCGCAGGCATCCGTGTCGACGAGAGCAGAGTGACTTGGTTTCAGTACGGCGCTTTTGGTCAGCTGGTCATCGGACCGTTTTTGGTGCTCATACAAACAGCAAGATCAAGTTTGGTCGCTGACAAAAACTGGTCGGCTGTAAAATCCGACCGACTTTTCAAGCCATATAGAAATCATATGCTATAAAGTAGGCTTGATCTTTACTTTATTAAATGCATTGGATATAATAGATACCACTGCTTATCACAGGTTTAAGCTGCTCGATAGGTTTTTGTGAGTGTTGGTACTTTTCCCTCTGGGCGCAGAACCCATTCCGCGACTCGGCTGCAGACGCCATGGCGCACGTGATCAAGCTAGCGACGGAGGCGCCCGACCTGAGCGACTCGGAGGTCAGCTCGCTCTGCGGCAGCGAGCTGGAGCTGGAGATGGCGTGGGGCGAGGGCCCCATCGCGCCGCTGCGCACCGAGACGGCCGCGGACGACGGCGCCGCCAAGAAGAGCACGATCGCGGCCGTGCAGCGCTCCAGCAGCAACGGCAACGGCTCCAGCCGCGCGCGTACGCCGCAGAAGCGTGGCAGCGAGTCGCCGCTCGCGCGCAGCAAGCGCCTGATCAACATCCACCCGATCCGCTCGGCCGGGTACCTGTCCAAGCCCAACGAGCTGCCCGTGGGCGTGCGCAAGCAGCAGCGATGGTTCAACGGTGGGGAGAGCAGAAGCAAGCAGGGTTTCGGGTGTTGCGTGTTGGGGATAATGCTGAATGTGCGCTATTGCTGTTGGCAGACCACCACTTTGGCAACCGCGCGGCCTCCACGCGGCTGGAAGACTTGATGGAGCACATGGACATCAACGTCGAGTGGAGGTTAGTGTAGCCACTATTGTGGCTGTCTGGGGAAAAAGGTAGCTGAAGTGTCGCTGCGTGCTGCATTCAGATCAAACTTCCAGAAGCTGGCAGAGCCGCAGAACGAAGACTTGCAGACGGAGTTCCGCAAGGGAGGAGGCGCACAGGAGAACAACCGACCCCATGCCCCACGCAATCGACGCAAGGATGAATGGAACGGTGAGTTGGTTTTTACTGTAGCTGCTGCTTTATTGTTTGTGTCTAATCTGTTGTTGCTGACTGTACCAGAGGCCGAGCAAATGTTTACCCGAGTCGACCGCCGCGCACGGACACTGATGTTGCGGTCGTTCAACTCGTTTGCGCCATTTATTGAAGCAGTGGAATACGTGGTCTTGCACTTCATTCAGGTACCGGTATGGATAAAACACCGCGTTTTGAAGAGTATTCGAAGTAGCGTGTTAACGGGCTGGCTGTTGCAATACAGTGGAGAGAAGTTCCATCCGAGCTGGAGGTTGCAACTCCGCTGTTCCGCATGCTGAAGCACCCGATTGAGCTGATGCGCGCAAGCGAGAAGGACGTGCGGTTGATCCTGCCACTTCTGGACTCGGCTTTCCACCGACTGATCGTTCACAGCGTCTGCCAGTTCTACGGCGTGCGATCACGAAGTGCGTTGCCTGCCACTGCTGTTCGCTCGTGTTGACAGACACTCGTGCTAACGTCGTGCCTTTTGTTCAGCCGAAGCCAACCGCCGCCTGAACACGAAGATCATGGTGCTGAAGAGCCCGAAGAAGAAGCTCTCGCCCGACGACCTCGCGCAGATCTCGCTGTGCGAGTTCATCCGCGAGACGCGCATGGCCAGACGCCACGTCGTCGCGGCTTCGCCCGAGAAGATCGTCGACGGCAGCCGCGCGCTGGAGCTGCAGTCCAAGAGCAGCGAGTGCAGCGACGGCTTCTGCTTGGTCGAGGCCCCGCAGGTCTAAGCTCGCGAGCCTCTAGGACCCACTCTATGGTATGGTCGAGCGTTCTGGTGGAGCGACGGGAGGAAAATGAAGGCTGCGTGCGGCTAGCGTAGCTCTTGTGAGTTGAACTCGCCGCTCAACACGTAATCAGGAATCCATCTGGCTTCAACAGTCTGTGTCGCACCAACATCAGGGCGATGAAGTCTAGCGCAACGCTGAGCCCATACTACGAACACTCACGGGTGCAGCAACCGAGGCCTCCGGCGCCTTCTACACCCTCAGCTGCATTTATCGCTGGTCATCCGTGCCATAGACAACCGCAAAAAACTTAGTCTCAAAACTTGCGAGCGAGCACAACCACGGCCTTATATTAGCTTTTGCGCTGGAGCTCCAAGGGCCCCCAAGCCTTCCGCTGCCATTGCCTCGATATTGCGAGCGTCGATCAGATCGCGAGTTGAAGCCGCTGCTCTGTTCGAGCGAATCCAGCGACAAGTGCGCGCTGCGTATTCGTACTTAATCTGAAGTTCGTACAGTAGCCCGCAGCTGGGGGGATTGTAGAGCTTTCAAGGACACGACGTCGCAAGCCACGCGCGTCGGGGACCACGGCGCCGCTCCAACAGGGACGCGCCAGCACACACAGCAGAGATGGAGCCGCACGCGCCGCCAGAGGTCGAGGCGCAGGCCACGCCCCCAACAGAGCCCGTCGCGCCCCTAGAGGCCGCGCAAGTCGCCGATGCGCAGGAGGCCCAAGATTCTGCTGCAAAGGAGGAGGAGAAGGAAGATAGCGCTGCTGCTGAGACAGCGGAGCAAGCAGAGGATCCGCCTACTGAAGCTGCAGAGGGCGATGGCGCTGCGAAGGAGGAAGATGCAGAAGCAGCGGCACCAGCAGAGCAGAATGATGCGGCCGGAGCTGACGTTGAGGAGAAGGAGCAGCCGTCGACTCCGGATGAGGAGGAAGCAGCGGAGCCAGCGCCAGCTGAGAGTGGTGACGCTGGTGCGGAGGAGAAGGAGGTTGAAGTGGAGGAGCCTAGTGCTGCTGAAGAGAAGCAGGAAGATCCGTTGACAGAGGACGAAGCGCTCGCTGCTGATGTGTCAACACCTGACGCTGTTAGTGATAACGAACCGACAGAGGAAGCGGAAGCAGCGGTGGAGGAGCAAGTTGTCGAGAACAAAGAAGTTGGAGCTGGATCCGAGGTTGCAGAGGGTGGGGTTGGCGCAAAGCTGGAAGCTCCGTTGACGATTATCGCTCCGGAGTCCCCTGCACCTGCAGAGTGGGAGGAAGTAAATGACTCGACACCCGCGGCGGAGCCTGAGTTGTTAATGGGGGATGATGATGCTGTTGATCCTGCTGGCGACGATCATGACGGAGCAGCCGCTACCCCTGAGACCGCCTTGCAACTTCCGCAAGAGCTGGAGTCGGCGTCGCCTGCAGCGGTTCCTGAGCTGCTTGACGCGCCTACCGACACAGAGACAGAGAACGCAAACAATCCGGCTGCGACGGAAGCGGAAGCTAAAGAGTCCGAGCAAGATCAGACCGAGAATGGGGAGAAGCCCGTAGAAAACGCTGCTGCGGAGGAAGGCGAGCACGCGACAATCACTGCTGTGGCAGAGTCTGCTGAGAAGACGACTCCTCTGGACGCGAACTTGGAAGAGATGCTAGCACGGATCCGGAAGAAGCTGCCGTGCGAATCGGTCGAGGTGTTGGATTCCGGAGAGATCCTTGCATTGCCGAAGGGCTGGTCTACTCGTCAAAGTAAAACGAACGACGGCAAGACGTACTATGTATCACCCTACGGACACACGCAATGGTTACGACCGCCCATGAAAACTGGAGTTATCTACAACTGGGTACACGAGATCGAGGTAACGTTTGGCCCTGGCCGGCTTGGACTCAACCTGAAGCAAATTGCTGGAATCCCTGGTACGGAATTCACGGATCTCCAGGTCCATATCGCCGAGATTTACAAGTTACCGAACGGAATGGCTAGCCCTGCAGAGATTTATAACTGGAGTGTCAAGCCTGAGAAGCGTCTTGCAGTGAATATGCGCGTGACGATGATGAATGGGATCTCGCTGGCGGGATACACGTACTCGGAGGTGCTGGAGTTACTTGCTCGGATGGTACGCCCCGTTCGGATTAAGTTCGCTGATATCACGAAAGGCATCGTTGGCCGAGTCGAAGAAGAAATTCCCCACGAAGAGACGGAAGAAGGAAAAGAGGCTCGTGCAGCAAGAGTGATGCAGAACTCGCGTCGGATGGAATATTTCCAGATCCTGGTGTCTTACGAACTTCACAAGCAAGTGTGGGCGTCTACAAAGCAGCACATGAAGCTTAAGCGGCTTGAGATGGAAAAGAAGTGCGAGGTCATGGAATCACAAATTGAAGGGGAGGAGCAGCACAAAGAAACCTTGGAGAAGGAGCGTGAGCACTTGGTCCAAGAGGCGGCTTCACTGAAGGAGGTGATTGAGCAGTTAGACAAGCAAACGGCTGGAGAGTTCGAGTCGCCAGAGGTCTTGAGGACAGCAGAGCTGACCCAGCGAACCGCGGAGCTCGAGAAGGAAGTTTCTGAAATCATCGCCGAAAACGAGGAACTACAGGCTGCACGCGTTAAGATCGAGGAGACTCTTGATGCTTTGCAGAAGGAGCTTGATGAGTATGGTGACCTCGAGGTGGATACGAACAGCGCCGGCGAGATCAAGTTTTTCTCGCCAGCGTTTTTGGGCTCAATGGTGCAACGAGGTTCCATCGATACCCGCGCTGAGGATGCACGTGAACGACTTCTCGAGAAGATTAAGGCGCAACGTGATCATCTGGAGGAAGACATCAAGCTGGAAGAGGAGCGAACGAAGTTCGTGGAATCGGAGATCCACCAGTTCCAGAACCAAATGGACGTGGCAACGGCGGCTGTCAAGCGCGAGGATGAATTTATTAGCGGTGAGCGCCCACCTCAACTGATCTTCTTGGAGAACAAGATTGCCTTGCTGCGGAAGAACCTGCGGGAAACGGTGGCTGGAATCGCGAAGGCGACATCAAGTGGAGACCAGCAGCAGGCTGAGAACCTTTCGCTGCGACGAGCTGACCTGAAGGATGATCTGAAGACGGCACTAGACGATATGCGGCGAATGGAGAACGACCTGAAAGTTTACTTCGACGTCGATGAAGGCAAAAAGGTTGCACTGCAGCACGCAGATTCGTCAGTCGATACTGTTGACATCGACGAGGCCCCGCACGAACGCGTGTCGGAGACATCGCGGCTGCAAAACAAGCTGACGAAGCTTCAAGCTCAGTTGCACGAAACTGTTGTCCAGCTCGCAAAGGCGGCAGGTGAGAAGGACGAGGAGCGCAAGGGCGAATTGAGCAAGCGGCGGCTGCAGCTGAAGGACGAGATGAAGATCGTGCAGGATCAGTTCCAGGCGCTGACGAATGGTACGCTCAACGTGTCTGCGAAGACCAAGGAGACGTACTTGAGACCTTCGATTGTCGGCCCACCTACGATGCAAGACCCTCCTCGGAGATCTACCGCGGGCTCGCGAGCGTCGCTTAGCGGGCTTCGAGGCTCCTTCAGGGGTTCGCATGGTGGCAGCAGACCCTCAGCTAACGGTCAACGGGGCTCCGAGCGACACGAGCAGAACTTGACCCAGCGCAGCAGCAGCAGTGCATCTATGGGCTCAATGTCTTACAACTCCAACTCGAACCAGGTCCCTCGAGAGGGCATGCTGCCGATGATGAGCGGTGTTCTCCGGAAGCACCCTACGCACTCGAATGAGAAGGGCACGTTCGGAAACATGTCGCTGCGTGGTGTTCGCGAGCGGTGGTGCAACATCGAGCCGGACGGATATCTCCGTTACTACAAGCGAGAGGGTGATCGCGAGCCGCGCGGCTCCATCCCACTCATGCACAAGTCTCTGGAGATCCTGCACGGCAAGGAGGTGGGCAAGCCCAACGAGTTTATGATCTGCTCGCCCACGCACCAGACGCGGATGACTGCGAAGAGCCACGAGGAGATGCTGAAGTGGGTCAAGGTGCTCCAGTTGGCCCACCAACACTTCATGAACCAGGGCCGTGGCTCGACCGACGGCGCTCCCGCAGCGGGCAGTATCTCGTCCTCCGTCGGCAGCACCGCCGATCAGGTGGCAGCTAACGCCACGTCACCGGACGCCGAGCTCGAGTACCGGAACCAGCGCGCGACGCTCGGCTTCTGATGACAGTTCAACCACGACAGACCTGACCATATTCAAATTTGTTACTTAAGCAGGGTTTTGATAGTTATCCCTCGTGCTCACACAGCCAACCCCCAAGGCATTAAGACAGACACCAGGACACTGTAGACGTATTTAACGAGTGACAACAACCAACAGCAGCAACCACTTGACCATCGTCAAATGTAGCCATGTCTCGCTGCGTCTAAGTAAATATAAGACGTTACAGTTTATATATTACATTTCACAGCCCCATACATTTCAACCAACCACCCCATAGTGAAATCAAAGCTCCCGGAGCGAGCAGCAGCGGAATGTTTCGCGCCCGCAAGTTCGTGGAGGTGCCGTCCAAGCGCGCGGGGCTGCTGTCCGCCGACGCGCTGAGCGCCAGCAAGCGCCAGCGCCTGGAGCACTGGGACGCGCTGTACGCGCCGCGCTCGGGCGCCGGCGACGCGGAGGAGAGCGCGTCGCTGCTCGTGGACTCGCGCAGCTGCACCATCGTGGAGGGCGCGAGTCTGCCGCCCCAGGTGCTGGAGGAGCTGCGCAAGGAGTGGCCGCAGCTGCCGCGCCACCAGCGCGTCCAGGTGCGCTGCTGCAGGGCGTCCGTGCCCTCCGCGCGCCACCGCAGCGGCCGCCAGTGGGTCCCGTACTTCGTGCTGCCTCTGCGCACCAAGATGCTGCTGTGGCAGCAGGAGCGCGGCAAGGTCATCGCGCTGCAGCTGCCCGACGAGCTCGAGCCGGACGAGGTGCTGCACCCGTTCCTCTTCGCGCTCTACAGCCAGAGCCTGAGCCTCATGGTCGTGGGCAAGAGCGGCATCGTGCTCTTCTGGGAGGACATCGAGCTGCCCTACGAGAGCGTTCCGCTCAGCGTGCAGATCCCGTTGGGGGTCAATGAGCACGTGACCACGCGCCCAAATGCCGCTATGGTGGCCACCCAGGAGGACGAGGAGATCCACGACGACGCTACGGGGTTGGTGTGCTGGAGCAATCAGGGCAACGTGTGGGAGGTGGCGCTGGACGACCGACGCATCCGTGTGCGCGCCTTTGAGAAGCAGAGCGCGGGCTTCCTGTCGGGCATCACCAAGTCTGTGTCGCAGTTTTTCTTCTCGTCCACGGCGTCGAGATCGGGAGCTGATGGAGGAGAGCTGGACCTGAACCAGCCTATCAAGTACCTGCGCGTGCTGCCATCGGCCTTGAGGGACGCGGCGTCCATGAGCAGCAGCGGAGAGATGGACGAGACGGCCGACATGCTGGTGCTGTTCCAGGACGGCATGCTCGAGCGACGTACGTTCAGCACGGGGGACGTGATGGACTGCTCGTGTGTTTCTCAGTGGCACTTTGACGCCAGCCGCGTGGCCATCAGCTACTTCAGTGACAACTTCCCGGAGGCTCATCTGGCCAAGGTGTACGTTGTGTCGATGCCCTACGTGCAGGAGACGTGCTTCGCGTTGCTGGTGGCGTTCGTGTGCTCCTCGTCGCGAGCTGGGACGAATGCCAAGGTGAAGTATGCGCTGTTCCAGTTCTCTCTTGGACCAGTGGATGACGACACGCCGCCTGAGCTCGAGTGGGCGTGCGTGCTGGACTATGAGCCGGCCTTCGATGAGCAGAATGCCAAGCAGTTCTTTGCGGTGGAGAGTTTCCCCATTACGCGTGGCGCGCTTTATCTGGTGTGGACGCAGATGCTGCCGGTCCAGTTTTCTACCATTCTGCTGCCTCAAGCCGGGCAGACAAGTGTGCGCTCGGCGGCATTCCCGCTTCAAGGTGCTCAAGGACGACTGGCGTTGGCGTTTGGAGCTCGCGTGGACCAGAGTTCGTTCGACAACAATGCTGTAAAGGGCTCCGTGTCGTTTTTGCTGATGGATGAAGACCCGAAGGCACCGAGCGGATCGGTTTGTATGGCGACGGCCTCGGACATGCAGAAGCTGGAGCGTTTGGCGGCCCCAGCTCCGTCTGAGGCATCTGTGGAGAGGACGCGCAGGCGACGTGAGGAAGCAAGCTATTTGACCAGCGAATCTTCACATTTTCTCGGTGAGAGCCTTAGTGTGGAGGATTACGTTCGTCTGATCTTGACGCACTTTCACGACGACCCGGATTCCGCGTCAGCTCTTCGTGTGAGCTCGAGAGATGTCGGTGCTGTTGCGCAAGCTGCTGTCTCGGTGGACCTCCAGATCCTGGATGCAAAGTCGTCGTCCGGATTGCGCTGGGAGAAGGGAGCCAGCGATGATGCTCCCCCTGCTCAGTCCGACGCACAGGAGAGCGACGCTGATATTTCTTCAGTCACGCCGAAGTTGGTGCGCTACCAGCTGGAAGATAAGAGAAATCGTCATGCGGCATTTATGGAGTTCTTGCAGCGTCGCTGCTCGTCGGTTTGGGAATTCATTGAAGATTCTGGTGAGCTGAAGCGCTGCCTGACCGAAAACGAGGAGAAGCTGCACGCTGCGATTGCTCTTAGCAAGTTCCAAGCTTCAATTCTGTCTTCGGGGGCTGCCGACGATGAGACTTCGTCAGAGGTGCAAAAAATTCAGCAGCGACTAACCGGGAAGTTCCTTCTTCACGCGATTGAGAAAACTGTCGAGAAGCGCGGATACCAGAAAGAACAGCTCCGTCTCGCAGGCTACAACTCCTTTGATGTGTTCTACTGTGAAGTGAGCAAGATCACTGAGCTCTTCCAGCACTTGGGTGACGAAGTGCAGTACCTTGCGACCTCCATTGGTGAAAGTGACGCGACGTATCTGTACGCGTTGCTTGAGAGTGGGTATGCCATGTTAAGTATGCTCCGCACTCCTGTGCAGAGCTCTACTGCTAGCTTTGCGGCAACCGGAAGCTGGGCTTTCACGCGCGATGTCCGAGAAGTTCTGGCTAACCAAATTTCTCGACTGTCAGTTCTTGCTGGATACTCGCAGTCGAGCTCGGCGGACAAGCAGATTCGCTGGCAGTACGATGAGATTTTCGAGCTGACTGATCAGATTCGGAGACTAGGAACAGTGCTGCTGGACGACTACGCTCGATTTATTCCTCTGGCTTCAAGTGATGAAGCAGACGAGCTCCGGAAGGAAGAAACTTTTACCAAGCGGGTGACGCTGAACCCGTTGGTATACATCGCGACACAGACCCCATCTCAAGAAAGTGATATGGCTGTCGACTTTGACCAGGATGGTTTTGTGACGCGGAAGCGAGCAGATCTATTCAGCAAAAGTGTCGAGCTCTGCGAGAAATATTCTTACTACGAAGGCATGGTCTATCTGGTCTTTTTTGAAGACTCGGAGAATTTGTCCAAGCTGGATTGCGTTCTTGGCAAGCTGCCCAAGAGCCCCGCGTCGAAGAGGCTGGAGTCATACTGCAAGAAGTACGAGGGTTTCGACGACTTTATTTTCCGCTGGTACAACGGCGAGGTTCGGAACCCGTGGGCCCAAGGCAGCCGAGAAGCTAGTGCGGCTTCGCCGACTATGATGGCTTACCTTCTGGCTCATTCGCAAATTTTCGCGCCTTCGCTGCACAAGTTTATGAAGAGCCGAGAGCACCTGAGGAAGTACCGATGGCTGACTGCGGTCTCCATTGAGCGGTATGACCAGGTAGCAACACTTGCGCTGCGTGAAACAAAGGGCGAGCAGCGCTCGTTGCCCAAGCGCAAGACCATGGCAAGCATTGCCAAGATTGCTGCGTTTGCTTCACCCAGTCTGTCCCACCCTGAGAGGGTCCAGGAAATCAATCGGGAGGTAAGCTGGATTGTTCCGTCTTCTCTCGTTGGGAAGGATGTGTACTCACGTTTCGTGTTGTGATGGTACAGCTTATCCGTGGAAAACTCCAGGAGCTCTTGCTGCAATTGCCGCTGAAGGAGCCCATCAGCGCCCAACCGCTTGCACCTGAAGAATTAGCTCGCGTGTGCGTGACATCGGCTCTTTCCGCCGATAAGGACGACCCTATGAGGTACAGCGAAATGTTTTGAGCATTGGGCTATCGTTTGTCGCCTTACTAACTCATCTTGCTTCGACGTTTTGTGCAACAGAACCAACATTTTCTTGATGGCCCTCGAGGCGTTGGAGACCCTGGCTACGGACCCCCTTACTGAGGAGTACGAAGAGATGCGTGCGAGTGTGTGGAGAGCCTGCATCGTTGATGATGGCGAGTTGTGGGACAATCTGGCTGCCGAGTCGGCTGCGGGCGTGAACGAGGAGAAGCTCGAGTCGCTCATGCGCCAGACCCTTCTTTACAAGGCGATGAAGGAGTATGCGTCGCGACCCGAGCATCTGATGCACGGCGCCGAGACAACTTCGGTACTGACGATAGAGGTTATTCGGGAGCTGGTTCATCGCGAGGGTGATGTCGACTCGGTCGTAAGCGTTCAGAGCCAGCAGTTGCTGATCAAGACGCTGCATTTGGCGCTGCAGTAGTCCGCCCACCTGCAAAGTTGCGGATCGATTGAAAATACACAACCTTACGCCACACGATGATCATATTTCTCAAGACATAGAGCGCGTGCTTCAAGTAAGCGTGAAAGGTGATGAAATTGAACACAGCCTGCCGGCAACAGCGGAGATCATAAAATTCATATAGTAGCGACAGCACTACCTCCGAACGAAGTCAGCGCAAAAACAGAAACTCCTAATTACAGCGTCGAGCGACTGGGCCTGAGGCGCCCTATCCTAATCATCATCCTCCGCCGATACCGTCGGCATGGGCGACAGTGCGATTGCCAGCTAAAGGAATAAACAACATGGTAAGTCAACCCTTTCGTGACTCGCCATCACAAACACGATCGAAGTACTTACCACGGCCACCGACATGAGGATAACACGCGACTCCAGCTCCGAGTTTTCGGTTGAGATCACCCAACTGGACAGCAAAAAATAACGAGAGGGTCAAGTTAGAGCTCAGCACACAGATCAAAACATTGTCGAGACAAAGCTTACCTGTCCGAAAGGAAGAGCGCCAACATGCCCACCGTCAGCAGCGCAAGTGTAGCCTTGGACTGCTTGTGCTCGCCATGGCGCAGAGTGAACACGAGCGCGATGATCAGCGACAGGTTGGCAAGACCAGCGGAACCGGCGACCATCGTCTCGAACTCACGAGGCGTACCGCCGATCAACAGCAGCAGCTCCGCAGCAGCACGCCAGGACAGAGCAGTCGCAACCCACTTGGCCGAAGCACGCCCATCCTTCTGGTGGAAGAACAGCAGCAGCGCCACCACGGGCGTGAGGAACGACAGCCATCTCCGCCACAGCTCGGTACCCTCCTCACTGTCGCGGGGCAGCATCTGGCTAGCCACGAGAGAGCCTACCACCGCCGCTACACTCAAGACGGACGCGAGGTACCCGCTCTCCACCACCTTGGCGATCAAATCATCCTGCACCGAACCGGCGTGATCATGCACCGGGCTAGTCGTTGCACTGGACTCGGACGTCGTCGACTCCTTCTCGCTGTGCGGCTTCAAGAGCACTCCCGCCTCATCCTCCTCCTCGTACGAGAGGGTCATGGTCTTCTTCTGCACGTCCGTCTCCGCCGCCAGCAGAGCAGGCGGCGCCATCTCGCGCACCTGCGGGGCCAGCGCGGCAATCGTCGATCGCAGCAGAAGCGAATCATCCTCCTCGTCCGTGGCCGGGTCGGCCTTCTGCTCGTCCAGACGCGACACAAACTGCGTCGACGACGTCTCAGTCGCCACCTGTTTCCGGGTCGATCGGCGTCTCGGCGTCTCCTTGGCTGCGACATCGTTGTTGCTCGGGCTCTTGCGTCGCCGCGGGGTCGTGGAGCTGGGAGACGTCATCTCCTTCTCCTTCTTCGCGTCCTCCTTCTTCTCCTCGTCGTTGTTGCTCTCAGGCAGCTTCCTGCTCACCGAGGCGCTGCGAGAGCGACTGCGACGTCCCCTCGGGCGACCGGGGCCACGTCCAGGACTCTTGCTCTTGCGCGGGCTCTTGGACGTCGAGCGGCCGGGGCTGCGACCGCGAGGAGTCGAAGCTCCCGACTCCTTCTTGCGTTCTGCAGCATAATAATAAATAACAATAAAATAACGGTTAGAGACCATTGTACCATTTGAATTGCCGCTGACCCCCACGTACGCTCTTCGAAGCGCTTGATGACGTCCGAGTAGCCATCGGCCATGAGGTCAATGCGGCTCTCCCTGCAATAATAGTTTCCAATATATTAGTCGGTATAGTATTAGGTGCAGTAGGGGGGTAACCTTCCACCCCAGGTGGAGGTTACACGGGACTTGTCTTGTATTGCACATTAACGCACCAGGTGTTGTTCTCCTCCCCGAAGCCCTTCCACACCACATAGTAGTGCACGCGCTGCTTGATGAGCTTGCGGTCCACGATGCGCTCGATGTCGTCGGCGGGCATCTCGGCCTGGGGGCTTGGTGTCGTCGTTGCTGTCGTTGCTTCTCTCTCTCGCTCGGTAATGGAGACCAACAACTTTTTTGAGACATTCGTAGTGAAAAACCTCGATGATGTTGAGGTTTTATTAGCGTCTCATTTTAAAATTGACAGAAACAGTAGCCAAATCATGAATTTTATGTCGCTGCTGGACGTGTAGCCATGCGGAAAAACTTCAATCTTGAACCTACACTTGGCCAGCAGCAATAGATCATCACGTGCCTTCATCAGAGTGTCTTCATCGCTATCGTGGTGTGCTGACGATTAATGGCACGCAGTTTACGGTTAGCATCATTATTTTTTGTTTGGTCCGACTGGGCAAAAGAGAAAACAACACCAAGCGTGTGCTGATAACAAATGAATTCAACACTCGCGGCAAGAACAAAATTGTGAACTTGGAGCTGGCAAAGGTGTTCTCAGCAGCGAAGATTAAGTCGCGGACCAGCGCCAGGAACGAAAAGGTCTACAACGACTTCTAGTCGAAGCAGTAGTTAGGCGTAATGACACAGACAAGAATTGCTCGGCGAATTTTGTCGTCCCCCGCCAAAAAAAAATACTGGGCCTCTATTGCCTGGCGATATATCATGAGACACAGCGTGAAATGCACTATTTTGTATTCAGGTCTAGCTCCCGTTTGGTTGCCTGGCACGCTTTGATTTTGCACTATTCCAAGCCATGGAACAGCTTCGAACAGCTTCGTGCATTATGAATGCACGAAGCTGTTCGAAGCTGTTCGATGTTCAGAACTCACGAAAAGAGACGGAGGAACTATTCACACCCGAATGTCGTGCTTTCTTCTGATCTTCATATCGATACCTTGGCGCCTTACGAGTTCCCTTCAGCGTTAGAGCACGAAGCATTCGGTTGTGCTGATAGGTAGTGGGATACTCGTAATCAGCAGGACTACTAGGAACTGCACACAAAACTATAGAAAGCTCAACTGCAGATTGGAGCTTCGAATCGTGTTTCACAAGTGATCGTTTACTGGTAAAAACCATCGATTAATTAATAAGTCCACTTCTGCGTCTAAGTCTTACCAATACTGACGTTGCGTTGCTATATTGTAATGTCAGTGCTCACCGTTCTTCAGGAGATGCAAGTACTTCTCGTACTTGCGGTACATGATGAAATTCTCGTTTTGTAGCAGCAAGTTCCATCTCCCCTTGATGTAAGCCTTCTTCATGATTCCGGGGAGTCCCAGGTACATGAAGAGGTGCTCAGGCGTCTGCTTGTTTCTTGCCCAACCTTCGAACAGGTGCAGGTATTGGTTGATCAGCTCGTCGTTGAATGTTGTTCTCTCTTCGTTGACCTTGTCACCGCGTAAAAATCTCTTGCCGTCGTCGTGGTTGCTCGGAACAGCAGCGGTAGACTGTGGGGGATCTTGGAGAACTTAGCCTGGACGGAAGCTGCGCGTGTCGGGCAGCTGGTAAGGACCAGGCCTCGGAAAAAATAATTATTCCATTGCAATTACTGTATTTGTGTACGGAAATATGTAATATTGGTTGCCGGTCGTATTGAAATTACTATTATTGAAGCCCAATTTTCTATTAAAGTAATTGGAATAAATACATATATTGGTGAATGATATATTGAAATGATTATTATGGAGACCGAACTTTTGCAATTCAATATGATACTGTATTTTCCGAGGTCTGGTAAGGACGAAACCCACAACAACTGGCAGGATGAAGGGCAAACGCATGCTTCGCCCGTGAAGGCCCTCTTGGAACTCGATCACAAAATTGCCAAATGATCGCTCAACTCGGGCGAAATCATGAGGTACTACACTGTAGTAGTAGTACGCGTACATACTGTGTCCGTGATCCTAACTGCAACAACGTTGACAAGTTGTCAATGACAACAGCGAAGCGAAAGAAAGGTTTGGGTGGCCAGGAACCAGAGGTTACCACACGGGGACACATTTCCAATCCTATCTTCGATCCAAGGGAGCGTTTAGAAATCCAGTAGCCGATCGCCGATCGCCTGAATCATCCTTGAGGAGTACTAGGCACACACTCTCACATTTACTAAGATGATTCCGTATTATTACATACATGTATTGTATAATACCTGCACCTACATGTAGAGTTAGACATGCAACTCTCTAAGTATCAGTTACTGTAGCTCCCGCAATACATTATATGCTGGTAATTTACATCCTCTTGTCGTCGGCGTGAAATATGACGAATGAACATTAAGAATCCATTAGAGATAATTTGCTCAGCCAACTCACTATATTATTTTTCTGAAGTCCTTCACTACTGTACTACCCTCGCTCGCACATGTACTTACAGTTGCCTCGGCTACGAAAGATGTACTTCGTCTACGAGCGGTGGCCAACCAAAGGCTCATCGCGGCCGTATGCACTTGCGAGCTCTTCCCACTGAGCTGGAGTGAGGCTGATGATTGATTGCTCTCTTTCAGCACCGTCACCGTGTTCCGCAGTCGTTTGCTCTGAGTTCATTATAACAACATTTTGCACCGTATCAGTACTTTGGCAACACTTGCGTATATATCAAACGTACACTTACCGATGTAAGGTAACCCCGTGGTTTCGTCCACTCCAATCCCCAGCACGCCTTGGTTCACCAAGAAGGACGTGTCGAACAAATTCTCAATGGTCTGAAGACATTAAATAAAAATAAATGTAAAAACAGTTTAGGAAAAAGTGACTCTGCAAAACTTACTTGTGATGTGGTAAAACGTACCTGCTCGAAGCTCGTTGGATCCAGCGTTGCGTTGAACAGCGACGCTTTTCCTCCAGACTCGCGGGCAACGGCCGTCTCGAGAACTTTCAGCCGACGAGCTTGGGCTCCTTCAGTATCCTTTGCCTGAGCCAAAACGTGTTAAATCTATTAAAACAAAAAAAATCGCCGATCAATTATCTGCGGTAGTATGTACATGTATAACCTCACCTTGGCTGTGTAGAGCTTGGGCTCGGCTGCCTGCGCGGTTACGTCCTTGGGTGCTCGACGTGGGGCCTTCCTCTGCTTCTTTTCGGCCACCGTCGTATCCAACCGACCGAACCTACATGTAAATGATAAATCAACAAAAGCCCTCTCAAGTCACAAATCCTAACTCAAAACAGAGGCTAGTTCCTTACTTACAAGACATTCGTGTCCGGGACCGATTGGAAGCAAGACCCCACAGCCACTCCCAGTCCATCCCAGTCAAACTCAGTCGATGCGGTGGTGCATTCTCGACTTCCTGCGTTTATTAAGTCCAGGGCCTTAAACTGGACACACACACCTTACAATATGTTCGAACTCCTCAAACTTGAAATGCAAACAACAAACCTTGGTCATATCCGTGCCGCTCAGCATCTTGGACTGCTTCCCCACGGCAGTCTCGAGCTCATCCAAGCACAGACTGTCCAAGTTCCCCTCGCGGGGGTAGTGCACGTGCTGGTACAGCTCATCCACGTCCCCCGCGGCAGCATCGAACTTGTCCGAGTTGAGGCTCCTCAATTCTTCTTCCTGCTCCTTCATGCCCTGAAGTAGCTCGCGTTGCATGTAGCGCACTTGTCGTCGATCTTGATCGGAAAGATTGGAATCCGTCAGCAATTGCCGCTGCTTCGGCGAAGACGCACGCCCCCCATCCGCACTACCGTCCGCCATCTCGTTTCAAACTTGCTGCAAGTTTGAGAATACAGCCAAGCAGCAAAAGAGATCAAGCAAGACCTCGTCCCAATGTCATTCTTCTTCTCTAACGGTGTTTGAAAAGAAAAGTCTTAACTGTAGCTGGTCAACACCAACTGTACAGTATGCCATCACAAGACCCAGCAACGGTTGAAGGTGTAGTCACATTTTTTGCAGCTTGCCATTTCTTACAGTTGTAGCAGCAAGGGGTGATCATGGGGTTAATGCGTTCACCAGACTGCCCATTGAAGCCTTCGAAAGGGATGGACTGGATGCTTGATACTTAAAGTGTGAATACTCGGGGCGTCTTCTTCAAAATTGCATTCAGCGACAAATAATAACAGCGTTCTTTTTGACAAGTCCGCGGGGTCTCCCCGCGGACTGCACATCACATCGGTGTCTGTGGTAATAGCACGAGTATCCTAACTCACGTTGCCGCGGCCGTACGTGCCCTCGGGACACTTGTACTCGTCCGGGAGCAGCGAGCGCTGCAACGCGTTGAAGGCGTACTGGCGCTTGCCCGTGTTCTTGAGAGCGTTCTCCAGCCGCACGCCGTTGCTGCGCATGGTCGACACTGTGCGCACCGCGAACTCCTCGGGCAGACCGTGGTTCTCGCTCAGCAGACGCACCTGCTCGAGCGTCACCGACATGCCCGTGCGGTCCTTGGCACTCTTGCACGAGGTCACGCGGCCGGCACCCAGCAGTCGGCACAAATGCGAGCTCTCCTGGATGATCTTCGGGTGCTTGGACTTCACCACTTGCCGCTTGCTCGCTGTTGCAATACGCCCCTCCAGCGACTCGAGGAGAGGCGTGATGGTACTCACAGGCGTAGGCACCGTGTCCGGCTAATACAGCAACAACACAGTAAGAAATGTCAGTGAATCAAGGTCAAGAAGGCCAATAAGGGCACTATCAACGCGACGTACCCTTTGAGCCGCAAGCTGCTTGTACTTCTCGACGTGGCGGGTCAGCACGAAGAAGCTCTTGCGGTTGATGATGTCCTGCAGAGTCGTCTTCTTGCTGCTGGCGTTGTTGGCCAGCGTCTGCATCTCATTGATGCCTTGAGTGAAGATCACCGGCGTGACGGAAATGGAGCCGCCCGAGCGGATTGTGGACGGGATTGACGCCCGAATGTCTTCAGAGCAGCGCACACCGACAGCGACGGTGAAGGTCCCCTTGGCAGATCCCCTGCTCAAGCGCACCGACACAACGCCCGGTAGCGGCGTGTTCTTCATGTGCAAGTTAAGCAGCGTTGACGGGAGGTGCGCAGGCGGTGACGTGTCGAGCACGAAGGTGACGTGCTTGAGCCCATCAACCGCAGCAGAGAAATCCTCCAGCATTCCGATCTCCTTGCCCTGAGTCGACAGCAACGACTCGACCTGGAACAGGAAGCCAATGGACTCGATCGTGTGCAGAAAGCTGCGGTCCGTCGGGTGCTGCAGTGAGTACTCCAGCTGGCGGCAGAACGAAGCGACCAACGCCGTCAGCGCCTGTGACAAGCACATATCGAACCGCGTTGTGAGGTGCCATCGTGTCTCGTCGGTAGAACGGACGTCCGCGTTGCTCCAGTCCACCATGTCAGCGCCAGCGCCGCTCTGCTCCGACACATCACTCTGCACGTGGGACAGTGAGCGCTTCTGCAGCGTCGCTCGAAGACTCAGGATGCTTCCATTGTGACGGAACTTGAAGCAGTGAGCAGCGAACGCGCCAACAGTTACCGTCGGATAGACTTTCACGTGGGGAGAAGTCCGTCTTGATCGTTGCGAGCGCAGGTCGGCTGTGGGGCCTACCCACATGTCTTGCACATGCAGGTTGATAGGCAGGAACCGCAGCACGAGGCTCTTCTTTTCGGTACTCGCCTTGAAGTTAAGCCCCTCCTCCGCTCGGTCGATACACACCTGGTGGCACTCCTGTAGTCCTTCGAGGTACATCTTGCGCTGCTGCACCCGGTCGTTCAGCCACGTTTGGACCACGGTCTGGTCGTTCTCACCCTGGATCTGCTCGATCAGGTTGTCGTACAAGTTACCAACCAGGCCACTCTTCACCCTCGCTTCAAAGCCCGCGGCGTCAGCCTGCGCACGCGCTAGATCGTCCGCGCGCTCGGCAACCAGCAGCTCCAGGTACTGTCGGGGCAGCTCGTTCGTGAGTGGACTTTCAACCATGTCTTCGATCACCATTTCATCCCCTTCAGCAAACTGGAAACTCTTGGAAATGTAGAAACCCGAGTTCTCCTTCAGCTGACGCGGGGAAACAGTCATGGATTTGACCCGCAAGCGTGGCACCGAGGGGTCCACTTCGGGGGTAGCAGCACCAGTTGCAGCCGCTACATTCGGTGACTCGGTGCCAGTTCCATCGCTGAGCATTGTCGGAATGGGCGACCGATTGCGGTAGGAGACTTGTCGAGCCACCAAATTCACCTCGTCAGACGCCAGCATGTCATCGCACGCACAGGAGAATTCACAGAACACCTTGGGCCGAGAGGGAGGAGCCATGCCCATGCCAGACACACGTGCAATTCGAGCGCGCTCATCGAGCTTTAGGGAAGATGCACGCATCATTTGGCGGGACTCGCGCAGGTCGCCGTCTACTGACGGCGACGAGGTCTTCTCCGGGATCTCGTACACCACGAAGCGAAGCAGTGGGTTGGCAGGCATCACCGGGATCTGAAGCACCGACAAGAACGTCGCGATCTGCGTCACGCCGTTTTCGGAGTTTGCCGTCACCAGAGTGGGCAAAACTGTCTCGGTGAAGCCCACGCGTGACCACTTCGCTCCCGGATTGGAAGCAGGCAGAGGCGTGGGCAAGGCTCCACCGCCAAGTAGCGACAACGAATGGCTACGACGGCTGAGAATCCCTTCTTGGTGCAGTCCGGTCTCGATGAACGTACTGATCGAGGAGCGACGGTAGCTCAGCATCGGAAGATCTTCGTAGTGATCTTCGCCCGTGACATCGTTCTCGCCAGCCTCCGAAGCCGTATTCTCCGCAACGTAGAGCTCGACAAAGCACGCGTGCGTAAGCGAGATCGGCGACACGAGCTGGACAGCTAGCGCGAGCACATTCTGCGTGCCATCCACACTCTCCTGACCGATAGGGTTGTACTCCGTATCGGGAAAGCGCAGGATGCCTGCCCAACCATCGCTCAGTCCCGAGGCATCCAAAGGAAGGGCATACTTTCCGCTCTCAACCTTATCGGAAATACTCGACATGGTGCGATGAAGCAGCTGCGGGTCTTTTACGTGCAACGAAGGGTTCCAATTCATACCGTGTAGCCGGGGATTCCACTGCAAGAGCAAGAAGCCAATCGGAGGCACAAGAGTCGGAAGCCAAATGGAGAAAATGTACCACACGACAGAGTTGATGGTCCAGTTCTTCCAGTGGAGGATGGAGTTCATGATGCAAGACGTTCCGAGCACGAGTGCGATCGAGAGAATCACCGCCAGGTACGTGATCAACGACTTCTTCATCACCTTCACCACGTGGTCATCAAAAATATCGCCAGATTGATCGATCAAGCGCACACCGCGCTGAATCACGAACGTTCCCAGCACCAGCAACGCCACGGATGTGAGGAAGATCAGCAGCTCGGCACTTTGCTGCAGTGGGAAGAACCAGTCCGAGTAGCTCACATCCTTGCAAATGTTGTTCACCGCGTACTTCCACTGTGTTGGCTGCAGATCGGGGCAATAGTTATCCGAGCATAGCCGCATGGAGTAGAAAGGATTCTTGAGGTAGTCGTCGTACGTGCACTTGTAGAAGTCGGTGAGACTCACGACTCCGAAGAGCTGGAAACCGTAGAACGCCACGTTGATGATCACGTAAATGATGAACACGATCAACCGCCCTGACGCCCCCACGTCGTGGAACAGCACAGTGCCCCAGTGGAAACACACCGACGTCATCATCGTCCACGTGAAGCACACAGAAATGGCGTAGAGCAGGTAATAAATGTCCGTTCCGCTGGCGGATGACGCCTTGGTCGAGACGCTGATCCAAATAGCGTTGCCAACGATGCACAGAACGAAGATCATCATCACAGAGAGCGATGTCATATCGTTGTAGAACGTCGGTCTCGAGAAGGAGATTCCGTTCTGTAAGCAGCACCCATGCGTCGTTTGTTAGTCATCAATACTTTACTAGCGAGTAAAATTCGCAAGCTTACCATTCGAGTGACGAGGATAGCACCAGCCAACGCCACAGCGAAGAATGTGATCGACATCACGCTGTACACACTCAGAGTGTACTTCGAGTCTGTACCAGCAAATTACACAACGACTTGTCAGTGACGACATCCGTGAAAGCAAGGTGGGATACCCAGCTACGTACATGTCTTCGAGTGCACCACCGTTTGTGCGCAATCGCTCCCTATCACATCGCTATCGTCCATGAGAGTGACCTCGCTGAGCGCGGGTAAACGGAACCCACTAGTGTAGTCATCCTCCTGGTCCTCGTCTCCCGTCCACGCCACATTCGTCACTTGGATTTGGAACGTGAAGGTCGTCCTGATCTCCCACGAGTCATTGGTCTTGACACCCGACGGCAGAAGGTCCGTCACGCAGAAGTAGGTAGCGTTGTCGCTCTCGATGTTGAGGTTGGTCTCACCCGGATCGGCATACAGGTTCAGGAACGGGTTTCCACCTTGGACGTATGAGGCCGCCGCAGAAGACCCAAAGGTTACAGTGGAGACAGGTTCACGTCCTTTGCTCGCGCAGTATGCCGAGCGCAAGTTGGCACACACCTTGGGGTTGTCCGAATTGGGGCCAACGATGGAGGACGTCGAAAAGGACAGCATCATAATCTCGGTATCTTCTTCCATCCACAAGAGCGATGAATCCAAACGCCCTTTTCTGACGGGAGGCAACGCCATCGTAGCAAGCGTTAACGCGCTCAAATCTTGGGCTGAGGTCGATGCAATACTTGACCCAGACGTAATCACCGTCAGCTCCCGTGTGCGCCTAGAGGTAGCTGCAGATTTCAGCGTCCCACTTGACGTCTCGTAAGACAGCGACACGCTCACGCCCACGGAGCTGCTGGAAGCGCTGGATCCTGTGATGATACTCTGGGATAGTACGAACGACATCGGTCCCCCGGAGTTCGACGTCATCAAATCCTCACGGCCTTCGAGCAGATCCATAACGCTGACGAAGCCGTAACGGTGGGAATCGCTATCGCAGTTCTTGCTGCTCGTCACGTCCGCGCAGCTGTGGACCCGATGAGTGGCAGAGGTCTCATTGCTGTCGTCACGCAGCGTCACGTCAACTGCCGTGTTTTCCCAGGCCACAAATCTCCACCCGCTTGGGAGCGAGATGGTGATCCACCACTTGCTCTTACGCGTCATGGGATCTTCCTCGCCCAAGTTGTAGAACGCTCCGATGATATCCGCAGCCAGAAGGGTGAAGGTAGCCTCCGCAACACTGTTGGGGGTGACTGTCGATGTTGAGACCTTGTACGAGTCGGTTGAGACACAGGTCTTATATCCCGACGGGCACGAGCCATCGGACAGCTTGCTTTCGCATGTGGACCCGCTAGACTCGCCGGGATGCTCATTCTGGCACTCCGTTGGGTTACACCGACAGTATGTTGACGTGTAAGGCACGTACTCCACGCCGCTGCTACTCCACTGCTGAAAAGGCAAACAGAATAGAGAGAACCGTTAGCTTCATAACATGAAATCAAGAACATAACATGCCCATGACGAACCCAGCTTTTGCTCCCGGATTCGGACTCGCTCGAGGAGCTGTTGCTAGCTGTGAGCGAGAAAACCTTGACAACTTCCTCCGATCCGCTGAATGAGCCCGTTGCCGTCGAGTTCGCCTGCGACGATGCTTCCGTTGGCACCGCCGTTTCCGCCGTAGTGGATGTCAAGTTGCTCGATGCCGCAGGTGCAGGAGTTGCCTCCGTGGAGGCTGTGAAGTTACTGGCTGATGCTGGCGAAGGAGTTTCCTCAGTCGAAGCCGCCGGTGCTGATGTCCCCTGAAGGATAATCGATCGCTCCTCAGGGTTTTCTGGAGATGCAGCGGCTGCGCTGTCATCACTCGATCCAACGATAAGCTGAACACCACCAGACCCGTCAGCAGTCTGGGTAATACTTGTATCGATGGGGGTGGTGGGGGCTGGAGTGATCCTAGAAGTCTCATAGATATGAGAGGCGACTGCAGTGTTAACGTCCAACGAGCTGGCAGCCATGTGAATGGCGTGAGAGCCTACAGATGCATCGACGTTGGGTAAACTTGTGCCTTGAATGTGGACACCCTCGTATCCAACACTAGCGTCAACGTTCCTGGAACTGGCGTCAACATGAATGCCACGCGAGCCTACAGTGGCGTCGATATCACTCGATCCGACAGTAGCGTCAAGGTGAACGCCACGAGAGCCAACTGTGACGTCGAGATCACCCGATCCAACGGTAGCGCCTACACTTCCAGAGCCGACCGACACATCCAAGTCATGTGATCCCACCGAGACGTCTAGGCCATGTGAACCGACCGAGACGTCCAAGCCATGGGACCCCACCGTGGCCTCGAGACTTCCAGAGCCAATGTAAGCTCCTAACTCTGCCGATCCTGATCCTACTGAGACATCGAGTCCGCCCGAGCCGACCGTTGCGCCAAGTCCTCCCGAACCCACCGACACTCCCAGCCCTGTAGACCCCGAACCAGCCGAGACATCAATACCAGCGGAGCCCACAGCGACATCCACCGATCCGACCGAGACCTCGAGTCCATTCGAGCCCAACGTAAAGCCCAACGCGTCGGCCTCACTCTCCACCGACCCTGAACCTGCCTGGCTGCAGTCCTGCGACTGCGACTGCGGGAACTCGATCGTCTCTGCGTCACCTGCACTGCCCGAACACTCGGACGAGCTCGAACCTGCCTGTCCGTCGAACAAGTGCAGCAGGAACTGCGCCTGCTGCGATCCGTCCTGTATCACTGGCGTCCGGCCGTCGTCGCCCACGTCCCCTCGCGCTATCCGGTTCATGCGCTCGAACTCGAGCTCGATCACGTGCTTGTCCAAGGCCGCGACGACTGGCACCGAGTCCAGCTCCAGCGCCTCTGCGTCTGCTCGAAGAATACATACACACCACACCGCGTCAGACTATACTACTGCAGACGCTGAAGAGCTCTCTATTGCGTACCTTCGGCCGCGGCTCGGGCCGGCAGAGTGGGCGCGGAGGCCAGCAGCAGCAGCAGCAGCAACGCCGCCGCGTGCATGAGCCTCCCGCCGCCTCGCAAAAGTCGACGCTGGTAGGCGGAAGAGAGAGAAGCGTTAGACCAGGTTGGGGGCGCTGGAGGAGGCCGCCACCAGGCAGCAACGCACCCGCATGAGAGACGCCGACGAGTACAGTGCGCTCTGTTGGCACGGTCGATTGTGAGACGCGCTCAATGCAGGGCGCGGTTGGGGCAGCGATGTGACGAGGTCGATTGCACTGCTTATTACGGGACGGAGGTGATAGTCGGTGGTGTGCATATCTCTGGAGTATACGTTGCACACAGTGTAATGTGGTTGAAAGATGGTGGCGATTGACGCTGCGTCCCGGAAAGAGGTGTGCTTTTGACAGTGGTAGCGTACACAGAGAGGTGATGGATCTGGCTCCTTTCAGATAAATTGTGGCCGAAAATGGCCGCTGCCACGCAGGCGGAGACTATTATTACCGGGGCGCCGCATATTACCGGGGCGCCCAAGCAAGGCCGAGAGGACCATGAGCCATGGTGACGAAAAATGCTGCTCTTGCTTCGCCAGAGTGCGGACTGCGTGTACGCCACACAACCTACGCCAATCCCATATGGTTTTCATTAGTATTTCTAAAAGCAGTACATACTTAAATCAAACGTTCCAGATCTGGAACCATCTCCTCAATACAAGCCCTCTGTTCTAAAACCCCGCGCACAGCTTTTGGCCAGCCATTTCATCTCGCTGCACCGGTTGATACACCTACAGGTCGGCGTGCACGATGGCGGAGCAGCATGACAGCGGCTCGGAGCGCGAGGACGTGGAGCGGATCGTGCGCAGCGCGCCCAAGCGCCTAGGCCAGGACGCCAAGCAGCCCAAGAAGGAGAAGGCCAAGCCCGTCAAGCACGCGGCCAAGTACACGCGCGGCGGCAACCTGTCGCAGCACCGCATCCGCAACATCCGCGACAAGAAGCTCAAGGGCTCGCTACTGCGCGCGCATGAGAAGCAGAAGCTGGCGGCCGAGTCCGCCGCCAAGTCGGAGATCCTGCTGCCCGACCAGGTGGGCTTCCTGGAGGCGGAAGGCCTCGAGAAGACGTACAAGTTCACGCAGAAGCAGCTCGCGGACAACGTGGACCTCAACACGGCGCGCAAGATCTTCAGCCTGGACCTGCCCGACTACGGCTCGTACCGCGTCAAGTACACGCGCAACGGGCGCAACATGCTGCTCGGCAGCCAGAAGGGCCACCTGGCCATGATGGACGCGCTGCGCATGAAGCTCACGTGCGAGTTCCAGGCCAACGACCTCGTGCGCGACATCAGCTTCCTGCACAACGACTCGCTGTTCGCGGCAGCGCAGAAGAAGCACGTGTACATCTACGACAGCACTGGAGCCGAGGCGCACTGCATCCGCACGACGCCCGAGCCGCGCAGGATGGAGTTCCTGCCCTACCACTTCCTGCTCTCGACGGTGAGCGGCAACGGTTTGCTGACCTACCACGACGTGACAGAGGGCAAGCAGGTGTCGACCCACCGCACCAAGCAGGGACTGTGTGACACGATGGCGCTGAACCCGTGGAACGCCGTCGTGAACCTTGGCCACGCGAGCGGTATCGTCACGCTCTGGACGCCCAACATGTCGGACGCTGTTGTCAAGATGCAGTGCCACCAGGGACCGAGTACGTTGTGTTTGCTTTTTGCTGTTGATTTGGTGTTGATGTACGCTTTACTTACGCTTGTGTTTTTTTTTTACAGTTCGTTCCCTCGGCATCGACTCCAGCGGAAAGTATCTCGTCACCGCTGGTGCGGACAGGAAGGTGAAGATTTTCGACCTGCGCAAGTACCAGGAACTGAACAGCTACTACCTGACGGCGGCGGCCAACACGATGAGCGTGAGTCAGCGCGGGCTGGTGGCAGTGGGCTTCGGGCCGAACGTGCACGTGCTCAAGAGCGCCTTCTCGTCGGGCTCGCCCATCCGACCATACATGACGTACCAGGTGCCGGGCTCGTTGGTGAGCTCGCTGGCCTTCCGCCCGTTCGAAGATGTGCTGGGTGTCGGCCACGCCAAGGGCTTCAACTCCATAGTGATTCCTGGCTCGGGTGAGCCCAACTTCGACACGTACGAGGCCAACCCGTACGAGAACCACAAGCAGCGTGACGAGTCTGAGGTGCGCTCGCTGCTGGAGAAGATTCGTCCGGAGATGATCACGCTCGACCCGAACGCCATCGGTCGCGTGGACATGGACCCGGCCGAGGAGCAGGAGAGGAAGATCTACCAGATGCAGCGCGCGAACGGAGATGCCAACGCCAAGAAGCCCAAGAAGAAGATGCGCGGCAAGAACCGTCCGTCTCGGCGACTGCGCAAGAAGCAGCTGAACGTCATCGACACGCAGAAGCAACAGTTCCGCGAGCAGCTAGCCAACAAGCAGAAACGCCAGGAGAGACAGGAGCAGCAGCGCGAGTGGACTGAAAAAGCCGAGAGCGCACCCACGGCGCTCAACCGGTTCTTCAAGAAGTAGATGCATTCCACACTGTAATACAAGCAGGCGGCCGCTTTCATTAGACGCATTCATTAGACCGTGTTGCTTCCTTATCAAAATCTCGTGTAAGAATGAATGATATCATGACCAACGACAGACACCTTTATTGCGCCCATAAATCGAACCAGTTCCTGTTCATCGTCGCGCCTTACGGGGGGCCCAGTAAACTCGGCAAGTAGCTTATGCGAGGTAGCGGTACGTGTTGGCTTGATCGGGGTCGCGCTCAAGGTACTCACGGTCGATGAGAGCCTCAATACGGCGCTTGATGACCTTCAGGTTCGGCTTGAAGAACGCGAGCTGGCTCAGCACCTCCGAAATTAGCTGCTGGTGCTGCAGCGTTTTACGCGCCTTCATGATACGCACGATAGCGGCTTCTATGGCTATGCTGCGGTCCTCCTCCACGTTCTTCTGGCTGTGGCTTTCCTCCAGGGAGGCCATGGGAATGCGCAGCTTACGCATGGGCGAGGCAAATGTGCGGTTCACGGTGAACCCGTCGCTGGTCGAGATCGTCTTACCAGCAGGCGTCTTCGTCAGCAGCTTGTACTTGCCGCACGACAGCGAGTGCATAATACGCTTCACCACATCCACAGTCAAGTTCAGCGACTCCCGCACGGCCTCGAACGAGAGCGAACCCTCGCCTTCGTTGAACAGCAGCAGCGCCACAGCCTGCAGCGTTGTCACCTGCAGGTCATACCATTTCTTCTTGGGGAAGTTGGCACGGATCGTCGCATTACCAAGCGAGTGCACCCACTGCAGCCGGCGGTGGCTCGTCTTTGAGTCGTAGTACACCTTGAAGAGGTTCATGCATCGAACCATAAGCGGCGGCATTGTGACCTCCAGGATGCGGTACGACGGCCAGTAACCCGTCGTCAGCACCTGCACGCTGAATTCGAGGTTCAACGCAGCCTCGTTCGAGTCGCTCTCACGCTGCTTCTTCAAGAAGCCCTCGAACTCCTGGTGGTGATCGCTGCCGATGGCCAGGTCATTCATCATACCTTCCATCTTACCCGTGAACTGTGCACCGCAGCGCAGCTTCAGCTTTCCGATCATAAGCACCTCAGCGTCGGCAGAAGCAGATCGCTGATTCAGCAAACGCTTGGCCAGCTGGTTACGGTAGATCTCAGCGAAGAGATCCTTGTCCGTCAGGTACGAGAACACGAACACCACCTTCTCCAGGTAGTCCTCCACCTGCTCGTCACTGAGCTTCTCGCCGCCGGTCTTGAGGATACGGTCGCAGAACGTACTCATCAGCTTCGCCGAGCTGTCGGGGCCGACGTCCTTGTTGACAAACTCCACGAATGCCTCTTTCAGCGCCTTCTGGAACAGCGAGTTGCCCGCAAACTGCTCGTTCACGATACTGCGGAACTTGTCGTGGATCGCAAGAATATCCTTGATGAACGTCGGGTCCGAACTGGGGTCGCGCACATTGCCCGAGGCCACCGCGTTCGCGCGCTTGGCCACGATGTCGTTACCCACAGCCGTAATGTGCTGCTGCACGAGGTCGGCAATGGGCTCGAGTCCGTTCTTCAGACGCGCGAACAGGCGGTACATACGCGCCAAGTCCTCGAGCTTGTCGTTCTTCAGCAGCGCGATGACGCCCGAGTTCTCCCTCTCGATCAGCTCCTTCTGGGCGGCCTCCAGCAAGACGCTCTCCAGCTTCTTCACCAGCTTGGGCTCCGTCGACTTGTGCAGGTACGTGTTGACGCGGCTGCGCTCGCTCTGCAGCGCCTCCTCGACCTTCTGGAGGTACACGGGCGTCGAGTCCTCACTGAGCCAGCCCTTGGACTTGCGCTCGTAGTACGTGGCGCTCGTGGCCACGAGGTCCGTCTCCAGACAGCTCTGGTACACGTCCAGGGACTTCATGCCCATGACCTCGAAGATCTCGACGCAGTTGCGCATGAGCGCCGTGTCGATGATCTCTCCGTTGCGCTCCTTCTCGATGAGCTCGATCATGGCGTCCTTGACGCGCACCTTGACCTTCTGGAAGACCATGCGGTCGAAGCTCTGCAGCCCGGCGTCGTCCAGCGTCGGGAGCGAGTGGTGCTTGACGTAGTAGCGGTCCAGGTACATGAAGAAGCGCGTCATCCACTTCATCATGAGCTTGTGGTTGGTCCAGCGCTTGACCAGCTCCTGCAGGAAGAACTCGTCGTGGGCCTGCTCCAGACTGGGCAGCACCTTCTTCTCCAGGTATGCGTCGAACGTCTGGCCGTGGCGGTCGTAGAGCTGCTCTGAGAAGTTGTACGGCGAGCGCTGCGTGCACATGTTGTAGCACGTCGTGTAGATGGGCATGAAGGCGTTGGGCGGGAAGGGCGACACCTTCACCTGGTCGAAGCCCTTGTCCAGGATGTCCAGCAGCACGTCGATGGCCTTGGGCTTGATCTCCTGGTCCCAGCCCTCCTCCAGCGTGATCATGTTCTTGCCGCTCATGGCCGAGATCTTTTTGGTTGTTTACTTGCGTCGCTACGGGTAGTGCAGGCGGCCAATAGGAAGGAGGCTGGAGGCTTGCAGTGACCACGCAGACGCGGAGCTGGTCAGTGGGCGGGCGAGCGAGCGAGGCGAGAAGCTTTCTGAGCGTTCTTCGCGGCGGCGCGCACTCGGCTTCAGCTGCAAGTGGAAAATGGCGCCTCCCTTCTTTTCCCTCACTTTGGTAAGATCACTGGGGAGCGAAATCCCCTAGATAGGAGTACTTATCCCGCCGTTTTGCCTCTGTAGCAGCATAAGTGCGGTGCGAACTTAGTTCAAATAGAGAATGATAATAGATAAGTTCCTTTGTGTAAGAATAGTTAGTAGTTTATCACTAAACGTACCTTGTTGAAAGAATATTGCTGTACCCGGGTCCAGGTACATCAATAATCCTTTATTTCGACGAATCGCGCGGTACTTGATGTTTTTTTAACCAATCGTGGATCATAATAATGCTCACAATTTAAGCCAATAAGAGATCGGAAAGTTTACATAAAGGAAAAGCCCGGCTACTCAGTCACGACCTGCACCAAGCGTCGGCGCCTGTCCGGCAACCTGCACTTCTCTTCGCAGCCTCAACGACCGGCACCGCAGCCACACGGCCATAACTCACAGCACAGCGCTCTCTCCTCCATCTCCTGCATCTGCAGACACTCACGACGACCGCGCCCAACGCCACGCTTCCCGTCATAAACGGCCCAGTCCAACGTTGTTCGGCGTAGAGAGGCCCTCTCTACATTGTTGTTATCCACTTACACAGACTCTTTCTTCGCTGGTCGTCACTTCAACATGCTGGCAGGGGGCTCGTGGGAGTTCGCGGCCTCCTTCTGCGTGGGCCGCAGTCGCGGCTGCGAGGTGAGCATCCCCACGTCCGAGGAGACGCGCACCGTGAGCAAGCGCCACGTGGGCATCGTCCCTCTCACGCAGACGCTGCCGAGCAACCCCGCCCGCTCCGGAGCCGGCAAGCGCCGCTGGCTGCTCTACGACCTGGAGACCACGAACGGCACGGCGGTGAACGGCGTCGACGTCCCGCCGGGAGGCAACCGCGAGCTCCACCACGGCGACGAGGTGGTGCTGGCCTCGACCATGCGGCAGTGCGTGCGGCTGCTGGTGCAGTTCCCGGACGAAGCGCACTCCCGCATCGTGATCAAGGTGTTGGCGCGCTCAGCCACGGGCACGCCGTCGCCCGCGCCGCTGCACCGGCGGACGGCTGTGGTGCCGTCGCCTCGACGCTCGCCCCGACGAGTTGTGATGACGAACGCGTCGGTAGCTGCTGCAGGTTTCGGGAGGTCGGCGGTGACCATTGCTGGCAGTCCGGCGCTCACGAGGAATGGCTGCCGCTCGAGGACCGGAACGCCGAGCAGTGATGCGAACTTTATGACCCCGCCGTCGCACAGTCTTCCGCAGAAACGGAGTCGTAGCAGTCCGAGGAGAGGAGAAGTTGAGAACGAGAATGTGGAGAAGAACAAACAGCAGGACACGCCCAACAGTCAACAGAGGAAACGCTCACGTCGTGGAGGAATTTTTGAAGCTGAAGCTGCTGCCATGGATGGAGACAACGGTAATGCGGCTAAACGAGCTCAGAAGCAAGAGAAGGAGGAACGCGAGCGGCTAATGATGTGCCCCGTGTGTCTGGAGTATTTTCATGGTAGTGCGACGCTGCCGTGTTCGCACACGTTCTGCGGGTATTGCATCAGCAATTGGTTCCGTAATTCGCTGTCGTGTCCGGAGTGCCGCGATGTTGTGAAGACGGTGCCCGTGCGCAACCGCGCACTGGACGAACTGGTGGAACGCTTGGTAGGACAGACAGAAGCGTACAAGTCTCATGTGCGTCGTCGGGCACGGATGCAGAGGCTATCCATAGGACCACGGCGATATGAACGTGGAGGCAGCGACGGCGATGAAGATGCATCTGAAGGAGCTGCTCGTGGCGTGCGTCATTTACATCTTGGTAACAATGGTGTCCCAGAGCCCAGCATGCGCTGTAGCGTGTTCACCCGCTGGTCGGTGGAGGAGAAGCTTGCATTCTCGGCTTATATCAATACCCAATTCGGCGAGGCGCGTGTGGCAACCTGCAAGAGAGTAGGTCTGACAGAAACCGCGGTGGATAGGTCCAATATGACCGAGCTGCTCATCGCTGCCCAGAATCTCCTGTTGGTAGGTGACGAGTGCTGTCAACGGCTCAAGATTTTCCTGTTTTTTGGCTGATGGTGGAAGCTTCATTTCTCGCGCGATTCCGCTGGACTATGAGGTGGCGACTGTACCCAATCGATGCATTCTGGACGTTACCGGAGTATTGTTGCAAACTGCAGCAGAGTAGGCAGAGAATGACAAATGTCAACTAAATGGAAGTCTCGACAAATAGGCGAAAACATGTTATTTACCCGCTTCGATACGAATCCCCGTGGTGCAAAGTGACCTCACTAACTTAGGCAACGGCGACTACAGCGCGTATTTGTTCACCTCGCGCTGTTTTCTATGAGCTTCAGGTACTTCTGGTACTTGCGGTAGATGATGTAGTTTTCGTTTCTTAGAAGCCGTTTCCATTTGCCGCTCTTGTACGCCCTCCTCATCACCTCGGGGAGTTCCAGCGACCTGAAGACACTTTCAGGACTTTCCTTGAGTTTAGCCCAGTCCTTAAAGAGGTGAAGGTACTTGTTGATCATCGTCGAACGTTCTCTCTTCTTCATCGTCTTCGACAACTTTAACTCCTCGTAAAAATCTGTTCGAGGAATGAAGAGCATCGGCCGGCAGCTTGATTTGTGGGGAAGTTTCCCTTTCCTTCACGACCTTGCTCGTAACGGAGTCCGCAGTCGCCAAAAGAGCATTGCAACTTGAGAGAAGAGCAATCACGACACTCAGCAGAATGCAGTTCTGGTGCATGTTTGGGTCTTGGCACTTGAGGGCAAATTTCACAATGAAATCCAGAGACCAGTGGTTGGTGATCCTCTTTGCAGAAAAACTAGCCAAGCATGACAAATTTACCGTCAGTTGAAGGGCCCTCAATGTTGATCTCGAACGACATACGACGAAGCAGACTTTTTTTGGGGGGTTGAAGGGAATCTATTTAACCTTAGTTATTAGCTTGCTGGTAAAGACGGAGTCTTTTGACTACCTAGTTATTAATACCTAGGTAGTTCAAGCTCCGGCTTGCGTTGCCTCGACGAAGCAGACTTGGTACAGTAAGTACACACAGGCCCATTTTGAGAAGCTCCAATCTGCAATCTGCAAAATCGTTTGGCAGCACATCGTCGAACCCTATCTGCAATCCTAGAACACGTTATGTCAGAACCAGCACTAACTTGATTCTACTTGGGCTCTCACATGACATGTATTTGTGAAACTGACGCTTGTAATTGTAAGAAAAAAAAACTTCATCAAGCAAAACCTGAAGAAAGTCCTCTTTGAACGAGGGTGTGTCGACTGCCAGCACAACAATTGATCTTTGGAGGCCGCTTTCTACAATTTGTACGATCGTACCAGCCACCCATCGACACCGTGAACTTGCACAGTTCTTTCTTAAAAGGTTTTTATTCGTGTCAGATACTTCGAAGTAAGTTAGATAGACTATGCGATGACCAGCCATAACAAGTATTTCACTACATGTACTTGTTACGGTTGAGTTTTTAAGGGTTTCAGTCCACAACAGAGAAGATAAGTCTCCTCCGAAGGTCGTCAGTCCACAACGGAGAAGATAAGTTTCCTCCGAAGATTTCTCTCAGTCGTGATCGACGAACGCTACGCTAGCGTACCATAAAGCTGGTACAGGCACATTCACTTTCGATCCCAAGAAATAGCGATTTGAAGACCATGGCGACCGCCGGCCAACGCCGCGTATTCAAGCACGACGGTGCGACGTTGCCCTCACTGCAGACCCCCAATCCACTAGAACAACGACTCACGCTCTTGTCGGTGCAGGTCGCGTCATCTATGAGTGGGAGCAGTCAATGGAGGAGGTGAATGTCTTCATCAAACCTCCGCCAGGCGTCACTGCGCAACAAATCCAGTGCGACATCGCCGCCAACCACGTTACGCTGGGGCTGCGTGGCGTTACGGACAAGTTCCTCAATGTGCGGAGGCTGTGCTGCGTTATTACGAGTATTATATCATGAAAACTGACTTGAAATCCATTTTGGTGTTTCTCCAGCACGACCTCGCAAGCTCCGTGGTGGTCGCGGAAAGCTACTGGATGCTGGGTAAGTTGCAACTTTATTGTAAGAGGTGAAGAAGGGTTTGAGGCATTGATATTGTGTATTTATTGCCTGCAGACTCTGGAGAGCTGAATATTAACCTGCAGAAAATGAAGAAGGGGTTTATTTGGCCCAGTGTCTTCGTCGGTCATGGAGAGGTCTGTTGCGTGCATGTATGCATTAAATCACTGTTGGGATGGTGTAGATCTTCCATACTAATGTGGTGTGTCTTTCTGTAGTTGGACCCGATGCAACAAGAAGCTACGAAGCAGCAGATGATGTTGGAGCGGTTCCAGGAAGAGAACCCTGGGTTTGACTTCTCTAACGCCGAATTTAATGGCGCTGCACCCGACCCACGCACTTTCATGGGTGGCGTGAAGTACACGTAAGCTTCACTTTTGTGTCATCACAGGCAGCAAGACTTCAAAAAGCACAAAGGTATCGCAGTAAGGTTGGCAATTTCAAAATATATTATCTTTGCCAACAGTCGACTCTGAAAACCCGTCTTTGCGACGCTTCGACCTGAGGGCATTGAGATCACCTGGACAATTGCCTCTCGACAACAGTGCCAATGCCAGTGACAGACAAGAAGGCTGATGGAAACCCGTCCAGTGCTGGCGGCAGCGGTAGTGGCGCTCCGAGAGTGGCTCGGCAGACCCGTTGCGGCAGTGAGCCTAGCAGCTCTGGCCAATCTCGACAAAACTCAAGCTTGGCTTCAGGATCGAATGCTAGCGGAACGGCGACTTCTGGTATCGGAGCAAATGGAGCAAAGGGGAAAAGCAGCGCCTCCAACAGTACCGGTGGCTCAACGAGTAGCAGCAACAGTGTGATGCGCTTCAAGACTACGTTTCGCAATACGATCTACGACACACTGCTACGTCGGGGTTGGAAAGAGACAACTGAGAACGACTGGGACTTTTACTGGGCTGACCGCGAGTACATATATGACTTGCTTGATACCGTACACCTGGAAAACACGCAGCGAGTGAACCACTACCGCAATGGACGAGAGGTAACGCGCTTGAACCAAAGTTTATGTTCAAGTTTAACTTGTTGTACCTGAACTAACCTGTTTGGTCTACAGTTGTGTCGTAAAGATCTGCTCATCAAGAACCTCAAGCGTGCTAAAAGACAAATGGACAAGAAAGCAAGGTAATGCTGTATTTCATTTGAATTAACAAGTTTGGTATTGACAAACCTACTGTACGAATTGCCTTAGGTCGGAAGATGCCGTAATGAGTGAGCTGGACACAGTCCTGGGCTCCTACGATTTCTTTCCTGTCACGTATATTCTCCCCGGTGAGTATGCTATCTTTGTGGAGGAGTTCAAGCGCAACCAGGGCGTTTGGATCATGAAGCCCATTGGCAAGTAAGTGGTAGCACAAAAAATATAGCGGAGATAGGGTGTTCATAGCTGACGATTACCTACTTCGTGCTCAACCAGGGCGCAAGGCAAAGGTATCTTTCTTTTTACGAAGCTGAGCCAGATTAGCGACTGGCGAACAGACTTCCGCTGGCGACCTGAAAACCAACAGGTGGAGACCTACGTCGTACAACGCTACATATCCAACCCGTACCTGGTAGGCGGCAAGAAGTTCGACTTGCGTCTGTACGCGCTAGTGCCATCCTTCTTCCCGCTCGAGATTTACCTCTTCCGCGGTGGCTTCGCACGCTTCACCAATTCGCGATACTCGAACAACCACAGTGACATCGCCAACTCGTTCATCCACCTCACGAACGTTGCCGTCCAGAAAACATCGGAGAACTACAACAAGAAGGTAGAACGATTGTGTCTCAACCTCAAATTGTTTTCTCCTACTGGACGCTAATTGCTTCTGTATCTGACCGACAGCATGGCGGAAAATGGGATCTGCGAAACTTGAAGCTATACATGATGTCGAAGCACGGCCCTGGGCGTATTAACAAGCTTTTCTACGAAATTCAACTCGCGATCATCAAGTCGTTGCTGAGGTAAGCCACCCAACGCTGAGGTGACCGATGTAAACTTTTTCTGGTATCTAACGATTTACTGCGTGGGATTGCCACGTTGAAGCGTGGAAAAGATCATTATGAACGATAAGCACTGCTTCGAGCTGTACGGGTATGATGTCATGATCGACGAGAATCTCAAGCCGTGGCTACTGGAGGTGAACGCTTCGCCATCTGTAAGTGTCCATGATGTTGTTAAAATTCTCGACATGACTCTAAAGAACAAGTGGCTTCGACTTGGTATTCATGCAGCTTTCGGCCAACACGTCATCGGACTATCAACTCAAGTGTGGCATGCTGAACGATATGCTCGACATCATTGATCTCGAGAACAAGTACGTGCGAGTTCTAAGGATTTCTATCAAATGGAGGAATTGTTTTAACCACGGCACGATTTTGGTTTAGAAAACCTGAGGGTGTCGTCCGCGAGCATGTCGGGGGCTTTGATCTCGTGTATCGTGACGGAAATGTCGTCAAGAAGAGCGAGAGCTGCATGTACACGACTTTCCTGGGTGCGGACTGGCAGCGAACGCCAGCAACGCGGTCAGGCAGTGCAAGCAGCTCGCAGTCGTGACTTCCTGCAACGCGTGAATCATGCAGCATGATAAGGACAGCTATGCATGCGCCTAAGTGTTTGCGATGGCTGCAGTGGAGAGGGTTCTATCGGAGTTGCTACACAGAATGCAAGAGTACGCGGTCTTTTGGTCTTTTGCTTCCTCTCCCTTCGGAACAAAGCGGCATGTATTGGCATCGCCATTTGTCTGTACCTCGTGTGACTGGGTCAGTTAGAGGTTGTGTCGAATTCGTTTGGTCTGGTTGGCGCTGCACTCAGTAGAAGTTCAGCTGACTATCAGAGCAGCTCCATAGCTGCGTAAATGTGTGGTGGTGTCGGGAGACTTACTTGGGTGAAGATACTCACAATAACAAACTAAGGGGTGGGGGGGGAAGGACAGCCAGCGCACTCTCGCTCGCTCACTCCGTTGCTCGCCATCAAAAATGAACTCCACGGCCGTCGTCGGCAACGGGTGCTTGCTTGGATCGGCTGCTGCAGGCCTAGATGCCTGCGGAGTTGGGTTCCTCGTCGTGGTGCTGGTGCGCCACCACGATGCGTTCACCGAATCGCCGCTGTGCCATGGCTTTGAGCCTGTCTCGGACATTCGCAGCGGTGACAGCGATCCTCCGGCTCCGGTGCAGGTCCGACTCGTGGACAAATACAATGTCAGACTTGCCGGCGGGCTGCGGGTCGTGCAGACGCACCGTGTAGATGGCATCCGCCGGTCGCAGTCCGATAACTATACCTGAGCCAAACTTGGTCTGCACGTCGGTGCCCTCCAGCGCCTTGGGGTAGAAATCAATCATGTCAGCGTTAAGGAAAGCAATGGCGCCCCACACGAGCTGGACCTGCGCGGTGCAGCGCTGCGGGTCGACCGAGAGGATGTGCCCGGCGCCGAACTTGGTGATCACGGGCTGCCCCTGGTGGTATTTGCTCGCCACGAACGTGTACGAGGTGGCCGCGATGTTCTTGAGCAGCATCAAGCCCGCCGCGCCGGTCGTCGAGCTGAAGCTGGACCGTCGGGAGCGCGAGTGCCTTGACTCCCAGTCCGCGCTGCTGCCTTCCGACATGCCGCGCGGGCGACGCGGCTCGGACGCGCGCTCATTGTAGCTATTGTCTGCCTTACGGACATCTGAAGGTCGGAGCTGCAGCTCGTACTCACCAAGACCGCCACCTGCTCGAAGACGAAGCGTGTACAGCTGCTCGCGGACGTCGTACTTCAAGACACGTCCGGATCCCGACGGAGTGTGGACGCGCTCGCCGATGAGCGCGGGGAGCACCTGCACCTCCTCGAGCTCCTGCGCGTGGAGGAACAGCAGCCCGGACGCCTGCAGTTTGATCGCAGCGACGCCGTCCTCGTCTCTGATCGCGATGATCTTGCCGAGGCCGAAGCGCGTGGCCACGCGCGCGCCCGCGCACTTGTCGGCGTGCAGGTCTAGGTTGTCCGAGACAGCGTCCACGCTGCGCGAGTGCGGCTTCCGGGGCGTGGCGCCGGCCGAGGGCGTCTTGGGCCGCGGCTTGACGAGGAAGAGCTTGGAGGAGGACGTGAGCCCCGCGCGCGCGAACGAGTAGACGGCCTGTAGCGCCGGGCGGCCGTTCTCGGCGTCGCTCTCGCTCTCGGGCTGCGTGTCCAGGCGCGGCTTGCGCGGCACGGACGCGGGGCACGACTGCTCCCGGCGCAGGAAGGGCGCGCCGCACTGGCTGGACTCGGCGCTCTCGGTCTCGGACACGTCGTCGGCGCTCGAGTCGTCCATCTCGGAGGTGGCGGTTGGCGCGCGGCGCGGCTTGGGGCGCTTGGCCGCGGGCTTCCAGGCCAGCATGTCGGACAGGGACGCCAGCATGTTTGGATTGACGTATCTGCTAACTAGTCCGCTTGCTGCTGGACGCGTGCAATGCCGAAGTGCGCGCCGAGGGATGCAGCCGGAAGGTGGAGAATGGTCTTGGCCGTCGCGTCTGATGGGGAGACCCGTTTCTGCGGCAAGAAGGTGGGAACAAAAGGCAGAGAGAAGGAGCGATCACCGCTGCCCTGGAACCGAGACTCTGGTGCTGCGATGGGGAGTGGAGGCGCACCGAGCGTTACTGCCTCAAGGCGCGGGGAACACGGTGTTGGCCCCGCCACTGCAGTGCAGTGCAGGGGTGTACATGTAGATGACAAGGCTGCATGTAGGAGGGGGCACTCTAGCAGAGCAGCAAGTCGAGGCTTCGAGCGGAGGGTGCGACCAGCGAGCATTTTTCAAGAGGAAGGCCGTTACGGACGCTACGTTGGCCGTGCCCCTCGACATACAAAGAGCAAGTCAAACTCTGATCTGAACTGAACGAAAGATCCACTCAACTGCCCGTGAGCGTGTGCGATCCTTAATTGTTGTTGCAGTGCTGGCAACGGCTGCAGCTGGCCCGAGACAAAGGCTGTCGCCGTCATCGCCACCCTTTGAGCGGTGTTGGTGTCGATGTCAATGCTGCCAGCCAATTTACCGGTCGCAGATGCAGGTCGCTGCCACCGGCGGCTGCTTCTGGTTACACAACGTCTGGCCCGATGCCGCCCTGCGTATGCACGTCCGCTCCTGGTGCGCAAGCAGCGTTCAAGAACGACACCTCGTGTCGAGGCCCCCGGCCCGACCGCCGCGGTCACCGCGGTTCGACGGAGGCGTTTGGCGCCGCCACTCAATATAATGGCAGACGAGATGGCGCCGCGAATGGCGTGCGGCTGGCAGTGGCGACAGTCGCTGGCGAGCGGGTCCGCTAGCGGCTTCAAAGAACGCATTACAAATTGTAATGCTCGATTGTAATTTACAATCGAGCGCCGTTGCTGCTTCGACATCCAGCCGCGGCCGATGGTGCAGCCATGTTCGTCCACGCATGCTCCTGGCGTGCCTGCACGAAAGAGCAACGAGGTTCGCGCGTACCTACCATGGTCGCACTTTGTAGAATCGATCGGGTTCTGTTATAAATTTGACTAATCAGAGCGCGTTATTTCATGCACCTTCACTCACATATCGGAACGTAGGTTTTCCCTCCATACAAGATACGATTAGACCTTACAGAGAGGGGCAGGCCTGCATCTGCGCTGCAACGCACCCACACATCAACCACCAGGGCTCGAGCCGTCCGACCTGCATCGTTGAGGTCTTGCACAGAGTGAGCGAGGGCTGCTCTCCTCCTTTTCGTTTTAATTCCAATATTATTATTCTGATAACGCTCGCGACGATGAGCTCTGGAGGGCGCGCGTGGGGGTCTCCGGGCCAGGGCGGCGGCGGCGCTGGCGCCGTGACGGCCGCCGCGTCGCCCGTGGCCGTGAGGCTGCACGACGTGATGGACGAGGAGCTGGCGGCCAAGCTGCAGCGCGAGGAGCAGGAGCAGTGGGAGCGCGAGATGGAGGGCCGCTTCGGCGGCGAGGACCGCCAGACGGGCTGGTGCTTCGTGGAGGTGCCGAGCTCCAGCTCGGGCCACGGCGTCATGAGCGTCATCCAGCAGGAGGTGACGGTGGAGGACGCGCGGGAAGACAACGACGACCCGGACTACACCTTTGCGCTGGAGCTGCAGGCCCAGGAGGCGGAGGAGTACGACCGCATGCGGCGACAGGAGGCCTCCTCTATGGAGCGCATCCGCGTCATCCGGCAAGAGGACCCCAAGCGCGAGGAGGTCCGGCAGACGCTGCAGCGCTACTACGACAGAGAAGCGCATCGGGAGCTGGACCAGGACGACCCGGTCGAGGTGCATACGGTGCACCATCACGGTCCTGGCGTCCCAGCGACACACTTGGTTGGTGTAGCTACTGCTGCTGCTGCTGCTTCTGCTGCGAAACCGACCTTGTCGGTCGACCGTCCTCAACTCCGGGACACGGGTGTCTACCACGACGTCTACATGGACGGATCGGGCTGGCGAGTGCCGAAGAAGCAGTTCAACGCGCTGCACTCGGCCATGAAGCACTCGGACAGGAAGAGCCGCCACCGGGCCAAGAACGCGTCGTCGTCGAGTGGTGGCGCACCAAGCCACCGCATCTGAATGGTGGCGGCAAGGACGCCGCCGCCGCTGCAGCGCGTCTGTTGTCCAGAAGTATCAACGACCAGCTCCGTTCGAAGGAGCAGTCTTCGACGAGTGGCCCGGCCACCTCGTCCCCAGCACACAGGTAATATTAGTCTATTAAGTAACTCTCGCCCCGCGCGAGGAGAAGCTCCACGTCCTTCTCGAGCCGCCAGCCAGTCAGTGTCCGATAGTAACAAACGTGCCCTTCAAGTTGAACCGTGATGACAAGCATGGGCCTTCTGTCGACATCCTGTCCAAGCGCATACCCTAGGCTGTTCCATAGGGATGTGCCTAAAAGCCCACCAGCCAGGAGCTCATTTCCCCCTTGGGACCGACCAAGCCGAGCCAAGCCAAGTCCGAGCCTGCTTGACGCCACGTCCCTCCCTCCTCTCCCTCCGAGCTGAAGCTGAAGCTAAGCTTCTTGGCAATCGTGTCGAGCAGACGCTCATGATCCGCACGTCTGCGCCGCCGGCGACGTCGCCCGGAGGAGACGACCACGACGACTGGGAGAACGCGGCCGCTCGCAGCGTCAGCAACGCGGCGCCCGGCTCCATCGCCATTGCAGCTCGCCCGCAACCCGCCGGAGACGTGGACGGCGCCACGCGTGCCATGCAGGGCCTGCGCATCCTGCAGCCGCCGGCAGCGTCCGACGACGGTGGGAACTACCCGCAGCAGCAGCAGTTCAATGGCAGCGCCCCCGTTGGCACCGCAACCGCCAGCGCACATGGCCCACTGGACCCCGTGCTGGTTGCGGGGCTGGAGAACGCGCGCGAACGCATGACGCTGCTCAAGTTCGAGGACCAGATCGTGCGCTTCCTCAAGAACCCGCGAGAGCCGCACCTCAACTTCCCGCCCTTGTCCTCGTACCATCGGCTGATCGTGCATCGCTTGGCGCAGCGCTGCGGGCTGGAGCACCAGACGGCGGACTACAATCCGTACGAGAACAGCTCGGCGCGCGTCGTGACGCTATTCAAGACCCCGCAGTCGGCGGTGCCGCGCGTGCTGCTGATCGACTTGTCCGCGGACAGACAGACGCCCACGGTTACCCCTGCGTCTGCACCGAGGATTATGATGCGGAAGCGCAGCGCGCCACGACCCGGCGCCAATGGTGGACGCGGCAACGGCGCGGATAAGGCCACGCCTTCCTTGCAGGACCGGGAGCGGGCGTACGCTGAGGCACGAGCACGGATTTTTGGCGAAGACAATGATAACACTGCTACGGAATCAGGGTCCTCTATTTCTCCGGCGGGAAATGACGGGAACGGAAGCACGGGAATTAACAATGCTAGGCATGGAAGTCGGCAAGCCGCTGGACCCGATGGCAGCAGAGGCTTTGGCCGAGGCCGAGGCGCTGCTTCTTCCGGTGGAAACGGCAGCGGATCGCAATCTAGGGACTCGCACTCACCGAAGGACCGATCAGGCGAAGACGACGGTGCTAATACTAACGAGTACTCGCGATCGTCCCAACCGAGTGCCCCTAACGCAGCGAACTGGAAAGAAAGCAAAGTGTTGTGGCGCAACCGCGAGCAGGAGATGAACGACCCAGACTTCACGCGCAACCACGACGCCTTCCGCCCTCGGTCCAGTGGCGGCGCATCCAGTGGCAGCGGAAGCGGAGGCGAGTCGCCGTACCATGGCAACCGCTATGGTGGCGGGCGCTTTGGACAAAATGACTACCAGTACGATCGATCCTACGACCGGTCCTACGGCTTCCAGCAGCCTGGTGGCGCGCCGCCTCCACCACCACCGCCAGTGCCCATGGCTGGGCGCGCCCGCTATCACGTTGGCGGACCCGATTACAACAATAGAGTAGACACCAACACGTACCAGAGGTCCCCACACCAGCAGTACCAGCCGCAGCAACAATTCCAGCAACACCAGCTGAACTCGCCGCCGTCCATGATCATGGGGCGTGGTGGGTACGGGTACCCTTCACCCCAAGGCCGTCCGTCGGCGCGGCAGGGGAACTGGGTGCCGCCGCGCGCCAACACTCGCGCAGTCGGCAGCGGCAGCGGTGGGTTCGTTGAGGACGACTTCCCACCGCTCGGCAAGTAACATGTCTAGCAACCATCAATACACACAAATTACATCCATCATGCAGCCAACTTGTCTTCCTTCCAATGCTTTCCATGTATCAGCGTTATTAAGTCACCGCACACGAAATCATGAACGCCAAGCTATCAAGGTGGAAACCAGCAGTGCACTCTCATTATCATCGACTGAGTTCAACCTGATCTTGCATGCCAATAAATAGCGGGCGTGGGCTCCACTTCGCGTAATGTCCGGTTGACAGGGAATAAGTAGGATACCCGTTAACAAGGATCTGGGCTAGTTACGCGAGTGAACCACGACTCCGTGGTCTATCGTCGCTTGCCGTCGATGTCGTCGGCAAGAGGCTTGCCGCTACCGCCACCGCCACCGAGGTGTAAAGCTGCATATTATTGTACACACCACTGAAATTAGTTCTCACATCTACAAAACCTCTCGAAGCCGTATCTAACGTACCTTGTCGTCGTTGAAGCTTTTTGTCTCGAAGTTTCTTTTTCCTCGCAAGCTCCTATCAACAGACACGACCGTAATGTGTTAGGGATTTAACTGACACTACTCAACAGGAATATATCGCACCTTCTTCGTTTGCCACATCGTAAAGTACTTCTTAATGGTGGCATCGTCATTCTCATTCTTCTGAGAGAGCCATGGTTTCGTTCTGTAGATAGCATACCACAGCAATAATCATTAGTAGAGCAGCCTTCCTTATGCTCGGGCGCCTCCACAATCCGTACTCGTCCATAATCTTGCGCAGTTTCCTCTTGGCCTCATTTGTATCCTCCACGCAAGTGCGGAGTTGAAGCTGCAGCGTACGGATCTCCTGCGAAACTTCATCGTCCCTGGGACTGGCCACGCCGAGCTGAGCGATCTCCCCCTCGCTGCCTTCTAACAACCCGATATCACGCAGGACGCGCGTGAGGCCTTTAGACTTCCACGATGCCAGGTTGACAGAGGCCAGTGAAGCGCTCGACAGTGTAGCGTCATGTGATTCTGTCGAGTCTCTGGGATGTTTGTCCTCATCGTCCGGCTGTGCCGAATCTATCAACGCATTTGCTGCGTCGCCCTCTTTCGATGAGGAAGAAGTTTCCACTGGGCACAGCGACGCTACCAGTCTCTGTATCAAAGCACCAACGATAGCAGGACGCCACGACATCAGTAGGGGAGTAAAAAAGCAAAACGTAGCGAGCATTGCTTACCTCCTTGAAAAAGTCGTCCAGATCCTGTGGGCTAGACTTGCTCAAACTGAAATTATCCTGAAGTCGCTTGAAGTCGAGGCCAGATATTACCTTGTCTTGACCTTCTTCGCTTGAATCTATTTCTTCCGAGTATGCATTAGGATCTACAAAGCAAAATGCATCCGTCAACAACTACGTTCAAAACAACGGCCGATAAAACGCTTGTATCGAATGATATCGATACCAAACTTACCTTCTAGCAGCAATGCCTGCTCCATATCTTCCGGTGTAATCGTCTTGAAGAACGAGTACGCATACAAATACTTCCACAGCCCAATCGACGTGCACGGTGCATCTGCATTCACCACAACGCCACCAATCAGCCTCACCACCACCATACAACCCCACCACTTCAAACCACGCACCCGAATTAAGGTCGTCCTCCACCATCGCCGGCGTCGGTGGTGTCGACTCGTTCTTCACAATGCCATTAAACTTGCCCGCCACTGCAGCACCATGTCTCCGTCCATCGACCCCAGCAGTAGACTGCCCAGGGACCCCACCTTGCGTATCCTCCACGTACGTGATCAAGTGGGGCGGGAACATGTTGGCACTCTTACCGTCCAAATAGTCCGTGATGGCCAGCAGCTGACTGTCCAGCTGACCCAACTGCTTGTCCACATTGGCGCGACCTCGCTGCGTCCATCACGACATGACACACGTCACAACTTTGTCGGTTAAAACGCCGCCCAACTCAATGCAACTGCGCAACGACTTAGCGCTGCAATGCACTGAATCAACAGTGGTTGCCACGCACCTTGAGCTCCTGGACGACCTTGATGAGCGAGTGCTTGCCGCTCGTAACGAGTCCGTCGTCCGAGCTGCAGGCCTGCTTCGTGGCTGGGAACTGCTCGTGCTGCAGCCACGGCACGTGCAGCGGCGCGATTTCCCGCCGCGTGGCGGCCGGTCGGTTCATCCGTGGAGGCGCACGCGCAGCAGGCGTGGCGTGTCGGCGCTGTGGAGCAGTGCCGAAAGGAGGTGTGTCGCCTTGTGCGCATACAGGCGATAGTGTAACAGGACGACGGGCATGTTGTGGCGTACCGTACTTCATTCGTATAAGTGCGACTATAGTCTTGTGAATTGTACACATAAATGCGTTGTGATTGGTTATAATTAAGTTTGAAAGCTCACTGATTAGAGGAAAGTGGGTTTTGGCGCGAATCCATCACGTGGACGGCAGCAGTACCGTGGGGAGGCCAGTAAAGAGCAATTCACTCTCCTCGCTTTTGATCAGCAAGAGGCGCAACTTCGACCAAGCTCGGTACTGTCAATCATGGCGCGCGGCAAGGCGGACCGGGCGCTGACCGTGGGCAAGAAGCTGGAGATCATCGAGGAGGCGGACCGCACGGGGCTCATCGCCGCCACGGCGCAGAAGTACGGCGTCAAGACGGGCCAGATCCGCGACTGGAAGAAGAACATCGACCGCCTGCGTGCCACGGACCCGTCGCGCCTCGTGTGCGCCAGCACCATCCAGCGCGGCCACCTGGTCTTCAACGAGACGTACGCGCAGTACTGGGTGGGCTACAACAAGTTCTGCAGCAACAACACCAACTACAACGACCTCAAGGACGCGCTGCGCGTCACGCACAAGGACGTGCTGCGCGAGGGGATCAGTACGTTTGAGGATGAATTGACTCCGTCCTGTTTCATGAGACTTTCGGTGCTTACTCTTATTTAATTCTTATGGTTAATGTGAGTAGGTGGGTTCAGCTTCCCGGCGATGGTGGACCCGGGCGCCACGCACGCATTGGAGTTTCCCGAGAACAGTACGTTCAATATTGGGAGGAAGAGGTGCTGGTTATGGTATTGACCTTGCATGCGGTGGTGTGGCAGGCGGCTTCTACTCGACGGAAGAGGTCAAGATGTTGTACCAGAAGGACATGTCGACGCTGCGGGACCAGCTGTGCGAGTTTTTCGGCCAGAAGCCCATCCCCACCAAGTACCTGTACTTCGTCACTAGGTTAGATTTCGTCAAGCCCGACCCGAACGAGCAGGACGAGGAGGAGAACGCGGCGAGGAACGCGGACAAGCAGGCGGACAAGGCCGTCGGGGTGGAGGACTTCATCTCGTTCTACGTGGCCATCTGCGGCAACGGGTCCGTCATGGTGCCCATGTCGGTCTTCCCGCCGGTGGAGGAGTGGCACTGGGAACGCAAGAAACCGATCAAGCTGCGCCACGCTCACAGCATGCACCGCACCAAGATGCACGACCCGAACGAGGCGCTGCAGTTCTTCTCAGTGGTTAGTAGAGCTTTGTCAAGGTTGGAGATTGAATTGAAGGCGGTGTCTTACGTTTGTGAAACTGTTTGTTTGTGTAGACGTGGAAGAAGTTTTACGAGGAGGAAGCCAAGTACAGCGACAAGTTTGCGTTTATGCTGGACTACACGATCGAGGAGTTCCGGGCTCCCGAGTTCATGGACGGCCTGAAGCAGCTGGAGGGCTACAACAAGTACTGGACGACCTTGTACACGGTGCGCAACCCTCTGCGGCTGTCACACTTCGAGGAAACGCTGTCGACGTTCGTGATCGAGGAGTGGCGCACTATCCTTCAGATGAAGAAGTCGAGCCAGCCCAACGATTACCGGAAATGCGTCGCCTTCTGGTTCTACTCTGCCTGGGAGTTCTTCGCGGGCGACAACGCGCGTGCTGCGTTCCGGAGCTGCAACATGTACCTCGAGGACAAGGCTGCGTGGGGTGCAAACGCTAACGAAAACTCGGTCTGAGAGGGTCGCCACGACCTGCATCATTCTTCTGTTGTATCCATTACGCGAGCCCTGCATTTTGAGCACTATACTGCGTTCGTAAAAGACAATGTACGTGGTTTCTCCAGTTGTTGCAGTTGATCACCCTTCCTATTCCCCATCTTCTTCGTCAGCCTCATCATCACCGTCGCCTTCTTCGGCAATGGAATCCATGGCCATCTCGGCGTCAGAATCCCCTTCGTCTTCCTCCTCAGGAGCAGCTCCACCTGCCTTCGCTTTAGCAGCGTTGTCTTCTTCGTCCTCCAAGGCAGGGAAGTACTCCTTTGCGAGCATTGCGAGGCGTTGGGCGGCCCATTGCGACTCGACATCTTTGCTTTTGTTTTTATTCGTGGCAACGAAGTCAAGATTCTCATACGATAGCTTGCCGAACTGAACCGAGCTCGCGAGGTCGAGTGTCTTCAGTTCATCCGACGCGGTGGCATTGGCATCGACTTCCACTATGAGCTTCTGACCGAGATAGGTCTTTGTGGAGTCTGGAATCGAGTTCCATTGGAGAAGCTTTTGAATGCTCGTGCGGTACATCAGAGACAGCGAGCGCAAAGTCTCGCCGGCACCCAGGATATGGTACTTCTTTCGGTCTGCTCCAATGCCATCACGAGTTTGCCAGAACCACAGGAACAACTTGCTATCGGCTGACATGCTCATCAACCGCGTGCGGTCGAACTGAAGATCCAGCACGCTGTCTTGATGTCCGTGCAGGGTCTGGATGAGGTTCCCAGTGGCAAAATCGACCACGCAGATCTGCCCACTGCTTGACCCGCTAACAATTCGAGTGGCATCAAACTGAAGGCAAGTCACGGCAACATCTCGATACACATCGCAGATTCGGAGTAGTTTGTTGTCTGCGTCCAGGTTCCAAATCACGATCCGGCCTGCGCTATCCCCACTTACGATCTCGTTTGCCACACGCCTGACACACGTGACGGGAACAAGGTGGCCATTGAAATATTCGTGCCCCCGGCGTTCAGCTTCGAGACACCATACTAACGTCACGTTCCTCCGTGTTGTGAACTTTGAAGGCTCACCGAGCTCCCACACTTTAATCTTGTTATCAGCAGCACCTGTTGTGAGCGCGGAATTGGCACTTTGGATGGACAGAGTCGTCACAGTGCGATCATGTGCTGAGATAATGTGAGCGATCGTTGCCAATGTTTCGACGTCGAACACAAATACGTCGCAGTCCGAGCATCCGCAAGCAAACCATTGGGTATCGGCTACCACGCTGACGACAGCAGCATCAAAATCCGTAAGAATACGCACTAGTGAACACGAAAACCCGCCGATAGTCTCGTTCTTCACATCCCAGACACCTAGTGAAGCATCCACAGATCCAGTGTAAATGCGGGCGCCAATATAGTACACGCACAGTATCTGAGCTTGATGGCCGGTTGGGTCGCCGAGATGATTTTTGTGCGGATCGCCTACCGCCTGTGCCAAGCAGGCACCGGACAGGAAATCAAACAGAAATCCATTCACTCCAGTGGATGCAAAGCAAGTGGTGATTCCGTGACTTGCAGTTCCTACCACATTCTTCAAAGCTTCGTTTGTTGTGTTGAATCTGAAGCAGCGCATTCTCTCCTTGGATAAAACTTTGCGCATGAGAGCACCCGTCTCCACGCCCAATTCCTCCTCAAGACCCTTGATTTCATCCTCGGCGTTGCTGATGCGGATTTTGGCGTTGGCAATCTCCTTACCGATCTGCTCCTCACCCACCTTAACGCTACCCATCAGCTTGGCGAGCTTCTTCTTGAAATCTTCGAGGTCGTAGCGAGCATCGGAACCGTTGATGATAGTTGAATCAACTTGTGATGAGTCACTGGCAAGGGCTCGCTTCAGATCATCTTCTCCCTTTGCCAACAACGCTTTCTTCTCAGCCAGTAGCTTTTCTAAGCTGGCCACAAGTTTGATTTCCTCTTGAATGTCAAACTTGCGTTGAATACGTTCTCTTCGCAGTCGAGGAACAATAGGGCCTACTCGCTCGAGAGTAATCTGACAAGAAGATTCAGCCCCTGCTCCTACCAATCGCTGCTGAAGCTTGTTTATCTTCTGTGATGCGGATGAGAGCTTGTTTGTTAGAGCGAACTCGATCTCGTCTGCGTGATGCTTGTTAATTTCGATCATCTCTCTGTCCTCGAGATTCTCGTACACACGCTGCAGTCCACGATAGCAAGATAGTTCTCCTTGCACATCACGGGTAGCTTCAAACAGTAGCAGCGCTCGCTCATAACTCTCAATGCTCATACGAAGCGATCGAAGCACGTGCTGTGTATCTGCGATGCGAAGGACCGCAGACCCTTCTTCGTAGCGTAGTCCTGCTCGGTTGGCAAAGATTGAAGCTCGGTTAAATATCGTCAGTGCCTGCTCGTAATTCTCGAGACGGAACGTTGCTTCGCCAATTTTCAGCTGCAACTTCACCTTTTGCACGTCATCCATCTGCTGCATCCACTGCTCGTTGTGATAAACAATATTGTAGAGACGAAGACCTCCGTCGTAGTCTTGCAGATCCATCTTTGCGTCACCTTCCAGCAGATACGGGAAATACTTCTTGCCTCGTTCTCGGGCCTTTTCAAGGTCAAGCTCGTCTTTTGAAGCTGGCTTTTCGACTTTCGCCGCCTCTTGTTGCTCTGTAGTCCACCGAATGTGCTGCAATGAACTATCTGTAGTTCGAAGCTGTTGTAGCAGTTTCTGAGCCTCTAGCATAAGATCATCACGACCGAGCGCAGCGTTTAGCAGTCCAATACTGCCGACTCCATAAATCTCATCGACGCCGGCGATCGTACGCGTCAGGAATTTAGCAACCTCTCTCCACCGCTGGATTGCGCTCTTCAGTCGATGGTTTACAAGCCGGTCAATTGCAGTACGCATTTTGCTGCGGGTTTCTAGCGCGTCCTGCCGGTTCGCGACCAAAGCAGCAAAAGCACGATAGAGCAGACCGCCGCGGAGCTTGGCCAATGTGGCTGCGGTGGCTGAGGATTTAACGGCATTATCTGGGTTGCTTTCAAATACCTCAAGCGCGTCTTGTCTGTCTTTTAACCTCTTCAGCAAGGTGTCTCGCCGTTTGCAATCAGCGCGTAGATAGTTTTCAACCTTCACGATTTGAGCCTTCGTATCAAGAATATAGAGCTGATCGATTTCGATCTCATCCTCCAAAGCTACCACAAGCTCTTTCGTGAAGAAACGCTGCAGTCCATTCTCAAAGACATCCGAGTCCATGTGCGGCCCTCTGAACATTCTCGCACGCTCAAGCTCAGCTTGTTTATCGAGAATACGAGTCTCTGCTGCCCGAATCAGCGCCACCAAATCAATTTGACGGTCTTTGCACCACTGCACGTTGTACTCAGCCTTCTTGAGATCGTTCCGAATCTCAGCAATACGAAAATGAAATTGACGCCGACGCTCTGCCACTTTCTCTTCGTCCGTGAGATCGTCATATTTCTTCCGGCCACTGGCTTGCTGGATGGATTGAGGTTGATCTTCTTCATTATCGCTCCCTTCGTCTTCATTCATACCCGAACCTCGGCTTACGATGGCATCTACCTTTGCTTGTAGCTCTGGGTGCATCGAAAGAATGAAGCGCGATACTTGCTCGATGTAGTGATGCCTCTCATATCGTTGCATGAAACCACTTAAAAACTGGGAGTCCACCGTACGCGAGCGCGAGTTCACAGCAGCCTGCAACTCGTCAAGAAGCTTATGCTCATTTCCCGGTGCTGTGCAATCAATCCAAGACAACAGTTTAGAACGTGATCGTATCAACACAAACACAGATTTACCTACCTATGGTGAAAATTGACTTGATTACGTCGCAGTATTCGCTAGGAATTCCATCACCATTCACAGCACGAAGTTGAAAGTTCAGATGCTCGACACCACTCAATAAATTGGTAATTGTTAGTGAAGTCCCAGTAGAATTTGTCCTTATTCGACGAGGCTTGTACTCGATCTCCGAGACGTCAAGCCATGCTTTACCCCGATCATCAGCATTATCTAACTTAATCACAGCCTCCGAAAAATTCAACTCATAGTCTTGAATCGGCTTTCCACCGTCGTCCAGTGGCTCCATCCACGTAAGTGTGATGCTCGTCGCTGTAACCACTCCAACGCACAGGAACAACGGGATAGTTGGAGGCGCAGCGGGCCCTGTCCGGACGATATCCACTTTGTTACTTGGTTCACTTTTTCCTGCAACGGTAATCGCACGGATGGAAAAATCGCCGTATTCCTGGTCTGCGCACAGGTTAGTCAGGCAAAACTTATTACCAGGGACAGGTTTCTGTACACACCAGCGCGATAACAACAGCGTTGGCCGAGGTTCAAACTGCCGCTGTACCTCATCATATTTTATCTTCGTGTGACAGATTGAGTACGTCAACTCGTAGTCAAAAATGGCGTTCGACCCGGTAAAAATCGGCGGGTCCCACGCAATCGTCACCGCATTGTGCGAAATATCTTTCGTTTCCACCCGAAGATTCCGAGGTGGCTGGGATACAAACTTCGTAGCTACCCGCGTACCAAGTGATTCCTCAATCGCCGGGAGGGAACTCGAATTTCCTCTCGGAACTTCCAAACTATCTGCAACTTGGTTTGTTCCTACAATTGGTTGTAACGTCGGAAGCGAAGAACCCATGCAGTTATCCTGGTGGATCCGTAACATTCGAGGGAGGTATTGGCGTCCGCAACGTTCACAGGATGTAGCATGTAGTTGCTGCTGTCTGATCTCTTCTCGGTTCACCAATTTTGTCTTGGCAAAAGTTTTTTCGTCTGATGAATCGTGCAGCGTCTTGGTCATTCGTAGTACTCGTCGCTGAAGTTCATCCAGTTCCTCCGTCTTCTCCCTGAGCTGCGATTGAGTCACTCCGATTCCTTTACGTAATTTTCTGTCATCAAATAAAAAACAAATTGTAAGAAAAAATATGACTGTCAAAAAATATTTTTTCCTTACCGGACATTTTTCTCCACGACGAACTGCTGGTCGCAGTAGGTGAGAGCTGCGTTATGCTGCGACTGCATGTCGATCAGCTGCATTCGGATCTCGTGCGCCTCTTGCTTCGCGTAGAAGAGTTGCGGGAGACTGAGCGATTGCACGGGAGGCAGTGAGCCCAAGATGGCGGCGCCAGTGTGGCGGCGGTTGGCCACACGGCGCCGCAGCTCCCTCGCGCGGCTATCAGCATCGCCTTCAGCCACGGATGAGCCGTCTTTCTTCATTGAGGGAAGGTCGCCGACTGCAACTGCTGCGACCTTCGTGCAACACAACTTCAACTTCCCAACCATCACTCTCACCAAGTTGAAGTTGCAGGTGCTCAGGCTTAGGACAAGCGTCAAGGTGAGTCGTGTGTGACTAAAAAGGCTTAAGACGACCGAGCCAACGTTAGGGACATTTTGATAGCAAGCTGCTGCATGTGGTATGCGGTGTCTTCAGCGTAAGATATCTCTTGGCAGGATATCCCGACGCCACTGTGACGAAGGCCACACATCTCAAGGACCATGGGCTATACGTTCGAGTAAGCTAGGAAAGCTGCCAACCCTGAGTACGTGTGCAGTTTTCATAGTTCCTGAGGTGTGTGAAACGGAACGTGATGGCGCCACGAGACGGTGGCGAGCACCGGTATATATAGCGGTTGGGGGCAGCTGTGGGGGTTGGTTGCCTGAGTTTTGAGCGACGTCGAAGGCGACGAAGGCGCAGAGAGACAGAATGGCGGACGTGTTGAGCGGCAGCCAGCCACCGGGGTTGGACTTGGAGATGGACGTGGCTACTGACGCCTTCGGGTCTCCAGACGTCAGGGCGCTAGCTGCCCACGAAGCTCCCGTGCCGGCTATAATCCCGCCGGCGGAAATGCTGCACGAGGCGGCACTTCGAAGCGGGATCAACACCATTCTGGACGAGACTGCGGGCGATGAGGACGAGCTCGTGTGCATTCGAGAGATCTGCCAGGAAACGCTGGCAAGAATGGACCGCGTGACTGCTGAAAAGAGCCTCGCACACCGACAGGAATGCAACTCCGCACTAGCAGAAGCTGTTGAAGCCGGGGAAGACGCTATGAACGGCGGCGCTATTGTGGCCTTTTCTCCTCCAAAGAGCCCCCAAGACCGCCTCCTGGCGCTCGTGCCAAATGCGATGGAGAAGGGTAAATCCAAGTTGAGTCGACGGCCGAGCCCTAGCAACGACAGGTGAGAACTTAGGAACGTTGACTACGCGAACACAGTGCTAACCAATGCATTTGTTTCTTAGCTTTCCTGCGGCTGAGATGCCTCGGTGGAAGATCATCGATGGAAACGAAGATCCTATCACGGATCTCACCGTGATATTCAGGGGAGACTCGGTCCCAGACGGGTTTACCAAGGTAGGTTATCGGTGTATTCAATCATCCATCTATTGATTGCATTTCACTCTAAACCTTTTTTTTCAGTTGGAGCGATCGCAAAGTGGGCAGCGAGCGGATCTAAACAAAGGAGGCAGGGGGACCTTCGTGTATCTGTGCCATTGCAAAGACCAATCTTCTGGAAAGGCTCCGATTAGCGAGATAATCGCCATTTTCCCTGAGAGAGGAGAGTTCGTTCCGAGCGACTACGAGGTTGTCCGGAGGCGTGGCGTTCCAGCAAACATTAACACGGTAACTCACTGTTGCAGACGCTATCAGCATTTAAAGCTAACTAGTGTGACTTCGGCAGGGGACACAAGGCGAAAAAATCTTCCTTTGTTTCAAGCGCTCCGCGACGTCAGCGATCGTTGACTTGGTTGTCCTATTCCCGAGAAAGAATGAGAGTCTTCCATACGGGTAAAGTGGCTTCTCGATTACATTTCCCCTCTCTCTAAGTCTGACATTGCTACGTACGCTCAGTTACATGAAGGTGGATAAATCCCCTCTTGGTCACGTCGCTGATCTCAATTCGACTTCCGGCGGCACCGAAGTCTCCCTTGGCTACAAGAAGAAGGTAGTTTGATGGAGATACATCAAGTTCAAATATGCAGTGAGTCTTACTTTCTTCTTCCTGATGAGCAGGTGGCTTGCTTAAGTGACCTGCACAAGCTGTGGCTGTTTGCCTCAGTCACACCGACTCAGGTGCTTGAGCGTGGGAAGCAACGGAATGCTCGCTCTCCACCTCCAACGACGCCGGGTAAACTCAAGCAGCTGCGATCTGCTTTTTCCTTGAAAGCTACAGAAGTGCGAGAGCAAGAGCTTCTTGCTCCAAGCTCCCCGCCGTCAAGTGCATCGACCGATCCACCGTTGCCAAGAGGTAAACGTATTTTACTATGATCGCTTGTAGTTCTCTTTTATCTAACCCTCTGCGGTTCGTGTTGTGTGTAGCTCAACTCATTGGCTGGAAAGAGACGATGGAATACTACATGTACCCGCTACTGCTGGCGTGCTACACTCGTCAAGGCAAGACTGCAGAGGCAGCTGTAGTGGGGCTATCTCACTGTCTTGATGAAGGTGTATTCGACAGTCATGGCTCAGAGCTATGCCGTCTGGAGGTGGTTATCGACGCAGTCACATCCTTATGCCAGCAAGGAATCAAGGCTCGCTTTGAGCCCGCACTTCAATTCTTCCAAAAGGTGCTTGATACCGATGGGGGCAACAATGCAATGCTTATCAACTCACCTCGGTCTATTTTGCTTTGCATTATTATCAAGGTCATTCGGAAGTGTACGAAAGGGTTCGAGCCTCCTGTACTTCATGCAATCCTGAAGGCTCTCACATTTATTGGAGACTTCGATAGCTCCCTCGCCAAGTCGTTTGAGGACGAACTGGTGTCAAAGATTATGTGCGCTTACGAAGCCACGCTGATCAGCACTAAGCCCGTCGTCGAGGAAACTGCTGATGCCAAAACGGAGCAACCATCAGACGCTCTCACTCGAGAGTTAGTTGTGGATCTCATTGATGACATTAGCACTGGCGCCGAAATTGCCACCATCACTGACAATATGCTGGGTATATTCAAGGTAAGTTTATGCAGAGAAAAATGGCGTCTGGAAGAAGGCTTGACAGCTTATGTTGCTTATACGCGTGCGATGCAGAGTCACTTATCGATTCAGTCTCCAAAGTTTTGTCTCGATATTTCTGACGCGATGAACAACTATGCCAGCTCTATGGTGCGTCAAGTTTGTTCCATACTACCCTCTTTCTTGCAATAACCTAATGCATTCTGCTCCTACCAGGCTGAGAAAAATGCTCTGCAGTTGGTCGTGACGTTCAGTAAGGCTAGCAACCGCAAGTTCGTTGGGCTTGGCGAGACAGCTACTGAAAGCGACCAGTGCTCAAGTGTGAGTTCTCTTCGCGCTCTAAACCAGACGCTCCTGGCAGCAGGCACAAGAGCTCGAGAACAACGCGTATTCGGACAGGTAGTTCGGAGATTTGTGCTGTCGACGCTCAACGCCACAGTACTAACGTGGCTGCCGGACGTGTTTCGAGCGCATTTGACTTTGGTCACGACGCTATGGAACCACTATCGACGATATCTCAAACTGGAGCTGGCACTGATGTTCGACCAAATACTTCTCCGCATTCTGAAAACCTCAGCACCTTGCGCGAAGAATCACCAAATGGAAATCATGCACGAAATGACCATGTGGCTGCAGCTCCCGCACAACGTTGTGGAGATTTTCCTCAACTTCGATCTGGATCGGATACAGCAGTGGAAAATATTTGAGCACTTGTGCTCGACCTTAGGCTCAATTGGTGAGGGCCAAGGGAATCACATTGGAAACGCTGACGACGGGGATGACTCGGCCCTAGAGCTGCAAAATCAGGCAATCAGCACGATTCTCGCTATGGCGCGCAGTATTATGGACGCAAGTGGCCACGCCCACCTCATCAGTCGAGACCAGCGTACGCGTATGCTTTCGATGGATAATGGTGGCTGGGAACAGGACGAGTCGGCAGAAGAAGCTTCGCCTATGAAGGACACACCTGCTTCGGCGACAAACGGGGACGTCGGTACTGATCAAGCGAGCCAACCTAGCTCTCCTACTGAGGCCAAGGCTCACCCCGGGTTGAAGCGCCAAAGTAGTCGTAAGTACGGCGGTAACATCTCGATTCGGATGCGAAATGAGCTCCAGAAACACAACCAGCAACTGCTGAAGCGCGCAATGGAAATTGCGGCGTCTAAAAGCCTGAAGAAGGCGTTGGAGTACCTAGTCGCAATGAACTTCATCAAGGACTCGCCGCGAAGCATAACGTCGTTCCTGCGGATATACCACGACTTCTTCGACGAGACTGAGATCGGAGATTACTTGGGCGAAGGCGACGAAGACGTTAAAGTGCAGATTCGGCTGACGTATGTTCGGGCGATATCGTTCAAGGGAATGACACTTGTGGAGTCTCTGCGGCACTTCCTGACTAACGGAGGCTTTCGTCTGCCAGGCGAAGCTCAAAAGATCGAGCGGATGGTGGAGGCTTTCGCGCAGTGCTACTGGGACGACTCCCCCGCAGCTTTCTCTTCTGCTGACACGGCCATGATCATTGCGTATTCCATCATCATGCTGAACACGGATCTGCACAATCCACAGGTCAAGAAGAACAAAATGTCAAAGGAGCAATTTGTCAAGAATAACAGGGGTATCGACAACGGCAAGGACCTACCGAAGAGGTTTCTTGAGGAGATATACGATGACATCGCGCACAACCCGATGCAAATCAAGGGCAGTCGAATTGTTCCAAAGGCCTCGCGCGAAGCTAGCGTCACAGCCGCTGATCTCGAAAATGAAAAGTTCCGACTCGGTATCGCGAAGGCTGTGGCTCAGTCGGAGGAGCTGATGAAAGACCTCTCTCACGCGTACAACACCTTTCAGTTCGTTGGAGTCGACGCGCCGATCAGCCCCGACCTAATTAAACTTCTGTTCGAGCGCGTATGGTTCTCGTTGCTCACTCTCTCGACATCCATCCTGTGCGACAGTCAGTCAGATCTGTCCACGAGAATGCAGTGCCTCGACCTCTTGCGGTACTGCATCTCCACGTGCTTGTTCTTGAGCATGCCGGTGGAGCGTCAGGCTTTTTGTGGTTTACTTCGGAAGCTGCAGGACTCGCTGGACGGAAGACACCAAGAAGAAGGGGACGAACCAGGGAAGGAAGACCCAGTTGACAACAGCCAGACCATCCCGGACGACAAGAAGTACGAATGGGCTCGAACCATCGAAGAAGCTGCGGCGAGTGACGATCCGTGGAAGGCCATGGGAGATATCCACCTGCTCGTGAACGCCATGAAGGAGACGATTCAAGTCCGTCAGAAGTCGGAGAAGCTCGACTCGGTCATCCAGCGCATCTACCGAGCCCACTTCTATCTCAAGAACTCGACGACTTTCATCCACGAGGGCGACCTGACCAAGAAGTGTCGGTCACGTAACCAGCTTTACCGCTTCTTCCTGTTCAACGATCAGCTGCTGTACGCTGACAAGAACATGAGTGGGCGCTGGAGTCCGCACAACTCGCTGCGTCTCAAGCTGACGCGCATCTCCAACATCCCTGACGGAGTTATGTCGAAGCATGCTTTCCAGATCCAGAACCCGGTCAAGTCGTTCGTGGTGTTCGCGGACAGCGCGAGCTCCAAGGCCGAGTGGATGCGACTCATTGACGACGCCATTGCAGAGGCGTCCAAGAAGATCAATCGCACAGCGCGCCGCATCTCGACCCAAGGTTTGGGCGACGCTCGACCGTCCTCGCTCGTATCCGCTGCGTCGACAGCTTCGTCCGCGATGAAAGTGTTCATGCGCTTCGGCTCGCCTATGACGTCGCCGACAACGGAACGGGACAGCAGTCTTGACAGCGAAGGTGAATCTCCAGTGAAACCTATCGAGGCAGCAAGTCCGCAACCCGCAGCAACTGAAAGTGAGCTGAAGAATGGAGGTGAATCCAGCGCAACCCAGTCCAAGTTCGAAGTCAACTCGAATGAAGAACGACAGGGTAATTCCGGGGCCGTCGAGGTTGAGAACAACAGCAATGCCGCTGAAGTCGACACTGCTGCGGTGTGAAGTGCTAACTAAGCATGCCAGGTAGGTAGGGGGTAACTACAGTAGATAGAGCAACCACAAGAAGTAACATCAATCACGAGATATTTGAAATTAATCTCTCGGGTCAGTTTTTCGAGTGGGTGGCTCTGAATCTACCACCAAAGCAAAGCTCGCTCAACTCAGCTCAACTCCACTGAGCTGCGAGCGGAATAAATGGAACATGTAAGGGTGAATAAAAAACGACTGAAGCGGCCGACTGACGGCGGCGTGGGGATCGACGGGGGGTATCTGTACTCCTCTGTGCAAGCTCTCGGCTCGGTCATGTCAAGTCATAACCAAGCTAAGAGCTTGCACAGAAACCCTCGATGTCAAAGAGGAAAGGAGCTGCGCCAGCATTGATCACCGCTTGGTCGCCAAAGGCGTGCATCGACACGGCAGCAGCATAGTCTCCGGGCAGCACCGTCGTCGGCGCCGCTCCAACCATCTTACCGTTGAGGGTGAAGAAGACCTGGTGCTTGTCGGCGTCGAGACCGCAGCCGACCGTGAACGTGGGGGCCTGGTCCTCCTCCTGTTTTCCGGGCTGAGCCGAAGCTCGGCCCCACGACGGGCCGAAGGCCTTCCACTCACCACCGTACGGCTTGGCACCGTCGTTGAAGACGAAGTCGCCGTCATTGCCGTGGTAGCCGTAGGACACGCCCTTCCAGCCCACGTGCTCTCCCGAACCGAAGCCGTACGCGTTCCGGGTCGCCGCGTCGGAGATGGACGCGAGACCCACGCTTCCGCAGCCTTTGAGGCTCACCTCAAAGTATGAGATGCTCTTGTGCAGTGCGCGCGCGCAGGACAGCACGGGAAGCTTCTCGGCGCCGCGGACCGAGTCCACCGCACCCTTGTCGAAGTTGCGCAGCATCGAGTTGTTGGTCACTTGGTACTTGCCATCGGGCAAGTGGGTCACGGCGCTGCGCGTCGACAGCTCGTAGGCGGCGTCCGCGGGGCGCGCCGCGCACAGCGCGAGCTGGTCGCAGTACGGCAGCGTCACGTACGTCTCGGGCAGCATCTTGCTGCGCCACTGGCGACTGTAGAGGCCCGTGAACAGCATCTCCGAGGCCGTGACGACGTCGTGGAAGGCCGTGCAGACGTGCGCGGCGGCCTGCAGCTCCGGCAGCGAGAGGAACTCGAAGCACAGCTCAAGCGCCGCCAGCTCCAGCGCCTGGCCGTCGCGCGTGTGGCGACGCTTGAGGCGCAGCGCGGCCAGCAGGCCGGCAACCTCGGCCGTGTCCTGCGAGCGCTGCAGGTCGCTCCAGCGCAGGTTCGAGTGCGCGCGCTCCAGGGCGGGCTGGGTGCTGCGCTTGGCCACGGCGGCGTACGACTCGTAGGCGACGCAGCAGTCGTCGGCGTCCAGATCCGAGGCGGCGTCCTCCGACTCGTCGTCGCTCGAGTTGCTGGCGGTGGAGCACGAGCTGCTGGCGATGCTGCCGCGGCGGCGCGCGAGGCGGCGGCCCGACGACTTCTTGGTCAGCACCACGAACGAGTTGAGGTGCGGCAGGCGCGACGACATGGCCGGCACGGTCGGGGACGGCAGCGACGACGACAGCGAGGGCGACAGCATGGCTCGGGTTGTTGAAGTTGCGGGGTATGTGTGAATGTGTGGGAGAATGGGTTCGGGGTAGTGATCTACCTACTAACCACAGAGGTTTAGTAGAGTTTCTTGCTTGGGTTGCTTGCTTGGGTGTATTGCAGAGCAGCTTCCGGTGCTCTGGTGGTCTTGTGGTTGGGGGCGCTAGTGACCGATCGGATCACTTCACGGTCGAGCTGGATAATACGATAATGAGCGGTGGGTGAGGGCCTTGACACGCGCCCGATCATAAAAACACGGAGCCCGGGCCTGCGAGAGCTTATACTTTGAGGTCTCTTCAACATACGTACCGAACGAAACCCGACGTTTCCATGCACCAAAATGTGCGATCGCAGTTTTTTCATGATTTTTAGCTTACGAACCGATCCTCAAGCTGTAGGTTGCTGCAATCCAGGCATGCTGGGGACATCAGCGGGCACCACCAGGTTTCCTGCCATCATAGTCTGCTCACTGATAAGAGGCTGTCATTCTGCATCATGCAACTTGCCCTCAACGCCTCCTTTATCGCGGGATTCGTCGACGCGGAACTGCCGGACGCGAAGGTCGAGGCCATCCCGACGTTCACACACGTATGCGAGTTCCTGTGGTCCCCTACCAACCGTGTTGCCCACGACGAGGAGACGCGCGCTCGCAGTGCAGTACTTGCTGCTGGCAAGCGCAAGGGGGAAGAGGAGGTCGGTGTGCGAAATGTTGCCACGCGTCTCAAGTAATCGCTGTGATTGCACTCCTCCCCCCGCTACGTTGGTGCCTGCAACCAAGCGACTGTAACAGCGTCCTTACAGCTCAAACAAGGCAGTTTTTTGCCTTGCAAGACGTTGGTGGTGTCGTGCTGTCCGTTTCCTCGGCTGTAGGATCGATTGCTGCGACGCATTTTTTGTGAATTCCATTCGATAACGTGCAATTTTACATGATTCTCAGCTACTTTTCGCATGCAGGTTCTGTGTTGAAGAACCTCCGAGACTTAATGCTGCGTGGTGTTGAAGTTGCATTGGGGGGATGCGCCGCGTATCTGAGCCCGTGTTCTTTTCGCGCCAGCATGACCAGCAGCGCTGGCAACCGAGGCGCGGGCTTGCGCTTTGCATACACGGAGCGAAGCCACCTTCAAAGCCCCGCCATCGCCTGCTCCCGTTTAACACACACAGGCACCACTCATCCGCGGCCGTCCGCCAAGCAGCACTTAACCCATTTCTATGCCATGATCGTGATGGATACTTTTTACTGCCATGTTGAAGTTGCCTGCAACTGCAACTACTTGTCCGCCATGCCGTACTGCGTGAGCAGCGGCACCACGGACGGCTTGCGGCCGCGGAAGGCCTCGAAGACCTGCTCCGGGTGCTGACCGCCGCCGCGCGCCAGGATCGTGTCGCGGAACCGACGGCCCACGCGCGCCGCGGCCTCGGGGCTCTCCTTGGCCGCCTCCTCGAAGGCGCCGTAGGCGTCGCACGACAAGATCTCGGCCCACTTATAGCTGTGTCCACAGGTTGCGCACAACAAGTCAGTCGAGTGTCCACGCGTCAATTCAATTCAATCACATACAGTTGACTGCGTACCTGTAGTAGCCGGCAGCGTAGCCTCCCGCGAAGATGTGCGCGAACGAGCACAGGAACCTGTCCTCCTCCAGCGGACTCAGCACGGCGTACTCGCCCAGCAGGCGCTGCTGCGCTGCGAACAGCGACTCCTGCGCCGGCGAGTAGTGCGAGTGCAGGTACATGTCCAGCGCGCCGAAGCCCAGCTGACGCAGCATGCCCGTGGCCACCATGTAGTTGCGCGCCGCCTTGAGCTTCTCGAACAACTCGTCGGGCAGCGGCTCCCCGGTCTTGTAGTGTCCGCTGATAGCTGCGATCGTGTCTGTCGGGATGAAAGAAGCAAGCAGGATAGATAGGTTAGTTCGTATGTCCACAAGGTATCGTAGTGCGGTATTTAACGGACTTTTGTCGTAGCAGAAGTTCTCCATCATCTGCGACGGGATCTCGACGGCGTCCCATTCGATGCCGTTGATGCCCGCCACGTCACCGTACTCCATCTGCGTGAGCATGTGCTGCAGCCCGTGGCCGAACTCGTGGAAGATCGTCTCCACCTCGCGGAACGTCATGAGGCTCGGCGTCTCGCCCACGGGCGGCGACTGGTTGCAGATGATGTAGGCGACCGGAATACGCTTGCCACCCTTCTCCTTGGGGCCAAGCAGGCGGCTGCGGTCCACACACGTGTTCATCCAAGCGCCGCCGTTCTTCTCCTTCGGGCGCGAGTACGGGTCCAGGAAGAACTGAGCGATCACCTCCTTGTCGGTGCTGCGCACGTTGAAGAAGCGCACATCCGAGTTCCACACCTCGGCCTGGCCGTCCGCAGCCTCGATGGTCACGCCGAACAACCGCGACGTGAGCGAAAAGAGACCGTCGAGCACCTGGGTATCAGCAACAATCAATCGACTATGAGTCATCTCAAATGAAGAACGGGGAGTATCGTGAACGTACGCGCTCGAGCGGGAAGTACGGCTTGATCTCTTCATCAGTGAACAGGTACTTTTCTGCTTTCAGCTTCTCCGACCTGTTCGTAAGCACGCAAACGATAGAGATTAGCACAGACGGTAAAGCCCTGTACAGGCAATCACAATGCACGCACCAGTAGCCGAGGTCCCAGGGCGCGAGGAGCTCCGTCTGTCCGTGCTCCTTCGCGTACTCAGCCACAGTCTTCACCTCCTCGTGAGCGATCTCAACGCACTTTTCGCGCAGATCACTGTGCATCTTCTCGACCTCCTCCACGCTCGGCGCCATCTTCTTCGAGATACTGACCTCAGCGTAAGAGTTGAATCCCAGCAGCTTCGCAATCTGCTGGCGGATCTCCAGCAGCTCGACGATGATACCCTCGTTGTCGAAAGACTCTCCGCTCGCGCGGGTCGCGTATGCGCGGTACAACGTTTCACGCAGCGATCGGTTCGCCGAGTACTTCATGAACTGCACGTACGAAGGGGGGTCCAGCGTCACTCGCCAAGGCCCATTCTCGGGGGTGGCCTCCGAGTGGCCGTCGTCACGAGCGCTCTGCGCAAACATCTGCAGCAGCGACGGCGGTAGTCCTTCCAGCTCATTCTTGTCAGTCACTGTAATGGAGTACACCTTCGTAGCGTCCAGCAGATTGGAGGAGAACTTTGTGCTCTACAGACATTAGGAACCCATCACAAGGTAAGTCACCAACCAATCGCACATACACTGCAGCTTTTCCTTACCAGCTCGGCAGCACGCAGCTTGAGCTTGTTGAACTTCTCCTTGTCCTCGCCCTGCAGTCCGACTCCGCTGAGCGTGGCGCTTCTGAGACTGAGCTCGATAATGCGCTGCTGCGCCAGCTCGAGCTTGCTCCACTCGTCGCTCTCACGCACCGCGAGGAACGCGTCGTAGAGCGTCTTGCTCTGCGAGGCCTCGGTGACCGTCTCGATCACCAGCTGCTGCAGCTTGTCGTGCACGGCGCGCAGCTCCTCCGAGTTGCGCACACTCATGAGGTGGCCCACGATGCCCCACATGCGGCCCAGCGCGTCGCCCTGCACCTCCAGTGGGTCCACGACATCAGCGAGCTGCACGCTCTTGCCCGCGCTCTGCAGCTTCTTCTCCAGCTCGCGCAGGTCGTGCGTGAAGTCAGCGGCGGCCGTAGTAACCGCCGGCTCGATCTCCGCCAGCTGCAGACGCTCGAAGGGCGGCAGCTGGCGCTCGCGCACGCAGACTTCCAGCGAGTTGGCGGACGCAGAGGCGAAGCTGCGCCAGAAGAGCGCGGAGCGGCGAGAGGCGGCGGCCGACGACAATGACGCCGCGCGCAGCGGACGCACGCAGCGGAGCAGCATGGTGGACGGCGGCGATGGTACAGTAAGCTTACGTATTGACTGACAGCCTCAAATGCCCGTGATGGATATGAGCCCTAACCGCTATAACATTGTACCATACTATTGGTGCAAACTGACGTTGAAGAGCTCAATTGCTGGGTCCTTGGTGACGGCCACCTGACGGATTGCATGGAGACTGCTGTGTTTGGCTCGGAACGGAGAGACTTGACTGGCATCGCCTGCTGCTACGGAACCTGTCAAAAGCTGCCAGCTGGGCCGCTTTGCACCTCTTGATCAAGGATTTCTGTCCGTTGTGAGTCCCGCTTTAGCTGGCAGGGCCTTTTCGCTAGGGACGATGGACGGCGCCACCTGCGACTGGCGACTTGCGTGAGCGTGTGGCTGTGCTTGGTGTCCAGAATTGAAAATGTACGCAGCTCCAAGTAAATACTGGGCAGAGGCGGAGCTTGAGTAACGGTTCTGGTCGGAGCCACGAGTGTGCCAGCTGGAGCGCGCCCTACCTCACACGACCTTGTCCGATACTTTGCCAAGGCATTTCAGTGGCGGGCCTGGAAAAGCTGTTGAGTGTATGGTGGCAATCGTCCGTCACCGGATCCTTCTCTCCCTCTACAGCTACTTAGCCCCGCATGATTTAGCATTTCCCAGCGCAGAGCGGATTTCACCAGCAGAGGACTCACGAACACTGCTCAATGACGTTCGCTGCTGTTGTTCGCGCTGGTGTACTTGCATCCGCGCTAGCGGTCACCCTAACGCACGGGTACGCGTTTTCAGAGACCTCTGACGCGTCGAAAGTGGAGGACAGCACGGGGCTAACAGTCAACGAGGAGGACCGCATCTTTGGTGGATCGGAGGCGGACGCGTCCAAGTACCCGTTTGTTGTGAGTTTGCGCCAGAACGACGCTGGCGGCAGCACTTACTGCGGCGGCGCGCTTATTGCCTCGCAGTACGTGGTTACGGCTGCTCACTGCGTCAAGACCGACCGAGCTACCATTTACGCGTCGATTGGAACTGCATTTGCTTCGGGATCGAGTGACGGGCAGCAGGTGAAGGTGATCCAGGGCTACCGCCACCCCAAGTACAACAAGTCCGCGCATTTGTACGATGTGGGTCTTCTCAAGCTTGAGAAGAAGGTCTCTACAACGACGGTCGGGTTGGCTGCGCCTGACGGATCGGACAACACGGTCGGCACTGTGGCGACAGTCAGAGGATGGGGCCTCACCGAAAACGGATCGCAAAGCGTGAAGATGGAGGAAGTGAATGTGAACATAATTTCAAACGCCGAGTGCAACAAGGAGTACGGCAAGCGAATCACCGAAGGAATGATGTGTGCGGGTAACGGCGACGGCAAGGACACGTGCAACGGCGATTCTGGGGGTCCTCTCATTGCGAACGACGTTCTGGTTGGCATTGTTAGCTGGGGTGGCAAATGCGGCGTCAATGCTGGCGTGTACACTCGCGTCGCGTACGTGCTCGACTACATCAACAGCATCGTTAGTGGCGGTTCGGGCAGCAGCTTCACCCCAAGTGCACCGAGCTCGGCAGGTGAGAGTCGAGGCGCAGATTCGTCGAATGTCGATGTCTCTGCAACAGAAACCCCTGCGACTGAGACCCCGACACCTGTGCCTATCACCGAGGCACCAAAGACTGAAGCCCCGACGCCCTCACCGACTCCGGCACCGACGTCAGCTCCAACGACGGTGCCGCCTGACACGGTAGCTCCATCCACCGAGGAGCCAGAGACGGAGAGTCCTAACACGGATCAAGCGGATCAGTCGGAGTCTTCACCAAACTCAGCGGATCACAGTGAGAACGCTACGGATTCGGCCGAGCAGAGCATGCCAACCTATGATCCGACGCCCGCCTCAGGCAAGAAGATCGACAGCGGCAAGGACTGCGCTTCACAGTTTTGATCAAAGTGATGAAGAGGTGTCGACGTCCAGCGCAGAAGATGAGGAAGGAGATTTGATTTTTGCGGTCGTATCGTAAGCGCTCAAAGTGTGTGCTGTGGGTCAATAGATGTGTTCGGCGCTACATGTAAGTTGTACCTTCAGCTCTGTACGTATCGTTGCGGTTGTCTTGTGTAGGCGTTGAAGCTGTCGCCAACATGAGCCGAAATGATCGCTTCACATCCCGCATGGCCGGGAGCAGCCTGATGCGAGTCGCACGCGGCAAGCAACCGCTGTTTTCGTAGCATTGGGCTGGGCAGCGCCAGTTGGTGGAGTAATGGCCTGCTGCTCCATATCTCAGTACAGTTGCTGGCACCATCCGGCCGTTTCCTCGAATCCGATCGCTCTATGGGTCTAGCGCCACCGTTGATCGGGGTATTTCATGTACTAATCGAGCTGACTGCCCAGACCGGATAGCGCGTTGAGATGGTGGTGGAGGTGGAGAGCGTCCAGCATAACCATCGTCTCCCCCCCTGGTCGCGCCTTTGCGAGACGGCCACTTTGGCTTTCTCCGTCTAAGCTTTGAGCTGTTCGACGGACCTGCTAAGCGACGTGTTAATTAATCACTTGGTGATACCGAGTGCACCGACCCACTGTACCGAGTGAGCATGAAGGTCCCGCAGATTCTTGTGCTGGCCTCGGCAGTCTCATCGGTGGTCCACGGCTACTCGTTCTCGGAGTCCATGAAGACAACCACCCCAAGTACCAATGACATGGAGAGCACGGGGCTCACTGCCAACGAGGAGAACCGCATCTACGGCGGCTCGGAGGCCAACATCGACGACTACCCGTACGCCACGAGTCTGCGCTTCGAGCAGGTGGACACGACTTTCTGCGGCGGCACGCTGATCGCCCCGCAGTACATTCTGACTGCCGGCCACTGCATCAAGACCCAGGAAGACACTATCATCGCCCACCTCGGGACGGAGATGGGGACGGGCTCCGGTTCCGGCAAGAGTGAGGCGATCAAGGTCATCGAAGGCTACCAGCACCCTCTGTACAACCAGAAGAAGCACCTCTACGACGTTGGCCTGCTGAAGCTGGAGAAGCCCTCGAAGCAGAAGACGGCCAAGCTCTGCGCGGCGGACGGCTCGGACAACGCGGTCGGCACGGAGGTGACGGTGCTCGGATGGGGGCTGACCGAGGATGGCTCGGAAAGCCCCACCCTGCAGGAGGTGAACGTTGCCGTCATCTCGAACGCTGAGTGTAACAAGCAGTACGACAACCGAATCACGGAGGGAATGATGTGCGCCGGCAACGGCGGCGGCAAGGATTCGTGCAACGGAGACTCGGGCGGCCCTCTGGTTACCAGCGACGACACTTTGATTGGGTTCGTCAGCTGGGGAGGCAAGTGCGGCGTCCACGCCGGCGTGTACACTCGTCTTACGTTCGTCATGGACTACATTAACGACATTCTGAACGGCGGCACTGGTAGCAACTTCACGGACAGCACGGCAGGCTCCGATTCGACTACGCAGGCGACCTCGCTGGCTTCGTCTACGGCAGGCTCAACGGAGACGACTGCGTCGACTACGTCGAGCTCGACGTCTGACCTTACACCGTCTACCAGCTCCGGTTCATCGGCTACTCAGAGCTCCAGCACCGGGGCGTCGACGACTCAGAGCTCCAGCACTGGTTCGTCGACTACACAAAGCTCCAGCTCTGGGTCGTCCACTACTGACAGCTCAAGCACTGGGTCGTCCACTACGCAGAGCTCCGGCACTGGTTCATCCACTGCTGAAACCTCCAGCGCTGGATCATCGACCACTGACAGCTCTAGCGCAGGTTCATCGACGACTGAAGCCTCCTCGACTGCTGACACTTCGCTTACTTCGAGCGCTAGTGCTGAATCACCGTCTACCGAGACTTCCTCAACGGATGACGATACCCTGCTGTCTTCTAGCTCCAGCTCTGGATCCCCTGCGTCAACCGCTGGTTCGTCGACAACGGAGAGTTCTAGCGACTCATCGGTGACCCAGAACTCGGCCGCGGACACTCCTGTCGTGACCCCTGCTGCCACGACCAGCACTGATTTTGGTGCGTCGGCTTCCACCGCGGGTTCCTCAGCTCAGTTGACCCCCTCCACGTCTGGTTGCAAGGTTCGTCGTCACCGTCGACGCCTGGCTTCGATCGAGGAGAACGAGGAGGAACGCGAGGAAGTTGAAAATGATCTTAAGAGCGCCAAGAAGGCGAAGGCGAAGGCCGAGCAGAAGGAGAAGGAGGCCGAAGAGGAAGAAGACGATGCGCTGGACAACAGTGACGCGGATGAACTGGCGGATGCTGTGGATGATGAGGTGGCTGCCGAGAAGGAGGAGCTGGACGCTGAAGACGAAATCGAGGACCTCGAAGAAGAAGAGGAAGAGATCGACAAGGACGAGCTCAAGCAGATTAAACAGGAAGAGGAGGACGAGGACGACGGCGAAAAGCAGGAGGCCAAATCTTCGAAGAAGGGAAAGCAGTCGAAGTCGAAGGCTGTCTCCGAGTCTGACTCGGACTCCGGAAGCGACGACGAGTTTGAGGAAGAGCTTGAAGAAGCAATTGAAGAGGCTGTCTCCGAGTCTGACTCGGACTCCGGAAGCGACGACGAGTTTGAGGAAGAGCTTGAAGAAGCCATTGAAGAGGCTGTCGAGGAGGAAGAAGAGGAGGAGCAGGAGGAGAAGAAGACGAAAGCCAAGCTAGCCAAGTCGAAGAAGTCGAAAAAGGACAAAGACGAGGACGAGGAGCGTAAGCGACGTCTTACTGTTACGATCGATGAGAAGGAGGTTAAGAAGGAGCTGAAGGCGGCCAAGAAAGATGAAGCAGAGGCCGAGGAAGAGGAGGAGTTGGCTGAGGAGGAAGAGGAAGACGCGCTGGACAACAGTGACGCCGAAGAGCTAGCGGAAGCTGTTGATGACAAGGCTGAGGCTGAAAAGAAGGAGCTCGAAGATGAAGAGCAGATCGAGGAGCTCGAAGAAGAAGAAGAAGAGGTTGAAGAGGAGAAGCTTAAGAAGGTTGAAGAGGAGAAGCTTAAGAAGGTTGAAGAAGAGGACGATGACGACGACGACGATGACGAGGAACAGAAGGATGCTAAATCATCAAAGAAGGGAAAGCAGTCGAAGGCCGTCTCGGAATCGGACTCGGACTCGGGTAGTGAAGAAGAATTCGAGGAGGAACTCGAAGAAGCTATTGAAGAGGCCGTGGAGGAGGAAGAAGAAGAAGAGCAGGAGGAAAAGAAGACTAAGGCCAAGCTGGCCAAGTCGAAGAAGTCGAAGTCGAAGAGTGACGACGAGGATGACGAGCGTAAGCGTCGACGCTTGTCTTCTGTCGACGAAGAGGAAGTTGAGCAGGACATGGAGGCTGCCAAAAAGGCTAAGAAAGCGGCTGAGCAGAAGGAGAAGGAAGCTGAGAAGGACGAAGAAGAAGCTTTGGACGACGGCGACGCAAACGAACTGATGGACGCCGAGGATGCCAAGGACGCTGCCGAGAAGGAGGAGCTAGAAGCGGAGGAGGAGATCGAGAAGGACGAGAAAGAAGAGGAAGAAGACGAGAAGGAGGAGCTGAAGAAGATGAAGGACGAAGAAGACGGCGAGGAAGAGAAGGACGAAGAAGAGGATACTCCGGCCAAGAAGGGAAAGAATACCAAGTCCAAGTCGAACTCGAAGACCGTCTCGGACTCGGACTCAGACTCGGGCAGCGACGAGGAGCTGGAGGAAGAGCTTGAAGAGGCCATCGAGGAGGCTGTTGAAGAGGAGAAAGAGGAAGAAGAGGAGGAGGAGAAGACTGAAAAAAAGTTGGCCAAGACGAAGAAGGCGAAGTCGAAGGCTAAGGCTGAAGAGAGCGATGACGATGATGATGCCGAAGCAGCCAAGGAGGCCAAAGAAGATAAGGAGGACGAGGAGAAGAAACAAGAAGAGGAGGAGGAGGAAGCTGAAAGCGGTGACGACGATGACGACGATGATGATGATGACAAGAAGTAGATGTCTCGCGCTCAAGTTGTTTTCAATGCGTAGAAACTAAGTTACACGAATATGTGCCTTTTTGACTCTGCGTCTCATCGAAGCAGTGATTATGCCGCGATAGACTGTTGTCAACACTGTTGACACACTGTCGGCGTTGAGCTCTTATGATGTTGCCGAAATCTTTGGGGAAGTAAATGACTAGAAAGGTATGAAACCCGAAATTTATGCTGAAGATGTATGAACCGGCTAAACTCAATCCGTACAGAGCAGCGCGTTCACGCGCTGGAGCAGAGGTTCGCTCCCGCTGGCGCATTGGTCACGAAAACTTATATTATACCAGAGTGGAAGATAGACCGGGAGGCCGACAGTACGCTCAATACACTGGAGTTGATGCATTATATTTGATCGCGCGCCTCCTACACATCTGACAAATTGTCTGTGTGCCGGTGCCGTAGTTGCGTGTCCAGTAGTCACACGATTTGAAAGTATCCGCACGGTGCACTCTGGCGGGTGTGTCCGTTCTGTCGGAATTTTTTATCTTGTCGCTCTGAGAACTGCAAATTCTCCGGACCAATTTGAGACGTCACGGAGTGGAGCCTTTGTCTTCGAACACCACACTTGCCGCTTCATGTACGGTATGGGTGTTAGCTTCGGATATTGGTGATCGTTAGAATTTTAGAACTCTAAATGAACAAAATATACCTCATATCATGAATATGAAATGAAACTACTTGTACGGCACTGCGATCGAGGAAACTTAAGTATCCGCAGGCATCGCTTGAAAGTATAAGAAACAATAAAACATCTAAACAATAAGCACGTAGGCTGCCCTCACGTGCCAACCACGGGCACCGTGTTATCTCCCTGGCTGTCCGAAGCTTAATGACACAATGAGCTCTTTGATTAATGCAGCTTCTCTGCCGCAAATACTAAGTACAGTACAGTCCAAAGTGAAAGCTCTTGTATTCTCGTGGCTGTGACGATGGTGCGTGACTGTAGTGTGAATGTCGTTCGATCACAAACTCGCCTGGGCAGCCTAACGACAGTTCTTCGAACTGTGAATACAGTCGGTTGACGGAGATGCAGATTCGAAGCTGCTCATCTTGCACGAGGCGGGGCTGATCGACGAGTGCGTGATACGTCATGGAGTGACGAGCCTTTGCCTTCGAACACCACAATTGCCGCTGACAATTTGTCATGTGTAGGAGGCGCGCGATCGAATATAATGCACCAACTTAAGTAATGAGCGTACTGCTGGCCTCCCGGTCTATCTTTCACTCTGGTATACCCCAAGTTTTCGTGACCAATGCGAGCCCTCTGTACAGATTGAGTTTAGCCGGTTCATACACATTTAGCATAAATTTCAGCTGTCATACGACTGTAGTCATTTTTCCTGGTCGGGATTTCCCATCTTGTCCTCATCCTGCTGTTTTCGAGCAGCACAATCCTTGTCTTAGATGGTGGCGCGTAGGCATCTCTTTCGCTTCGACAACACGCTTCCGGCCTCCACCTGCGAATGGTTTCGCTTGGTTGCGCTAGCACCACAACACATAATTTCCCGAGATTTGAACACCTTACCGCGCGGTGTGCATTTTCCGACTCGACTGGTCACTTCATTTTTTCTCAACCTCGGGGTTTTGTGCCGAACGAAAACTGGAGTTGGCATCCGGACGATGAAGCTCTTGCAGGTTTGCGCGCTCGCTTCGGCATTGGCGACACTGTCGACGTGTGCGCACGGCTACTCGTTCAATGACTTCAAGGGATCGAACAAAGAGCAGGAGAACGAGAAGGAGAGCACTGGCCTGACCGCGGACGAGGAGAGCCGCATCATCGGCGGCTTCGACGCCGACATCGACAACTACCCGTACGTCGCTAGCGTTCGCATTGATGGCGTGACGGTCTGCGCCGCTACGTTGATCGCTCCGCAGTACCTTGTTACGACTGCGCACTGCATCAAGACGGACGAGGTGGAGATGACCGCGTCGTTCGACACCGAGTTCAGCTTCGGCACTGATGGCGAGTTGGTGAAGATCGTCAAGGGATTCAAACACCCTCTGTACAACAAGAGGAAGCACCTGCACGACGTGGGCCTGCTGAAGCTGGAGAAGCCATCCATGCAGAAGATTGCGGTTCTGCCTGCTGCGGACGGTTCGAACGAGAAGGTCGGCGCCATGGCCACCGTTCTTGGTTGGGGTCAGACCAAGGAGAGCTTGAACAGCTTCAAGCTTCAGCAGGCGAAACTTCCAATCATCTCGAACGCGGACTGCAGTAAGTTCAGCTCGTACAAGACGGGCCTGACGGAGGGCATGATGTGTGCCGGCAACGGCAAAGGCAAGGGTTCGTGCCGCGGTGATGCGGGTGGCCCCCTTATTGCCAACGACGCTCTTGTGGGCTTCGTGAGCTGGGGTGGTGACAAGTGCGGCAAGGAGCCGGGTGTCTACACCCGCGTGTCGTCCGTGCTGGACTACATTAACGAGATTGTTGCCGGTGGAGATGGCAAAAAGTTTGGCTCGAAGACTAGCAAGAATACGGCCACGAAGGGTACGGCAACACCCACCAGCGATGCATCGTCGGCAGCGCAGAAGACTCCTTCCACGAAGGGACTGACATTCTCGTTTGATGGATCCTCGGCGGAGCAGAAGTCTCCTGCCACGAAGGCCTCGAAATTCACCGAGGTACCGACGACCGACTCACCGGTCCTACAACAGAAGTCTGCGTAGACACCTAAGCTAAACGATTTTGCGTTGGAGTAACACGACAAATAGCCGTATGCTATTGCATGATACCGGGAAATGCATTGTTGCGCGTACAGCACTCGTTCAAGATACCAAGTTGCAGTTTTCGACAGGAAGAGCGCTAAGTTATGTCAAACTTTACTAAGAATGCTGGCATTTCCAAAACGTAGCCTAGCTTCAAGAAAAAACAAGGGCTTAGTTACAGGAACTCACGCTAAAGGAGGACATGCTGGCGTTAGGCACATTGCAAGTGGATCTAGCTGTCGAATCGCATCGCATGAGAAATACCAATGCAAGTGGATCTGGCATCTTGGCATATCTGGCAAAAATTTACCCGTAGCACCTGCAAATTTTTGCCTTGGTTTCATGACCTGCAGAACTTCTCCCGTGCCTTGGTGTCGTGACACCGCTGTGCGTACACAACATTTACCATGCCGGTAGAGCATACCAAGTGTAGCAGATATCCTCGCAGCGGTGGTCATTGTATCAGCCAGGCGCCAAGCAAATATTTTTTCGACAACGGGCAACAACACACAGGTTCCGTTTCCGACAGCAAATGAAAGCGGATCCATCTCGCCAAGTTTCTGTCGCTGTCACTAATGCGTGCCGCAATTATTCTACATCGACCCTATGAAAGAATTTATCCTCGTGATGGTGTTGCAGAGTGAGTGCCCTGTGTTCACGCCTCAGACTCGCCGTCACTTCGGATTTCTTCACGCGCGAGCTAACAGCTCCGAGTGGTGAGTGACGAATCATGCGGCTCTTGCGGCTCAGCGTATGCATCTCGCTGCTGTCAGCTCTAGCACAGCTTGCGCACAGTTACGAGTTCTCCAGTGTCAAGCGTACAACAAAGCCGTCAATTGCTGATCCCGAGCCCAACACCAGCACGGGTCTTTCCACCACCGAAGAGAGTCGAATCTATGGAGGTTCCGAGGCGGACGTGCGCCAGCATCCATACAGTGCAAGCCTGCGTTTCGACCCCCACGGGAAAACGTTTTGCGGTGGTACGCTGGTTGCAACTCAGTACATTCTCACGGCTGGACACTGCATCAAGACAGACAAGGGGCAAGTATACGCTTCTCTCGGGTCCGAGTTTGGGTCAGGCGCGGGGTCTCGTTCCAGCGAGGTGATCAAAGTGACCCAGGGGTTCCGTCACCCCCTGTACAACAACGGAAAACATTTGTACGATATCGGCTTGCTGAAGCTGAATACCCCCTCGACTCAGAAGGTGGCGCCTCTGTGTGCACGTGATGGATCGGATAACAAAGTCGGCACAATGGCCAAGGTTCTCGGTTGGGGGTTGACGGAAGATCGCGTGGGAAGCTTCACGCTTCAGGAGGTGAATGTGGCTATCATATCCAACACAGAATGCGACAAGGAATACGGAGGCGGTAACCGCATCACGGAGGGAATGATGTGCGCTGGAAATGGCGAGGGCAAGGATTCGTGCAACGGCGATTCAGGCGGCCCACTTCTTGCCAACGATGTGTTGGTAGGTCTCGTCAGTTGGGGCGGAAAATGTGGCGTGAAGGCAGGTGTCTACACTCGACTAGCGTATGTCATGGACTATATCGAAGACGTTTTGAACGGTGCCACCGACAGCGTATTCCCACAAACTGCATCCAAGTTTGGTTCCCCGGTGCCACCAAGACCATCAGCGACAAAAGCTAAGGCCGCGGAGACTACCAAGACTGCAAAAATCACGGAAAAAAACACGACTGCCAAACCCACGAAACCTATCAAGGATGTCAGGGATACAGAGGGTAATAGTTCGAAGGAGGCCCCGGCAGCTGAAGCATCGATTCCACCAACTTCAATGAACGGAGCTCCAGGCTGGAGTCCGGAATCCGGAAAGGGATGCCGTGCTCGACGACGACGGTAGAAGTAATTCGCGATCGGGATCTGGAAATTGTCCGCGATCTTGTCCTGAAATCGCAAAGACGCAGTCGCAACTCCTGACCCAACGGCCTCGGAGGTTACGGGTCTATCCTCGGCGCTGAGCTGCACGCTCGCAGCTCGCGTTGGTTTCATGCTTTCCTACTCTTTGCTTTTCAAATTAGCTACAGCTAGAGGCTTGTAGCCACTCCAAACAACAATCAGTCTTCATTTTTCCAGCTTTCTAACAAGTGCAGACTCACCCACGTCAACTTCTGCCAGAGCACGTGACATGTATCGTGATGCCTTATTTTAACGATGAAGCGGTGTTGCCGACACTTATAGGCATAATTTAGTGCAGCGAGACAGGTGCGAGTATGGGTGGGAAACGCTGTTGACCATGGTTCAAATATTGCATGGGGGTACACTCACAAGGACTCGTAGGCTGAGACGGAGCCTTTCGAGGTAAGCAGGGAACCCCTCCTTTGTGTACGAAGGCATACACTGTAGACTGTACTGCACCTATTGTGCCGTGCCGTTGACAAAGAGATACAGTACAGTCTTGCCGAGCGAGTGCAGAACCTGCAAAGTCAAGCTCGGAAGTGCGAATTGCTTTGACTCTTTTCGCTCATGACTTCCCAGCACATGCGAAGTAACATGTTGCGCTTTACGTATGCATTGACGGCACTTGGGGACTGTACCAGAGCAGCAACTGCATGGAAGCGCGCTGGAAGTACACTCAAAGACTTCCAGCAATGCGATGCAGGATTGACAGTGGCGTATGTTACTGAAGCAACGGCAACAACTCCGGTCAAGCATGGATCACTTCAACAAGCTGGTTTCTCTTGCGACGTCCAGAGTGCGGTGCACAACTTTTCCCATCTTTACCTTTCTCCTGCGATGTGATGAAGACTGCTGTTTTCGAGCACTAACGGGGCTCGGCTTGCTGGTGGCGCGAAGGCGTCTCTGTTTGCTCCAAAGCACGCTTTTGTCCCCACCCTCGGTATTCCGACGAATGCCCTCGCTGCTGTTATCTACAGTACCTACGGTAATTAGTCTGACCTGATGGGAGGGTTAGGGTATCTATGTTACACCCTATTTGACGAAAAACTATCATTTTCAACGAATTCTACTCAATGAGAAACGTCTATTACAGGGGTCTGTGGTGTTGATTGGATAAAAATTGACTTCGTGCCTAGCCTTCAAAGTATGAAATTGCACTTTTTACGCAAATTTGGAGGTCAGACTAATTACTGTAAGCACTGTAGCGCCACAGCATCAATCTGTGCCTCGAAGACCTTCCGGCTTGACGGATAGCCGATTTGCGATGTGGTCCTCAACGCCTGGAATCTGGTCAAGACGCTTGTCACTTTGACTTTTCGCCGGCGGACCATCACGGACGTCTGAAGTCACAATTATCTGAAGGATGAAGGTCGTACAGGTCGGCGCGCTCGCCACGACGATCGCGTCGCTGTCTGCTTCGGCTTATGTCACTTTGACTTTTCGCCGGCGGACCATCACGGACGTCTGAAGTCACAATTATCTGAAGGATGAAGGTCGTACAAGTCGGCGCGCTCGCCACGACGATCGCGTCGCTGTCTGCTTCGGCTTATGGCTACACGTTTGCCGACACCGCAAAGGAGGAGACCACTACGACCGTGGAGAGCACGGGGCTGACCACCAATGAGGAGAGTCGCATCTACGGCGGCTCGGAGGCCAACATCGACAAGTACCCGTTCCTCGCCAGCCTGCGCGACACGTTGTTTGAAATGAACATGTGCGGTGGCACGCTGATCGCGCCCCAGTACATCCTTACGGCTGGCCACTGCATCAAGACGGACGAGATGGACATGATCGCCACCTTTGGCACGAACGAAAGCGATGGCTCCGGCTTGACGGTCCCGATCATTGAGGGCTTCCGTCACCCCATGTACAAGAAGAAGGAGCACCTGTACGACGTGGGTCTGCTCAAGCTGAAGAAGCCCGTGAAGCGCAAAATGGCCAAGCTCTGTGCTGCCGACGGCTCCGATAACAAGGTCGGCACTATGGGCACCGTCCTTGGCTGGGGGAAGACGGAGACTAGCGGCGAGCTGGGCAGTCCCATCCTGAGGCAGCTCACTGTCCCCGTCATCTCGAATGCGGAGTGCGCCAAGTTTAAGAAGTACGTTGGCCGCGTCACGGATGGCATGCTGTGTGCCGGAACTGGCAACACGTGCAACGGCGACTCGGGCGGCCCACTCATCGTTGACGACGACATCATTATTGGCTGCGTGAGCTGGGGCAGCAAGTGCGGTGAGCAGGCCGGCATCTACACCCGCCTGACGTACGTCATGGACTACATCGAGGATATTCTGGCCGGTGGCGACGGCAGCAAGTTCAACGTGACCACTTCGTCCTCTGGTTCAACGGAGGAGGACGTGTCGCTCCCTTCGTCTGCGGAGGGCTCGGCGGACGAGGAATCGTCCGAGTCGGGATCAGCGGAAGGCACGGCGGACCAGACGACCAAGAAGTATAAGGGTACCAAGACCCCCGCGGTCGAGGAGGACTCGGAGAGCGGCAGCGATGACCTATCGTGGCTGGTTGAGACCGTCTCGGGCAGCGGCAGCGACGCTGAGCTCGTCAAGGTCCCCGACTGGTTGCTCAAGTATTTCGGAGGCAGCGCCAGCGGCTCGGATCTGTCGTGGTTGTTCGCCAGCAACTCGGACAGCGGCAGTGACTCAGCCACTGGCAGCGAGTCGACCTCGGAGGAGTCTGGCAGTGAAGACGCCGTCCTGGTGAAGGGCAAGACCGCCAAGGCTACCAAGGCTCCGGTTGTGGAGGACTCGGAGAGCGGCAGTGACGACCTGTCGTGGCTCTTTGCTAGTGACTCTGACTCGGACATTGGCAGCGAGTCCGGCAGCGATGATGCTGTGCTAGTGAAGGGCAAGACCAAGACTAAGGCCACCAAGGCCACTAAGGCTCCGGAGGAGGACTCGCCATTCCAGCAGACGTCGGAGGATTCGCCGTTCCAGCAGACTTCCGTCGAAGACGAGTCTTCACTGCTTCCGCTTCGGCTTCGACTTCGACATCGGGATCGGAGTCCGACGAGAGCGACCTGGTTCACCAGAGCGAGCAGAGTGAGCCTACGACCACCAAGCAGAAGTAATACGCCCCCTGCTCAAAGCACAGGATTCATGTAATACATCCACGTTTCGTTGAGCGTGACTACTTTTCTAATTGGCTTAGTTAGTACAAGAACGCTCGCAGTGTCTCGACCTCTACCTTCCTGCGTCTATGCTGCCCGATTTCGCTCTGTGTCTCAGCCATGTCATCACTGTCTCCTTCGCACACGGCCGCATCTAGCGCTGCCACGGCTGACAAGTAGTGTGTGCGCATGCGCAGGTAGTGAACGCGGGCAGCGCGTCCTGCAGCCACTCGACTGACTCGGTCCAGCTTCAACAACTGGTCGGCGGCCTGCTCGATCTCGCTGGAAGTCACGTGCACCGACGGTAGCTTTACGAGCGGAGCACTGTCCGTCAACTCGCGTTCATCGTGACCAGCTCCATTCTCCCCAATAGGAGCCGCGTTGTTCTTCGCCGCATCCGGGTCTTCATCCGCAGCTCCCGTATCGGCAGGACCATCGAAGTCAAAAGAGCCGACGCGTAGACCACAGCTATCCGGCACCCATTCTTGCATGATTGGGGTGTTATATGTCACCGTGACAGCGCCAACCGCGGCGCTCTCAAGCACCGTGTCCTCGTATTTCTCCACCTCAGGAGGCACCGGGAACAGGTGAATGCCGATTGTGTTCTTGAGTCTCGTGATCTCCTCAGGTGAGTTGGCTTCCTCTTCGCACACTAGATCCACATTAAGCTGACGTTTCTGCGGCCTCTTGCCTTGCTTCTTGGGGCTATCAAGACCCTCCAGCCAATCCTCAGCAGCTCCATCCGGGTTAGCTGCAGCCTCAGCTGCCTCCGCTGCTTCGGCGTTGGCCTCGTAATCCTTCAGCATGCTGCTTAGCACGCGCTGGAACGACCCACATAGCGCCATCGATCGCTGGAATCGGACGTGAAGCATGGGCCACTCTGGGTGCGCCACCCACGCGGACAGCAACTCTTCCGTGAACTGTTCCTTCTTGTCGGCATCGCCTACCACAACAACGTGCAGAAAATCGTCCCATTTCTTGCGAATGTGGCGATTGTAGATGTCCGGCACCGATGTCTTCAGCAAATACACACCAAAGTGACTCGCCGCCAAGTCCAAAGTCCCCATATCCGCCGGCGACGTCCTGCCCAAGCCGTTCGCCGCCTTAACACCTGCTCGCCCTCGATGCTCGCGCTCTTCCTGTCTCTCCTGTCGAAACTTCAGCATCTGTCTCAACGCGAACTCCGTCTTCACCAGCACCAAATCCGGGAATCTCGGTGCAAAGAGTGCCGGTCGCATTGCACTCAACGGGAACATCGCTGCGAAGACTCCCGCCGATGTAGCACCTGCCGTCTCCGTCGCCCTATCCAGCGGACTCGCTCCGATCGCCACGTGAACCCTGCTCGCAACCTTGGCGTGCGCATTGGCAGCCACCACTTGACTCCGCGGCCACAAGAACGCCAGCTCCGTAGCTTGAGCCATGGCGTTGTCACTTCCAGTCGGAATCACAGCAAGGCAAGTCCACGGCAGTCTTGCCTGTCCCGGTTGCCTAGCTCCCGGGCTGTATTGCTGCTCGAAGCGACGCTCCAGGAACCTCAGCGCGGCAGCGGCAGGCTGAGCCCGAACGCTCGAAACTGCACCGGGCTGCATCAGATCGGCCGAGGCCAGGAGTCTCTCCCTGAACACACACTCATGGACCCGCAGGTCCAGCGACACTGTCTGGAACTTCCAGAAGATGAGGATCTGCAGCAGCACCAGACTGACGGAGGCGTACGTGAGCCAGTGGGTCGGGTAGACCCAGTACTTGACTGGGGCCGTGGGGTCCCCCTTCCAGCGCTTGATCCAGTCCTTGGGACTCACAACGAGCCACGCGGTCTTGAGTCTCCACTGCTCCACCTTGGAGGCCGCGGCGGGGAACCTCGCGGCCCACGCAACATAGGGCAACTGAAGCCATGTCGCCACTCGCACCCCCACGTCTTGCAGCAACTTGAGCACTTGTTGCATCCGAGAGCCTTCCTTAGCGCAACCTAAATCCGAGTCCTCCATCGACGTTTTAGGCTTGCTGGGGCTCACTTTGCCCGGTTTTAGGGGCGAATTAGCTGCTCCGTAGCTCTCGCCCTGATCGACCGCCCCAGACGCCGACGCCGCGGACGCCAAGTCGATTTCGTTCAGCGTGATGCTCTCGGTGGTTGTGCTCTCGTTCTCCATGCCTTCGAAGAAGCTGCGCCGACGCAGGCGGGACGTCGGCGGCGCGTCCATTTCGCTCATCATGGTGCCCGCCCGGACGGAGAGTGCGGGAATCGTGAAACGTACAATTTGGTGTACGATACACCACACTCAGATCTCACTGGGGCTTGATGAAATGCGCATAAAGACTTCTTACCCTTTTTATAGGTTCTTTTTACTCCAATTTATGAACTCCTGTACTCGTAGTACTACAATTGAGAATAGGGTAGGAACTAAAGTGGTTCCTCACCCTTGCTTCACCCTCAGTGCGAAATGAGCAAAATCGGGACAATAGCAGCGGAAGGTGCTCTAGCTAGGTGCGCATACTGCTTTACAGTATTATTACATAGACCATGTTAGCATATGGCAAGTTCGCATATGAACTTAATACACTCATACAGGTAAATGTGAGGATCAAATTCTGATCGATCCTTCAAATGTTACCTTGTTCGAAGGTATTACAAAAGTTCTTAAACTGAGGTCAACTTTGACGATTTATGCACATGGACCATGGAACCCTTTTCAAGGGGCGGGTGAACTCCGGTTAAATGTGGTAACGGAGGCAAATAACAGTGGAGAATGGCTACATACAGAGTCTTTCTGGGAGGGGGTGAAAGAGGCCAACGGAGGTGAGCAGTTGCGAGGAGCGATGATCGCCTTCGGTCGCGTTTTGCGCGTTCCACAATCGCGACAGCTATGCACCCACAGACTCACTTGTGAGCGCGTATCCGGCCACAAGTACGCGTTTACGATTCGTGCGAAAGTCTGTGGAGTCCGCAGCTGCCCTGTGTTGATGGAGTTGTGGGCTTCACGGAGAGCCTTAGCTCGTAGAGAGACGGCCAGCACTACCCGCCGTGGCCCGTCCATTCCCGGTAAGTACACCAGTCCATTCTGCTCCTCCACCGTATTTCCTCCGTAGGCGCCATTCTCTTTGAATTGTTTCACCATCTTATCGTCCTTCTGCTGTGCAGCAATCTCAGCCCTGTACGAGTGCTGGAAAACGGAATTAACGATAGGTGGGACGATGACTCTGGTTGCCCCAGTTGGGTGGGAGCCAGTGGACGAAGGTGCCCGCCCGTATCAGATGCGCATCGGTGTGGGTCAGTGGATTGTGGCAGTAAAACGAAACCACGAGCGCAGCACACAGGTTGTTGACCCCCACGAACTCGGATATCGTGAAATTGGGGATCCTCGGCACCATGACCTTGGAACTGTGATACCCATCCGATGGTGGTACGAAAGACCTCGAGGAAGTGATATATGGTACGAACGCACGCACCGGACTGTTGTTGACGAGTTTGAAGCAGTGTGCGTTCCAGTCACACCTACCTACCTTCCACGCCGACGCAATTGCCGGGATAGGATTATATTGTGGTCGACCACGATAGTAGAAGGCATTCAGGGTCTCAACAACTGCAACATTTTGGGAGAAGCAGCAGCCCGGAGCGCACTTCGATATAACACTACGCTAATCCATGGGGCACCAATCGAACTCGCAACCGCATGCACCGAATGTAAGCGGTTCCGGGGGGTGAAGTGGTGTCTACAATGTCGGAAATGGCATCACTGAGGCGAGGCGGGTGAACGCCTTTATCGTCCAGGGTGTATAGCGTACGTCCGGTAGGCTTAGACCTGGGAGGGTTTAGCTTACGGAAACCCGAAACTCACAATGAATATAAGCTCCGGTTGACGTGTGACCTTGTGCAATCCCTATAGGTGTCGTTTATCTTCGGCGGACCGAGTTTCAACCTTGGGAATCGCAATTGATCAAAGATACAGGAATGCAGAGAACTTCCGGGCGCTACTCGTTCCGGGAGTCCTGAATGGGAGTGAGATCACGAGCAAAAAACCTTCTCCAAAATAACCAATATCAATACAGAGTCTGTACACACAATATGCAGCCTGTCAATTTTAGGTTGCACCCCGAATACAGGTAAATTCGGGATGCCCCACGCGCACCACTCCTGAATGTCAGGAGAACAATACAGGTACCTTCCTACCACGCGCAATCTACAATCGGGTCCTAGGGGGCGATTGCCACAACCTCCTAAAACACAGGGAATATGAAATGCAAGCGCACACTGAGAGTGCACGCCACAACTGGGAAATGAAACAGGTGTATCGACCCGAGAGGGCAATACTTTTGGGTACCTGACTTGGCTTGATGATGTAGTGAGAAGTTTTCGAGGGCCTTGGACCAGGCATTACTCAACGCTCGCAGCGGGGCTCCGAATGGTACACTCTCCCGTGGGCGGCGGCTGTCCTTAGGCGAATCACGAACCAGGCACTTGTGCACTTGAACGCAAAACAAACTCTGTTGATCTTTATCCTCTTCTCTCTCTCTCTCTTTGGCTATCTCTCTTCTCTTTTGTACCTCTCTCTTCTTCGTTGTATACTTCTCTTCTTCTTCATATGGTCTTGTTACCTTGAGGGCCGCTGGATTCTTCACGCGGTCTCCTCTGCTCATATCCTCATACACTTGTTCGGGTTCTCTTGGCTTCAGTATACCCAGGCGTCGCGTCGCGGCGCACACTCATCACTTGATGTCGGAGGGACTCGGGTGCCTGACCTGGGGATCTGCTGCACTGCTGACACATCGAACTCAGACTGGCTCACTCTCCATAGTGAAACCAAGTCACGCTCGGAACTGGCACCTTGGTTGCTGACTTCGCTGACTTGGCACGTTCCTGGGCGTTGGTCCATTGGCAGATATCTGCAGTGTCTTGGGGCTTCTCCATTCAGGGCAGTCATGGTCCATTCAGGATGATCGGCACTTGGGCACTCCGGGCGTCGTCCATTCAGGATGATCATCCGCCATTCGGGGTAGTTGCGTTCCATTCGAGCTGTCGGTTGTCCATCCAGGCTGCCGTCGACTCCACGAGCTTCAGTGTCCACTTGGTCTGGCTGCTTGAGGTCCCCAACTCATTGTCGGGCCACACTCGGGGTCTTCGTAGTCGCAGTATCCTGGATGTTCATCTTCAACATGGTGGTGGCACAATTCAGGGTGTCGATGGCTTGGTACACTTGAGTAGCTTCACACTCGGGCTGCTGGGGATTCGAAGTACCTTGGGATGCCTTGGCCTCGCCAAGAAGGGTAGCTCTCCGGGATACGTTCACCGGGGCACTTCACGGTCTCCCATCGTCAGACTATTCGGGGCCGGACTGGGTGCTGCGCACCTCCGGTCAGTTGAGGTCAAACGCGACCAGGTATCCATACTCCACATCTCCTCCATCATGCTCGGGCGTTCCACAGGCACGCCATCCTGAATCAACCCTTCTTTCCCACACGAACCATTCGAGTACTCTTGTCAGAGCCACCGGGCAACGGTAATCAGGAAAATGTCAAGTTGCTTCGCCACATCACGACAATTGCGTGCCAGGCATGTGTTAGCTCCCGGCACTACGTGACACACCCTTTGAGAATAAATGCGTCGCCAGTGTGCAATATGCATGGCAGGAAGGTGATGATGATGATCACAGTTGTCTATTTAACTTTAGTTAATAGCGTCCTGAAAAATCCTAAGCCACTTCACAATCGGAGGTTTGTTGCGTGGTTTCTCTGCTTTTGGGATGTGTTCTTCTCCTTGTTGCGGATCATTGTATTCGAAGCAATCAATCACTTGTTGTAGCCGTAAGCCGAACATTCGGATTTCGATACTCCTGGAATCTCGGTGGGCTACTGCCCGAAGTTGACGTAATGCGGTCTTCCAGATTTCTGTCTTTCCTTGCTGCACCGTGACCAGTTCCTGCCGATGAACTTTTCTGTTGCGCGTCATCCAGAGTGATGCTGTTGCGATGCTGCAGAAGGCCCACCATAGGCAGCGCGCCGCTTGCGTATGCTCTGGTGTCAGCTCACCGTATAGGGCGATAAAACGTTGCTTGAACCGAGCTGTGAGGGCTGGTGGGGATCGCGAAGCAACAAAGTGCTGGTACTTCGCCAGCTCCACTTGTGTTACTGCTGATCCTGTCCAATGCTCCACGAAAATCATCCATACCGCCTCGGCGTACGGACATGTCCATAGGAGGTGCTCCAATGTCTCTTTGTGGCCCTCGCAGCTTTGTGTCATCCTGCAGTGTGCACTTTGCTCACGCCCTGGAAAATACAAATTCAGTTGACTCACAGCAACCCTGTACGCTGTCCAGACTTGAAATTCTGTCAGAACATCCTGTCGAGCCCACAGCTCTGTTGGTGTCTGGTCTTGTGTCGCCTTCACCCATTCGGACTACTGTGTAGTTTGTCCACTAGGGGGCCTAGATGCTTTCCGAGCCCCAATCGGAACTGCCTAAATGGTTGTTTCTTGAGCGCTTGTAGTACTCTTTTGTTCTTTACCTTCTCGGGAACTAACCAGGGAAAGCCATGCAAAAGCGGTGTTGCCTCGATCACGATGCCTTCATTTGCAGCATACTCAGCCATATCCGCTCCGTCCCGATGTACTTCACGGCTGCCATGCACGCTAGCAATCGACCAGTTAATCCCGTCGAGTTCCTGTAGTAACGTAATTGCTCCCTCCGCTGCCGCTCCCTCCGCTGCCGCTCCCACGCGCGGGACGCCCTTCACGGTTTCCGGTGCAATCCTCCTCCACTCATACGGTGCCGATAGATTTGGCTCGTGACGCAGCGTCACCAAAACGCTGCTGACCCCGAAGGTGTCTCGCACAGACATCGGTGTAGCTACAAGAATCGCTAGGAACCACTTACGAAACTTTGCGAGGGTGTGATGCTTGGTTTCACTCCGTGGTCGGGGAATAGTAACCATATAGATATACCTATCCACCCGTCTGATGTTGAGCGCGCTGATCACGGGTGCCGATGCCGGTGAATGGTACGATCAACTTGGTCCCGTCGGCGTACCGTTTCATCTCGCCGCTCACAAAGTCCAGCTGCACACCATGGTCGTACATCCAGTCTTCCCCTAGTAAAAAGTCATCGGTCTCGTGTTCGACCACCAACATATCCACCGTCATTGGCTGCAAGTACTGTGTACGGAACGCAAATCGCCACACGCCCAGCACACGAACCACGGCCCCACTAAATCCCTTCATGTAGTCAACTGGAGTCTGTACATTGAGCTTCGTGCCCGAGCACTTCCAGCCTTCGACTGCCACGCAATATTGAGCTCCCGTATCCTACTTGACATGCCGCCACTGGCCTCGAATCGACAGCGTAGCAGTAGGAAGCAGGTCAATCGCCGGGGCCTGACGGCACGAAGTTTACTGACGCTAACCTCACCCTTGCCGTCTTCGGTCCTCACCTTGCGGCAACTCTCGTATTTGCTGCCACTATGGTAGCTGTAGCATTTCACTGGCTTCTTCCCTAGCTTCCGTAGCATCTCCGTCGCCGTTGGCAGCGCGTACTTGATCGCATCGATCTCCTCCTTGGTCAAGACTCTCGCCTTCCCTCCAGTTCGAAGATGCTCATTATAGTCGAAAAATGCTGCAGCGGGATAGCCATGCATCTGGTTCCACGCAACGCGCTCTCGCCGTTCTTGCGCGCGTGCCTTTCGTACACGCTTCTCAAAGCGTCGTCTAGTTCTGGAAACGTGGAGCGGTACGTTATCGTCTGTCGCTTCAACACCGTCACCAACTGCTTATAACCCTGTTGCCGCAGTCACCAGCTGTACGGCCACGCCTTCACGCATGGCATTGTCGCCAACCACGTTGCCAGCTGCGAAAGACTCACCGCGTTCGAGCTGAGCGCGAGCCAAAGCACTTAATCCATCTTGTAGAGTCCGTCGTCGAGCCCTTACTTCCTCGGCGGCGACCACCGCTTTCACGGTCCACTTCATCGCGTCACGGAACGCATCATTCGGCTCTGGCATCAACACATCGCCCTCGGCCTAGACGCCAGGTTGGAGATGTCGCGATCGTGCTTCCTCACTCAATAGTCTCTTTGACGTAACTGTACTGATGGTGCCTTCGGTGATAGGTGCAACAGGTTGTTGAGCCTGTTCTACTCGTCGAACTTGCCGTTGCTTCGTTCGTCCACGGCGCTTGGCCGCCTTTGCCGCCCGTCTTACTGCCTCCAATGCGTCCAGCTCGTTCGTCGTGCGTTGCACTGCCTGCATGTGCAGCACCTTGACCTTCTTAGCGTCTCGCTTACTCATCTCCGCCTCAACCGTTTCTACTATCGCCGCCGGGGACGCACCACCGTCGTCGTCAGGCCACGTAATTGCTTAACACAAATCGTTTCGTGGCGGTCTTTGCCCGCGTCGCCATGATGTCCCGCTGTTCTTGTTCGGTGAGCGGCGAGGCACTCAGCGCGTTCAGGTCCACGACCAACCTCTCGTCCCTGTGACTGTCTGTTGATGGCAAAGCTGCATAATATGGACGCCTTACGGTAATTTTCACATATTATGTTCCCACATGCTTGATATCAATCATGTGAAAAGACCATAAAACGATCGATTGGTCCAATTTGGTACTGGATGCACAGGGCTTGGGGTGGCAACGGCAGAATAAAGTTCCATGCATCCACCCTGATCATGGACAGGTCATAACCCCCCCCACAGTGATGCGTGGTGGGTGCTGAATCCCCCTCGCTCATTCAATAACTTTCAGGGTCAAGTGATAATGCCGGCGCGTCGTATGACCCGGCGCGGGGCCGAAGCATTTCTTCGCCGTTTGGAGGGGGGGGGGAAGGGCGTCGATTGAGAGCTGCTCGTGCGTGAGCATCGCGAATACATCGACGGCACAAGGGACCACGGCGCAGACTTTGGTGACGAAGAGCAGAAAGAGGACGCAACGTCGGTGCCGCACACTCCCACCAGACAGCCAAGTATATGCGGTAGTTACCGACCGTTTCTACACGTCGATCCAGAGCGCCCTGCAGTTTCTTCAGCGCAACATGTACAAGGTTGGTATCATCCAGACCAACAAGAAGGGCTTTCCCCCGGCGCTCGTCCAGGAGAAGTCGAAACGTCAGAAGAACATCCCGCGCGCAAGATTGTAGTCGCAAAGTCGGTCCCTCAGATGAGCGCAATGGTGTAGTTTAACAACACCATCGTACATATTGGGCTGCGGAACGAGCTTTTTGATGTCGACATGCGGTATGTGTTCATGCTATTGATATTGTGCGTTCTACTCAACATTTCCATGCGTGGTTCTTCGAATCAACCGCGCACCAAATCGCGCAAGCCTTCACTATTCTATAAGTAACTCATTTATAAAGGTTATATCTGCACCACACAGTGTAATCTATGTACGCAACACTACAGAAGCGCCAAACAGCAGCAAGACCGGATGGTCGTCGAAGTCGAAGAAGCCGCCACGCCTGCAGCAGCTACAGCTACACGCGGAAGCCAACAAGACGGACCACGAAGCCCAGGAGTGACGACGACAACACAACCGCTCGAAGGACGCCGCGTTCAACGCCGTCGCCTACAACTCGCGTGTCGCCGTACCCGCTACGTGTTCGAACTCCACCTCAATCACTCCCGCCTCCCGCACCTCCCGTGTGCCGACAAGCGCGCGTCTCGCTCGATGCCTCGCCTGATAATGAAGACCACGATGATGCAGGGCAACACCGGTTACAACTAGTTGTGTAGCCTATCGTCAAAGACACGGCGGGGAAGAGGGATAATTCAGGCAAGATGTTTGAAGTGTTCGTAGCAAACGGCTCTACTTTCAGGGATATCATGCACAAGCTTTGGGAAAGGTTCAGCCCCCGCGTGAAGGGTCTCGCCGTGAAGCAAGATGACGTGTGGTCTATCGAGCGTCGAGTTGAGTCGGCATGGAGCAGGGTAATGCAGTTCAAGTGGAACACCCATCTCGTCCCGACCACAACGTCCGAGCAAGCCTGGAACCGTTGGGTCGCACTGCAATACTTCGTGCAGTAGCAAAGCCATTATTTAATAGCGGTTGCAGTAGCGGTCGCATTGGCAGTAGGGCAGTTGCAGTGGTAGCGGGCAGTGATCTTGACGCAGGCGAACAATTCCAATAGCATTTTACTGAATAAGAAATATTAATACTTCGTGTTGATATTACTAACGAAGCAATACAAGTTACATATACTATTTAGAAAAGAGGAGAGTGATATACAAAGTCTAGACGACCAATAAGAAGTTAAGATCATCGGTAATGCTTGTGGGGACGGCGATGTTCAGACGGCATCTCCTTGTATATTTAGCTTGCGCAAGCCATGAGATGCCCAGTGATATTATGCAGCAATATATAATAGAAACATGAAGTAGCTTTTGGCAGTCTTTCTCCGGCGTGAAGAAGAAAGCAGGGGAAATATCATTGCAATGTCATTATCAATGCTGATATTGTAGTTGTAGCGCAAATAACAGCGGTAACGGCAGTGACAGCAGCGATAACAGGAGGTATGAACTAGCAACGTCAATGACAGCATTACTATGATATCATTAACAATAGTGAAATAGTAGTTTTAGTAGTTGTAGTTGCAGTAGGGAGAAGCAGTAACAGTGACCAGTAGTAACGCCCGCCACAGCAGCAATATCAAAAGCAATTTCTTTAACAATAGTGGAATGTCAGTAGTATAGCAATAGAAGTAGAAATGGGGTAGCAGTAGCAGTAGCAGCGGTAGTGACAGTGTCAGTTACTGAAGTAGTGGCAGTAGCAGTGACAGTAGCAGCCGCAGTAGCTGACAGTGGCGGCGACAGTGGCAGTTGCAATCAATACCAATAGCCACATGATGATGTTGCCAACATCAATCATAACCGTGCTTGAGACCAACCGCCGGAGATGCTCTTAGAGCATCTCTAGTATGAGAATTAAAATATCTAGTGCAGTCATATGAAGCGTTACATGCATAGTACTCACCAAAATAGTGGTGATAATGGCAATCACAATAACAAATGCAGACAGCAGATATCTGCTGAGGCGCAGCATGTCCTAGCCGTTATAGTAGCAAAAAACGCAAACTGTTCGGTGCGTTTGCCTCCGCTTAGAGACCCGTACGCGAAGCGCGCCCCAGTCAGACCATCAGTTTAATACATTCGGTACTTTTAATATGAACTAGAGTATCCAAAATCTCATGGTATTACCGGTATAAAGCAGCGAAGCGTCCGGATCGATGCTTTTAACGGGGTTTTGGATTTGAAATAAAACTTAAGCAAAAAAATGCGCGGTTTAATTCACACGCCACCATGACGTGTGCGAACTTCGGCGCTGTGTGACGTTGGCTAAACGGAGTGCGCACGGCGCGACAGTAGTGTATGTAGTATTCTGGACGTCGCACCACAGTAGTATACGTAGTGTTTTCTGGACGTCGCATCATATTGAGCTGCAGTAGGTACAGAAGAGACATTGATTGATAGACGGACAAGCCACCTTCATGGCCATGGTGGTGCACTTTAACCCTAAAAGTGTCCGACTAGATGGGCGTGATGTTTGCTGCAGCAAGAACCTAACTATAGCAATATGAACGCATAACAAAGCGAAATTAGCGCCTTCAAGCCAATTTGCATCGCGTACTTCATAACTGCGGTGACGTGTAAACTGCTCGTTCGTAAATAGAGATATCTTAACAGGTGCGGTTCGCGAAAAAGTCTCGTTGGATGGCATCATACTGAGTTGCAACAACTCACGCACCATGGAGTAGACCTTGACAGTTTTTCTTCCTGGTCGTGGGGCGAGCAGAAAAAAGTTAATAACAGAAATAGCGATAACAATATCAGTAGCAAAGCCATTATTTAATAGCGGTTGCAGTAGCGGTCGCATTGGCAGTAGGGCAGTTGTAGTGGTAGCGGGCAGTGATCTTGACGCAGGCGAACAATTCCAATAGCATTTTACTGAATAAGAAATATTAATACTTCGTGTTGATATTACTAACGAAGCAATACAAGTTACATATACTATTTAGAAAAGAGGAGAGTGATATACAAAGTCTAGACGACCAATAAGAAGTTAAGATCATCGGTAATGCTTGTGGGGACGGCGATGTTCAGACGGCATCTCCTTGTATATTTAGCTTGCGCAAGCCATGAGATGCCCAGTGATATTATGCAGCAATATATAATAGAAACATGAAGTAGCTTTTGGCAGTCTTTCTCCGGCGTGAAGAAGAAAGCAGGGGAAATATCATTGCAATGTCATTATCAATGCTGATATTGTAGTTGTAGCGCAAATAACAGCGGTAACGGCAGTGACAGCAGCGATAACAGGAGGTATGAACTAGCAACGTCAATGATAGCATTACTATGATATCATTAACAATAGTGAAATAGTAGTTTTAGTAGTTGTAGTTGCAATAGGGATAAGCAGTAACAGTGACCAGTAGTAACGCCCGCCACAGCAGCAATATCAAAAGCAATTTCTTTAACAATAGTGGAATGTCAGTAGTATAGCAATAGAAGTAGAAATGGGGTAGCAGTAGCAGTAGCAGCGGTAGTGACAGTGTCAGTTACTGAAGCAGTGGCAGTAGCAGTGACAGTAGCAGCCGCAGTAGCTGACAGTGGCGGCGACAGTGGCAGTTGCAATCAATACCAATAGCCACATGATGATGTTGCCAACATCAATCATAACCGTGCTTGAGACCAACCGTCGGAGATGCTCTTAGAGCATCTCTAGTATGAGAATTAAAATATCTAGTGCAGTCATATGAAGCGTTACATGCATAGTACTCACCAAAATAGTGGTGATAATGGCAATCACAATAACAAATGCAGACAGCAGATATCTGCTGAGGCGCAGCGTGTCCTAGCCGTTATAGTAGCAAAAAACGCAAACGGTTCGGTACGTTTGCCTCCGCTTAGAGACCCGCGCGCGAAGCGCGGCCCAGTTATAGTTACGGAATAATTTATTATTGCAGTGGATGTGCTCCAGTTTAATACAAAATGTTCAAAAATACTATTGTATTTTTCTCGGTCTAACCGTTTGTGAGTTGGCAAGCACACCGGTCATTTGAACCTTGGGCCCTAAACAGCTCGTTTTCACACTCCCAGCTTCATCCCTCATATCCAAACACACCCAGTCAAGCGATAACCCTCGCCTCACCGCGCTGCCCATGTCGTCGCGCCAGCTCTGTGCCTTCTTCTTCGCCGACCACGGTGAAGGCCGCTACGAGTGCAAGCAGTGTGGCGGTAGCCGCAAGCAGTCGCCCGGTGAATCGCAGCCTTGACCGCATATGCACAAGGAAGTTGCTCGTCTTGCCACCTTCTGCACGTGCACTCCCTGTCGTGAAGTTTAACGGTTCTCCATTGTAAGTGATCCGGCCTCGTGCTTACGTCAGTAAAACGCACAATGCACTGGCCCTGAAGCAGCGCGTGAATTCTGTCCAGCTTACCTTTGTAAGCCACGGCGAGCTTCTCAAGAAGCTGACTTACTGGAGAAGCGTGCGAATTGACCCCTGTCGTTTTCTGTTTGCCCTTAGATCGAGTTGCATTTCTACGTCGAGCGGTGAACAGCTTCACCACTTTGACTGCATGCTGCTCGAAAGCTTGCAGGGGATACGAAGTCCGGCACGAATCTCCGAGCCAGTTGTTTGCGGTTAGAAGTCACCTTGTCGTATGACGGCTGGTTGTGAGCATCACTGAACGTGTAAGGCTCCCAATGCGATATATCGATGCCAATCAGGTATTCTGCAGCAAGTGGACATGAGTCACGCGGTCTCGGGCTGTAGTAGTTGTAGGCATTCTCGTACTCGCTGCGTGCCATCGGAAAGATTATCGCTTCCTCGCTTGAAGTGAGAGCTGACCCCTTCTTCTCAGTGTTTGAGAATATGTGGCGTACGCAATACCGATGACCACTGCGTGGGTAGATTTTCATCACCAATACCAGAATACCATTTGACGATAGGATACGAAAACCGGATTCCACATATTCTCAAGGATGGTAAGTGCTGATTTCATCTCCTGGAGAAACCAACGCCCGTGTTGGAGTAGTCTTCTTGGCCACAAGAGCTAGTCCAAACACATTCAGGTCTTTTGTCGTAGCCAGAAGAAAATCAACTCGCTCATTGATGTCACCCTTCAGATGTGTACCGGCCAGCCCGATGACATGTCGACAAAACTGTACAGCAAGTAGACACGCACTTGGAAAAAGCATACACGCTGAAAGAGACCATCTTCCGTTTTCTCGAAGCCGTGGTGCAAATTGGAGCTCTGCAGTACATCGGGGATCAAGAATGACTCCACCGTCTGGTAGCTCCCCACCATATTCCCGCGTAGCACATCCATCAATTGGCGCTTGATCGTTACGTGAACTTATGGGTGTGAGAAACTTAGACGCTGAAAGAAGCAATGAGAGTGCGTAGTAACCTTAGGGGATATTTATGCACCGGCAGTAATTATAACGTGGCACTACAAATACACTGAGTTAACTATCAAGTTTGATTTGCATCAAGTTAACGATCTTAAGATAAGTAGGACAAGTACAACCGTCAGAGTTGAGTTAAGTTTTGCACCCCCACGATGCAGTGTTACGTTTCAAGGGGTATCGTTAAAGGGGAAGCGACTTAATGGCCTCAGTTATAAAATTGTCAATCAAATCCGAGTTTTTGGAAGTTTGTTGAAGTTATTACAAAGATAAGGTCAAGCGTTTAGTGAAAAGGATAGGCTTTTTCAATTTGCACCCCACAATGCGCATGGTAAGATACAAATATACCGGTTCGGATATATGCTCGCAAGCCGCATGCTTACAGAACATACAATGCACATTTGCTAGGGATGGTGCCATAAGTTATATTATTGGGGGCGTATCGGCTGCATGTGTCTTTTGTGGGAGTGTTGAGGTTTAGAATAAGTACCAACTTTTGACATACCGATCGGAGTTTCTAATCTCGGATTGAAACAGAAGCATGAAGTACAAGAACTTGGTTTTTGTAAAGTATAATAAGGATTAGTGAGTTTACTGAGCTCCACCAGTTTACGAGGGCTGTAGGAAACGAGAACCCAACCGGATGAAGACTCGAGTTGGCCCCACTTTCAAATTGACCCTCCGTCTGACGATCTACATCTACAACTACGCTCAAGACAGCAACAACGATATACTTATCTCCAGTTATTTTCGTTTTATTCCTACCATTTTTCCTGTTTGTCTTAACGAAATGCCCGACTGGGGTTAACCACTCCTTCTGTAAGGTACGGTTGCTACTACCTTTGTAGTATTCACGTGCTTTATTGTAATTTATGTGATATATTCATCGGGATTCAAGTAATCGTTACAAGCATAAATACGTGTCGATTTCTGTGCCAAGCTTCCTATTTGTTATTGCATAGAATTGATGGTAAGGCAGTAGTTCTCGCACAAATATTAACTGTATTGCTAACACTAGCGTTTACAAATTGTTTGTAAGTAGTGTATAATGAATCTGATTAGCAGTGGAGTTAGACGCAATTTTAATAGCTCATCTTGAAGCTCTTTTTAGTTACCAAAGGCTGTCGTACGCGAAATTCTGTTCCCTTACATTAATCGCCCATCCTTATTTCGTGTGGATCCGAGGTTTTCACACCGATATTACACAGGTGCATTAATCTATAATAGTTTATAGACGCAGTAGTGATTCTACCCTTTCACGATTATTCCATTATAAAATCAATTTGCTACTTCTCCTTGACCTGGATAGCGACCTGAATGAATTACACAATCGATTGTACCCTCAAAGAGGGTCTTAACAAGGTACTCCTGTCGTCCCTCCCCCGGAAAGGTCCCAGTTCGTACAATGCACCAGTGCGCTCCATCAATTACGCCCGTAGTTAAATGCATTCAAGATCTGATGCAGCACTAGCTACGCGAATCTAGCCATAGTTTCCTTCTCCATAGTCGAACTGTATAAATCGCCCATTCGCTTCAGCAATATTGTACAAATTCAACCTTGGTACAAATATTTTTGCCTGTTGAGCTAAGAAACGCTACACGGGTGAAACTAGAAATAGTACTCAGAATCAATATCAGGATATCTATATATCCAGCTTAACCCCTCTAACCCCGTATTCTGTATCCTATAGAATAAGCATTGTCACAGGACATAATATCCAGCAAACTTGTCCTCTCTTTCGAACTTCGCATATGGATGTTTGTATAGCCGGTATTGTGCACATCTTCCTGTTAGATTAGCGATGGGAAGATAAACGGGGTTTATTCCGCGGTAATAGACGGACGAGTATAAACCACCAACAGGTTTGAAAATTCGGATGGAAGCCTAAAACCGCCGCGTGTCAGCCACTCGTACTTTCCTTCATTCCGAAACTGCGCTGTTCAAGACGTCGCAATGCAAGCTTTGTTGGGGCCCGTCGAGCGCGCCCAAGTGACCAAGGACCATGGCCGAAGACGATCATGATGAGCGCCATTGTGATCTACAGGTAAGCGAGAGCGTGTACTTTGCTCTGTAACATTGTACTAGTGGTATATTGATTCTACGTTGCGATGTTGATTACCAGACCTGGTGATCCGACCCAGACGACGCTATGAGCTCTCGCGTGTGGCCCGATTGGCAGATCGATTGCGGAGTCAGCGCACAACCTCATCGGTTCCTACGAAGCCGGCTACAGCCGGGTCTACCGCTATATTGTAGCTGATGCAGTGGCTACTCAAGAGGATACAGAAGAAGCGCCCCTCATGGTGTGGCTACACCGGAGACTACAGAAGAAGCGGTAGATGCTACGACGGATGCTACAGAAGAAGCTCTCCGCGTGATGAGGTTACACCGGAGATTACAGAAGAAGGGACAGAGGCTACGACGGAGGCTACCGATGAAAGCGGCAGGAATGGAGCGGCAGCCGGAGACTACAGAGCAAAGCGGAGGCTGCCAAAATGGCGAAGATGACCCACGGCTGGCGCGAACATTGACGAGCGTGCGTATGTAAAGGAAGAAGTAGACGTTGGCATGAATATCATATATTGTCCTGTTTCGTACAAGAGGAACCGTGTGTAGTGCGTGTCATTACGGGCTATTGAGCATGCAAGCTCCCTGGTGTTGTTAGAGAGACAATCGTAACAAGCTTGTTAGGTGGGCTAAAGAAATCTAATGATGCGCTAATGTCAAGCACAAGGAATAATTCGCCCAGTTCCTCCTCACTACGTCAGTTAGGAACAGGGCGATTTCTTCCTCCGCGTTTATCTCGACGTGCCGAAGATGGGTGGCTGGAGCCGAAGTATGCTGCCTTAGCAGCCTTGCAAGGTATTACCATGTAGCAGGTTTTTAGCGTGCTCTACGCTCGCCACGACCAATAGAAGCTCGCCATTTCGGCATATGATGGATACATTGAGCACGTTTTGTTCACTTTCGTAGCTGTTCTGTGCCCAATGTACCCAGCGCTTGACCGCAAGATGCGAAAGGGCTTCCAACAGCAAATCTTTGACAGGTTTTGAAGTATACTTTAATCAAGTCTAATGCTTATTCTGTAGGATACAGGATAAGATCTGGGGCTAGAAGGGTTAAAAAGGGTATAGTCGATGACTGCATTGAAAGCATCCTACTTCGTGCGAAACTTGTATTTTCTGGTATACATATCGTTGCGGCCACGGTGCCAGGCTAAATTGTTCTCGAGCCTTCAGCAATGCCAAGATAACAGTAGAATTGTAACGCATGACGAACAGCTCAGTCACATTACATTCAACGACCATATGCACATCTGTTCTTACATTACATTAATTTAAAGTTCATCGAATCATCGAGACCAGCAGTATACCCCAAACACGTAAGGACTTTTACAATAACACTAACTCACTGTAAGTGACTTAAGACATCTTCAAGATGAACGACTACACGGTTCACTCCATATACATGCTAGCCAGATTCACTATACACTAACAAACGGTTAACAAACGCTACCGTCTTCCCTCGTACTGGACGCCTAGTGGGCGTTATATTTGAATAAAAGGCCTAGGCGTTATATTCAAGTGAAACTGCGAAACTCTGAAGGATGCAAAAGGTAGGCGTTGTATTCAAGTAAATCTAAAATCCCTGAAGGTTGGTAGTGGCCTCTAAGGCGCCCAGCTGCTCAACCCTATCGACAGCGCGGGTATCTTGAGTTTTGCGACAAGGGCGGCAAACCCAAAGCCGTCGACACCCTTGTTGTACTCTCCAGCAACACTGCGCTTGAATCCGATACTGTAGCTATTACGCTTTTTCTTGGGCTGACATTCTTGGCGTGGGCTTTTGTGTCGCGGGAGGGCGATTGTATAATGATACGACAAAACAAGAGCTCGACTTCCGCTCGTATGGCTGGCGGTCGGCACAGAGGTGCTACCTCGTCCAAATGGCAGCAGAATTGTTGGCAACTACTAACGTTAATAAGAGTTGTGTTACGCTTGGGTAGGCGTTCTATTTTGCTATTGCTTCAATTCGAGGGTGCGATCAGATTCGGGATTGTTGACCAACCTCGAATACAACACCTAGGCGTCTAGTACGAGGGAAGGCGGTAGTGTTACTATACATTTTGTGTTTGGGTGAACAATAAAGATCGAAAAAGGGGTGTCAGAATTGAAAACTGCTACTTAACTTGCTGAGGAAATGGTATGCGATTTTGGGGAGCAATGTCCAGACCACGTCAAAAGTGGAGAAATCTTGAAAATTCCCACATTAACACTTTTTCGTCCCACATAGGGTGGGAGCAAATGGTTCGGGGATATACCTGTTTTGCATCCTACACCGTGATAAACAACGGTCACGCGAGCAAGCGTCTGTGGTATTGGAATATGACTGTTTCCAAAGGAGATCGCCCCGCCTGCCAATAATCAAGCTCTATCAAGGGCGATCAAGGAGCATTCAGGCGAGAGACGGTGACGGCTACTTTGGATTGGTCAACGCCATTATCCCCGGTAGAGTGATAGATAGTGGCAGGAGCCTCGTCGGGTCATAATACAACCCCGGACGAGGCTTCATAGTGCCCAGGTTTTAGTACAGATGCATTTAGTCGCGTACTTCGGCCGCACCTATTAGTGTGTCATTTGGTGTGTCCAGGATCGCCTCATTGCGATCGTTCACACTTGATATTTGTATCGAGACATAGGACTAGTCAAAGTATGACCAGAACGAGGCTCCTAGAGCCTCACAAACGCAGTAATAAAAAGACAGTCTTCCTCCAAAGCCAACAAGGGTCAAGTCCGACTTCGTTAAGTGTAGCTAGCTTATTGTAGTGCCTGGACACGCTCGGCTGCGTGTGGATGCCTGTCGGGGAGCTAATCGTGAATTGACCGAGCGTTTCCTTGGCGGCGCCAAGAGTTGGCGTGGTCGGAGAGGCAGGAACGGTATTAGAGTATCGTTCGATATATATTTGTGGGATTAGAGTGTCCCTGAGTGTATCAGTCTACCTACCGAGGTTTTACCTTGGTACCCTTCCTTTCTGAGGGACTGCAGTGGGGTTGCGCGAAAGCGCTACATAGTATCCTAGCCTAAGCTCGTGGCTAGTGGTACAGGTTTTTGGGTTGACCGAAGACAACCTAAGTTGCACAGAGGCGCTTCCAACCGACCCGGTGTAAGGGATCGTTCCTGGTCTTCAGGTTTAGATCCAATAAGCGCTTACCTTTGCGGGTTAGCGTGTTGTTGGTGTCCTTTTCGTAGAAGAGAATTTAGTGGTATTACCACACCACAACTGGTGCCGCGACCCGGGATTGGTGTGGCCTTCTGTGTGTCTTGGTTGTTGTAGGTCTTACCCCCAACGAGCGAAGAGGAGAAGAAGCGAAGCAGAAGAAGAGGGAAGATGGCGAAGGTAGTCAAGTCAGCGATACCAGCGACGCCGGCCAAGTCGAGTGGAACGCGCAACGAGCTTTCGGTGCGCCCCGGAAGCTCGTTCTCGACCTCAGCGACGGATCGGATGGAGTCGATCGACGAGCGTTCGGCGAGCTACAACATGGCGATTGATTTCTCGGACGCCAAGGAAGATGAAGAAGATGATGACTGGAATGTCAGGACTGTGATGTCCGAGGGTTCGGAAGCTGCGATTGTGTCAGCAGGTCGCAGTGGAGGGTCGAGGTCGATCACCCGCGACCTCTCCGAAATCTTCAATGCCATGCCGGGCCCCGAGCCTGCCTACGACGCAGATGACGATGCAACCGAGGGCTTCAAACCATCGGTGACGGTAGGAGGGGTATCCTCCAAGCCGGTTGGCACTCGCCCTCCCCTCAACGGCGATACTCCGGCGGTCAACAAGGTTCTAGGCCGGTGCCTAGACATGATGAAGACCAAGAGTGAGTGGATGCAGTTGTTCTCCCCGAAGCAGGTTCGCCAGGCCATCTGGATGGACCTCGGAGGGGCGATGGTCACGCCGATCAACTCAACGAGCACTCGGCAGGTCGCCCAGAACACTGTGGACCTCCTGCGAGCAATGGGTGCGAGCTCCAGATCCTCCCGACGGAGGCAGCGCTCGCAAGTTGGACGCCGACTGCCGCGGCCACGGCGGAGAAAGAAGCTGTGTAGCGCTTTCAGGGTGACGGACGTCAGTGCGCGAGGCGCAAAGTTCAGCCTCGGAGGCGGTAGACCCATCGAAGGTCCCGCTACCAGCGACCCCTCGACGGATGACGGAGTCTATGCAACTAAGGGCGAAGCCTCGCCGTACTGCAAGACTCGTACACGGTAACCCCAAGATCTACGGACCGTAGTGAACGTCTAGCTAGGGAGAACGAGGCTTCGTACGCCACGCCTGGCACGCACGGAGCAACCGGTCGCCGGCCCAGCCGACGTTACGGCCTCCGAGATGACTCGTCCGACAGTGACGACGATCTTGGGTCCGACTATTAGGAGGGCAACCTACCGAGTGAATGGGCTCGTCAGGTCGCGAACTGAGCGCGACCGACAACCAGAGCTGAACCCCGAAGCTCGAGATTGCGACGCATCTACCTCTCGCCCATATCAAGCCGTTCTATGGAACGCGGGACAAGAGCGAGCACTCCATGCAGTGGCTCCGAACGTTCATCTATGAGATGAAGGGAACGCATGCACCACCCAACGAGTGGTGCCTGCCGTTCGAACTCAAGCTCAGAGATGGACCTTTGCATCGGTGCCGCCAGCTCCCACGCAAGACGAAACGCACGTGGAAGTTGCTGAGCGAGGCGTTCATCAAGTACTAACTTAAAACACCAATTGATTGCGCGATTTTGGGTCATTTCGGAATTTGCCTACGACAGTACAAGGATGGTTGAGTAGAAGCTACTCGGGTCATGTCGTATTACAGATTAAGGAACAATACCAGGAGCATATTCCTAACTGTAAGATAAACCGTCCTTGCAAAGCTATAGCTGGAAGTGTAGCGGCACAAGGAGCAATAAAAACCAGTGATCATTTTAGTGCACGATCCATAATTAATCTTGGTTTCAGTATAGGCATGTACTTGTTGATAGCACAGGTGCCTGTTAAGACATGTATGTCTTTCTCGCCGCTTTGTGATTGTGATAAAGCACACTGACACCCTCCAGAGTCATTGTTGAATACTTACCGCAAAACTTTTAGAGGCCCTTGTTGGAAGCTGTTCCATACTAAAACTGTCGCGCACAAATTTGATTATCGACTTTTTGGCCAATCAAAACATCACAATGTCGAATAGATCGATTGCATTGGTTAATAATGTATATCGTGCAATAAATTGAAACCGTGTACTCAATTGGTGTTTTAAGTTACTGCTCGAGGTCTTCCCAGTCGCTAAGGCTCGATACTACTCGGCCAAGCGAGGGGACAAGGAGCATGTATGTGACTACCTTAACCGGTTTAACGGCTACGCCCCTAATGCCGCTGTACAGTTTGAGAACGGTGGACGCGACGCGAAGGACCACGTGGAACACTTCTTGGTCACATGTGGTGACCGAAACTTAAAAGACCGTTTGTGCCACGTCCGGGTCAAGAGCATCCATGACCTCGAAGACATGATCAACGACATTTTGCGTCACCGCGATCGCAAGTCAACTCTTGAGTCGTCGTTCCGCCGCTCTCGGAGTCAAGATGACGGTCGCCGACGTGATGCGAGGCCGAACGAGGATTCTCGGAGTGGTTACCGACGCCAACAACGCTACCGTGACGACGACCGCCGCAACGACTGTCGCGAGGACGACCGCCACCGGGACCGCCGCGATGGATCACCGTACCGGTCACGAGTGACTTAGGTCGACGCGCTAGCCGATGCGGTGGCGGAATGGAACGTCGGAGGCTCGGTCGGTGCACGTAACGAAGCTTCGTACGCCCCCCGACGTGACGCTGAGGCGAACGAGGATTACTTCGAGGACGAGCGCCAGTACTCAGACGACCAACGTTCGAACGAGGACTCAGAGGCGGATTATAGCTCGGACGAGTCTATTGGACATGTCGCTGTCGCTAACGATGCTGAGCGCAGAGCAGCAGCCGATGGAACGTTCGCCGGTCTGACAACCGACACTTCAGGAACGGAGGAGGCCCATCCACCCGCGAACTAGATGGCCGTCGCCAGTATGGACCGTGTGCCGCGTGCGGAAGCTCGTCCCACTCCGTGCACTTCTGCTACCGGCGGTGCAAACTGTGCAAACAGGTGCACGACGCTGGGAAGTGCGAAGCACTCCTCGAGCTCACCAAGCTCCTGAAGTCCAACGTCGACAAGAAGGATCTGTCGCCAGAGCTGCAAAGCCCGGTGTATGGAAGCCATTTAAACTAGATAGATCGCCAACTGAAACTGGGTTGGTCCCAATCGGGCTGCCACAGTTAGCTGAGCCTGCAGTTGATGCGGACTATCTGTTCGCGTTCACGGGCGAAAGCAAACGGCCTGACGACCTGAAGAGTGATGAACGTGTGAAATTGACGGAAAATGCAGAGAACCGAGACGCAAGTCTCGTTGAGACAGATATTGATAAAGATGATGATGAAGGACGTGACGGACACCCGACCGAGGCTTTGATTACTAGTCTAGCCCGGGTCAGGGTACTACCCCGGATCCTCGTTCAGGCGGTGAAATTACTGCCCGGCGAGAGACTGGGGTGGTGGTCGTCCCAACGATACGATAAGAGGAAGCGAATGAGAGCTATGGTCAATGGTGCGAGGCGCGAACGAGGATCCTCCTCAACGCACCCGCACGCAGTGGCAGCTCTGCATGACCAGCTGCGGCGCCACGAGACGCACCAGCTCCTCGCACGCTTCCTTGTGTCCTCGCCGCAGACCACCCGCTCTTCATCCCCGCAAACGGCGCCTTCGTCCCCGCCGCACTCGCCCTCTACCGCAGCCACTCTCCCTTGTCCACGGACGCCAGCAGGCTCGACGACTCGAGTACGCCGCGCGCTCACCTCAGACGTGCCCCCACTCGTTCCTTCAGCTTCTCCTTACCATACGCGGCAGCCGCTCCGTCGTGTCCCCTCTCCTCCACGGCTGTCTCAGCGGTAACCGCCACGCTCCTTGACGCATTGCACGATCTCCTCCTCCACTGCCGCGCGCTCTGCCTCCCCTCTTCGACTCCTGCTCAACCTCCCTCCTTTCTGCAGCGTCATTGCGGCCTGCCTCACTCTCTCCACCTCCGTCATCTCCTCCTCCTCCTCCCCCTCCTCGGCCACCACCACCACAACCACCGCCGCCGACGACGACGACGACGCCCGTCCGTCGTCCTCTGTTGTCCTTCGTACTCTTGAGCTCCTCGCCTTCCCCCGCGCTCTTGGTGCCCCCCCCCCCGGTGCCTGCTGCCCCTCGCCCTTGTGTCCTGGGTGCCCTGGTCCTCCTCGCTCTCGACTGGCTCCGAGGGCACAGGCTGAGCCCGCCGACGTGCCGGGCTTGCCACGAACCGTCTTGGGAGACCTGCTCACGCCTGTGCACGCCCGCATGACACGCACGCGAAACCTGGAGGGGAGGGCGTAGCGCAGGTCACGACGCCGCTATTGCGCTGAGGAGCGCCGCCAGTATGACCTCCACCACGAAATGAAAATGCGAGAAGGGTTCAAAATAGCCGTTTTAGACCAATCAAAGAAACTCAGGCTTTCAACCAATGATAGATTGTGTCGGCAGGTGTAGGCCGCTGTCAGCACCGTCACGGTATGGGTGCCGCATGGTGAATTACCGCGTGAGACCGGCTACGCAAGGTTGGACTCTAACAAGTACAAGGAGTGGCACGTGCTGGCCTACTCAACGAGTCGTGATGAGACTCTGTATGGACGAGAGCGTCGTCGCTATGAGCAATGGATGGCTGTTCAACCGCCTGCGGTCGAGCGCAGGACTTATCCGACGCCTCGGAAGATCCTGCCGAGGCCACCGGACGCCCCGACCTGGCCGAGAGGTCGCCAACAAGTCCCCTGGCTCGCCACCCGATGTACATGGTTGCGACGATGACCCTAGAGTCTGTAAAGGCTCGGTCGACACTGCTCGAGTCAATGCAGGTGACGAGAGTGCCGAACGACAGTTCGGACGACGAATCCTTTGCCTGAATGCCTCGGAAACCCATGATGCTTCGCCGCTCTGCCGGACGAGGTGCATGTCCACGAGCCTGAATACCGGTACGGTTGCCAATGGCCAGGGAGTCTCGGTCGAGGCGTCGGAGACTAGTGCTGAGCTGCGTGAAGGTGATAGTGAGACGAACGACAAATCGGAGGATGCCCAAGACGAGATGACAAAGGCGGAGCCAGCGGCAGCGAACGGCCTGTCGACGGAAGCTGTTGCACCATGCCTGGGTCCGGCTGACGCGTCGGCTGCGATATGCAGTGGTGAAGACGACTGGGGCGAACATGATCCTGGGCCGAACGATGTTCCTACAGGAACCAGAACCCCGCCGCTGACGCCGCCACTGATTTCCAGGACTTAGGCGAAGATTCGATTGACGACCCACAATTACTGGAAGCGACTTATATTTCGGTCATGCATGCTATGATTGCAGAGGGACTATCGAAGATGACGACGCCGCGAACGACGTTTCTGAACGCGTGGCGAACGACATTGAGCTTACCGACTACGCGCAAGAGCTGGCGTTTCTTGCCAGACCTGACCGAAGCGTCGGAGACGACATTGGATTACTCCGGTCAGAATATCCAAAATGGCGATTTGAGCGAGAAGCAGCAGGTGAGACTGGTCGACGTGCTACAGAGCCATGAGAAGATCATGATCGCGAGTGACAACGCTCTGCCGCCTCCAGCCTACGGTGTCGTGTGCGACATCAACGTACAAGGGCACGCGCCAATCAAGCAGAAAGCTCGGCGAACCCCGCTCCGCTTCCTCGGCAAGCTATACGAGTTGCTGAAAGTCCTTCTGAAGGCTGGGTTTATCTCCTTCTCAGACAGCCCATGGGCGTCGCCAATCGTCATTGTCTTAAAGAAGAACGGAGTGAATATTCGCTTGTGTATTGACTACAAGCTCGTTCATGCGATCACCGAGATAATGGAGTACGCTATGCCGTTAGTGGATGACCTGTTGACGGACATGGAGGCATACCTGTGGTTCTGCTCTCTGGATGCCGCCAGCGGCTTCTGGACTATTATGATGACCGAACGTGCTTGCAAAATTTCTGCTTTCGTCTCTGCGCTTGGGCACTTCGATTGGTTGCGCATGCCCTTTGGTTTGAAGAACGCTCCGGTGATTTACCAGCACATGATTGATAACGCGCTTTGGGGTTTCGTCCAGCCGAAAGGAGGATGGTTTAAATTCTCGGAG